CGCTCTTCCATTCCAATCAAAAATCGCCGGAATGCTGGTCCCCCTTTTGTACCTCAAACCCGGAACAATGAAGATCAATATTATAGCACCAAAAGAATCCCTTTGTCTAGTTGCCCAGCCCATCTATTTTCGCTTGCTTTCGAATGCCCATCACATGCCTGCTCCCTTCTGTATTCAGTGCCGTGGCAGCCTCATCGCTGGCAGTGGCGCAGCAAAAAGTCAATGATGAGACTACCTAGGCGCCCCCAAATCTTCATTATATACCATACCTAAGCGGAATGAAAAAAAAAAAAAAAAGGAACTCTTCATCTCTGCTGTGTTTCTTTCCAGCTGCTCAGCCTCGTTGATTTCCCATTTCACCTCAGAAAGCACGTTCCAGCCCCCCTCCTTTCGAGCAAACAATCATCTTTTTTCCGCCTATCGCTGATCATAGCGTCGCATGCACCTGAAACGGAACATCGTAGAAACGGTCGTGAGCCATCCGATGCTCGTGAAACAAACAGACAGTCGTGCTCATGTGTTGTGCCATTTGACTGCTTGTTGTATGATGCCATATTCATCAGCTGCCTACCCTGGACCGATATAAAAAATCACGATTACTTGAAAACAAAGATGTCCCATATGATAATATCGGACACTGGCGATATTCTGTATAATACACAGTATCATTGAGGGAGAAAAAGCAATGCTCAATTCTTAAAACAAGCGCTCGATTGCTTCATATTTGCCATACACAGTGTTATGCCTGATCCCGCGTAAATGCACCCAAATCTATCTACAAGTTGCCCAGTCATTCCATCCCAAGACAAACAAATACAAAACCAAGCCGCCAAAAGATTTAATAGAAGAAAGAAACAAAAAAAACTTAAATTGTATCCTCAAAGAACATCCCACTGCATATTCCACGGCTGAGTCCCTTGCTTAAGACTGATGCCGTGCTTGTAATTGCTAATCAGCTCTTCCTGATCCACGCCGCAATGCTTCTGCCCATCCCGTCCGGCGAACCACCCCAGGCCATACATCTTGTACTCTCCAAGCTTCTGCCGCACCTGAGTCGCAGTGAACTTTTCCGTGCCGACAAAGTCGTAGAGCATCTTGCTCTGGTGGATATACGCCAGCACCGAGGCGATGGTGTTGGGCTGACGCGGTAAAAAGGCATGCCGTCGGCGGAAGAAGACGACAAAGGCAACGGTAATCATGTAGAGCAGGATCAAGAGCGACGTGGCAACGGATACGTAAAAGGACTTGACCGTCTCCGTCCCAGAGTTCATTTCCCAAGTCTTGTTCCCGTCATTGTAGACCAGCAAAAAGTCATGTCCGTCAACCGTTGCCAGACCAGCCACGAGAACAGTCAAGAACTCGGCCATTACACTGCCAAAGCCGACGAAAAACACGAGCAAATGGCCATTCACGAGCGCGCGCATCGGCATGTAGCCAAATGGAAGCGCCGTGTAATCCAGGAGCAGCGTCTTGGCAGGCGCGTGCCGCTTGGAGAGGATATAGTAGGGCTCCATCATGCGAACTGCCGTCTCCATGCCGCCCCAGGCCATCTTCAAGAGGACAACAAGCACGGTAATGACCCAGGGCGCCTTGTCCGAGACGATGGTGGCGGGCGTAAACAAAAAGACTGGGATGAAGCCCGTAAAGAGGCAGAGTCCGACAATCATGGAGATGATGCCCACCGAGCGAAGCATGACGGGATGTGGGTTTGTAGGGAGGTCATGGTCATTGGACTTCTCCTTCTCCTTGGAAGTCACGTACGAATCATCGGGCGCGAGGGACGAGTTGCGGAGCACGTAGCGGTTGTATTTGAGTCGGTTATGGATGTCGCCATGGGAAGCAGTATCCATATCCTTGAAGTCCATGAGAATGTGGCTCACCACGGCCATAGATGCGAGACCAGCGATTCCCCGGACATCGGACATGAGGCCGGACTTGCGTGACTGCAAAAGATACAACAGGATGCAGCCCAGCACGGCAATCACGCCGAGGGTCGACGTCAAGAGCCGTGACCAAACAGAAGTGAAGCTGAGCGTCTTGTATCCGTCTGGGTTAGCCATTCGCTCGGATCGGGATGGGCTGAGGACGACAGCAGCGGCAGCAAACGTCGGCACCAGCGATACAGCCAAGATGGTCGCGATGGACGACACGGCCACGGCAAAGTGACCCTTCCTTAGAGCCCGAAACGGCCGGAAAAAGTTGAAGCTGGTCGCGTAGTCAATGTTGATGGAGTCCGAGGCCACCGCGCCGTCCTCCTTGGAAAGCTGATAGAACGCTTCCAGACGCCGCACCTCAAAGTCGGTAAACTGCCACAAGACTCCAAAGATGACGGCTAGCAGCGTGGGCGCAAACTTGATGACGAAGAAAATACCCGGGTTCACCTGATCGGGGGATGTGAACTTGACCATCCCACCTTTCTTATACATTTGGAACAACACCTCCTGCATGGCGGCTAGGCCCGCCGCGATGAGGATTAAGGAGGTGAGGTATGGCCATCGCATGGAGAAGGGCTTCCAGTTGGGTTGTGGATAGAAAGTCTGCGTCGTCTTCTCCTTGATTGAGCTTGCGTACGTCGACTGTCGCATGGTAATGTTGTGCCCCTCCATGTTGCTCAAATCAGCTCCCACCGGCTCTTCCATGATGACCTCGATAACCTCGCCGCGGCGGTTGGCCTCGTCCTGGCCCATATGGCGCAACGTCTCGGCGCGATTCAACTGCTTGCCCTGATTCCGCCGTGAGAACGATCGCGAAAGGCTGCGCTGGACCGTTGGGGCCGAGAAAAGTTCGCCGCTGTGTACCTGAGAATCCGCGTGGAAACCCTGACCTATACCTCCTGTTAAATGTCCCCTGGCCTCCTCCTCTTGCAGTTTCTTGATGAAGGCGTGGTCGTGCGAGCCAAGCGGCCCGAGCGTTGCTGTGAAATCGAATGCCGGCACGGCGTCATACTCCTCGTCCTGCTCGTGTATAGCCTCATAACCACCCCGCGATTTCGACGTACCCATGGGCGCCGCAGCCTTGAGCAGAGACAAATCATATGGTTCCTCCTCCCGGATGCTCTCAGGAACGGTCTGCTGCACCGAAGAGTAGCTTGATTGCCGGTGTCCCCTGGACAGACCCCGTGTTGGAGCATATCCCCCACCACCGGCACCGGAGTAGGAAAACGAGCCAGACCACGAAGACGCTGGCGAATAGCTCCGGGGCAAGTCCCCTCCGTACGCAGTCGACGGCACAGAACTTCGACGGTCATATTCCGAGTCCATCGACACTATGGATTCACGGCCCCGCAGCGGATGAGAGGCATCGTCGTGGCCGTACGGGCTGTTCTCGCCGGCGTCTGAGAGGCCGGAAACTTTATGCGCAAGATGCTGGTCTGGAGAGGGCCACGCCCACGGGTCTCTGAAGGGCTCTCGGCCTTGATGGTTATTATGAGCCATGGCGTTGCGAGAGAGTCATGGCAAACGGGGTGAAAGTGAGAACTGGAGAAGGAGGTCACTGATGAGAGCTGTGACGTTCGCTTGTTTGTTTGTGTGCCCGTTTGTTTGGTCAATACGGTGAATGACGGCAATTGGTGTTGCCGTGGTGCTTGCAGCTACGAAAACCTGGAAAGGAGGCTGCAGCTGATGGCTGGGGCTGTTGGCTGGGGTGGGTTGCAGCGATAATAAACGATTGGAAGCGTCGGAGGGAGAGCGAAAGCGAAAGCGAAAGGGAAGAAGAACAAGACAAGAGACGGAACGAGGGAAGAGAAGAGAAAAAGAAAGTGTGGAAAAGAGAAGAGTGAACTACTGAGGTCAGGTAGGCAGCTTAGTAGTAGCTAAATCGAGTCGGCATATGGAGGATCATCAAAGTCCGCCATCGCCAAGTCGTGGAAGTTGTCAAACTGGGCAAGGGTGGGGATCAAGTTGGAATCAAACGGCTGGAGCCAAAGGATGAATAAAACTCACATAAACTACCTACAGCACTGGCAGAAACCCTGTAGGGCTGCGAGGTTGCGTTGCGTTGCCTCAACTTTGCTCAGTAGGTCATCTGTTCCCGGACTACTCGTAACCCGGTTAGCAGCAGACGGCAAACAAGACGCAGTGCCCACTAGCAGACCAGAAGCTCAGCTCAGCTCTCCTGCACGATCCCACTTGGCCCGCCCCCAAAACAACTTCCGATGTTCGCCTTGGGGAGCGTCTATTGCGCCTGATGGCTCCAAACCTGAACCTTTCAAACTAATAGCCTGCTGCAGGCCCCTGGCGCGGTGCGGCCTGTGTGCCCTGTGATTGGGCTTTGCTTAAGCGGTGGTCGGCATTCTCGTTCTCCATGCCACTACAGAACCTAATGCAGCGAGCACCCGACAGACAGACACACCACACCATCTCTGCATTGTGATTTGACTTGAGCCTCACGGCGGCCTCCTTGTCCCTCTTGGGGCGGAGGCCATTTCAAGGGGGCGGCAAGCCGGCTTCCCGTTGTGCTTTGTTTGCCATTCGTACGCGCGGATCGCAAAACGGTGAGATTATAGTGCGTGATGCGACGATGGGTGATTGTCAGTATGAGTATGGACACTTTGGAGGGCAAAATGAACAGCGTTCTTTATATATAACTTGGTCACGTAAGCGCCCAAAGCGGATGACACCAAAACCGAGACCGAGAAAGATTTCGAGCACCCATGAGATGAATCATACGCCTACAAAAGGAGCAGCTGCTATATCTACGGATACATTTGCCTAATAACTGCTACTATATCTAGATTTCTCTAATAACTGCTACCATATCTACATTTCCCCAGTAACTGCTACTATATCTATATTTCTCTAGTAACTGCTACTATATTTATATAATAAAATTCGGGTGCTGGCTGAAGAGGCGTACCTTTGCAAAAGCACTACTACTCGATGAGTTGATTAGGTGCTCATATTACTGAATGTATGTACTTATTCATTTTGCTTTAAATTAGAATCCAGTATCAGGACCGCTGATTCAGCATCATCTGAGAGGAGACGGATGTCTCTGATCCGCAACTCTTTATTCTATTAATGTGCGGCAAAACCCTTTGCTGAGTGAGCTAAAATGTCTAGGTTCAAGTTTCCATAACAAGTGACAAGTCCGTGTCGTAATCTTCTTTCTTCCCATTGCCGAGAACTCCCAATTCAATTCAATGCCGCGCCATGTTCCCCCGAACCAAATGTCGGTGCTAATTCCGAGATATAAAAACAACATAAAAAGGAAATGAAGCTGTTTCATGTAACATGCCAGGAAAAAACTAAATAATAAAAGCAGACGAAAAAGGCGGTTTGATGGATTATTACAACATCAATAATGCTGACGCAGCAAAGGCCACGACGCCGGCCCAACTCAAAAACACTCCTCTTGCACCACCCATAAGAACCGAAGCACCGCTCGCCTGGACCTTGCCGCAGCACGTGTTGTTGTACGTGACGTTGTTGAGTCTCGCAGCCGCCTCGAATACGGACCCCGCCGGCGTGCCGTAGTTATAATAGTCCACGTTGAGGACGTTGGGCGCGCGGCCCCAGTCGCTACGACAGTTGTTGGCGGCCAGGCCTACGCTGCCGTAACCCTCAGCTGCGTTGGTCTCGTTGAGCAGCGAGACGGCTGGCACTAGCAGCTCGAGGCTGAAGACGTTGAACTCGGCGTTGAGGTTGTGGTTCATCAGGTACAGTCGGTCCTCCGCCGCCTCGGTGGACAGATCCGGAGGACGCTGAACGGTGCAGGGAAACGTGCGGTCCACGGGGTCAAAGGGCGTCTCCCACATCTGCGAGAACTCGTCCATCAGCCAGGGGTAGGCCGTCTGGTTTGCCTTGTAGTCGAGGAACATGACAACTCGGTTGCCGTGAATGATCATGTTTTCCAGCGTGGGCCAGTCCGACAGGCTCATGGGGAAGACGGTGGGCACGAAGGTGTACTTGAGGATGCCCGTCTGCTCGATATACGGCACGTAGATGGATGGGTCCGAATAGTTGCCATTCTCCAGCAGGACGGTGACGACGTCGTACGGATGAGCGTCCACCCATTCTGCTACCTGGCTCAGCCAGTCGGTGATGGGCCCGGCATCGAGGAGATCACACGTCGTATGGCAAAAGTGCGGCACCGAGCTGTTGGCTGGGAACTGCATCTGGGCCTGCAGGAAACGCACACCATCATCCAGCTGCGTCTTGACGGGCAGCTCCTGGTTCGACCCCGAGTTGCCCGGCCGCACAAAGGGCGAGTTGTGGCAGCCGACCTGCGTGATGTTGCTGAACTTGCGCTTGCACAGCTCGACATGGTTGTTGCAGGGCTGCGTGTTTGTCGGCTCCGGGGGTGCTGAGGCCGTCGCCGTGAGATTGGCCGCCGTGGTGAGCGAGCCGGTCGGGAAGCTGACGGTGACGGAGCTGGAGCTGGTCCCGGAGCTGGGACCCGAGCGGGTTTTGGAGCTGGCCGCGCCTGTGAGGGTGATCTTGGAGCGATATGTCGTATAGGCGCCCGTGGGTATGGGGTCGCCGCCCACACGCTGCGTCTTGGTGCCCTGGTAAAAGGAAAGTCCTGATGTGTCTGAGTACGATACCTTTTGCGCACCAGCGGCCTCTAACAGCAGCGCCAGTGTGCCGAGGGCAGCGTAAGGGACTCTCATGTTGTGAGAATGAGTTGGTGTTGAGGTTGAGCCTGTGTGCTCAAGCCTGCCTTATCCGACCTCTTCCAACTGCACAGCCCAAACTTGATACGTTATAATATCTTATCGACAAATTAAAGATTCAGCCTCGACAATGATGTCGACAAATGAGCCAAAAAAGGGATATTTCCGATGTCCGACAATGGATGCGCAGCGGTATGGAATCACCGGCTGCAAGGACCGGAAGCCGTGCCGAGGGGCGCTTCCGCCACGGGGCAATGACAGCTTCGGGCTCGTACTCGTGTGTTGAGGAAAAGACGGCGATCGGCGGACAGCTCAGAGCTCATCCACTTTTGGAGCTCGTCGTCGTCATCAATTGAACTTGAGCAGATAAGTCGAGATACAGCCCCCAAAATGTGCGTGTCACAGCCACTCTCCACTCTGGACTGCGGAATAGCAAAACCCAGCCAACCAGTCGGGATGTTGCTTCGTATTGAGAGACAGGCCGCAAGACAAGTTTGGAAGTTGAGGTCAGAAAAGCCCGGGATAAACGGAGCAGCTAGGGGGGATGGGAAGAAGAAGAGAAGAGAGAAGAGAGAGAGAGAGATAGCAAGATAGGTAAGGAGAGAAAAAAAAAAGAAAACGAAACAAAAGGTGGTGGAGTTGATGGGCCGTGAAACCAAGATATGAGCTCCCCAGCGTTTCCACCTTTTCGCTTCTTGTTTCGATCTCCCCGTTTCTTTGGCGAGCTGCTCCTTTCTCGTCCTGTAAAAAAAAGAGCCAGAAAGGGACCAACGCACGGGGGTTTTTAACAAGCTGAAGCTTTTGCCTGGAGATCTGCGTTATGGACCCTGGGTTGATCGCCTGGGAACAAATCATGTCATCCAGGCGGCGCGCATCTCATACAAGTATGTGCCAACGCCAATAGCAATCCATGAAGCTCCAGATGTAAAGCTCTCGTAGGCGCTCCTGGCACTCTGATTCCAGAGCTTGTCATTACCAATTACAATGCGGGCGGCTTTTTTCCCTGGCGCTTCCTGTAACAATTGGACGGGGGTTGCGGTCAGGCACTGCCATTCGCGTCTCCTTTGGCCGCGGGACCCTTGTTCACATGTCTCAGCCCCAAGACCCCCAAGAGATTTTTTTCCCGGGCCAAGAAAAGCGCAAGCGAAGGAGGCGACTAAAACCTCAGATTGGGCCAAGCCGCAAGCTCCGTTATCTTGCGCACGCTGAGAACATACATGTAATTCTTCTTCTTCTTTCTCTATCGCTCTCCCTTGTCAAAGTTCTCTAAATGCCGATCCGCATTTTGTGTCCCAGGCAGAGACAGAAGCGCCAAAGTCTCTCTCATTTCGCAGGCTAGCCGTGGGTCAGGCGTCTATCGTTTTGTGGGCATGAGCTCGCCGTATGATCTCATCACACGGAGGTTTGAATTCACGAATTATTTCCCTTGCAGCGAGAGTTGAGCACAAAATACAACCCTTCTTTCTGGGCACGCTGCCAAAAGAGAGTTTCTGACGGCATGTCGGGTTGCATGATGCATGATGCTGGATGTATTTGATGTGGATGGACCGAATCATGAGGCGAAGCAGAGACAAGAGACTTGGCGGGGACTTTGCACCCTTCTTTCGGCACTCTCGCTCCGATCTGCCGGGTGGCGGCTGCAATACGTACGTATGTACCGGGCCTGAACAGCTGAGGTTATACTCGTATAAACACCGAGTTATGGACGAGTTCTCGTAGGTGCAACATTGGCGCCTGGTGTAAGTGAATCTCCATGTAATACAGGTAGCACCCCAACCTCCCCATCGTAGCCCCTCGTACAGATACACGTATCCTTAGAACTACTCTTTGCTTCACAACCCATCGCCAACTCATCTCATCTCCAAGACACTCCCAAGGGGCAAGCGGCCCAACAGACCCAGCGGAGCCAAGCTCGCATCGCCTCCATCCCTGTCCCTCTTCATGTCTGTCAATCTCTCGCCCAGTCGTCCGCACCGCTTCAGGGCCTCGTGGGGGCAGCTAGCCGCTAGGAACAGCGCCTCGTGGGTGGATCGGGTGAGCTGCAAGCCCCCTGTAACTTGTAAGTGCCAAGTGCCAGCGGAACCGATGCGCCAGGGGGGGAGGGTTGCACCAAACAGGTATCGTACACAGGTTGCGTCGGCCGCCCTAGTTACTGGTACCCGCAGTGCCCCTCGCATTCCGGTGTGGTCCCTGGTACTCCATACCTCTGGATCGGATGCCATGCATGACTTTTTTTGGACGGCATTGAATGTTTTGGGCGCCGTTCCCAATTCTGAGCCATCTGATCTTTTTTCTTTTTTCTCTTTTTGTCTCTCTTTCGTTTCTTTGGTTTGTCATTTTCATTTCGTTTCTTGTTTTTCCCTATTATTCATTTGTTTCTTTTGTCGTTTCTTTTTCCACTGTCTCTGTTTCTGTTTTCCGTTTTCGTCTTCTTTTCCTAAACCCTCTTCCGCCATCTCTTCCCCCCTGCCCTAGAGGCAGCCTCTCTCCATCCTCCTCATCCAATTCTCCCTTCAAAAACAATTCCGCTGTTTGGAATTCACATTTCACCTCAGAAATCATGGCCGCCGGTGTACGGACATACACAGCTATCCTTGCTGGCATCTGCTACTTCGTCACGATTCCCTTCCTCATCCTCGTCCTCATCGGTAACACCCACAAAAACGCCATCCTCGACGACATCTACTTCTTCAAGCTCGACGTCTCCCACATCATCCCGATTTCCGTCGAAAACTCAAACCTGCTCAATTCCGTGGCCCGGAGCCTCGGTCTTCATGACTTTTACCAGGTTGGCGTGTGGAGTTACTGCGAGGGCTACAACGATGAGTGAGTGCCTTCTCCAAACCTCAATTTTGATCATGATGATCGATGACGAAATCATACTGACCTTGATGGCTCTCAGAGGCGTAACTTTCTGCTCCCCGCCCAAATCCTTCTTCTGGTTCGATCCTGTCTCGGTCCTCGTTGGCGAACTCCTCGCCGGCGCCCGCATCGCCCTGCCGTCCGAAGTCACCACCATCCTCACCCTCCTCCGCATCGGATCTCAGGTCATGTACGCCTTCTTCATGTCCGGCATCGTCCTCAACTTCGTCCTTCTCCTCATCACACCATTGGTCCTCAAGTCCCGCTGGTTTAGCCTCTGCACCTCCCTCATTGGTGCCGTTGCCGGCATTGTCCTCACCGTAGCGGCCATCATAGCCACCGTCATTAGCGTGGCTGCCAAGATTGCTCTGACGGCGCAGGACCAGCTGAACATCCAGTGTGATATCGGCGGCAAGATGTTTGCCTTCATGTGGATAGCGGCGTTGCTGGCGGATTTCGCCTTCTTGTTGCATGCGGCTATGGGATGCTGCTGTGCGCCGGACAAGAAGAACAGGGGATTCAACTCAGGACCAACCTCGCCAACCGGTTCGGGCATGCAGGAAAAGAATGACGCCTCTTCACTACCCAACTTTGTCCGTCGCAGAAGTCGCATGCCATGAAGAATTAGTTCAATCCAGAAAAGGCATGTCGAGTTATGAGTTGTGTTTTTGTTTTCGTTTTGCTTTTAAACAGTCGGAATGGGATCACGGCGGGAAATGGTTAATCACTCCAGGGATTCACGGATGGTTTTGCAACGCGCAACTGGTTTTGCATTGTCAATGCACCGCGCGATACGGGCTTATAGACAAATGTTTCTTCATAAATGTACCGCGCACCACATGTTATCAATGGATATTATGCAGGAGTGGAAATCAAGGAATAGAGGTAAACGGACTTACCAGATACGGATCAATCAGAGAAGCGATCACCGGTCAGAGAAACAAGACTGGGAGAAATAATGACATATATTACCCTCCGTTCACACGTTGGTACATGTGCCATTCGTGGTGTGTCGTGATGAATGAGACCGAAGGCCTTGAAATGTTCTATTCATGCTGTAGCTTCTTGTTTCCACTATGGGTCTCTGATTTTGGTCGTCATCTCGCATCCTCCCAGAAAAAGAAAATTGCTTATGTCCATGGAAGCGCCCGTCTACTCCCTTCTCAAGTCTGTGGCGATGGCTCAAAGGCAAAATAAAGATAATCTACGCACCGCCCAACACGCCCGTCATCAGATCTTCGTCCTCTATATGGGTATCGAAGCCGACACCCGCGTCTGCAATGTCCTTATCCATTCGCTTCTGTTCGCGAACTAAGTGTCGCGCGTAGTCCTTCGTGGAGCTCAGCCGCTCGTTCGTCACTCGATACTGTTTCGTCAGTGTCTCAATGCTGGCATGACTACGGGCCACCTCTCTTGCAAAGTCTGCCTCCGTCATCAAGTCATGCTCTTCATGAAAGGTCACGTAGCTCTCGCCAGCCGTAAGCCCGACTTGTAGCTGACCCTTGAGCATGCCAGAATCGATCATATCGCTGACTAGCAGTAGAACTTGCTCGTCGTCCTTGAGAGTCTCGGCTGTCTGAGCGCTCAAAGTAGTCTGTCGGATTTGGGAAATGGAGACTTGGCGGTATATCCGGCGGAGGTTGATAACCTGCCACTTTTGATACGAGACAAGGGCCTCTTCAAGGAGGGTCAGGTTTGAATCCTCCTCCCAAGTTGGTCGCCCCTTCTCGAATTCTTCCTTGAGAGCTGACGCGCCATCCGTCGTGAATAACGTTGCGATATTGTTATAGGCCTCGCTTAGCCCGTTGTATGTCGACTTTGTTGCGTTGGTGATGTAGGATGGGAAACTGGGAGGCCTTCCCTCTCTCAACAGCCCGACCAGTAGCCACTTCTTGTACCCGTCTACCATGATTTTGCTCACTCCCTTGTCCTTGATCGGATGCCCAATCACTCGCTCTAATGCTATCTGTGCTTTGGGCCAGTCCTTTCTCGATATGTACGCCATGGCTTGGAGGAGGTGATATTCGAGGATGGAAGTGCTCTTGATGGCATCCGTAAGACTAGCTGAGGCTATGTATACATACGGCTCGACTTCGGTATCGTACAAGTTCTTCGCATTCTCAGGGCGCGCAGGATGTGTATTCCGCGGGTAGAAGAGGATGTCCGCATCAAGAACCTTGAGAGCGGGCTCAATGCAGTTGGTGTCGTAGGCTAGCTTCGCCATGATCAAGTGCGTTGATGTAAATACGGATCCGCTCGGGTCGATTCGAAGAATGGCATTTGCAAGGAGCTCCACGGCAACTAGTGGCTGTTTCTGTTAGCAACTGCTGGTTGGGGAGAGAGCTGGATGTTCCAGCGCTGGAGGTGCACTCTTACTGAAAAGAAGCTGCCGAGATCTTCCAGCAATGAACGAAACAGTGATCCAACATATCGTATCTGTATCGGATCAAACTTTAATAAGAATCGGACAGCCTCATCTAGTAGCAGCGAGCGAGGAGTCGACTCTGGAACGGAGCCGCGGAGGAGGGTATCGATTATCGAGAGGTATCCGATAGAATTGGTAGAGGGATCGACCAGCTGGGTGGCGTATTAGCATCATAGGCGATGATAAGTGCGTCAAGAGTGCTGCCTACCTGGAGAGCCTCGATCGGATTGCGTTGGATCGCAGTCTGTACGTCGCTGGAGAGTTTTGTTACGGATGCCGCATAGCTCTTGGCGGCGGCATCGTAAGACTTGGTTGACGGGTATGACGCAGGAGATGGAGAAAAGTCTAGAAAGAGTCGCTTGACTTCGTCCATGGTTGATGAGCTTCACGGCTCGGTGAAGCCGAATCGAGGTAGAGGGAGCTGGGAGGAATAGCAGATCTGGGCTGCCGTGAACTTGGGGTCCTAGATTCTGATTGTCGCTCGTTTGGTGCTCGTCATGCTCGGAGGAAGCCCGGGGATTAAACAGACAGGACGTCGAACTCTCACGTGTCTGGGACAGATATGCAATGAAAAGAGTTTGGGGATTAAAATGTTGGATGCAGCTCGGGAGAAGGTGGGCAAACGAGGTCGCTGTATGTCACGAAGCTGCGGCGCGATAGTGGGGGAGGGATTCAAGGTGGCAGCGGGCAGATAACGTCAAGTCCGGGATTTAGCCGGGATGTATGTATGTACATACATAACATACCTACATGTATGGATGCAGCTGTCCAGCACCCAAACTTTGACTATTAGATCTATCAGATGATGAGCACATGATGTGAGCAGATCTCGAAGAACCAAATGTACCAAAAGTGAAGGTGTTTGATTCATGTCGCTACCTATATCCATATGTCCTCCATTAATGACTTAGTAGCAGCTCCAAGTACGGGCTGTTTAGAGTGAAGCAATACCCATAGCTTGATCTAGATCGATTATCAGAAAAAGACCATCACCGGTGAAAGCATCGTTGAAAATTCGGTGACGTTGAAAGCGTCGGCTCATTTGACTGCGATATTGTGATATGGACTTGGGACCTGACAAATCTCTCAAGACTCATTTACATCGAAATAAATTAGAATGACCTCTCGCTGGGACGAAGACCTCGAGGTGAACATATGTTGTCAGGAATATACCTGTTCATCGTCTTCAACTCTTCCAGCAATTCGGAACAGAAAACGCCTATATTCGGCTGCAGCGTCCGCAAAGGCATTGCCAAAGCCATTACGGAAGTATTGCCAGCGTTCTCCATTCGGGCGTCGCAAAGCCATCACCACAAGGTAGACAAAGGGTTCGACGCAAATTCCGAGGATATAAAACATGAAGGCAACGAGAAGTGTATATAAGAATCCTTCTAGTCCATCCACAATAACGTGTCTGAGAATTTTGGCGAGAATCAGTATATATATGACGCCGAATCAGAAGAAAGAGATGCACACTTACAACAGATCCAAATCCATTGTTATTGAGCTCTCTGGAAGTGGGATATAGTATTTTCGGGTTCGAGAAGAAAATTGGCGATAACAGCACGTAGATGATTGTAGAGATATAAGAGAGTAGAGAGAGTAGCGATACCGGCAAGAGGAAGTATAAAAGCCACCCTGGACGCTGGATAATGGCACACACTATCTCCCACTGGTAATCATCCGTTATCGCGTATAAGCTTCCGATCCAAAGTATATCGATGATGAGACCAGTCACACACCAAATTAAAACAGAGTAGCCGCTATTTCAAGATATGATCAATTATAGGAAAGAGAGTATTGGTGGCAATAAGTGATTGCTTTGGAAACCTGCATCTGGTGGCTTTATAAGGCGAATGACCTGAAAAAGACATGCTCCAGGAAGGCATTGAAGATGGAACCCAACCGTGAATGAGAAGGGGTGTCCCCGGTGAAAGAATTCAAGATGGAACCCAACCGTGAATGAGAAGGGGTGTCCCCGGTGAAAGCATTCAAGATGGAACCCAACCGTGAATGAGAAGGGGTGTCCCCGGTGAAAGAATTCAAGATGGAACCCAACCGTGAATGAGAAGGGGTGTCCCCAGTTAGAGTTTCGAGATAACATCAAAGATAGGACCCAACCAGGAATTAGGTGGGCTAGAAAGAGTCTTCCGTTTGAACCCTGAGCCAAATCCGCCGTGAATCGCCATGTAAGAGGACAACACCGTCGAACAATTTGTATGTAGCTGTAACGGGGGCTTAGGCTTTGCCCATTGGCTTGCTGAAAACGAAGATATATGGAGGCTGTAGGCAGCTGAATCCGACCTTCTTGGGGTTGTCAATCAATTGACAAGGGTGAGGCTGCTTTCAAGAATCTGTCAAAAACTGTCAGAGGATGATTTGAGAGTGTCGACAGGATATTGACTCACCTATCTGTGCTGTCCTCAACTTCGAAAGGGCGATACCATGGCGTATAGTGGAATCCGAAGTTACTGCTTCGACCCCAGAGAGCCGAAATGAATGAGAAGGGGTGTCCCCGCTGGAGCCCGAGCCCAGGGCGTCGGGGGCTGAAGGAAGTTGGCGTCGCGCTTAGACGTCCACGTCCGCGTTGGCAACTTGGCTCGCATCACCACCTAAACGGGTGATGATACTTTGCCATAGCTTGCCGAAAACCCAAACCACCTCGAGAAGCCCATCGACGAGACGCACTATGGTCGAGCAGATGGTCGAGAGGGTCATGGAGAACCCATCTCGGAAATATTGCCATCGCTCTCCACTAGGGCGGCCAAAGGCACCTCCCGAGAGGTCGAGGAATTCACGGAGCGTGACGAGCACGACCACCAACAGGAGTAAGAATGAAAAGGGGATAAAATAATCCCAGGGTATGTTTTCGCTGATTTTACTAATGAAGATTGCGAGTAAAATTCGACGATGTCCATGCGTCCATGAAACAACTTACTCCATATAGGGCGCTATAACGCTGTTTCGGATAGAGAAGAAGAGAAGAAGTAAAAGAATCATCGTGACATTGCGCGTATATAAGGCTGCCATACTCGCAGCTAGCCGAGTATGATGTAAATAGAAGGTAGGAAGGGAGTGAATAAGAAGGAAGCCGTTACGCTTCTTGCCATGATACAACCACCAATTATTTTTTGGTTGGGAAACCAGACTTTCCATTCGGATTGAAGTAGGTCTATGTGATTTCACACTTCCCATATGTGCAGTGGCGGCAATAATATACAGGTTGTAAAGCGTGTTGTACCTACGTCTAATTTGAAGACACTACTAGGTAGGTACCGAGTCGCACCGGTGGAATGAAGAATACTAGGTAGTGACGAGCTTCTTTCTCTAGCTGCTTCATCATTTAGTTAGAATGTGTCTGCCAGCTTGATGAAGCACTGTCCTGACCAATGGCACTTTCCTCTTTTTCCGAGGCGGCCATCGTGTACAAAGTTCAAATCCAAGGAATATCTACCAGGAGACTCGTTGTACACCAAAGTATAATCTAGTCTTGAGTACTACTAAGGTATCCGATAGTTTAGGGAATCATCAATTAGAGGATAGGGAGTACTTGGAGTGATAAATGATTGCCACGGAAACTTATATCTGGTGGCTTCATAAGACAAATGCACTTTGGCTCAGGAGAGTTTTAGGGAGGGCCAAGTACTTTAGTATCTACTACTACCTGGAAACCCAAGAAAAGATCTAAGTATGGCCAATACTTCACCACAAAGGATGGCCTCTCTCGTGCGTTTGTCAAGGCATGCGCCGCTGGCCTTGAGGATTCTGATAAAGGCCCAGCCGCCCCCCAATTCATTGGCGTATTACTCAGAATGAAAGACTCGACGAACAGTACTTACCTACCTACTGAATGGAAGCAATTTGCTGAAAAAAACAAGGCTGTGGCGCTTTAGGTAGATATTGTATACACCTTACGGTAGTACCGGAGGTTAAAAGAGCTGGTGGAATACATGCCTTACAGCTAAAATGTCTAGTCCCCTCCCTATTTGACTTTATATAAAGAGAGAGTGTCTATAAATATAATTCAAGAGATGCAATACTCACTTTGAACTTTACTCAGATATCTCCAGACTATGGCTTTTTGTGGTAAACTATAAGGTAAATCGAAGTATTGTAGTGGTAACGCCATCTGCTTGTTTACTGGAGTTAATTACGCCTTAAAAAAGACCTATATATTGTGCCTTTCTCGCACTCCCCTTCTCCCAACTTCATCTTTGTTACATCTCATCTCCATCATCGAATCATTCAAACCGTTACGATATTACCTACTTCTTATTATACCTACTCAATAGGACCTATTGACTTATACACACTGTATACAGAATATTGCTTATTCCAGAGGCAGTCAACATGTCTCTCAACATTTCCTCCTTCAACAATGCTAGTACCACGAGCATCTGGTCGGCAATGGAGCACTTAAACTACAATGACAATGAATTCTTTGAGCAGGGTGTCGCGGCCTTGACGACAGCCTTGCAATCCCGTTTGAGCAGCCTTTTATTCCTCATCGTGAGCCTGATATGGACTCAAATCCAGCACAAGATTATTTTAGTTCTGACAGAATTAAAGGAGCAAATCATATACCTTTGGACCCAGAGAAATCGTAGCCGAGGCGCTCAATCTAAGAGCCGAGATGGAGATACGGCCCAGTACGAAATTAAAACTTGGAGGGATATACCTTTCCTCGCAGTCTTGTTTGTTTGGCTCATGCATATGGCCATGTATCCTGTCTATGCCGAGTCCGATCAAACTCAATCATCTAGATTGAGGGATGCTGGGGAACTACTCATCAGTTCGATTCCGCTTCTTCTGCCCCGTTCGTTCTACTCAGGCTGGCCTATTCTATCCAAGTTCTTCATCATGCTCTGGGGCAAGCTCTGGGTTTCAGATGTCAACATGGCCATCGTGTTCATAGGTATGTATTCCATACTCTCCATCTCCCCGTGATGAAGATTCGCTGCAGTTTGGGTACACGCTAACCTCTACATTCCCTCTAGATATTTTTTACGCCTTTTTGTATTTGTTTATCTTGACACCGTTTTGGAGTCTTATTAAGTGCGTCATGAAACTTGAAGAAGCCAAAGAAAAGCTTCCAATGGCCCAAAGAGACCAATATATTCGAGACAACTTCTGTTCGCATGTCAAATCGGAATATCTACCGACGCTGAAAGATGTTGTATGCTCCCTTTGTAGTTGGGCGCTCGGAATTCTTCAAAATCTTTTGACACTTTGAGCGCATATATACACGGCATATGTTTACAGGATAAAGGAACATCATGTGCAATCGGGGCGAATGGAGATGTATTTTGGCGGCATAGGTAGAAGGATAGGGTTACCTAGCGAGGATAAAATGTAGCAACAGTTCTAAGAGACGAATATACACACATGTAGATAAAGGATCTTCTGCTATAATACCTGAATTGAAGTCACTAAGGTGCTGGCTAATCGCCCCTTTACAGCACCACTAAATCTATCGATCTGCTCTCGGCTCATCTTCCTCATCGCCCTCAAGCCAAATTTCATGGCCATCGCCTTCTTTCACAAACAAGCTCGTTAAGCACGCACAGATGGCAATACTGCTAAGCGCCCACCAGACAAGGCCAATAATGCCCTTATTCAAACCAAAACCGTACACCACACCTCCCACCATGGGCCCTATGGTGCGGGCAGCACTACTAACGCTCTGACCTAGCCCGTGGACTGTTCCCAGTACGCTAGGGTGAGGCGAACAGTTGTTGACGAGAATCACTTGACTGGGAAGCGCAAACGTCCGCCCAGTTACCTGGAAGAACAGGACTCCGCAGATCGCAAGCCAAATCAGAATGCCAGTCTTTGCTTCAGGAGGCGGCGTGGTGCTAGGCACAGCAGAGAGGTACGGCACGAGGAAGTAGGCCACTGGGAAGAAGAGCAAGAAGAGTCGCCATGATCTGATGGTGCCAAGACGCGCGGATATGTTCGGATAGAGAAATAGCTGCATGCTGATGCCGATAAACCCCAAAATGGCCATGGCCATACCGACGGAGCGAGGCTGCAGGCCGAGGCCACCGGTAAACCAAAAGGGTAGTCGAATCTCCCGTTCGGAGGTTGGCGTTGAGAGAAAGACAAACCAGAGCGAGTTGAACGTCCCGACATGGAATGTGAGGAAGAATTGCGCAACCAACGTGACGAGTACGTTCCGTGTGAAGATGCGACGGAAAGGCAGTCGCTGGGTATACCTTTTCGTCGACTTCCTTGTGGAGGGTGCTTCCTCTCCAATCAGCTCGACATCAGATGTCGGCACTGATGAGTATCCCTCAGCCTCAGGCGTTGTCCCGAACCTCTTTCGATATTTCACCATCAGTCTCTTTCCCAGCCTAGTACCCAAATCCGGAGGCCCATCTCTTAGAACGTCGTGTGTTTCCTCAAGACCTAGCCACACAGCAATAGCGGCAAGCAGCAGGAAGAGGAAGCTGACAATGTTGGGGGCCGCGTAAGGGAACTTGACGAAGAAACTGATGTTGCCAAAGAGGCTAGGATAACTGCCGGCCGGATCGGAGAGGATACCGCCGAGAATGGGGCCAATAATGACGCCGATGTTGAAGGTCATTGGCAGTAATAGGAAGGCTCGAGGTTGATATTTCTTTTCGCGAATAATTTCGCTGATCCTGCATCGAAACCATTTAGTATAAACTCACTCACATATGATGTAGCGTAATCCATAGCAAGTCGCGCAGAGGTTGAGACGAAAGCAGAAAGGTGAAGCCCTTACATTGTCCTCATAACACCGATGTTGCCATTCGTCGCACCGCCGATTGTCCGAAACAGCAGCGCCTGCCAAAATGTAGTTGAGAATCCGAATCCCAAACAAGACACACTCGTTCCCAATAAACCGATGAGCAAAACTGTTTTTCGTCCCACGCGTTTCGAGTCGGCAATGCGACCCCACATCATGGCCGTGAGAAACTGAGCTGCTGTGAAACTGGCATGCAGAACGCCGGCCTGGCTGGAGATTGTTGAATCGGGGAGCGATGGGTTAAACCATTTAAGCTGGTAAAACATGTAGGCCTTTTATGAAAATAGACACACAGTGTCTTAGTGTGAGTTTGTGAATTCTTCAAATCATGTCTCCATGAGGGGGGATTTCATTCATGGCCCCGTCAGGCAAGCGCTTGATGTCGCGCCACCACCGAGCCTGTGTAAGTCTCACCTGTAATGATGTCTGAACAAGCGGTTCGCTCATCCGCGCCATTGTTATGATAAAAAGCTGGTCTTTCCTGGGAAGCTCGCTCCAGGCAACCGGTCTCCTGCTATCACTCTGGGCTTCAGAGGAAGCAATAGGTGATGGGAGTGCGTCATCCTCCTCATGGCTGCTCACAGAATCACGGTCTATAGAGCTCCGAAGTTGAGTGTTGACGGTGATCTCGTCGCCAGGCTCATCTTCGTCGCTATCAGATTTGCCGTGCCTCATCTATCGCAATTTTTCTGAGGTCACGCGGCCTCGACAGGATGAGAGAAAAAAAAGTGGGCGGTAAAATCGTGCTTGTAAATGCGACTTCCGGTGTTGATCAATCGTCGTGTTGTAAATGAGGCAATATGACGAGATTTTCAGGTCAGATAACCTCAAAAGGACCAAATCTTAATCCAGGAACACAGAGAAAGAGAATAAGACGGTGGAAAAATAAAAGAAGAGAAACAAATTCTGCGAGATCCTAGTCGATGATGCTACCCAAATCATCTTTTTCGCCATCCTCGTCGCTCGGCACGGGCGAGCCGTCACTCCCGCCAAAGCAGCGCTCGCAACCACCCTCCACCAACCATCATGCGCTGCAGGTACTTTTTAGGAGCATAACCTGGGCACATTGAGCCAATCTCTGCTCTTCTCACGCACAAGGGCTAGCGACAAGAGGGTTGGGTCGTGGGGCCGCGGGGTTAGAATGGGAACAGCGAGCGGATGGCCGCGATAACGGAGTTGGACGATTTAGCCATGCCGATCGTTGGCTGGATTTTGCAGAGATAAGAATCGGAGCATCTCAGGCAAGTTGTTGTTGGGGGTTTGAGTGTTGGATGACATGATGAAAGAGGACGAAGAAGATGAACAATGAGAAAATGTGCTTCATATGTCAAGCTATGAAAAATAATAGCTCGACAGCGAGGTTGGGCATGTGCAAACTTGAAATCAAATCCTCCTCTCCTTCCCAAGGAAAAGGCGCCGCCACCCGCTCAGCCGCTGAGTTTCTCCGGGCGGGTCCGGCACCGGAGCTCACCGCCCGGCCTCCGTGATGGCTTCACACTCCATAAGTTCATCCTCGTTGATGAAGCTTCGTCTTTGATATATAGTCATCTCTAACAAGCACTCGCTCCATTTTCCAATGAACTGTTTAAGGTGACACTTACTATATCTACCCATACAGTTTACCTGAACAGCCTCTTCTATATTGATCGCAGCCCAATCTTCATACCAAGCCCTGTGATCCATCTTCATCTCATCTCAACGCCATGGCGATCCAAGTCCCTATCGGCGACCTCGATATACAAATCAATGCCGAGCGTCTAACTCAAGAAGCATTCTCACCCTTCGGAGACGTCATCTCCAATCCACGACCCGACGTCCACCCCTCGTCATTCGACGCTCACGCCTCATCATTGCCACCCAACGCCTTTTCCGCCAACCAAGGCTCTGCAATCCAGTATCGAAATGTCAGCCGCCTTAAGAATCTCTACGACCAAGCCCCCAGCGGCAAGGGAGAACCAATTATGAGCATCTTCGTCTGTGCTGCAAGAGGTGGCGCTGAAACCAATGGAGAAAACACATTTACCGTGCGACATCTCGAACGACACCCATTCACCGCGCAAACATTCACACCTATCAAATCTACTACATCAACATATCTAGTCATTATCGCTCCGAGTCTCCCTCCCGGTCCTCAAGATCAAGATTTACCTGTGCCGGCTGGCGATGGGCTACCCGGGAGGGGATTTCCGGATCTCGGGCGTCTCCGTGCTTTCATCGCTATGGAGAGCCAGGCTGTCACTTATGGTCCAGGGACTTGGCATTCTCCTATGGTAGTATTAGGGCAGACAGGAACCCAGATGGATTTTGTGGTGTCGCAATTTGCCAGTGGTGTTGCTGTCGAAGATTGCCAACTCTTGGAATTTGTTTCAGGTAGCAGGGCTGAGCCGTTGATCCGGGTTAAGATACCCCATAGAGATTGGTCGATCAAACTATGAATCCTTAATATTAACTCTCCACGAAAAATACTGAATTCTCTACCTCTCTCCGCGACCGGAGATTTAATTAACATCCGCCCGTCTCGTATTCTTCATTTCGCAACCCTAGACTAATACCACATATTTATGAAATCTGTTCGTCGTGACACCTCATTGGCCGCTTAGTCATCTCACTTACGCTTCACACAGAGGCTGAGGCGGGGAGATAATGTCGCTTTCGAGAGTCCAAGGGCGCGGCACAACTAGATAAAAAGGCCTATGCCGTGATATGCTGAATTCTGAGAGAACATATTATATAGAAGAGCAAACGGTTCCAGTCCTACTATCGAATTACCATGGGGAGCGCAATGTATTCTACCGACGCCAAAAACAAGCTCGAGGACTTATCGGGCATCGTCTTGAAGCCGGGGGAAAATCCCTACGAGGCCTTCATCCAAGCTTGCAATAACAAGCCTGTGAGTTGACATTTTCAAAATTTCTACAAACCTCCATTATCCAATATGCGGCGGGCCAAGAATGAAAATTAACAGTTCTTTCATGTAGGAAGAAATCCAAGCCCTATATCACGCTCACCGCACCAAACGCAATGGTCTACAGAAGGAAAAGTTCCTTGCCCCGGATTACAAGGAGCTCGTGATTGACCAGTGCCTTCTTCGCCTTGAGAATCCCGAAATCGAGCCCGGTTTCCGCGATGAGCGAAACTGCCTCGTGATTTGGGCACGCCCTCCAGTTCACATTGTTGAGCTGGCTGCAAAGATCCAAGCACGCCTTCAAAAAGTCTCGCCGAGTGCGTATTCAATTATATTTACCCCATGATATTTCAAGCATCTTAACTAACAGCATCTCTCAGAAATCTGGCTCATGCCCACCTACAGGATGCATATGACGACCCTTGAAATCACCTTCTCCAAGACTCCCCAGGAGATTGACTCTCTTGTATCCATCATACGCCCTGCTGCGCCCTCCATCGCTTCATACACCCACACTCACCGCTCTCGTCTCGTGAAGCCCATGATCTCATATGATCTCTCCGCTTTTGCCCTTTCTTTTCTTCCTGCTTCTGGCGAAGTTCCTCTCTCCCCTGCCCCAGTTGCTCCTGACACTCCCGCCAATGGACCCGTCACTCAGGGAGATGATTATACATACCATCACCTCCGACGAGACATATTTGATAAGGTCAAGGAGGCGGGAGTTGAAATTGGCTCGCGATATCAGGTCCCCAGTGCTCACATCACACTGGGACGGTATTTGACAGATGACGAGCATGACACTCTTGAAAAGAGAGAGAAGTGGGTCAAAGCCATTGATGACATCAATGCTTGGCTGGAGAAGGAGGTGTGGGATCAACAGGATGCTCAGTTCATTGGTGAATGGGTTGTTGGGCAGGAGAGAGGATTGGATGTTCGAAATGGCGCTCTGTGGTATGGTGGTGGCCGAACCATTGTGCTCGGCGAGGGTTTTTAGATAGAAGTCGGGACAGAATCCAGCATCTAGAACAAGAACAAGACATAGAGGACAATAGAGACACGGTAACAATTCGCGGAAACCATAACCTCTCTGAAAAGGTTGAAATTCGGCTTCTTTTCATGTTAGCTAGTCTGAGCCTCCTCCATGAACTAAAAGTTGCCTAGCACAGAGACACCAGGCCATCGTGAATAGGAATATTGTGCCAGGTTGGCTTTTCCACCATAACACTGTAAAGCATATCCCAGTAAAAAAACGCGTGAATGCGGGCCATGAAGAAATCTTTTTATTCGTTTCCTATGAGCCGCTGTCCTCTAAACAAGGACCAGTACCCCCTTCGCCAAGTTCCATGATGCCCGTATGCCGCCAGGAGAAGCATAAGAATTGATAATACCGGAGAACAACGCATTTAGAACACCAGAGCAGCACCCTTCGTCTTCTTGTCACCACTGTAGTCATTGTCAGTACTGTCTCACGCGAGAACCCGCCAGTCCCTCGGATCACATACCCCAGCTCGAAGTGCTTGCATCGCTTCAGGGCCAGCTGCAACTTGGTCTTGCACTTGACGCACTCCAACCGCAGGACGACCTTCTTGGTGGTCTTGGCCTTCTTGTGGAAGACGGGCTTGGTCTGACCACCATAACCGCTCTGCTTCCGGTCATAACGTCTCTTACCCTGGGCGAACAGGGAGGCCTTGCCGGCCTTGTACTGGGTGACCTTGTGCTGGGTGTGCTTGCGGCACTCCTTGCCCTTGCAGTAGGTGTTACGGGTCTTGGGAATGTTGACCTAATCCGAAGAAGAGAAAATGTCAGCCATCTGATGGTCGCGCGGGTTGTTTGAGGTTGACGGGCGCGAGTCGAAGCGATCGTTTGTCCGGCACAAGGCAGTCTTTGTCGAATAGTCAATTTCCCAGTCCCAAGCAGTTAAAGCATTTCCCGCTTTCGCGATGGCATGATTGATGTTTCGGAATTTTTGATGTGGCGACAGCGCCATCCTCTTCAGCCTTATTTTCCCCTCCACCGAGACTCAATGCAAAAAGAAATTGTCGTTTTCAATCGCGAAGACTGCCATCGTGCGGACGAAACATTCGAAGGATCGCTTTTTGTAAATCGGGTATGGAAGGGTTTGACTGAGGATCAGTGGTAGCAGCAGCCCATTAACGTACCATTTTGACGACGGTGTGCGGTGTCGTTACTTGAGTGTTTGGTGATGCAAAGTTCCGAAAGTAAAGCGAAATTTGGGAGAGTTTGGTGATTTCTCGCTTTGTGGGCGATAGGGTCAACGCTATTCCTGATTGGGGCTACGATAGCCAATGTGGCTTGCCTAGGTGAGTCAGGCTTTCTGCCTCGTTTATTGGGCCGAAAGAAATCTCACCAGCCACCTAGTCTGAAAGTGTGGCTGGTGCCGTCCCTTGTCAGGGGACCCCACCACGATTGGAGCGATTGAGCTGGAAGGCCAGTTATTGCTACTGGTAGGCTGGTGATGCTATTCTCTCTCTGGAGTACAAGCCAGCAAGACGCAACATCGCCAAAATGGATCCCTACTCTGCAGAGGGCGAATTGATTAACATCCACACCCACTTCTACCAGTCACAGTACCAGGAGGTCATCGACTTCGACACATCATCCTTCTCGCCCGAGAACGCCCTGCCCGCGCGAGTGCTGCAGCTCCGAGCCCGTCTCGCCCTTGGCCAAGCCGAAGATGTCCTTGCAGATGTTCAGGGCGAGGCCGTTCCCGATCTAGAGGCCGTCGGTGCGCTCGCCGAGTACAATCTTGGAAAGACCGATTCAGCGCTGAAGACAATTGAGAAGCTGGCCGCATCTGCAGCTGACAATGTCACTGTCCAGATTATTGGCGGCACGGTCCTCCAGGCAGCTGGAAAGTCCGAGGAGGCGCTTGCGCTGCTGTCCCAGCACCAGGGAAGCTGTAAGATCTGTTTACATATCGCCGTATCGATCATGAAGCTGACAACTTCCAATAGTGGACGCTGTCGCCTTAATAGTCCAGATCCACCTGCAACAGAACCGAACCGATCTCGCTTTGAAAGAGGTTACTGCTGCGCGAAGATGGGCGCAAGACAGCCTTTTGGTGAACCTGGCTGAGGCATGGGTTGGAGCTCGAGTGGTAAGAGAGATTACCGGCTGTCACGAGGGATACATGCTAAGTCTGTGATAGGGCGGCGAGAAGTACCAGCAGGCGTTCTATGTCTACGAAGAGCTCGCTCAGGGATCCTCAACTTTCTCAGTACAGAGCCTTATCGCACAGGCAGTTTGCGAAATACACCTTGGTCGACTCGAGGAGGCCCAGTCTGCCCTGGAGCAGGCTATACAAAAAGACCCGACAAACGCAGATGGAATTGCCAACCATGTGGTCCTGAACTCTATTTCAGGAAACAACACCGAAGAACTCCTTGAGTATGTGCTTCCATCTGTTGCTCTAGGATTCGCAGCTAACAACATTTAGATCACTAAAGAAGGCGAGCCCCAATCACCAGCTTCTGCTGGATCTGGAAGAGAAGAGCAGTCTGTTTGACAAGGCTGCGGAGAAGTATAGTGCGAAGGCCTAAATTATAGACGATTCAATACCAATTTATGCAGCGAAATGTTAATTAGAATGGGCAATATGGTAAACTATTAGTAGTAATATAGCGAACTTGAAGCTCAGAAGCTCTCAATCTCCGCAGTCCCACTGCTTCACGGTGCTAGTTTAGTTGTAGCCTCTACCCTGTATATCGACTCGAAAACTCAGTAAGAATCAGCATCCAATGTCAAAGGGATCAATGCACGAAGTGCTCTTTGTTTTAAAGATAGATTTTATCCTTATTCAAGTTCCGATGTATGCCAAATACATCAGAGGACCGAAGAGGCACCTATCCGCAATCCTAACCTCATTATCCAACTACTCCTCCAATTCTTCATCCGAAATGTAGAGCTGCACTCGAACATTTGCCTAAAATGACAGCACCTCTTCAGGATCTCGATGGAAAAGATGTTCCTCTGAATCATAACCATCTTTCTTCGCAGAGTTTGGCTGTATATTGTCCATCAGCGCCGAGTCCCCCTCATAGCTTGGTTTCAAATACTCAGATAGCTGTTGATCCGAAGCTGAACACATGCCGTAGGCGGAACTAGAGTCGTGGAATTGCTGCTGTAGACTAACCTCAGTGGATGCAGTTTCAATTGGCGCATCATCTTGTCCATGGCCATCCAAGCATCTCCCCAACGGCACCTCGGTATAGTATTTTTTGTACTTAAGCAATGTCAAGGAATACTCCTCTACATCTGAAGCTCCAGGTATTGTATGTCGACTCAACAGCGATGAATTCGAGCCCGCTGACGAGATTGTGCCGACAGAGTGCACGGATTTGATGTCATCTCCAGAATGCTTCGATGCATCGGAGTTGGCTGATGCTGATTCGAGCCAAGCTACGATCGACTTGACGGAGCGGCCGTCGTTCTTTGACTTGCCAGAGCTGCTTGGGAGATGGGTGGGTGAGATCCGTTGACCGATGTTGGATGAGAAGCTGCTGGATAGGCCCTTCAATTCCCTTTTCCGATTTATTATGCTTTCGTCGGTGTGATGAGATCTTTGATCGCCGTCGAAGTCGTCGGCCGCCATGTCGCACCTTGTGTACTCGAAATAGGCGTACTCGAGATAGAGATTGGCGATGAGTAAATTGATGGGGAGAAATGGGTTGAATTGCGCATCACACGGCAAAGTTGAGAACACACACATTCACTGCAGTACATGCCGAGAAATGCTTACGATTCTGTGTCAGGTGAAGTAAAAGTGAAATAAAAGTGAAGCAAAAGTGAAGCAAAAGTGAAGCAAAAGTGAAGCAAAAGTGAAGCAAAAGTGAGCAAGCAGGCAAACTGGCGTTTGTCCACATTCTGAATTCTATTTCTTGTTCATACCACGTAAAACGCCATAAATCCTGCGTAAACCGGACCAAAAACAATCCCGTTTCTCTGCTATACGTGCAGGAATGCCGCCATATCCCCATCTATCGAAACGGCTTTGTACTCCCTTTTTCATCGCCAGAAGCGCGCATCCCTTGCGCAGCCGCGATGATAATAATCATCAGGCGAGAGCCACGCAGTTCGTCGCCCTTGTCCAATTGCAAATTATTTGTTTCCTGCTTCTTCCTTTATGCTCCAAAATCCAATGACATATTTTTTCTTCCTTATTTATTTCTTCTTGGGGCCCAAGCGAGGAGCACCAATGTTGGCGCCCCTCAGCTTGACGTTGAGCACCCGCTCCATCTTGGAGAGAATGGTCTGGTCGGGTGTAGCAGTACCACGCTCGTAAGAGGCGACAGTTGCGGCTGTCTCTCCGATCTGCTTGCCCAGAGCAGCCTGGGTCATGGTAGGCTCGAACTTTTGTCGGCCCTGCTCAATGGCCTTTCCGACTTCCTTTCCGACAGTCTTGGGCTTGATGATGTCGTCGGAGCGGTCGACCTTGGTGAGACGCTGACCCTCAGTACCGCTGGCCTAAAAGAATTCGCTGTTAGTTTTCCATTCATTGATAGTTAATATCAGGCTTTGATGGTGTTTGACATACCGTGTTGGCACCGGCGTACTTCTTCTCCGTGCTAATGGCAGCACCAGATCTCTGGGCAGCGTTCAGCGCACTCTTTCCTCGGATGACGGTTTCGCGATCCGAAGCACCGGGACCGCGAACGCGGCTTCCAATCTTGGTGGCAGAATCCCAGTCCTGGTTAGACATGATGTATGTGATGTGGCAAAGCGGTCAAAAGGGTTATGATGCTCGAGATTGTCGCGTGGGAATGAGTTGAAGCGTTTTTTGTAGCGTCGAGCGCTGAAGGATTCGATTTTAAAGGGGAGTAGAATGGAGAGAAAAGTTTGAAAGATGGAAATTGGTGTTGTGCAGCTGCTGGCTACTAGATACTAATATATCCTTTGCTCAAAGGGTGTGAATAGGTAAGAATTGGACAAAAGCTGACAATCTGACTCAATCGGCAAGCCAGATTTAGTGCACGGCGCTTCCGTGGGGCGCTGCATCGCCGCCCTTGCCATGGAATGTGCTAGAGTTCCCCAGCTTAGATAAGGCAATTGATTGGCTCAGCGAGTCTGGATGACGGCATGCCGCACTATCTCCGCCGTTCGGATGACTAAGAACCGCCCTTCGTCTTTTACAGGCAAGCGGAGGTCAGAAAAAGCGAGACTGCGAGATGAATAAGTGCATATATTCAGTAATATAAACACCTAACTAACTCGTAGAATGCCTATTCAGCCAGCGCTCGAACTTTATTAGATACATATAGTAGCAGATATTAAAAATATATAAATATAATAGCAGTTACTAAAGAAATATAGATGTAATAACAGTTATTAGAAAAATATAGATATAGTAGCAGTTACTAGAGAAATATAGATAATAGCAGATACTTTAAGAATAGGTGTATAATTTAACGTGTAGATGCTCGTAATCTTCTCAGTCCCGGCTTTTCTGTCCTCCGCTTGACAGGCAACTTTAGTACAGGTAAGGCACTGAGGTACCGATAGAAGGAACCTGTGACACTGAGGAGATGAAGCACCTTGATGGTCAATCAATTGCCTGGGTTTTGAGGGGAATTTCTGTCGTGGTCTGGAGCAAATCTCTCGGGTCTCTGTAGCTTATTTTCCCCTTTTCTTTTCTTTTACTGTGCAACATGATGTGAGCTTGTGCGACCACACTCGTTTCTGTCTCACCGCAGCATTCATACTGCGTGTAACCTTCGAGTATCATGGACGGACTGTCCGATGACTCGCCATTCATTTCTGTGATATTCGTCGCAGACTGGATCGACAGGGGCGGTTTCTGGCTGCTTGTGCTACCCTTTGCCCTCTTTTGGTACCATGTGACACACCGTCGATCCGATCTTGTCATCATCGTGATATGTCTTGCTTGGAATCTGCGCTGCTCAATCATTCCTCTCTGCTATGAGCTGGCACGTTCTAGGCTGGCTCTTGGCAGCGTGGCATTGACTGCGACTGTCTCAATTGGCCTTCAGCTCTTTGGCTATATCTGGAAATGGAGGCATATTGACGAGCCTCAGAGCGGTACCCCCTCCGCGTATTTGATACCATGTCGCGTAACGCACAGTCGAGAGCACCCCAAGAAGCATGCCTTTTCTTATTCATATCTGACTGTGGGGATATCTGTGGGCTACAGAGGAAATGTGAATGGAATGATATCTGTGGATGACCCGGATGTCTCTACATCCTGGCTATCTAAGATTTGGCGGGCGAGAAGCTGGTTTCGCGTTGATGCAGCTGATTATCTAGAAAGAGGTAACAACAAGCTCGGACTTCGTGCCAAACTTGATAAGTATCTCATATCTCAGGTCTGACAGCGACATGAAATCTCATGAGTGAACATATGCTGATTGCTACAGGATGCGAATCCAGCGGACTATCCCCACGCTTTCCTTGTTACCGTACCAAAGTTTCTCGGATATCAATTCAGCCCAGTCTCATTTTGGTACCTGTACTCTTCTGACAGGACCCTCTCGGCTGTTGTTGTAGAGATGAATAACACCTTTGGCGAGAGGCGGCCGTACCTGGTGTTGCGTGACACCACAGACGATGCCACGCGGATTACTTCAAATGAGGTTTCTCAGCTGACACCTGTCTGGCTAAATGGTACGTGGAAAAAGGATTTCCACATGTCTCCCTTCAATTCTCGCAACGGGTCTTATTCCTTGCTGGCTAGAGATCCTTTTGAAGGTAACATGGAGGGCTTCAGAGGCATCGACATAGCTCTTAACCTCGTTTCGTCCAAGGGCCAGCCTAAACTGGATGTTCGATTATATTCTGAAGGCAAAGCACTTGAAGCTTCACAAATGGGACCGTTGGAGCAGGCAAAATTTGTTTTGACATGATTTTGGGTGGGATTTCTGACATTCCCTCGAATCATCAGAGAAGGAGCGTCCTTATTCTTTTACCACCGGCTACACATCTGGTACCGACCGGAGCCATTAAAAGATAGCCTTGGGAGGCTCGCAGACACTACCGAAGCGAAACTGGAACTATTTTTTTCGGCAATATCTACGATTTCTCGTCGAGCAATCGACAAGTCCGCTGAGCGTGACCTACATTCCAAGTGGCCTTATAGAGAGCAGCGAGGAAACGATCACCTCTCCAGGAGCAACTGTTCAGCCGGAGCAAACAGAGTGTTTGAAGATCAAAATCCTTACACCAGTCTTCTACTCTCGGTTTGTTCATTATGCGCATGACTTTGAGGCTATATTCTGTGAACTTGCGGAAAGCTGCACCATCTGGGTTGACCAGCCTGAAACGCTGCCAAAAATCTTTCTTAAGAAACAACCGCCGCCGTTACATGTGCCAAGCTTTATGGATTATCTGTACTTCAAAACAATTCAGCGGCTGCGACGTCGGCCGGCAAGGATTACGCGCCCGATGACTTCGGCTGGTTCAGTCAGACCCACGACGACTCCAGAGGACGTTCGAGGCTTTCAAATATCCCCCATGGATGCATTCGTGCTGCAATATTCTAGCCAAGAAATACGAGCCTCATATCGATCACTGCTTGCTCGAATGTTTGTGGCCGACTGGGTTTTCTTTGGGATACCCGCGATTATTGACGCTTTACTGCTATCGGGCGTCTTTGGCGTCGCCTGGTGGTTGCTATCCTTTGGCTCGGTAACACCATGCTGATGCCGATGGATGCCATTGATTACTCTGGGTATACTTAGCGTTGCATATAAAGGATTTAGATGCAGGGACTATGCAAAAGATCAACTGCACCGAACGCTTACATGCCGTCTTTATAGGACTCTTTAACCGCCATCATGGAACGGGCTAGCTGTGCGGCATTTCCAAATGCTGGCGACTATTACACAAATAGCCGCCCCTCTTTGGTAATGGAAGTTTCTCTATAGCGGTGTATAATTACCAAGATATACGGATTACCAAGATACGATGTGGTATTTTCTCCTGAGGAATAATTTCTTCTTCATGCAACAGGGAGACTGATGATGCTGACTTTTATCAACAAGGATCAAGGCACAGTCCCGCAAAATGATTTGAGTTTCTGGATTGCCGAAACCCCGTCAGTGTCATCATGCTGAACCACGAGTTGCCGAAACTCCAGCGATACGGTAGCAATCACTTCTCAACACGGGCAACGGAGCCTCCATCTTATCGGCCGAAGGGGCCCCGTACCCCATAACCCGTCCTGCAGCTCATTCCAAATTCTGTTATTTGAGATGTTTGCCGGTCCGTTAGCACCGAGCCACTTTTTTCGCCCTAAACAGCTCATGACAAATAGCCACGGCCAATAGTTTGGTGAGACCAGCGGCTCCGATTACTTGCAGCCAGGGTCAACAGGGGATAGCGCCTCTTACAGAGCACGCAGGTAGCTCAATACGGATTGCTATATGATGCTCTAGTAGCATGGAACGCAAACTCACAGTGAAGTCTTGGGTTGGGAAAGACGATGACATGGACTGGCCGGCCCGTCTGGCGTCTTTCCGAGGATGAGGTCACGAAAGAAAGTATCTTCGTCCGATCGTCCGAGATACCATATTCCACGATAACAGCGTTTGAATTGAGGATATAAAGGCTGGCGATTCTCTCTTCGAAAATACATCTCCAATCCTATCTGCCAACTCAACTAAGCTTCAACCGGCAAACCACCAGCTCCAGCTCCACCTTACAACTTCACTTGCATCCCACGTCATCGCCGCCGCCGTGCCTCATTTGACCCCGCCAAAAGCTGAAATCCTATCCGGTACGCTCCAACCGCCCGGGTGTCGCTATTGCTACCCCGCCAGCCCACATGAAGCTCCAGCAGATGGAGAGAGAGAGAGCTCTCTTTACTATAAGGAGCTGTCTTATACCTGCATCTTCTCGTCCTGAATCAACAACTCTCTAACAATCTCTTCTCTTCTGCTTCTATAGAAACCGAAACCACACAACTCTCAATTCACCATGCCTCTCACCGGACACTGCCTCTGCAAGGCCGTCACCTACAAGGCCGACGTCGACGCCCCCATCATCACCGGCTACGACCACTGTGACGACTGCCAGCGCCAATCCGGCTCCACCTACTGTATGCACCGCATAATTGCTTGCTCAATTCGTCATGTCAAATGCTAATCCATCTCGACAGCTCTCGTCGTCGTCGTCCCCAAGGCCTCTCTCACCATCAACGGTCCCATCAAGAAGTGGACTGGCACCGCCGCCTCTGGAAACGCCGTCCACCGACTCTTCTGCTCCGAGTGCGGATCTCCCATCGCCCACGACCCCGATGGTGCTCCCGAGATCATTGCCCTCAAGGGCGGCACTCTCGACACCGAGATCAAGAAGACCCTGAAGCCTGTTAGTTGACTCACCTATCGACCTGAGATTTCTCTAGAATACGTGCATCTAACAATATACCAATAAACAGGAACACGAGATCTGGACCGCTGGCAAGCTGCCCTTTTGCCAGGAGAAGCTCGCCCACCCCCATGAGTTTATGCCATAAAGGATAATAGCAGAGAGGAGGAGGAGGATAATGTAAATTACAATCAGGTCATCGGCCACGACGAATAAAGCCAATATGTTTTTCCCCACCCAAGAGATCCCCTTTGGTTGTGCTTGTCACGTCGCCAATGAACGCAACGGCATGCTGTGATTGCGATTCACCCTGTTACTGATACTACCTAATGCAACTGTAATGAAACTGTAGGTATATTAATTATACTCTGCGTACTAACATACAGTCCTGAGCATCATGGCACTCTCGAAACCTATCCGATCACTACCTCCCTACTCTGTTCCACAATCTCCACACACCGTGAATCCCATCTCATCACAACATGCCAAGAATAAGGCCGCCAACAATCGCCAAAGCCAGCCCAGGCATTTCGAGTGAGGAGGCTCCACTGACTGTGAGCACCGGGGGCAACAATGCGGCAGTCGGAGTTGGCAAGGCTGTAGCTGTGGTGACATTGAGGCCTTGTTGCATGCTGGCCTCTTCAGCACAAGAAACCTGAGGTTTGACCTCATTGGCGTCCAAGGGGGCTCGCGTGGGACGGCCGAAATTATACGTGGTGGTGGTGGTCGGGTTGTAAGTAGTGAAGACAGGCGCGGGAGTCGTTTGGGTAGGACCGTAGGGGTCAGTTGGCTGGTATGAGTTGCAGATAAGTGACTGTGCCCCCGCCAAGATCTGGAGCCAAATTTGGTTGACGTCGTCGTCAGCAAGGCCTGATTCGAGGATGCAGCTCTGGCAGTCAAGCCAGGCGGCGAAGTCGGTTCCGATGCAGTTGCATTGAACAGATGCCTCATGGTAAGCATCCGAAATGACTGAAGTGATTGGGCCAATCCGGACGGGGTCAATGCGGCAGTTATCATGTCTGACGATGACTTCAACACAAGGGGGAAGGTCGTCAAGAACATGGTCTTGAGGAATCTGCAGTGGAGTGGCTGGCAGCACGGGGCAAATGCCGAGCTCATGATCGCACTCAGCTGAGACAGAGTCAGAGGCAGAGGTGATGGACACCAAAGCTGCAGCAGCAGCGAAAAGGGTGGCAGTGCTGTACTTCATAGTGAATATGTCTGACGGTAGAAGCTATGAGTCTGTGATGGATATGATGTTGTGGCTCCAAAATAAAGAGAAACTGTATCAAAACAAGAGAGCAGAGCGAGCAATACTGGGATGGATGAAGAAGCCGAGAGATGAAGGAGAGTGAGTTGGAAACGGGGGAGAGGAGAAGATATAGTCAGGACTGGTTCTCTCTTTCCAGCTCTGAGAATATCGCTTAGTGACTGGTCTTCCCTCTTGGGACGAGGCAGTTTGGCAGCTGCATCCTTCCAAAGTTTGGCCAAACGATGGAGAGTAGAGTGTGATCAAGGAAGTTGCCAGTCGAGGTAGGAAGAAGCCGTCAATGGCTCATGCTTGGCCCGCGTAAGCTCCTACCCAGGGAGGATTTTGTCCTTTATGCCCGTATTGACATTATTATTGATTGATATAAATCTTCTGTGCATCTATAGAGTAGGTATATAAACAGTCATGCATCCATTATGCCGTCAAATATTTGGTTCGTAAATCCTGATGAAAAGACAAAGCAAAAAAAAAAAAAAAAAAAAAGCCCTATCTGCACCTCCTGTGCGCAACACATGTCCACGTTCATTCGTCATCATAAGATGCTACCCAAGATCAGAAAGAGGCTTCCTGCAATGCCGCCCAGAGCGAGCCAATTGTTGCGAGGAGTGGATCCGGCAGCTGCGTTCTTGTTTGGAGCCTCCGGTTCTGGTTGTTGCTTCTGCAGAGAATTGGTCTCCGAGGCTGAGGAAGTAAAGCAGCTCGCAGTGCCGCACTTATACCCGCTGGGGCAGCATCCAGCCACCGATCCCGCATCCTTTCCGCAGAGAAACCAGCCGCTTGCACACTCGTCCGATGCAGTTGGGGTGGGAACGTCATTTGCCGGGACAACGACGGTGACGCCATGAGAGATGATGGTTGAAGATGGCGCCGGGCAGGAGGACGTCTGGCAATCGCGGTCGGTGCGGCAGCAACCGCCCCCGTGAGTGGCGAGGCAGCCGTAGAAGCCAGTTGGGCAGCCAGTCTGGGTCTCACCCGGTGGACTTGTAGTCCTGTGAGAAGTTGAGGTGGTCGAGGAGGAAGAGGAGGATGTGGCGTCCGTGGGCCTCCATGGCGGTGCTCCCGTTGCGCTCCCAGTGCCCGAGCCTATGGCAGTTATTGTCAGTTTCTGTGTGGCTGAAGGAGGGATTGAGGTCTCAGTGACAATGGGAGTCACTATCACGTCTGATGCTTACCTGAAGAGGCAGTTGTGGATGTCTGGCTGGTGGTGGTTTGAGGCGGTGGTGTTGTCGAAGACGGAATACCAGTGGCTGAAGCACTTGGAACGCCTGTACGTGTCTCGTCAGCTTTACACTCCTGATAGATCAACGCTGATTAGATATTCTTCACTCACATCCAATCCCCTCGCAGACATATCCCGCGATACAACAGCCGCCGCCAAGATCAGCTGGGCAGCTCACGGCATCTCCTGGACAGTTGCCGACACTTCCTCCGCATGTGGTCCCATTAGGGCAACAGGCAACCTGGTCAGCATCTGAATCCGACACATCGGTGCAGTATGTTCCGTCTGGACAGCACTTGTTAGGCGCGCCAATGTCTGAACAGCTCTCCATCCCTGAGGGGCATCCTGCTCGGTTCTGGAGGATCGCTAGCACATCTGCAGCGCGACGCAGCAGATTTTCTTCTGAATCGTGGAAGTGATTCGAGAATGCAGGGCGGTAGCGTTTTGTGGAGTTGCTGGAGGCATCTTCATCGTCGTAGCCGTCGAGCCAGAGGTTCGTCGCCTCGCTGGGAGTCAATCGTTGGAGAGGTTCGAAAGCGAGGTGATCAGGAAACAGCTTGTCGTTTGGGTTCGGCAGCTGTTTCTTGATCGCAGTGGCCAGCGGTTGGTCAGCCGCCACTTCAGATACCAGAGCGAGGAGGGCTGCTGGCAGGAGAAGCATCTTGTGGAAGGTCATTGCGGTGGCGGTCAGCGCCGTTGAGGATCTCGACAGCCAGCGGCGCCAATTGAAGATGCAAAGAATGTTAATATGTCGCAGCTGAAAACAAAGCCAAAAAGAATATGTACGAAGAGCTGAGATTTTCTCTTAGCTGCCCCCCAAAACAAGCTAGCAATGCATGCAAGTCACCTCACCCATGAATTCGCGATGCTAGCAGAAGCACCTGAGTTTCAATACAAACAAGCTGGTGGCTGGGGTAACCGGCCTAGCTTGGGTGGGCCAACGCAGCTAAACCGCATACGAGACAGACAACAAGTCAGCCTATTAATAGTTACAACATGACAGAAACAGGATTGACTGTATTACTCTGATAATAAAATATGAGTGAATAAAATTCATGAATGGATCAGTGAATGCAATGCGCGCATGTTCTTGCTGGGAGCGGTGCTTTTCTTTACCGTCATGTTAATTGGCTGTGGGGATGCATGGCTCCCATCCATATTCGTACATAAATCTTACACCTCGACGGAATTGCTAAATACAAGTACATATCTGTCATAAACCGTCATTATGCTTGCTAGAATGTTTTTGTCTGTTAAAAAAGAGCATCTTTCTCGTCTTGATTTTCCATCTTCTCGGCACCCGACGCCGTTTCCGCTAAAGTCTCCTCCTTCTCGTTTTTCGCAGCTGTCGACTTAACAATAGCTGGGGCCCTCACAAAGGCATGGCACAACAAGCCAGCGGCAACACTGACGTTTAAGCTATCCACGCAGCTGTTTTGAACAAAGTACGGCACTGATAGCTCGTAATCGGCCGCCACCTTGATTGGCTTGGATAGGCCGTGACCTTCATTTCCCAGAACCAATATGGTGGGATGACTCGCCAGCGGCTGTTCCGACTCGACAGTAGCTGTTGAGATGAACTTGTCTCCGTGCCTCTGGGCAAGTTTGGGGTCTGGCGGGGCAACGGCGGCATATGTCTTCCATCCTGCTTTTCGAGATTCTTCTATGAAGCTAACAGGCGAGTCAACGCTGAATATTGTAATCTCTTCCACAGCACCAGCCGCGGATTTGAGCACAACTGGAGTGAGTGTCGATGAGCTGCGATTAGTGATGCCCACTGCATCAACGCCGAGATAACTTGCCGTTCGAAGGATGCCTCCCAGGTTGCCTGGATCCAGGATCTCATTGAGCAATAGAACAAAGGGCTTTGGTGCGTTGTTGTTTTTCCGTGGGATAAATGTATCATGCCCGTTGATATCTTCTTCCTCTTTTGACTGGTGATCCAACTCGACATGAAAACCTAACTTCCCCAGAGTTTCTTCGAGCCTCCCTAGAGACTTCACAGGTAGTCGAGGTAAGGGCGACGTTTCTAGAACAAACCCATTGTGTGGCCGACCCATGCTCATCTTGTCCATTAATCTCTGATCCTCATTTGGGATAATGGTAATTGGAACCCCTCGTCTCTCCGCCAATCTTGTGATGATGGCGTTATCTTTTGAGTCCTTTCTATTCTCGCCTCCGTAGATGAAGAGTTTGTATAGCTTCCGTCGTCCTTGCTCCAGTGCTGCTTTGACAACAGACTTGCCGTAGAGGAACTGCGACGCGGCAGTTGTATACTTGATATTCATGGCCATCATCTGGTTTCTCCTCTCGCGAGGCTGCGGCGTTTCCACATCCCCATCGGCGTCATCTCTGCGATCAAAATTCTCTCTGCGATCAAAATTCTCTCTGCGATCAAAATTCTCTCTGCGATCAAAATTCTCTCTACGATCAAAATTCTCTCTGCGATCAAAATTCTCTCTGCGATCAAAATTCTCTCTGCGATCAAAATTCTCTCTGCGATCAAAGGGCTCTCTGCGATCAAAGGGCTCTCTGCGATCAGATGGGCGAGGGCGATCAGATGAGCGCCCTGCTGAGCGCCCAACTGAACGCCTATCAGAACGCCTGTCAGAATAGGGAGGCCTTTCCGAGCGCTCTGACCCATACCGGGGAGATTCCGTCCTGCGCCGAGGGCTGGTTTCTAGTCTCTGGTATGGCAGCGGACGTACAGGCTCTTGTACGAGGGCGGCCGCCTGATCTTTGAATGCTCCATGTTTAAGCTGGTACACTAGGCTCTTCTTCCCATAGTCAGACTCTGGATTGAGGAAGCGCTTGCGTCTAGTCTCTTTGCCGGGTTCCTCGTCCTCTTCCTCGGCCGCCTTCCGACCAAGTTTCTTGCGTAGCTTTTGCTGTTGCCGAGGGGATGCAGCGCCGTCGAGTGCCCTTCTAGTCAGTCCATCACTTCTGCCCCTACCTGAGGAATCTCGATCTCTGTATTGATCTCCGAACTGGACTCTCTCAGATCGCCGCACTCCTCTGTGGATGGCAGAGAGAGTCGCAGGCCGACTTATCTGTAATGGATAAGCGCCGTTCTTATGCAAACAATTGAATATCTGGCGGGATAAGCCATTAGCTCTTAGCTGCCCAAGAGATATCATTCTCGGTGATGAAGAGCAGTTGGGTGATGCTCATTCTAAACACCAAGTCTTATACCAGCTCTGCAAGTCGAGCTTTGACTTCGATGCACCTCTATGTCCCAATTTATTTTTTCTGCCGCGCACCGCGGGGCGACTACAGGGGTTTCCCAAAGGCGGTGAACTCTAATACCCCTGCAACGCCCTAAGCTAAGCCTATTCTAGCAGTATTTTCAACGCGTGAAAGTATATGTCTTAGGTCAGATAAATGGGGCCGCGTCCAAATGTCTACAGGTGAATTCGAGTTCAGATTGCGCCCAGTTCGATATTCCACGGATATCTTGCAATCCTCAGCTCTATGGCACTGGTTCTGGATTTTCCGGCTTTTACTGATGCATTCCGATAGCGCTGGACGCTTTGAATTGAAGAGGTGCAGCTCCCACAGTTTGCTCCGCGGGACGATGTACCGCGAGCTGTCGCATCTCTCCCTGCTACTGAAGAAGCGCTTGGGCTAACACGGGGACGCAGATGGATGAGATTAACATCTTTGACGGCATGGTCGAACCGAGCGACGAGAAGACCGACGATGAATTCCCCCCTTTCGATCTCCCATTTCAGGATGTGAGCGATCTTGCCTTGTTAAAGGCAACTATGGATGAAGAGGAAGGGATGGCCGATGACAAGATCGAGGAGGGCGAGATCACTCTGCAAGATAGCCTGGAACCGACACCAGAAGCCACGCCCCAAATTGACACCGACATCGATATGCTGGAGGATGAGATGCTGCAGCTTGCACCGGCCGTGCAATTCGAAGTTGCAATCCCGGAGCTCTCTGTGGAGAAACAGAGTGAATACTCGACGGTATATAGCAGTGTTGTCGAACAGATCACGGGTGTTTCTGATTTTACCCAAGATCCGCTCCAGTACGATGTCGAATTCACTGATGGCAGAGTTGATTCGGTACGTGTTACACAACTCTTGCACATTCACACACGCGCTGCTCTTCCTCCACCCACCACATGAGCACACCAGCTACATCGCATTGTGTCTTTCTTTCTCATCACACAGGCATGCTCTTTTCTTGTTTGTTTGTTCCACATATTAACACGATCCAAGCTCGATATTGCCGATATCCTCGAGTACATAAATGGCGAAGAAGCTCTCCACCAATACCAAGACTCAGTCGATATGACCGCCGCCGATCGCAAGCGTAAATACGCCCCCGATGAGGAATGGGATCCCGAATTAAATGTCGCCGTCTTTGATGCTGGTGGCCTCGATGACGAAGAAGATGAGAACATAATCTCCACTCGCAGGCGTCCATCTCGCCCACTTCGCGTGTTGCGCTCTCGAGAGGCAAGTAGCCGTCCGAGCCATGCTGGTGACTCCATAAACTCAGAGGGCGAAGATGAAGACGGCTTGGCAGACACCAATCAGGCAAGGCGGAACCTCCGAAAGCGAAGATCCACACAACTGAGGCTCACCAACATGTCGTTCAATACCAGCCATCTTGATCAAGATATGGACGAACTGGCGCTGGATTCTCGCCAGTCCTCGGAAGACGAAGACGCATTTATGCCCGTTGTGTCCGACCTTGCATTGAAGAAGGGCCGCCCTAACAGAGCTGTGCAACGGTCTCGCCGATTGAAAAAGCAAAAAGAAAATAAAGTCAAATTGTCTCGCAGAGGTTCGGGGGGCTCTGATATCGAGTTTGAACAGCCTCGACGGTCTGCAAGAGCCACCAGAAACCAGATGAGTATGCAAGACGATGCCTTCATGGACGACGATTCATTCTACGTGGTAGAGGAGAAGGCATCTATACCAAAGATTATTTCCGTCAGAGAAGTTTTCCAATCAATCTCTGCCGACTCCGACTTTGGATCCGTACATATGCAGTCATGCCATACTTGTGGCGGCTCAAAGCAGCGCGGCCAGCTGCTTTATTGTCAAGGGTGTTGCTTAACTTATCACAAGAACTGCATTGGGTATCGAAGCAATCGAGAGCATATGGCTACCAAAATTGGAGAAGACGACTTTGTGCTGCAATGTAGATTCTGCCTCAATACCCACGCAAAAAAAGATAGCAGTGCACCAAGACATAGCGCCTGCCAGGAGTGCAAGAAAGACGGCCGATCCTGCGCTGCCTTTTCTCGAAAGAAGACTGCCCGACAGGAAGAAAAAATGCGCGAGGAGAATGGCGGTGTCGACCCCATCACCCCAGTGTCACCTGAACTCATCAACAACGCCGACAATGTTCTTTTCCGTTGTACCACCTGTCACCGTGGATGGCACCAGGAGCATCTACCATCCATGGGCAATGACTCCATTGGAACGGACGTCAAATCCGAGCGCCTCAAGGATTACTCAGTCGACTGGCGGTGTAATGATTGCAGTTCTATCAGAAGCAAGATTCATCGGCTGGTGGCGTGGCGACCCGTGGCCCAGCAAAATCCCCTCCCAGCTTACGGAGATATCAGTGAAGATGAAAGAGAATATCTCATCAAGTGGCAAGACACCTCATTTGCTCACTGCTCTTGGGCTTCCGGAGCTTGGGTGTTTGGTGTCAGCGCTGGCAATATGCGATCCTCTTTTGCAAAACGAGTACTTGAGCAGGATCTTCTAAAGCTCACCAGCGAAGAGGCAATTCCAGACGAATACATCACCCCCGACATCATTTTTAACGTCAAATTCGACGGCCCCGGCGCTCTGGGGAAAACAAAAGCAGAGGATCTTGCTAACATCTCCCGGGTCAAGAAAATACTGGTCAAGTTTCATGGCCTTGGGTATGATGACGTTGTGTGGGACACTCCTCCAACTGCCGATAAGCCTCGACTCTACAAGGCCTTTGTAGAAGCATACCGCGAATACATCGAAGGCAAACACTTTCAAAACGACTCTCAGAACAAGATGCGAGAACGCATCAAGCTGTACAAGAATACTAAATTTGCAGAAGTAGACACGCAACCTGCCGGCCTTACGCGAGGAAAGCTCATGGGCTATCAGATAGAGGGCCTCAATTGGCTCTTACAAAATTATCACCAAAGCCGAAGTGTCGTTCTAGCAGACGAAATGGGATTGGGCAAAACAGTTCAGGTCGTCGGTGTTGTGACCTCCCTAGTGCAGGATATGCCCAAAGTAAGTCAATCTCTGTGTAACTTTATTGCTGCCATCCAAACCCTTTCTAACTGTCCAAAAGTGCTGGCCTTTCCTCATCGTGGTTCCAAATGCTACTTGCGCCAACTGGCGTCGAGAATTTAAACAATGGGCACCGGGTGTCAGAGTTGTTGCTTATCATGGAGGCAGAGAGCCCCAGGAGCTCGCCTACAGATATGAACTATTTCCGGATGGCGCCGCAGACCTGAAAGCTCAAGTCGTTATCATGTCGTATGACTCGGCACAAGATCCACGGACGTCTTCTCTATTCAAGTCCGTCAACTGGAAGGGATTGGTCGTTGACGAAGGTCAGCGGCTGAAGAATGACCAAAACATTCTCTACAATGCCTTGAGGTCTATGAAGATACCGTTTCGACTATTGTTAACTGGTACGCCACTGCAAAACAACAAGAGAGAACTTTTCAACCTCTTGCAGTTTATAGATGAGAAGCAAAACGCGGAGAAGTTGGATGAGGAATATGCTGTTTTGGACAAAGACAATCTTCCCAAGCTACACGAGAAAATTCGGCCGTATTTCTTGCGAAGAACAAAGCTTGGCGTCCTCAAGTTTCTTCCTCCCATGGCGCAGATTATTCTCCCCGTTACCATGACCGTTATCCAGGAGAAGCTATCAAAGAGCATCATGGCAAAGAATCCGCAGCTTATTCGGGCTGTGTTTGCCAATAGTAAAATGAACGCAAAAGACCGTGGCAGCTTGAACAACATCCTGATGCAACTGCGCAAATGCTTATGCCACCCCTTTATGTACTCTGAAGCAATTGAAGAGCGCCACCATGATCCCGTGGTTCTCCATCGCAACTTGGTAGAGGCATCTGCCAAGCTTCTGTTATTGGAAATCATGCTGCCCAAGTTGAAGGAGCGAGGCCACCGTGTGCTCATATTCAGCCAGTTTCTGCAACAGCTTGACATTATAGAAGACTTTCTCAATGGAGTCGGTTACGGATACCGTCGTCTAGATGGCTCGATATCCAGTTTGGAGAAACAACGACGTATTGACGCCTTCAACGAACCCGGTTCCGAGCTTTTTGCCTTTTTATTATCAACAAGGGCTGGTGGTGTTGGTATCAATCTTGCGACCGCAGACACCGTCATAATCATGGACCCGGATTTTAATCCTCACCAGGATATCCAGGCGTTGTCTCGTGCCCACCGCATTGGCCAAAAGAATAAGGTCCTATGCTTTCAACTCATGACCAAGGATTCAGTAGAGGAACGAATCATGGAAATTGGCCGCAAGAAAATGGCTCTGGACCACGCACTCATCGAAAGCATGGACGACGAGGAGCTTGAAGGCGCCGACTTGGAATCAATCTTGAAGCACGGTGCCCAAGCATTGTTTGACGAAGGTTACGAGAAAACAGCAATTCACTACGATTCTGCGTCTGTCGACAAGCTCTTGGATCGCTCCCAGATGGAACAGACTGCGGCAAATGAAGATAACTCTGCCGAAAGCCAGTTTACTTACGCCCGGGTATGGGCGAATGACAAGCTTGGGTTTGAGGAAAATAAGGAACTTGGAGAAGATCTGGCCCCAGAGCCCATCAATTCTAGTGTCTGGGACCAGATCCTTGCTCAAAGAGAGGAGGAAGCCCGGCGAGAAGAGGAGGCTAATAAAGAAGTCCTGGGACGTGGTGCAAGACGTCGCATGGTATGTTGGATTGCCCTTGGTATGAGATTTTGGTCGATGGGAACTAGATGCTAATGATTTTGTTTGCAGGCTGTCAACTACGGGGCAAAGGGCACAGATATTGTTGCCGTAGTTGGTGATGTCGCTGCCGAGTCTTCGGATTCTTCTTCTGACGACTTTGACGGAGCAAACATGCCGGAATCTGACGACGACAAAACCGACGATGACATGAACCCCCCGACAAATGGTAAGAAATTATGATATCTGTTCACACGGAAACAAACCTCTATTCTAGCGAAAATCGATGAAAGACTGTAAAACTGACAACGAGTCTTAGCCGTGACAGAAGCCGAGATTTTATCGATGCAGGACGGCGGAGCCAAACAGCGGCAAAGCATTGCCTTCCCCAAAGAACAGCAACCTGATTCAAAGCGAAGACAAAACCTTCCGCCTCCGAGTGGATCACAGCCGGCGTGGACTGCAGACGTCCCCCGTAAGAGGGGCAGACCTCGAAAATCATTGCCCATCCCCGACGCCAGGGCTGTAAACACTAATGACAACTCTCAAACAAAACCACGAGCAGCGCAACAACCAACTACCCCTGCATTGGTATATAGGAAAGGCTTTGACACGGTTAGACGCCAGCAAACCTTCCAACATTACCAGCAATACATCCAGAATGGCGGCCGACCACCGCCCACAGCCATTCCGCTACCGCAACCTTATCCCGCCGTACCCGCCCAAGCACCACCAACCGGGTTCGAGTATCTCGCTCTTCTCAACACTGAAGCACAGGTCCGCGTAGCGCTGGACGTGGTTCACCGTGCTGAAAGACCAGCATCAATGAAGCAACGACACATGGCCGCTCTGTACCACAGGTTAGGCCAAGTGCACATGCAAAACGGGACTCGGCAGAGTTGAATTTTTTTTTTCATCGCCCCCCCTTTTGGTTCTCCCTATCAACAGTAGACCAAGGAGCAGAATATGATTTGATGACTTTTTTTGCGCTCTTGAAAACAACAAGGAGGAGACTTTTGCAATAAATACATAGCTTTTTAAACATATAGATAGAAAGAGACAATTGCTCCGCTTTGTCACAGGATCGGCGGCCACGCAATAATTAGAGACAAGACAAAAAAATCGGAAAAAATTATAATGAGATTCATCAAACGGCTAATACTTTCAATTTGCACGGCAAGCGTAGCAAATGCCAGCAGATGCGGTGAATTCCCTGCAACCAGCCGAGCGACGACTCGAAGTTAAACAGGGGTAAGAGACAAACGGACTATGCGCACGGCTTCGACCATATGTCTTGGGCCGGTAAGGCAGCAACTTGATGTGAGACAGTCTCCTTCAACTATTGACATTGAACTCGATTTGTTTTCTTTTTGCAAACATTTACCTTCTTCCTTACACTGCTCTCATACTTTATACCTGCTTGACCTTTGTTTAGTATATCCCGGTTTGTTTTATACTCGTCACCTTTGCGGTTGATCCAATTTGCCGCCGTTTGTGGTTCATTTCCCGAGTGATGGATCGTTCTCTTGGATTGAACTCGAGGCCGGGAAGTATATCCTGCGTGCCGTGGTCTCCGGAAACTCCAACAATCACGCCTCACCTTCGGGATTGCTCTGCTGAAGCTGTCATGGAAAGGCAGATGGGGCTGAATCACCGCCAGCACCACTCTTTCAGCGGCTATTTCATCCAAGGATTTGGTCAAAGCGGCAGAGATGAAGTTGGACAGCAACTGGTGGCCTATCCTACTATCCCACATCAGCAGCAGCACCAGGTGAGCTTCAGTGCGGCCGGAGCAGCAGCAGCAGCAGCAGCAGTTCCGTCACGAGGGCTTTCTTCGAACAATTGGCGGGTTTTTTGTCCGGACGGAAACGTGTCACCTCCGTCGATGAAGATGAATGCGACTCATGGCCCTGTGGGAATGGGTCAAGTTGAGAGAAGAGGAATTGCATCACAAGCACCTGCGGCCGGGGCTGTGAGCGATGGGTACGCGTACTATTTGAATCGGGGGAATGGCGAGTTGACGAGGCTTGTGCCGGCTGATATGCTGCCTGCGTTGAACGAGATTCCGCCGAGGGAGCCTGAGCGGCGAGGGATGGTGGTTTTGCCGCCGCTGAGAGGCGTTCCGCCGAAAGGGATGGCGGATATGAGCCAGACCATCACAGTCAAAGTAAGCAAACTTTTTTTTATTTTGTTTGTAAGAGAGAAAAAGAGAACGAGACACCGTCAATAGTTGAGAAGAGAGAGGAGAGAAAGCTGAAGCTCCTAGGCGTGCCAAATCCAAGGGCCTCGACATCCCTCGGATCTCGTCCAGGTGAGTTGCGGATCATTCTCTCCTGTTTACTTTAATATCGAGCATTGTCTTTCACCATATCCATGCTTTAAAGCTGTTTGAGAAGCTCATGCGGAACTATTCTAGAACCAAATCGACCGTATCGTCGCCACTAACCCGTCGATCCCGAAGAAGAACAAAGTATACTGCGACATGTGGATCCACGAGGGAAGATGTGCCTTCACCCAGACGGGGTGCAAGTTTAAACACGAGATGCCCCTGGATGAGGCCTCGCAGAAGGCTCTCGGCCTCTTCCAAGGTCTCCCTGCTTGGTATAAGAAGCAGCAAGAGGAGTTAAACTTGTGGAAGTCTCGTGAGGCTTCCGACGCGGAGACTTCGCCTACGGATTCTTCTTCTCACAATGAGTTTGCTTGGCAGAATCCCAACTCCTCTCTAGGTAAAACAGTGCCGGACAAGAGCAAGCTTGGTACGTTACAGGAGTATCCCGTATAACACTGGTAATTGTTTGATATGATGGATGCTAATTTTAGATATTATATAGACACATGCCAGGCATCTCAAGCAACGAAAAGCCGCGTCGCTCAATTCGTTTGGGGTCCAATTGGGCCGCCTAACAAGCAGGTAGCGGACAAGGACCCTTGGGGCAAGGAGTTTTGAAACAAAATGTGTGATGGCGAGGCTGCATCGAGCTTTTCCTCCGAGGGCCGCAGAGTTAGATGAAGAGGAGCAGATGTTCATGGCCCTGTGAGTCATTGATTCTGGTGGTGTTGGTCGACAAACCACACGCAGGTGATAGGATCCCAAAGGGTTTAGTACTAGGTATATGTTGGAAATCTGTCAAGGGTATTTCAAGATTTAGTAGAATTAGTGTTAGAGCATAATTAGAGAGCAGATGTATGGAATAATGCTCTGGATGCCGCCGTGTAAGTGGTCACAGTGGAGGTAGGATCAGCTGACATGGTTGAAGGATCGGGTTATTAGCATGAAATGAAGTTTCACCTTGATGCGGTGTGAATGGCGTTGTATTAGTGACTCATTATTCGAGGCATAGAGGATAAGACCTCTTCATCTGTGAGGTGGACAGAATAGTCGATAGTGAACATAGTAGGTATAGTAGCGATGGTAGGTATAGTAGTAATGGTAGGTATATAAGATAGAGTGAATAAGTAGGTATAGCAGATGAAAGCGATTAAACACTAGCAGAGATATAGCCATCTAAAGCTGTTAAAGAAAATATGACCTGACGTCTTCTCTGTTCAGCTACGCGATTGTTTTATGTAGACAGATGTGGCTGGCTTCATCCGCAATCGCCAAATCGAATGACGTTGGCCCAATGGCCCTATGAACAATGCTTTTGGCATGGCCTTTTCTTTACGCGGCGGTCAATATTTATGCAATATATTTATCTACTATATGATGACTGCTTGACGGCAGAGTGTTCTGCTCACGGCGACGCACAATCCTTCCAACACTTACAAATAATTTCGTCAACGGCCACAGACTATTTCGTCAATCACGGAATACCCCAGCTTATGGTGAGATTGCCAACGTGTTGTTAAATAAATCTTCTGCCAGTTCTTGGGCAACACGTCTTACCGGAGGAGTGGATGTCTCCGATCGAACCGCTTACATGTGGTGGGTAGAGGCTGTTATTCGACCAATCTCCTGGGATCGATCTTTCCTGTAGCACACAGCCTGATAAATGGATCTCATTTTCGAGGCACTACGGGAATAAGGAAACTTATAAACCATATTTAGATCCACCCGGATCTCCTTCGGGGGACACCTTTTTTGACTTTAGAGTCTGTTCTATCTGTCCTAGTGTATCCTAAAAGGACATTCTGACGGGTGATGGGTTCCATTGTTTAGAGTCTATGTGTCAAGCGAGGCTCTGTTCATTCTGTTTTAGGTATTACAAGACTGGGTTCGTTCTGTTTTAGGTATTACACGTCTTTGCTAGGCCTATGGTTGAGCTGGTAAGAACTTTATAAGGTTGATCTTACATGCTCGCTTCGCTCGCATAAGGTGAATTATTTAGCGAGAGGATATGTTGTCGTGAGACCAGTATCAGCTAGCTGCTGACTAGCATCAACCTTGAACACGCACGAGATTACTCTATCAATCTAACCCGTATGAGGTACCATGATGACTACATTTATTGACTTCTTATAGGGACTCTGTGACGGGAAGCAAACTGCATAAGAATGCTACCTACCCTCTGGTAGAGATGCTAGACTTTGCAATTCGCTTGTGCTTTAGGACCGCTACTCCAAGCCTTCTACAATGAGTTCTACATCTAAAACGGCTCCTGCTTCCGCTGTGACTGGCTTGCCACCTATACGGCGTGTTATAACTACACACGACAAAGACGGCAACGCCATTATCAGCAAAGAGATACCCCAGACTCTTGAGGGAGTAGGGGTTTCCGGCACGGTCATCTATCTAGGCTACGCCCTGAACCAATTCCCAGGTGTTTTGAACAATAACCAGGATCTGAAAGAATACAAAGATCGTCTCCCACACAACGTGGGCATCAGCATACCTCGTGGAACTGTGCTCCGTATGAGTGATTTCTTACCTGGACAGTCCGTGCCGATGCACAGGTCGAAAACCATAGATTTCGGCGTGATTATAGAGGGAGAAGTGGAGTTGATCATGGGGAGTGGTGAAAGCACTGTGTTGAAGAGAGGAGATATTATTGTCCAGCGAGGTACTATCCATGGATGGAAGAATAACACCACTGAGGTTGCTAGAGGATTCTTTGTGTTGGTGGATGCGGATTTGCCGACGGTGAATGGCACACAGTTGAAGGAAGAAGTACCAATAGAGGAACTGAAAACCGAGTAATTGGGGGGTTGGATTTTTTAAATGATGCTCGTTGATTTTGACATGGTAAAGTCTTTCATGGAAAGAGTTTATCTGGCGTTGCGTGTTGGCTACATCTACCTTCTTTCTACGCAATGCAGACCAGGCCTCGAACCACGCTTCAATCTCTTTAGCAAGTGTCCTAGGTTTGAATATTGGATAACCACTCCGTATTATGTATCATAGATATGTCACTTTCACTAGAAGCGTCGTTGAGCGACCTGTAAAGCCAACACTTCCCTCATTAAGCATTATTAAAAACAATGTCATATCTTATTTCATTAATATTCCATTGCACAGTTCCATGTCCCCCCAACGCCATAATTGCAGTCCGAAAAATGCATGCTCAGGTAAATTCTCTTGGTTTCTGGCTTGAGCCCAGATTAAGAGGCTCATCTTCATAGCTATCCCTGCCGCCAAGAGTGCTACGCTTCCACGATGTGGTGCTTTGGAGGCCAATCTGCGACTCTGATGGGGCCTCGTATCCCGGAGGGGGATCGTGGGGATACGCTGGCGCAGCGGTAACGGTTGCTGAGTAGCCAGTGTTCCGCCATGGCTCGGGGTGCTGCTGCTGGTAGCTGTGGTTAAGGCCCTCAAAGCCAGAGGGACCTTGCTGGCGGCGAGGCATCTGACGCTTGGCTCCCCAGATGATATATCCCAAGGCGCACATCACCAAGAAGAAGACGATTCCGAGGACGATGAGGGCGTATTTGCGATCCAGAGCGAAACCGAACCCGCTAAAAGATAAAAGGTAAGTAAACGGCGAGATATAAGGAGAAGATGGGAGCTTACATGTAGCCGTTGGCTGCACCAAGAATCATGACGATTCTTCCATTCCAGAGATGAACCTTGCCGAATGTAGTGGGCTGCTTCGTCTTTCGCCATTTGAGATGATGTAGAATGCCAGCGGCCAATTGAACGAACAAGAGGAGGATAACGATGAAGCCAAGGACTTGGTGTAGAGAATGGAATCCACGGGACTAGAAAGTTGAGTTATCGTTAGCTATATTTAATGGGCCTCGGGGGCCTGGCATATACATACCCGTTGATAGTTGAAGCTCGTCAGGATTCCAAAAGCAAAGCCCGCGAGCACAAGACACAGAGCAAATGTCTGGTTGAACTTGTGAAACTTGGCCAACTTCTCTATTCTAATGAGAATTGTGCCAATGGGAATCAAGAGCATGAAGCTAAAGACCATGAAGGCGGCGTGCGCAGCAGCCTTCCAGTCGAAATTGCCCGTAGAACGGCTGTTCAGCGTCGTACCTTCAGCCACAGAGTCCTTGGTGAGGACAGGCAAATCGGCTCGGCCCTGCGTTCTCTTCATATCGATGGTAAAGGTGCCGTGTTCGCTGTGCATCTTGAGGTTCGCATCCACCTCGTCGTCGCTGAAGCTTTCTTTGCCTCCCAGAGCGTAAATGGCCTGTTGGTTTGGAGACGACACATCGATGTAGCCCCTGGAAGTGCCGCCGGCTGGCCAGCTTCGGCAGTGCTCGTGGCAGACGGCATTGAAGGTCATGAAGCCATCCTGAACGCCGGTGCCATCGAGGACGTCAAACTTGAGGTCGGGATAGTATTTGGGCTCGTAGTTGCCGTATGCTAGACGAGGGGAGAATGTGACGTTGTCGTGATTATTCTTGCTGCGATAGAGAATGAGGAACAGGGCGCCAGGCATGTCGTCGCTACCGAGGCCGATGGCGCCCCAGGAGCGATCTGTAGAGACGCGCAGGCTGAAGTAGATGTCTGTATTGCCGTTGTCGGGGACGGTGAAGGCGAAGGCGAGGGAACCATCGGGAGAGATAAAGGTCGACTGGCCGGTGGGGTTGTTGGTATCATCAGCGAGGGCCGACGCTGCGAAGGCTGCCGTGCGACAAGGGACGAGAAGCTGTTAGTGGTTTGATCTGAATGAATCTGAATCGATTCGAGGGTATAATGGCGATGTAGCATCAGGTGGGAAGACACTCACCAGCTGTCGCCAGCGCGGCGCGCCAGAGATTTCCAAAGAGCATTTCGATGTTTTTTGTTGCCAGCAGCGATGGAGACGGAGCCGCAACAGAAGCTCTCGAAGAATCGCTGGCAATACAATATAGAGAAAGGATTCAGGCTGCAGTTAACGAATGGTTTGCAGCTCTACAGCGCTCCAGCCTCTGTCATTAATTGGAACAGTATCGCCACCAGTGCGATTGGGAGGGAAAGGATGTTGTTTTGGGGGAGTTTTGGTGGTGCTGCATACCTCTGTAAAGTAGCAGCTGCATGCAGATAGTTGACCTCGATTCAGCTGCGTCGCACCACTGGGCTGAGGCTCAAGTACCTGAGCTGTACTTGCGGGTTGGTGCCGTGGTTGCATGAGCTGCAGGTACGTGACTCGTACACTCAGTGTGCCGCTTCTTCTTTTTTCAGCCCAGGATCCCCGGTTTCGTTAGCCCGCGCGGCGTCGCATCGATTAATTTCACATGCATTGGCAGGTTTGCCTTAGCAGTTGCAACCGTCGCGGTATCGACACATGATGAGCAATACTGATGTATCGTATATATATCTCCTTGGCCTTTTTCTTCTTATCTTTTATATATATAAACCCTTGTTGTATTTGGACTTCCATATTCTTTCCCCTCTGTAACACAGACTGACGATACGCGTTCCTTGTTGATTTCGATCCCATCCCAGATTTCCTAGCCTGGATCTTCCGTCGCCGTTTAGCTTAAGCACAGACTTGCGGAGGTGGTTTTTTATTTTACGAGGGTTCTCAGCTCACGATTGGCTCCCTCACTGCTGCGCGATTCCTCAAAGGGCAATAGTCGTGGTTTTCATTTGCTTCTCCTGGCGTCACATGCAAGGAGGTGATGTGTGTTTGTGGAGTCGCGAAAAAGCCGCCCAGCCAATGCCGAGCGGCGGCTTTACAGCTTACGCGGAATTACATTACAGACAGGCACAGAGCGCGATCGAAGGTGGCAGATTGATTGGTGCAGTGACGTCTTTACATGTTGAAATAAGGAGATAATCGACAGAGGTGACACTGTAAGTAAGTACCCGTATATACCAAGTTGTATTCATGTATGGCACAAGCCCAAAACCTTGAAGATGAATGAATCCACCAAAACGCCAACTCCTCCAACAACGCAACCAAACGACGGCTAAAAGCTCCAATGCAGTGGGGAAAAAGGAAAATCAACGATCATTATACAGTATATCCGGGAATGCTGAACCAAATCCAAAAAGGCCGTGGCCATTCACATCTTCTCGTTGCACCACCGTTCAAACCGCTCCAGTCCATACGATACAATCATTGTAGCGTGGCAAAACTCATCCACATCCGATGCTTTGACATGGGAAAACAAGTGTTCTCCTTCGACACAACGAATAGAGTTGACAATGTTCGATTGGTAATGCTTCAGCCAAGTGAAAGGCGTCGGCGCATCCCAAAGGCCTGCGCCGCAGGAGAATATGATGCCGCCGGGGCAGGGTGCAAATCCTTGCTTCAGCGTCAAGTATACAGCCTCTGTGAGAGTCGCGGTCAAATAAGTACGCCGAACAGACTCGGAAAATATCCACGCCTGCCATGTACATGAGGGAGAGCCATCTGTCCGTAGCTGCGTATCGACTGGGTTGGGATGTGGCTTGTTAACCAGGTCCTTATGGTTTGAAGCTACGCCAAGTCCGGCGCTCTGCCATAGCTGTCGAGCCCAAAGAGAAAGAGTATCAATATTCTTCTCGGCTTGTGCTCGAGCGCGAATGTCGCCATCGAAGAGGCGAATGATTTTGTATATCAGAAGGGCCTGTGTCCTTGCGAGATGGCACGCAGGATCAAGCATGACGACGCCAAAGTCGCCCACGTCGGTAGGATTCTGCTCATTCACCAGGTTGTTAACGCGGGTCTCGATGATGCGGAGCACCATTTTCTCAGTCGCAGGTGTCTTGGAGTGATATGCTGAAAGGGAGGTAAATGCATCTTGAACGTTCTCCGGAAGATGGATCCTCCACAGCTGAGGATGGATAAAGGGACAATGGCCTTCGGTAATCCATTGCTTCAGCCACACCTGAAGCTGGCCGATAAAGTACGTGAGAGCCTCATCGCTAAAGTAGATTTGTGACGGGATGGGGCCAGTCTTGTGGTCGATGGTCCATGACAATGGGGACAGAAACCACGGATTCTGCAGAGCATCTGCCGATGCTGGAGCCACTGCGCGTGTGAGTTCGGTGTTGGCAGCGTGGATCTGCTGCTGCTGCTGCTCTAGTTCCTGACTCTCCCCAATCTGAGACGGCGGGGTGGGCAGCGGATTCCTGTCCGAGGGCGCTGGAACTACGGAAACGGCGCCGTCCTGCGAGAAGACGAGATCGTACGGGGGCGCGATACGAGGAGCGGGATAGCGACAGACGATCTGCTTGTCGGTGCAGCGGTGACAGGCGGGCGTCTGCTTGCTGCACTTGCGCTTGGCCTTTGTGCACGGGATGCAGGCCAATCGCTTCGGCGGGGCGGAATCCGTCATGACAGGCACTATCTTTTATTCCCTAGCAGCTGCGGATAGAGGAGATGCGATGCGAGGGCCCAAGAACGGGTAACGGGGGCTGGAAGTCCCAAGAAGCTCTTTATTCTATATTCTCCGGCGGCGGGCAATTTGTCATTTCTGCTCAGCCCGTCTGCGGGCGGGTTTCCTTCCGCCGGGTGGAGCCGAGCTCCGGCCTGTGACGGGCTTTGATAGGTGAGGCCGGCGGCAACTTTTCCACCGCGGCACGGGGGCGGTTTTATAAGAAACGATGACTACGGAGTACAGCCCCCCCGATTCGTCTGATTCGATGCGAGAAATGCGAAACAGGCAATTGTGGATGACTGGCGCATGGAACTGGTTGATTAATAAAGCAGCCTGCTTTCCAATACTCCGCTGCTTTGGTGGCGGACTTGGAGAGAAGGATGGAGATGATGGAGAAGGAGAAAGGAGAAATGCCGCTCGCGGTGTGAGGAAGCAGTATGAATCGCGAAGATGCAACTCCGACGCTGGAACTGGAATTAGTATAAGAGGAGAATGGGGGACCAGACAATGGTGCTACTCCTACTTCATATCATCAGCATTCATCAGTCTCAGACACTTTACAACTGAATCAAACCCAGCCAAAACCTTCTACTTTCGTCCGCAGCCATGTCTCTTCCAGCCCTCAAGGAGTACCGCCGAAAGCCCTATGAGGCTACCTCCCCCTCGCGACCAGAACTCAGCCAGGCTGGTAGAACCGTCGTTGTCACTGGAGGCAACAGTGGCATCGGATATGCCATCGCTCGCAACTTCGTCAAGGCTTCCGCCAAGCGAGTCATCATCTTGGGCCGCCGCCCCGACGTCGTAAAGTCTGCCGCCGATAGGCTCGTCCAAGAGGGAAAGGGATTCGGCTCCCCTTCATTGGTAGAGGGCCGAGTCTGCGATGTTGGAAGCCTCGAGGCCACCGAAGCTCTCTGGTCTGGTCTCGAGAAGGAGGGTATCGTTGTCGATGTCTTGGTCCTCAGTGCTGCGTCCCATGGAAAAGTTTCTCCCATTCTCAAGAGTGATCTTGCTAGCGTTTGGGGCGATTTCGAGGCAAACGTGCGTTCTTTGTTGGACTTTACGCAGAGATTCTACAACCAGAAGGGCAAAGGCGCGGATTCGCGCAAGGTTAGTTTGAACCCTCCTCTTCTTTTGGCAATTTGAAAAAGAGTCAAAACAAAATAATACTAATCGCTGCCATAGTTCTTGGTGAACATTTCTACCATCGCCGCTTATATGTGGGGTTCGATGGCCCCCGAGCGTCCAACTTACGGCTTGACCAAGAACGCTGGTACTACCTTGATCCAGCAGATCGCCAAGGATACCGATGTGAATGATATGCAGATCGTGAGCTTCCACCCTGGCGGTGTTCTCACCGACATGGCTCGCGCTGCGGGTGCCAGCGAAGAAATGGGCATTCCCTTCGATGATGGTACGATTCCAAACCTCCCTCCCTCTCAATTACCTAGGACGACATGAACTAACTCTACGTGTACAGAGAACCTTCCGGGTCAAATGGCTGTCTGGGCGGCTAGCCGAGAGGCCGAGTATCTGCACGGCCGATTCGTCTGGGCCAACTGGGATGTTGACGAAGTCAAGAGAGTTCTGGGCAAGCAGATTGCAGCAGAGCCCAACTTCTTGAAGGTCGGAATTGAGGGATTGTCTGAGAATCTTCCCAACCCCATGATTCCTCCCGAAATGCTCGAGAAGATTATGCAGTTTCAGCAGGATCTTCAGGCAAAGCTTCAGGCGCAGAAGTAAAAGGGTTATGAAAGAGGTGGAGTTACCCTATAAAGGGAATATTGTACAACATGCATTTCACTACAGCTATCATTTTGGATAAAATACATTGCAAGCTTCATCATCACTTTAAAATTCACCACTCAACTGTAGGGTAATCTGCCATTCACGTCTCTTCTGACGGCCATACGTATATCACTCATCACACTGTAGAGAATATTATCCTTGACTATCATAAATGTATATACATTTAAACCAGATGTGGGGAAAAGCTGTCTGTTTACTACTACAAGCATTATGTTTAATAATGATCCCTCATGAGATGGTGTAATACGATATCTTCGCCACTCACCGATCGCCGGGTGGCTCATGCAACAAAAACAACTGTACCACGACAATACATAGACCATCCACTCTGTTGTTCATAAAGGGCATGGAATTGCATTAAACATAGTGCCAAGGAATTGATTTCATCAAGCTTGGCAGATGCGCTATGCTGATCCTGTAGTTTTGGTAACCGTTGGAACGGCACCACCAGGCACTATCGTTTGGTACGCCTCCGGTCGGAACTTATTATTATGCGTTGGACCAACATATGCCTGTTGGTCCGCGAATAAGCATAGTATTAACTAGGGAGTAATCAGGAACGCTGTCCCTGTTGATCAGAATTGGGTCTTAGTTTAGATTGTGTTGGTTTGACTAGTTTGGACGACATCGGTTGTTGGTTCGATCAAAGGGAGAGGGGAGGTCCTGTAGCATCCTTACTATGGTGTCTATGGTATAAGTGCTATTTTACGATATTCTCAGATGACGTTGAAGCATAATACCATGAAAAACGATAATTTCACCCTTAGATCGTCAAGCTACAAATGTAGTCGGTAGGGAACGAATATTCGAAATAGGGTTGCAGCATCCACATCAGGAGGGACTAGCTGGCAACACGAAAGAGAGCCCCCCCTTTCACCATAAAAAACCTTCAAAGTAAGTGGCGATTATGCTAATTATACGCTATATTGCGAAGAATGCGTCGATCATATGTGTTGTACCTGAATTTCTGAAGAAGTGTTGGCAGCAACATTCCGCATAAACACCAGCCATTGGCAAAATTCTTGTGGTTCTGGTATGGAAAGAGTAGCTTTGGACCCGAATAACATGAAGAAACGCATTAAAGACGCCGATAGCAATCTAACGCGACTCGAAGGTGATTATTGGCCCAGGCTTGGCGTTTTCAGCAAGACTTATGCAGATATAAATCTGATGCTGATTGCCGCCCATGTTTCCTCACTAGCAAGCGTCACGCTCTCTCAGGTTGAGGCATTCTTTTGTATACTCATCTGTCGCCATCATCATTTTCGAGAATGAAGAGCTGCCCCAGTATTCGGGCTGCGGCCACCTTGGGCGCGGCCTTTCTACTGCAGCTGACCAGTGCGGGAAAAGTGGAAGAATGCCCAGATCCCGCTGAGATTGTCATCTATGAGCCAGCAAAGCTCATTTGCTGCGGGTCTACTGCTTCGACGACCTATACTAGGTAAGCTCCTACCTTCTACCATGATTGACTGTCCTGGTAGCAAGAAGATGTGACTGACAAGCTGCATAGGATTACGACCGAGTGCTCGGGTGTTCCTGTTTACGTTACACCTGGAGTCCCCATCCCCGATGAAGAATGCGTGACTACCACTCAGCCATGGACTGGAACTGTGACCGAGACTGTTACAATTCATGCTACTGGAAGGGCTCCAGGTACGAAGATTGTGAAAATCCCGGGAGGAAGTGCAGATTGCGTTACAACTACTGTTGGCTGGTCTGGCACCGTGACCGAAACTGTTACAATTCCTCCTTATGGCAAGGGCCCGAGCACCATAATCGTCCAGACTCCTTGGGAGCATCTTGATTACATTACGAAGACCGTTGAATGGACTGGAACAGTCACTACTACCGCGACAGTCCACCCTCACCATGACAAGCCTGGTGAAATCATTATTCAGACTCCCTGCGAACACCCCGATTACATTACAAAGACTGTTGAATGGACTGGAACAGTCACTACCACTGCAACAGTCCACCCCCACCATGACAAGCCTGGTGAGATCATCATCAAGACTCCCTATGAACACCCTGGTTATATTACAAAAACGGTTCCTTGGACTGGATATATCACCACGGCTTCTACCGTTTATCCTCACCAAGGTAAGCCTGGTGAAATCATTATCAAGACGCCCCATGGCGAACGCCCCGTCTCTGCTACTAGAACTGTTGCTTGGGCTGGAAGCACGACAGTCACCTCTACGGAGTATCCCAGCGGGACTGGCCCCGGAATAGTCATTATCAAGACGCCACAGCAGAAATATGTGACTCAGACAATCCCATATAGCGGAAGCGTTACGCACACCATTACTATTCCGCCCATTGGAACTAATCCTGGCATCATCATCATTGAGACACCTACCATACTCGGCGAAGGATCGAGACCAACGACATTGTCAAGATCCGTTTCGATATCTGCGAGACCAACATCGTCTGGGCACAGTTCATCCCATGGAGCTACTGTCTTGCATGGCAGTAGTTCGTCCCATGCGACAGGCACGTCCCATTCTGCGTCATCTCATGGTTCAACTACATCTCATGCAAGCTCATCTCATGGGAGCGTATCAGCTCAGAGTAATTCGCACAGCTCTACAAACTCGCATGCATCTACGTCTTCTCATGGGTCAACTCCAGTTTCAACTCATGGCACTGCATCGCATGAAACCGCATCAACTCCTAGAAGTTCATCATCACATGGATCAACGAGATCGCACGGATCTACAAGCTCTCACAGTTCTACAACTTCCCACGGGTCAGCCTCAACCCATGGAACTTCATCTGAAGCAACCGGATCGGCTCATGGAGTGTCGTCATCCCACACCTCTACAAATTCCCACGGCTCATCATCTCATGAGTCAGCCTCTACCCATGCGCCAACTTCAACTCATGGAACTTTATCCCATAGCTCTACTACCTCACATGGAACAACCACGTCCCATGGTCCCACCTCGACTCATGTAACTGCATCTCATGAGACAACATCATCCCATGGCAGTTCATTAACTCACGGATCTACATCGTCTCACTCAACTCCATCGTCTCATGCGTCAACCGAAGCTCATAGTAGTACATCATCACATGGATCTACTTCTCACAGCATTGGTGCTTCATCCCATTCAACAGCATCTTCTCACGGTTCCACAAGCTCTCACGCAACTACATCTCATGAATCCACGTCTTCACATGTGACGGCCTCGTCGCATGGATCTATTTCAACACACGAGGCGAATACATCGCATAACACATCCCACGGATCCACCTCATCGCATGAAGGCACTTCTCATGGAACTAGTACAACACATGTATCCGGATCAGCCACAACCTCTCACGGAACCAGCTCTCATGGAAGCTCTACCTCTCACGAAACCACCTCTCACGCAACCTCTACTTCTCATGGAACCTCTACTCCTCATGGAACCTCTACTTCTCACGGAACGTCCACCTCTCATGAAACTTCATCGCACAGCACTGCCACATCACACGCATCATCTCAAGGGACAGCTAGTGCTCATGAAACCGCCACAACGCACTCGACCGCTTCGTCTCATACAGCAGCTAGCTCTCACGGCTCAACTTCATCCCATGGAACAACGTCCCACGAAACTACCTCATCCCATCCCACAGAAACATCCCACACAGCCAGTTCGTCTCATACAGCCGCTTCGTCTCATAGCACATCTTCCTCGCATGAAGGAACAGCTTCTCACAGCGCTACTTCATCACATGCAACAACCACATCTCATGGACCGTCTTCCTCCCATGATGGAACGGCTTCGCACAGCGCTACTTCATCACACGCAACAACTACATCTCATGCAGAGTCTTCATCGCACGAAGGAACAGCTTCTCACAGTGCTACTTCATCACATGCAACAACCACGTCTCATGACACATCTTCCTCGCACACAGCAGCAACTTCTCATAGTGCTACTTCACATGCAACAGCCACGTCTCATGGGGCATCTTCCTCCCATGAAGCAACTCTCTCTCACGAAACGACTTCGTCACATGGAACGGCCACGTCTCATCAAACTATATCGCACAGCACTATTTCATCACATGCGGAAGCTACATTTCATGGGACGTCTTCTTCGCATGAAGCAACCACCTCTCATGGAACAACCTCGTCACATGGAACTACATCGCACAGCACTACTTCGTCGCATGAAGCAGCTACAACTCATGGGGGAGTTGGGGGAGTTGTATCGTCGATTGCAGCGGCTATAACTCGTGGGGGCGTCATCTTTTCATAAAGCTTCCTCGAGTGGAACAACTACCACACACTCCACCGCTTCCTTCCATTCTGCCATATCGTCTTACTCAATAATGTCGTCTTACAGCACAGCTACATCAAAGCCAACAACTACACCATAGTCCTCTGGTTACTGCTAAATACCTATTGGTATCTCTGTGAGGGATGCAATCCGCTGGCTTGGACCAATAATGCATTCTTATGGGAAATTTTTTCACAATCCAAAATCTTTTCTCAAAGTCAATCACAACAGTAGAAGATTTGTCAAGATGTGGACTTCGTTGAAGATTGGTACTATCTCTACCGCTGCTTACAATTATCTCCCCCCCTTTTCAGCAAAGCTGGGATTCGCCATTACGACAACAGGCAACTAGGGTTGATGCTGTGCAAGACGCTGGAAGCATCAGAAAGCCGACGTGGAAGATGATTCATAGGCCTCTTTCTGGATGGGGTGGAATGTTTTCTACTGTTTATTCGACTCTTTGCGATTTCGTATTTGCACGTTTTATACTATACGCAGGTAATAAAAAAAGATGCCCTTACTTCAACGTTAATGGGTTTGCTTCTTCGTGAAATCAAGCTTCTGGCTAATCGTAATGTCAAAATCATACTGCTTTTCTCTATTTAATCTGCCTCAACGACATTTACCCACTAAGCTAATCATTCCGAGTCCGAGTCTGTGGATCCTGAAGATTCTGACGACGCATCATCATCAGGGGAATCATCTGGTGTATCTTCAAATTCTGGACCTTCTTCATCATATGTGTGATCAGCAGGATGAATCAACTCCTTATGAGCATGGCATTTCCAACATAGATCAAAGTCGGTACATTTGTTGCAGTGATAGGCGAAGCCGTAAATACTCTATATAATGAGATTAGTAAATCTGAAGCTTGTCACTTATAAAGCAGAAGGATAGCATAATGATAAAACGCGACAGTGACGATGAAAGGGTACTTACGCATCGACAATTGTCGCACGTTGCTGTCCGAAGGTTCCCCTTTTTGGACTTGTCTTCATCAGAGTCTTCCTGTGACTTAGATTTCTTTTCATCTTGGTCTTTTTCATCAGCGGCGACAAGGCCATTCTTCAACAGCTCAATTACTTCCTCGTCTGCACCAGAGAATCTAGCCAGTTTTAAGGGTGTCCATTTTTGCCCTCCAACAGTGACTCGCACAGAACGATTGGCACCGTTCTCAAGCAAAAGTTTCATCACCTTGATCTGCTCTTGTGGCTCTCCCGCGTGTTCTTGATCTAGCCAGTTACTGGGACCACGAGCTGCCCAGCATAGCGGCGTCCAGCCGTCGATATCTGGCTCGTCAATTGCTTTTTTGTCGGGCAAGAGGGATATGATCTTTTCAACAACCTGGAGTCTTCCGGGCTGTGCTGCCCAGTGCAGTGCGGTTCGCCCAATGCCGTCCCGTACGGTGATGTCGCCCCCCGCCGCAAGGATTGCGTCAAAGTTGTCGATGCCATGGAAAGCAGCAGCATGAATAGGATAGCGGCCCATAGGATCTATTGCCTTGACAAGTGCCCCCTTGTCCAAAAGAGTCTTGATGGTGGTTGGAGTTGCAGCATAAGCCGCCGCATGGAGAGCAGTGCCAGCGTAGCCACCTTCCAACGTCACATCCGCTCCATGGTCAAGGAGATAGTCGACCACTTTGTCGATGATTCGATCTTCACCACTTGCGTATGGAAGACACGCTGCTTGTAGTGGAGTTCCGGCGATTCCAAAATCGGTGACTTGATTCACATTGGCGCCGTTTTCGACAAAGAATTTCACAAGGTCCCATTTTGAGTATCGGCAAGCTTGATGGACAGGAGGGCCATCACAAGGTGAGGCGAGGTGAATGTCAGCGCCGTGTTTGACGAGGTACTGGGCGCGGTCCAGAAGGCCGTTGTAGGCCGCTATTGTGAGGGGAGTATCACCCCTTTTTTTGTCCTGAATGTTTATATTTGCTCCGGCATTAACCAAGAGTTTGAAGTTTTCCAGTGATACGTCAACTTTATGGAGAGCTGAGTATCCGTCCTTGTCAAGTTGGTCCACATCAATCCTGGATGGAAACTCCAAAAGAACCGAGAGCGTGTCTGCCGCAGCAGCCTGGTGCAAAGCGGGCACACCCTGTTCCGATAAACGCTTAAGGTCAGCTCCACGGTCCGCTAGTATTCGAACAGTCTCTTTGGAGGCTTGTGATACGGCACATGAAAGAGCTGTCCACCCCCTCAGATTCTCATCGTCTCCATCATAAGCCAATTCCAGATTGGCATTGTGGTCCAGGAGCAGCTCTAAACTTTCGTTGTAGCTGAACCAAGCAGCATGCATGAGACTAGTAAAACCTGCGTTCTTGCTGCTGTCTGGATCGGCGCCTTTTTCGAGTAGTAGACGAACAATATCAGGCTCTGGAACAGCAAAGTACAGAGGAGTTAGATTGCTTGTCGTCATCTCATTAACCTTGGCGCCTTTCTCCAAGAGGAGTTTGACGAGTGCTTCTTCTCTATCCAGCGCGGCAGTGTAGAGTGCTGACTGGTTATCTGTATTTAAAATGTTGACGTCTGCGCCGTGATCAAGGAGCCGTTGGACGAAATCTATCCTCGAGCCGCTTTTGCTGGCGTGGATCAAGACGGGCGTCCCGACAGAGTCCTTTGCGTTCACGTCGGCATTGTGTGAAATAAGGAAATCAAAGATTTCCATTTGATTCTCAGTGGATTCATAATCAGTAATCATCTGAATGAGGATTGGAGGCTGGATCAGTGGACTGTTAGGATCTGCGCCACTGTCCACCAGCATTTGACATATTTTAAGGTGGCCTTTGACCGCTGCATATCGCAGAGCGGTACCCCATGTAGAAGGGCCAGGAAGATTCGGGTTAGCCTTCTTATCAAGGAGGAGTTTGACGCATTTCTCGTAGCCGTCATCAACAGCTACTACAAGAGGCGACCACTTTTCTGGCGGATCTTCAGATTTGATGCCCATGTTAGGGTCAGCACCCAGCTCCAACAACACCTCAACGACATGATGATGGCCCCATAAGCATCCGAAGTAGAGAGTCGTAAAGCCATCTTCATCTGTGATTTCCATATCGATCTTCCCTTCTTCGACTAAAATCTTGGCAATCTCAGCGTGACCTTGCCCAGCCACATGATGGATGGCAGTTCTATCGTAAAGATGGCGAGATGTTATATCCGCATTGTGCTTAATAAGGGTACGGACAATCTCTGCATGGAAATTGCGAGCTGCTTGGGAGAGCGGCGTGGCCTTGGTGATAGGTGTCCAGTCAGCCTCAATATCGGGAGGATATCCCAAATCGAGTATACGGTCGGCGAATCGATCGAGGCCTAGCCATGCCGCTCTATGAATGAACAAGGGAGGCCAGGTGGCAGTATCTGGGCTTGAATTAATCGCAATGATTCGATCAAGCATATCCAACATTGTTTTCTCATCTCCGCAAGCTCCAGCGGCTTTGATTACATCCATGAGAGCTGCTTCTGACATGTCGAGTCCCTTTATGAGTGTAAGGACTACGTCGTACTGGCCTTTCGAGGCAGCCTCAAGCAGACCTCGGCGTTTGTCTGCCTCATCTTGTGGTTCAACCACGTCAAGCAAACCAAGGCTTGCGAAAATTGGAAACAGCGTATCTAAACACGTTGTGCTCCTAGTGATTGGGTTTGAAAGCGCCCAGAAACCCTTTGCCCAGGTACTTGCTAAATCTGTAGGCGAGGAGTGAGAAAGAAGGTCCTTCAGCTCCGGTTTAGGAGAGCTGAGCATAAAGTGATGCGTCCAAGCCTGAAGAGCGTAAGAGCATAGATTTCCTCGATTCGCAAATGTAGGCGACTCGAAAGATGCGGCGTCTGTTACCTGAAAGGTGTTGCTGATATACTCTTGCACGGCTGGCTGAGAGAGATACTTAAGACAAAACTGCGCAATATCAAAATGGGCAGTTTTCTTGATCTCACCCCAGACAAACTGGGACCCGGCAGATGTATCGGCATCCAGGGCCATGAGGATATTTCTCAGCCGTGGATGCCAAATTTTGACTTCGTTATGTTGTATAACGACAATACCAGCAAGCCATAGCTTGACTTTGGAGATGAGTTTGTCTACCACTGTCGAATCAGGAGACACCTGGCCCTCCTGATCAGATCCAAGATAGATAACCGTTGCGAGCTCCCAGACAGTCAGTGGTCGGACAGAGTAGAGAAGCCATGTCAGGAGCCTTCGCATAACATCCGGTTCGGGGGCATTCTTAAGCACCCAAGCGAGCAATTGTTCCAGATTTTTATCGTCATCAGCCACTGTGTCTGCGTCGAGAGTTAAGGATTGAAGCATGGTCTCAATGGAAATTTCACTGGGCCAATCTTGCCGTACCGCTGCCTGTTCCCAAATGACATGTTTGATGAGGGGATCGTATTTGTCAATATATTGTAGTTGTTTCTCAATAATACTGGGTTCAAAGTGAAGTTCTGGTCGTGCCGTGAGTAGCCGTGCCATATCATCCTTGGAGTCGGTCTCGGCGACGTTGATTAGGTCTTCCTTAGATGCGTCAAGATCAAGATTAACGCACCAAGGACCTGAAAGCTCCTCTGAAAGCGCGCCAGGCTTATGACTCGTGACGACGACTTTCCAAGGGTTCTCACTCGCTTGTGAGAGATAGGCAAAGTTGTCGAGGAATTGCTTCCGAGAACCCTTGGTACACTCGTCAAAGTGGTTTATAACAAACATGACGTGCTCCACCTGCTCAGTAAACCTGAAGCGTTCGAACCAGTAAATGAGATCTGCCTCCGTCCATCCATGCTCTTCATGGAAACGGGTGAAGGTCAATTTGATACGGTCTGCAACGCCGGGATAAAAACATAAGATTTGGGCCAAGAATGTGGCGAGCATGTCTCTGAGCGAGTCACACCTGACATCGTATCTATCAAAAGAGAAATAGAGCACCATGGAAGTGGTACTCTTGAGAGCATGCTCTTCCATGATGTAAAAAAGCTGCTCAGCTGTCTCACGCACGTGTTTGGTGCCATGAAGATAGAGCATTTGTGGACCGCGGTGTTGAAGCCAGTCTTTGACATGTTGGGAGTTTTCAATTGCTGCACTGTCGCTTTTTCCACCTTGTAAGGGAAACACGGGAGAAGCTAGAGCCAGCAGCTCTCTCTCATATCGGAGCTGTTCCGCGCTCACTGGAGAACTCAAGGCTGGAACGGTCTCATGTTAGTTACATATTGGCTTATGATGCTTAAGCACCTGCTCATGGAAGACCCAGAAGAAATCTCACCCTTCATCAGCCCTTGAAGACATTCAGTAATAGTAGATTCATCGCTGGGATCAGGTATTCTCTTCTCCATGGGCACCCCAAGTGTTGCGCTGTAAGAGTCAAATGCCTTGAAAGTTATCGTTAGACAGTACAGCTCCCGCCTGAAGATCTTGTTCGTCTTTGGGTTGTATCATATCTTACCTTGTTCATCTTTGACCAATATATGTCTTGATAATGAACGCTGACTGCCCGAGTGCGGAGAGTGATTTTCGACTCTATAAATAGGCCGTTGATTTCCATTACAGCTGCTGCAAATCCAGAAATAGCAGACGCTGAGGGCCGAATCTCTGCCACCCCAGAGTCAAACCCTCCAAAAAGAAAGCGAGATAGTCTATCTTCCATATCAAAGTGGTCGACGCTTCGATGAGGGGAGCTGTGAAAGACCTGTGTAGTTGTTAGAACATGGCACCTCCTCATACTCCACAGAGCCATCAAGCTTACCATGATGCGGCTCATTTCTGCAATGTCCATCCATGAGTCTGTGTCAAGAGCTGCCGTAACTAAAGCCTAGAGAATATTAATGTTAGTCTCAAGGGTCTTTGGCACCGGATGAAGCCTTGAAATCGGACATACATCTTTGACTATGAGTCCTCCGATATCATGCGCAACAAAAATAATCAGCCGTTTCTATGAGCACGTTTAGTCAGATCAATTGCAAGACCCTATTCGATAATTTCCATTAGATCTACGAACTTGAGTTTCATGCCGCCTCCGAGCGGCCAGCGCTTTCAGTAACTTGAGAGCGCAGTTTCGAATAGCTTGACGGCTTCGTTTACCACAAAATAGCTGAAGTGGCTCGTACTCAAAACGAAGGATTCTCGAGGGCTCGAGTGACTGTGCATAGCTTGAGACCCATTCACTACTACCAGAGCCGGGTCCTGCCTGAGCTTCGTTCTCCCATTCTCCATAAACTCCATGAATTACTACGAAGCTGAATTGGTAGTTGGTGGTTAGATATGAGATGCTCACTTAGAGGTGATGTTTAGACACATACTCTGCAGCTACGGAGGCGGGATCCGGGCTCCCCTCACTTTTCCAGGTAACATGGAGGGGTTCGGCATCTGGATCTGGCTCCGGCTCCTCCTCTGCCTGAGGGCTTGTCTCAGTTTCTGGTTGATCAGCCTCATTAGCCTCCGGGGTTGAAGATGGAGTCTTTTCTTGCGCGGTCTTGCTCTGAGTCCCTTCTGCAGCGGATGATCCCGTTGCAGCTTCTTGTTCTACCTCTGGCACAGATCCTGGCTCTGGTGTACCGCCCCGCGGCGAGTCGGACGTGCTAGAAGAGGATGAAGAACCTGAGTCCGACATCTTGGAATCGTGAGCGGCAAAGGCTATTGCGGATATGAATCTTCAGGGCATCAGTCTAAACGCAAGCTTATGAACCCGAACAGGTAAATTTAGCTTGGAAGCAAATGCGCTCTTCCGGATAAACGCGAGCGGTTAGTATGCTCAGAGCTCTATTCCGCGCCCACTACAAAGCACCAGCGAATATGACGATGTTGACAGTAAATGAGAAAGAGTGTGAAGCAAGTTAGCCAAGAGAATTTGCTAGAGGCACGTAAGGGCTGATCAAGCGTTAGAGAAATCCTATGGCCTCACGCAAGCTCCCACGATGATGAACCCCTCCATGGACCACAACTGCCTGCGTATTAACGAGTAACCCCAACAGGGCTGAAGACTCGAGCTGAATGGCAAAACCCACCTATGCAAGCAGCTTGGGCTTGGGTCCGCAAGTACCTTGGAGGTACCCTCCCGAAGATCTGACATGCATACGGAGGTCGCGCGCGCATCGGTTAGAAGGCGCTGATGATCTATCAGTTGCGCCAAGATTGCCTCTGGTTGACTTGTGCTCTCATAATGGGGGCTGTGCGTCTAGTTTGCTGGGCAGAGCCTCATCGTTTCTACGCACTGTGCCATTCCCGGGCCGTTCCTTGAGAGCGAAGGAAGATTGGGGCGCTAGAGAAACAGGTCTGGACACCCTGATCCCTGCTTCTGTGTACAGTAGCTCGAATCCCGAATGTGACACCATAAGGACCAATAGACTCGATTCGAGCAGCGAATCCTTTCGATCAGCTCCCGCGGAGTTTTGAGCAGTTGAGCAGCAACTCTGAGAGTGGTTGGTAGTTGCGATAAAAGCGCGAAGACCAGGCGGAAATTTGTTTGAGTAATTAATCAATCTGCTCCCGATCAGGAATTTGTGTAACACAAGCGGGGATCAGAGTAAGGCTGGCGGATCACTGACCTCTCCGAATTACTCCCGCAACTCCCAATACTATTGTCGGAGGGTGGTAGCGGTGGAAGATGGTGGGATGATGTCGAGTCTAGGCGACGCTACTCACGACACTATTTCCACCACTACCTCGTGATGCAACGTGGAAATATGCAGTGCCGACGGTGGCTACAAGATCTGCCTTGTGAGCCCAACTACCATTATGAAACGGAGGGGATTGGCACCATCAGGTCCGTTTTCTTTCAGGCTGATTCCATATCTTCTTCTCTATCTCTACGTCGTGTTCTATAACGCCAAGGATCGACACGTCGCCTTACACAGAGAATTACGCATTGATCAATTGAACCAGCCATGGATCACGACATCAACAACGATCCAATCCCGGATGATGAAATAGACAATGTCGAATTCATTGATTCAGATCCGGACTCAGATCTCGAAGACACATCTGTGAGCATTGGGTTAAACAAGACGGGCGAGCGCGGCAGCGGCTATCATACTCGCAACGACCCTTCCGCTCCATACCAGAGACAAACGGTAACGGAACGTCGAGGAATCATCGAAGTCCGTTGCAAGTCTCGAGACGTTATCCACGGGGTTCTCTCGGAAGAGACAGGAGAGAGTGCAACGCTTCTCGTCTATGACTTCTATCTCGACACAACTCGAAGGTCACGGCGAATTGTGTCTGCCTCACTGGAATTCGAGTTTGGGAACGCTGTTCCCGGAGTTCCGGCACCTCAAGTCCATGCTATTGCTCCTGCGGGTCGAGTGACTCTGCTGCCTACAACTCAAGAGGAGTCGGTCACTCATGGAGCCGAGGTGAACGCTGGTGTGAGTGAATTTGGCGCAAATGCTGGCGGAACCGTCAAATGGGAGAAGACTGTGAGCCGCACAACAAACGACGACGCCAGAGTGACGGGCCACATCTTCAGCGATGACTACGGCAAAGGCGTTGGCGCGAGCTGGGTTTTGCACGAGAATCCCACGATCAAGTCTGGCACGCCCAGTTTCTTACGTTGCGCTATTCTGCTCAACCGCGGATTTGACGACAACAGATTCCAGTGCAAAGTGAGGATCAAGGTGGAGGCAGATTGGAAGTCGGAGATGGGTCGGTTGTTTGGCTCAACACCACCAGATGACCCCGTCTTGTTTGACCCCGAGATGCCCCCCACCAACAAGCTAAGAAAATACGACACGGAAAACCTGAGTTCCATCGATTTGGATGAGTTTACGGATATCATCTTCGACAAAAAACTGAAGAAGAAGGACGCGGCTTGAGGCAACCCGAGAAAAGGCGTCGATGATTACTGTTCACTTATAAGCAGTAAGTAGTATCAGCTAAGATGTATTACGTACATGCACTATGTATTCCATATCTAGAGAGGTATTTGCTAGGGCTACTATTCTGTACTCCGTACTCCGCAGTTGAGTCCACCATTACAAGTAGCAATCAAGCTCCATCAAAACTTGCGTCGCAATGAATCGTCCAACTATTTTTATCAACTAATTCGGCAAGAGTTTCCTACCTAGGAACTGTCACACGAGAATCACGCTCTGTTCTGGACCTTGCTGCAGGGCGCAAATGCTAGCACGGAGACGGTCTTACAAGGTCTCTGCTATGACCAATCATCCAGTTACCAATTCCATGAAACTAGCTAAGAAACCGGGGGCAGGTTTTAGTCCCACGAGTCCGTATAAATTCGGGTTGTCCAAACTGTAAAGCAAGCTTGACCAAAGGGACCCTGACAACCGTGTCTAGTTGTGTTTCACGAAATTTGAGTCATAACAACTCAAGTTGGAAATTCACGCAAACACATATTTCCGCGAACTCCTCCTGGCTGCCTAGTTAGCTGGGCTGGCTAGTGCAACTTCCGGCATGTGGGGGTATAATGATAGACGGATCACTAGTCGAGGTAAACATGGATTGCGAGTACATTCAGTCTACTTACCTGCCCTGCATATGATCATGTGGAGCGGCCACGGTCCCTTCGCCAGTCTCGCCTAGTCGTTGATATCCCGGTTGATTTGAGGCGAAAGAAGAGGGGCCCGTTTGGGGGCGGATGTTAATAATCGCGGCTGAAGATCAGACCGGGAAACGAAAGCAAACTCCCACCGTAATACTAGCTCCCTTGTGCATCCTAAGCTGCTATTCCATAGTTTCCGTTGTCAAAGTGCCTTGAGAACGTTTACCATGAGTCCCATGATTGACGACGAAGAAAGAGAAAATGAGTCTCTAGCAGTGGAAGAAGATGTTGACAAGGCAGAGTCGAAAGCTGGCGATGAAACGAGCGAAGATGAATCCGACAGCGATGAAGAAGAGGGAGAGGTTACCAACCGGAATGGAAAGTCTGTCAAAGACCTTCTTGAAGAGTTGCTAAAAGAAATAAAAGATGGAAACAAGGACCTCACAAGCAGCAGCCAGTTGAAGTCCTTCAAAGCCAATGGCGGCGACGGCCACACCTTGGCGTCCAACACGGGAGATCCTCGCCAGCCGACAGCTTTACACATCATGGCCGCAATGGACAAGAAAGATTTACCAAAGCTGGACAGCAAGATGGAACCTCTCATCAAGTTCTTGGTGGAACATGAAAACGATCTGCTCAGATCGCAAGACCGATCAGGCCATACGCCTCTATTCCTGGCTATTGAAGCCAAAAAAGAGAAAATGGTGCAGTGGATGTGCGACTCTCACCCAAATATTAGTGCAATCTTGGCCATTTCCAGCAACGATAAAGATAAGATGAACTGCCTTCACATTGGCATCGATAAAAGAGTCAAGTTTTTGGACCTCCTCATTGACAGAGCGGAGCCGGAGACTCTGGCGGCCAAAGATGGAGACGGCAACACGGCGTTGCACCTTGCCGTCGAGTATAAGAAATGTAAAAAAGAGCAGCTAGATATCATCCAGAAAATTATCGCCAAAAGCGATGCTGCCGTGCAACGCAGTTCGGAAGATGGTGACTTCAACAACGACGGGCTATCGCCATATCTTCATCATAAAGAGAGTGTTAGGAAGGCTTTGGCTAGGGAGAAAGAGAAAGAGAGGAAGAAAGCTAAGGAGGAGAAAGAGCGCGAAAAGAACAATGCCCGTCTTCGTGGCGAAGCCGCTGAAGCTGACAACTCCACGCAAAACCGAGAGACGGCTCCGAGATCCCAAGGCCCTGGAGGGCCAGGAGCTCCCAGTGTGCAGGCTCCAGACCCCAGCGGACGCCCAGACAGACGACCGAACATTCAGATTGACTCTTCTCGTACTAAATACGGAGGACGGACACAACCTGCAGCGAACGTGAACTCACCAGCTGTGGCCACAGCACCTCCGCTAACGAATAGAGACGAGATTAAAAAGCTAGCCTTGCGTCCACCTGAGACAACTGTAGCAAAGCCAGCTGCTGACGCAAGATCAGTCACAGACAGTGGCCACAAATCTAAAATCGATGAAGCAACTCTAAAAGGTGTAGAGCGTCTTCTGAAACTTCATTATCTCCGTTCACGCAGCTACAATGCTGCCATGGAAATTTTATATGGGCGCAATACAACTTCAGGTAAGGGAGACAGTTTCTCAATTGAACTACCGCAGCCGGCCAGTTGTAGGGATATGAAGCTAACCGTTATTTGTTACATAGACTATGAGTTGTATTTTGACTTGTCCGGACACGCGAACATCGCTCAGACTGGCTTTGAGAACTTATTGTCAAAGCTCAAATTCGAGGATATTCTTCAATACGTTGCCATTCCAAGGCTTAATGTGGAGGTGAATATGAATGCAGCAAACAGTAAACGGTCCCGTGGTACCGGCCGCTCCCCGAAACAGGACGGCGACGGCCGACGAGACTTGTGTTACATATTTGATCGTTTGAGAAAGAAAGGAGTTAAGACAATTCTCAAGGTCATCATTGACGACTCAGTATCGCCTGCTCACAGCGATGAAGCTATTGAAGACGCGTTGAAATTTATGGACGTGGAGATTTGGGATTGGAAAAGAATAGATTTGTGCTCCGAGGTCATATTCAGAGTGGCATCTAAAGCACGCGAAGTCAACTTATACTGGAGCGGCAATAATGCGGTGCTTAGAGGATGGAGCGAAGAGGGCGGACTAAAAAGACTCCGAGAACTGAAAACAGTCCATCTACATATTCAGCAGGTATGATCCCTTCTGCGATTTGTAGCAGACGCAGGGTATTTACTAATCTTATTTCTTAGGGCCTCGAAACAAATAGCCGCACGAAACAAAACGTCGAAGATTTTTGTGATCGCATGAGGAAGCTATGCCCCGAAGTTGACGTCCACAAGGAATGGCCGATTATACAAAGAGAACAAGTGGATGTCAACGCTCTCTTAGCCGGAGATCAAGCTGAGCATTCGACCAAACACGAGTGGATTCAGTGCATGAAGGAATTCCGACGTCTGCTCTTTGACGCTGAGCGCTATTATGACCGTGGAAAAGTCGAAGAGATTATCGAAGAACCGATCAAGATTGCTCTTATTGACGATGGAGTGGACGTCAAAGATTTGGAGTTTAGTTTCATCGGAGGAAGAACCTTTTGCACGCGAGATGAGGAGCATAATCTCAACGATCCTTACTATGTGTCTAGTACAGGACATGGTACCATCATGGCAAAGCAAATCCACCTGTTGTGTCCTCGGGCGCAATTTTACGTCTTGAGACTGGAGGATCATGCCTCAGAAGAAGGTAATGTCCGGCAACTTACGGCTAAGAGTGCCGCTCAGGTATGTTTATCTTATACAAGATATCCTCCTTTTCAACGTCGTTTATAGAAGGTTTAACCATCGCATAGGCAATCATGGCAGCAGTGAGGAAAAAGGTGCACATCATTTCCATGTCTTGGACAATCGACCCTCCCGAAGATGAGGAAGAGAGACGATTCCTTGACGCGGCAATTGTGGAGGCTGCCAATGCAGACATTCTCATGTTCTGTTCTGCTAGTGATAAAGGTGCCAAGCAAAACGCAACATATCCCTCAAAGGCCACTACCAAAATCTTCACCATTGGCGCTGCTACAGCCTCAGGCGCAGCAGATCCCTGGGTTGGTAACCTTGGGAACATCAATTTTACTTTCCCTGGTACCAAGGTCGAAATGGACGGCCCCCGATCCAGCACCGATACCTCGTCGAGAGAGGTTACGGGCTCATCTGTTGCGACCGCTTTGGCTGCGGGTCTTGCTGCCCTGGTTTTGTACTGCGTTCAAGTGCGATTGCTGTTGGCGACTGATCAGGATAAACAAAAGGCGCGTCGCGATTTCCAGCTTCTGAAGAAGCATGACCACATGATGAAGGCGCTCAAGGACATTGGTACGACGGAGGAAAGCAACCACAAATTCATCGAGGTGTGGGAGGTATTTGGTAAGAAGGTGGAAGAGAAGGAGAGATATGACCAGGAGAGATGGCTTGATCTGATTGCTGAAGTGGGTACGATCCTGTGCAGAAAGATTGGTTAGATGAGGGTTAGTATAAGCATTTCGCCTAGGTACACGAGTAGAGGAAGAGAGCGACAAGGGCTATACCACTTGAACAGATATGATTTGATTACCTTAATTTTACTTTTTGCGTCCAGTGTAACCTAGCAGATGTTCAGCTCTGATAGTTGCTAATTATAAGCACTGAAGTCGTCCCAAATTTTCGGCCCGCCAATAAGACGGCACTTACATTCCTCCGTCTTACTCGATCATCGACATTGCCAAATTACAGCCTTGCGAGATGCAGCTTGGAAATAAAGTACGCGAGGGTTACCAGATTCGGAAGCCGTTCGAATATGAGCAACTGTCATTCGCCCGACGATTTGCGCCGGCTTGTGCCACCAGGCACCCGCAAAGGAGCATCTGGAGATCCATCTGTTGCTATTGTTAGAGTGTGGCGGCAACAAACTTGGCTTCTTCCGGATAGCTCTGGTCGAGTTGAAGACTTACCGTAGCTTTGAAGATCAATTATCTCTCTAAGATCCATGGATGTAGGATCAATTTGATGGAGATGATTTTCAGCCGCAGGATCCATTTTGGTCCAATTTTGGAAGTTTTTCTATAAACAGCCTCAATCGATTGAGGGTCCAGAGTTTTGTTGGCATAAGCAAAGCCATCTACCGAAAGAGACCATTGTAAGAAATTCGAGATGTCGTTGATCTTCGCATAGCTTTCTCAACTAGGAAAATCAGGACCGAGTTCGAGAGTTTTGAGGTCTGAAGAAATAGGTATAAGAGATAGCCATAACCCTACCAGGTTGTTTGAGCTCACCACTCTCAACACAGTTCATCATCCAGACACTCTACGACTACAAAACTTTTCCACCTTATCAAGTATTTTATACAGCCTCTTTCAACATGAAGTTCACCGCGATCATCGCCTTGGCTCTCGCCTCTGCCTCAGTCAGCGCATACCCCATCACTGGTGAGGCAGTCAACTGTCGCACTGGCCCAGGCACCAGCTATTCCATCAAGAAGACATACAAGAAAAGCCAAGATGTCTCCGTAACCTGCCAAACCTCAGGCACCAGCGTCAACGGCAACTCTATCTGGGACAAGACTTCCGATGGCTGCTATGTCGCCGACTACTACGTCAAGACGGGCTCTAGCAGCTACGTGACGAAGAAGTGTGATGCGCCCAAGCCTCCCAGCGGTGGCAGCAAGATTCCTGGCCCCATGACCAACGACTATCCGTACAAGAACCAGTGTGGACCGGAAGATAAGTGGGCGTACTTCAAGTGCCAGTGTACCAGTTTTGTTGCTTGGCGTATCAATGAGCGACTGGGCATCAAGTTTCACAACCAGTATAAGGGTACAAATTGGGGAAATGCAAACACTTGGGATGAGGCCGCTCGCCGAACTGGCGTCGTGGTCAACAACAAGCCCGTGCCTGGATGTATCGCTCAATCGAACGCAGGCAGAGCCGGACACGTCGCATGGGTGTCAAAGGTCTCTGGCGATAAGGTGACTATTGAAGAATATAACTGGGCGCACCCCGAAGGATATGGCACTCGAACCGTGCCTAAGAGTAGCTTCAACTACATTCACGTCAAGGTATAATTGTTGAGTGGGTGCAATTCATGACGTTATCATTTAGGTGAATCATCTGTTGGCCGACTATGATGTTAGAATGGGGTATCATCATAAGAACTTGTATCTAGAAACAGATTTACTAATATCCATTTCAATCTCATTTTACTAGAACAGTATAAAAGGATTCCTTGAACTCTGTGTATCGAGAGACGAAGGTATTATAAAGTTAGTTTATGTTAAATTCTACACTCCGCTAAGTATATACGTATATGTATATATAATGCAGATTTTCAGTTTTTAACAACTTCAAATGCTGTCATTAACATAAAATGCGACAAAGAATAGCGAGAGTAACTTAACTTTATAATCGAAAAATAGAATACAAGATAGCATAATGACAGTTCAGTGTTTGCACACTTACGAGCACTTAGTCTTGCCGCGCGGCATCTCCTATTACGCAATTTGAGTTTTTTTGGCTGAAGGTAGCTCACCAGAAATACTACTAATGTTCTTGAATACTTCGATACATCTCGCGTTGTTAAACCCTAAAGATATTTTGCTAACTTAAATTATCTTTTACTTTTTGTCTAAACGTTTCTCTCATATTATAACACCTGCTCACTCCCCCACCCTCTCTTATTTTTTTCCCTCTCTCATAAACTATGTTGTTATTTACAATTTTCCAATTGAAGCTGCTTATTGCTCCCTTAGTCGTCTCAGCACATCGTTCACATGTTCACTCTGGCTAGAACGACACTGATCACTCTACTACTTGCAATTACTTTCTATCAATGGAAGAACTCACAGATAAAACCTCCTGGAGAAGCAAATGGAGCCTTATTGATGCTATGTGGGAATCGGAATCGGACCCTGAGAGCTTCGAACAGCCATATGACTCGGCCCCAGATGCTCTTCTAAACAGACTGACGCGAGTTCGCATGATTTTGGGCGCTCTCGATAAACAAATCAAAGACTTGTCCAGCAAGATCAAAGATTTAACCGAAAACAAAAGCAAAGACGAAGGTGATCGCGCTTTGAGGCTGGAAACGCACTTCCGATCTGAATATGCGGGAGCGACGCTTGGCATTGAGTTCGCAAAAAAGAAGCAAGATGAAGTACTATTAGAGCGTCAGCTTGCTTGGAGAGAGAGAAATAGTGGAGTCATATCGCAAATACAGCTGGAGGAACGCTACAGTGCACTGAATAGGCGTTATTCCTCCGCCGGAGGTGATTTATGGCGCAGCTCGAACAAAAAGCTACACTTGGAGAACCCTACCGCAATTACTTCGATGCAACTCGATTCCGATCAATCAACAGCTTTGAAGATTCCTGAGCTCTTATTACCACTATACAAAACATCGGATAACCTGGGTGATCGAAGAAAACCCTCCAATTGGATTTCTGATGTTGTCGAGTACTACTCAGCCAACTGGGAGTATCATGGGAAAACGGTAACTGAATATGTGTCCATTGCATGGTGTCATGCTAGTGGGACGTGGTATCGTTACGATCAGCGAGTGGCGCGCATTGTTCCATTTCTTATGGCTGCGAACAAGTTAGAAGAACTCATTTTTGGCTCCGTGAGCGAGTCCGTGCAGCACCCTGCCAATGCATTACTACTATCAGGTGGATTAAGGGCTTTGCTAGAAAATTACAAGCTCGTTATTGTGCCTACGGATAATTCGGAGACACCAATCAAGCGATGGCGAACACATCTTTTATTTCCTAGTTGGAAAGATTACTGTTGCGGGAATGACGAGAATTCGAAGAAGATTTACCTCAAAGATATAGATGGCAAAGAGCTCACCTTTTTAGGCGAAAGACGCCCCTCTCCGAGATTTCTTTACTTTCATTTCATAATGGCTCTAATTCGCCTCAAGGACTGTGGCTCCGATGGCTGGCAGCAAATTTGGGCCCGTTACTACCAACAGCGCCCCTTTCCACAAGCTAGTAATTATATGAGGAGGGCCATGATAAAGGCATTAGCGACATATTTTGAAGTTGCCGATATGAAAGTCGTCGAGCTGGATCAGCGACCAAGGGTTTGATACACAGATACAAATTCAAGATGACCAGGCAAAAGAGTTGGCCAGACGTGTGCATCGAATTGTCGATGTAGATATTACTGTCGAACAGGATGATAAGTTTGAAGAGCTGTGGGACACAGATGGGGATACTGATGATGAAGAATAAGAAAATATATTGCCATTCAGAATAGCAAATCAGGAGCTATTATAGCCATCTATATGTACTTGAGCGCCTCAGACGAGGCAGTGAGAAAGTGTGACAACTCTTTCAGATGGAAGAACGTGGCAAAACCTCTAGTAATAGATAGTTACTGAGTAATTTGTCATCCATATTACGATATAAAGAAAGAGAATTGAAATACATCCCCATCATCATCCCAGAGCCATTTCCGTGGCGCTTAAATGAACCCAAGAACGTCACGCTTCCTATTCTCCACCACAATCCACTCATGAGCTTCTCTTGGATAATCGCTCGAGTCTAGCTTACCGTCACTGCTTGGGGGTCTGTATTTTTTGAGATTTTCAATAGCCCACACCATCTCTTTTGTGAGGGGAGGTGGGATTCTGCCTTGTCCAGTCAAAGTCCCAAGGCCAGACCACTTGAAAAATCCCTGCAGCCACTCATGTGTTTCACCATCTTCCCATTTAATATCATGGAACTTGCGATGCTCTCTTGTCGTTAATTCTGCTCTATCATTTTCCCAGGCCTGTTGTTCTGGTATTGGCGGAAGTGGGATCGGGTTGCGATTTGCAAACAGGCGAGAGAGTGCAATGGCCTGATATTCAAAACTCCGGAATGTCAACACGCGGGGCAGGCCGACAATGCCCAGATTTGGGAAATCCTGAAAGAATGTGTGCCAGTAGCTCTTCACTAATCTTCCTGTCTTGTCGTCCCAAAGAGGCTGTCCGTTCTTTTTGGCGTTCCAGAAGGGATATGATGGCCTGTATCCAGTACAGTAAATGACGGTATCAATATCATCCAGATATGTGCCGTCATCAAAGAGAATTCTGCCGTCTGGCAAATATTCTGAGATAACAGGCTTCCATTCAATGCCTGCAGGTGGTGAATCTCCCTCCCACCATGTCTTTGATCTCTTTGACTGGTACACAGGAAGCTGAGCTGTGGAGATGAGCTCTCGACTTAGATCTGTCCCCGATGCAGAGTTACCAATCACAAGGACTCTTTTGGATTTGTAGATGCTAGGTGATCTGTATGACTTGGAGTGCACTATACGACCAGGATACTTTTCAATGTACTCCTCAAGTCCTTTGACACGTGGTATCTAAAAAAGTCAGTAAGAAACGGACTAAGTCTCTAGCAAAGGGGAGAACCTACCGTTGGAACAGAGTAGTGGCCGTTTGCCAAAATTACGGCATCAAATGTTTCTTCCCACCATATATCAGCTTTTTGGAGGGCATCATACTTTCTGAGAGTCAAGTTCCATTGCGTAGAACCGTCATTCGACGGATGGTTTATCTTCAGAACATCCTCAACCGTGGTGTTGAGTACCAAAAAGGAATCTGTCTTGTGTAGTGCAAAGTAATTCTCTATGTATTGACGTGGAATATGATGTGGAGCAAAAGGGCCGTACGGAAAGCGAACATCCGAAAAAGACATAGCAATCTCCGGCACATTTGTCCTTGAAGAGCCTATGTCAGCTTACACCACACCAACAAAAACCAGCTACCAGCAGAGAGACTTACGTCAGTGAATCGTAAATGGGCGTTGTAGAGAATCGCTCTTGCTGATTAGGACGAGTAACGGTAGGGAGGCTTTGAGGAATCTCCAGGGGAGGGTCTATCTCAGCCGGCAGCGCTCCAGGCCGCACTAAGACATTTGGTTGAACTCCGGGATCGTATATCCTAAAATCGGTGACACGAAGTTGAGCATCCTGTATATGCTTCATTATTATCGATTAAGTAACTCTTACCATGTTCCTCCTGCACATTCTCTCCTCTCAAAAACACGTATCACATCAAATGCTTCTTCCGCTTTCAACGCCGCCGCCGTTACCGCTCCTAGATGCTGCATTAGTAATTGTCATCAAGCTCATGCTTAGCTCCGACGTTGACTACCTGCGGCCCCCGCGCCAATGACTGCAACAGACTTGATTTTATTTCCTCCGCCCATTCTGTTAGGAGTTTAGATGTCTGTAAAATAGTTCGTATAATTTAGAGAAAATGTAGTGAGGGGGTTTGTTTGGAAACACAGAGATATGAAGATCATCCTATCATGGACAATCATGTAATTATCACGTGCATCCGGATGTCGTGATCGACTTGGGCGATGGCACGATGCAGCTGGTATATGTCAGCTTTCTTGTATTGGCAAATAGATGCATAAAACGCGTTATCGCGAAACTTCTTTGGAGGGTAGATGTTGCAACCCTATCAGTACTTGCTATTAATACAGAAGATGAAGATGAAACAAAGTTGCCCATTCAAAACCCGATAGATGTCTCTTTTGAGATGATGGACCAGTGCCTTATCACAATCTCCGGCGGCAGGTATTGGAGGTAACTGAAACGTTGCTCAATTCGGCCTGTGTGTTGAACTGACCATTAACATCAAAGAGTGTCGCTGTTGTTCTACACGACTATATGAAGTACATGGTCCAAGCAATTTTACGAAGGTTCAATCCCGCATCAAGAATTACGCCAGATGATAACCTCATCGTCTGGGCTTCTTTTATCACCTAGCCTATTAAGCTGTATCCTTTTGTAGGGAAGTTATATCAAAATATTTTAAGTTGTCAAGAGTAGATGTGGACATGGATGAGACATGTTGTGAAACATTGGCGCTACCCGAGGCGCACGGCTTGGCAACCGGCGACCAGGGCTTAAATGATCCTCAATATATATATATATAATCCAGATGTTAATCGATGCTTCAAATCCAGTTAGGTTACGATGCGGATATACTATGTAATGATGCAATGCAGGAACCCTGTTGCGAGGAGTGTAGTTATAAATAAGATGCAGATGAATCTCACGCCAAGAGATGTAGCCGGCTACTCAAATTTATTCGTGCATCACACTATTCTGCTTTTACATACTAGATAATAACCGTTCTCTTTCTCGGTCCATTTTTGCATCCAGGACTACCTACATATATCTATGGCTCCTTATTGTTACTCCGCCTTCCAATGGTATTTGGAAGCTGGATGATCTGCTGGCGGCCTGGCCACCCCTTTCTTTGCGTACAGGTTCTCACGGTAAGTTCCGCCATCAACCGCATAACCATCCCAGAACAATCCTCTTTCTTTCAAGACTGGAAGAAGCAAGTCGATGACATCTTGGAATGTTTGGGGCATAAGGGCATATGCAATGTTGAAGCCGTCCACATCGGCTTCTCTGACCCACCGCTCCATTTCATCAGCTACCTTTTCTGGTGTGCCAATAACAGTGGCTCCCAGGCCGCCGATCTGGATATGCTTTGCCACGGCCCGCTTTGTCCATTTTGGAACTGAAGGAGAGGCTTTAGACCAAGCTTCCACGGCTGATCGGATGGCGTTGGACTCGACATGGCGGAGCTCTTGATCATCGTCGTATTGCGCTAGATCAATGCCAGTCCAGCCGCCAAATAGGGCCAAAGCACCATCTTCAGAGCCGTATTGGATATAATCCGCATACTTGGCATCAGCCTCCTCCTGGGTCCTCCCAATAATGGGGCAAAGCATGGCCAAGAACTTGATGGTGCTGGGGTCTCGATTGTACTCGTCTCGCGCCGCGGCTCTAATATCGGCAATGTTCTTAGCTATGACAGAGGGACTGTGTCCAGCAACAAAGATTGCCTCTGCATTTTTAGCCGAAAATGCCTTGCCGGCTTTTGAAGTTCCAGCCTGCATGATAACGGGAGTCCGCTGAGGCGATGGCTGACAGACGTGCGGCCCTGGCACCGTAAAATATTTACCTTGGTGGTTGATGGGCCTGACGAGCGAGGGATCCGTGTAGATTCCCTTTTCACTATCAAGCTTTACCGCATCATCTCTCCATGACGACTGCCTTTATTTAGGCACACAATTAGTTGCTAGTTCTTCTATGAAAAAAATCTTTGAGATTACTTACCATAGCTTGTAAATGGCATCAACATATTCATCGGCAATCGCATACCGCTCATCATGAGGCGGCTGCTCGGTGAGACCCAAGTTTCTCGCAGCTGAATCAAGGTACCCAGTCACAATGTTCCAACCAACTCTGCCACCAGAGAGGTGATCGACTGTGCTCAGGCGACGGGCAAGATGGTACGGCTGCTCATACGTCGTTGCAATAGTAACACCAAAGCCAATGTTTTTGGTAGCTGCGGCCATTGCCGGAACTAAAACCAGAGGTTCATTCACAGGCAACTGGGCCCCAGATATGATGGCGGGATCCGGGTTACGGGGCCCTTTGTAAACATCGTAGGGACCCTGATAACGTTCAGTCTAAGTTTCTCGACATTCCATAGCCCAACTTACCAAAACGTCAGCAATGAAAATGCCATGAAAATGAGCACTCTCTAGTAACTGAGCTAACTCAACCCAGTGGTGGATGCTGTTAAAGTTGGCTGATCGATCTTGAGGGTGTCTCCAAAGGCCAGGGGATTGATGGCCACTGCATGACTCAACAAAGGCATTGAGAATAAGCTTCTTCTTGGGGGTGCCATTGGTTTGGCTAACTCTAGACGCCATCTTGAGATATCCAAATTCCGATAGATCGGATGCCTGGCAAGCTGCTTAGAAAGTTGCTGCAGACTGAACAAGGTCCGAACACGCGGGGTTGAGACTTGCATATGATATTACCAGTGTAGCACCACAGCATCCCAACCAGGTATTCTTTATATCATCAGATTTGGAATGTTCATTGGACAGATTGGTTCCTGCGCACTTTACCCTTGAGAAACGTCAAGTGTAGCTCGAATTGCGCAATTTCGATAGTGACATTCAAGAGAATGCAGCTATAAACACTAAGAAACGACGTTGAACACTATTACTATCAATCCACTTAATGTCATCTGGAAATAAGCATGTGAGAAACAATTGGCATCTCCGGTTTCGCGCTGTCAAATCCCCAAGATACGGGGTCGCGAATCACCTACCGTCTCGGTAGGTAGCCAGATGCAACTAAGGTTGAACATCCTGGCAGCAAGCTCTCGCGTCATCGGAGCTAAATGATGCAACACAAAAACTACGCGCCCCAGCAGTCCAGGGCTGACTTTAGGGAAAGAAAATGAAAAGATATTGTTAAAAGGCTAATGAAGGTGTCTTTATAATCGGAATATGAAGACGCTTTTGGAAACGATTTCTGAATCGGGGCTTTGATTGTGTGGATGACAACTCCAAGATTTGTTGCAGCTGACTTACACCATGCTTCACTTTGCAAGAGCGGCGGATGGCGACGCCGTCAGCCCGCCTCTGCCACAGGCAGCAGGTTACGTCGTTGTGATTGCAATTGGGTTCCTAATTGCCTTTATCATGATTTTTACAACACACTTATTAAAGAAGACTGTTGGAGAAGACAACAAGACCACGGAAATGTTCATGACGGCCAACCGGTCTGTCGGTACAGGGTTGACAGCTTCGGCTGTTGTATCATCATGGCTCTGGAGTACTGCCATGTTGGGAAGCACCCTTGTAGGGTACAACTTCGGTGTTGCGGGGCCATTTTGGTTTGCTGCTGGGTAAGATCTTTCAGTTTGAAAACATTTTGGTTGTTCGCGGCGACTAACATGATACCATTATTAGATGCTCACCCATGATTGTTTTCTTTGCTCTACTTGGTATTGCATGCAAACTGCGCGTACCTGAAGCTCATACGCTACTTGAAATTGTAAGAATACGGTACGGTACAGCAGGACACATTGTGTGGATTGCACTATGCTTAATCAACAACATCATTGCTATTGCCAACATGCTTCTTGGGGCAAGTGCAGCTATAACGGCTCTGTAAGTGACTTTGTTACCGACGCGAAGATAAAACTTCAAGCTGATCATGTGTAAACCTAGCACCGGAATGCATATTATTGCGGCAACCTTTTTGCTTCCTGTCGGCGTCATTCTTTACACTTTCGTCGGCGGCATCAAAGCAACTTTCTTGACAGATTATTTTCACACTTTTGTCATCACCGTCATCATCTGCTTCTTCACGATCAAGACTTTCACCGTTCCAGAGATTGGATCTCCTGCTGGGCTCTTCGAGCTCATTGTCAAGGCTGGTCAAGATCATCCTGTGCCTGGCAATGAAGGTGGTTCATACTTGACCATGACCAGCAAAAATGTCAGTTGTCGCTAATCTCATATTCCATAATGCTATTATTCACACTGAATGATGAAACAGGCTATTCTTTTTGGCATCATCCACATCTTGGCCAATTTCGGTCTTGTAATCATGGATACCGGTTTCTTCGCAAAAGCTTTCAGCGCTGCTCCTCAGGCGGTTGTTCCCGGATACATCGTTGGTGGCATTGCTTATTTCGCAATTCCATGGTGCCTCGGCACTTTGATGAGTTTCTCGGCTCTTGGTTTAGAAAATACAGCACGATTCCCGACATACCCTCGGAGAATGACTCCAGAAGAAGTCTCCAATGGACTGGTGATGCCTTATGCCGCGTTTGCGATTGCTGGAAAGGGAGGAGCCGTTGCCGTTCTGTTAGTCACTTTTATGGCCGTTACGTCAACCATCAGCGCCCAAGTCATCTCTGTATCTTCCATCATCAGCTTTGACATCTATCGCCAATATTTCAACAAGGCCGCTACAGACAGGGATGCAATTCGATGGAGCCACATTGGAGTCGTATTCTTTGGATTGTTTTCTGCAGCCTTCTCAACTGCTCTTTTCTACGGAAACGTGAATCTCGGCTGGACTTTATACATGCTCGGCGTTCTGACTTGTCCCGGAATCTTCCCCACTGTATTCACTATTCTCTGGAAGAGACAATCCTGGGCCGCCGCCATCATATCGCCATTGCTGGGAATGGCTACTGGCATTGCTGTTTGGCTCGGCTCAGCACATGCTCTATATGGTGAAGTCACTGTGGCTTCGACTGGACAAAGTTTGCCCTGCGTTTACGGAACTGTGGCATCGGCGCTAAGCCCTGCTCTCTATTCTATTGTCATCTCCCTCATTAAACCCGCCAATTATGACTGGGCAGACTTCCGAAAAGAGCGATTGGCTTTCAGCGAGACAAGCAGTGCTGATCCTCAAGTGACTCCTGATTCCAAAACTCCCGCGGTCACTGTGTCAGACTACTCAGAAGATGCGGCCAAGTTTTCGAAATGGGGGAAAATCGCCGCTTTCTGGGCGGCTGCAACTTTCTTAGGTCATTGGGTTTTATGGTAAGTTGAGTGTATTTGGCCCTCTCTAGTAGCGGTATCTGACAAATTCTTCACCGGTAGGCCCCTTCCTATGTATGGTTCAAAATACATTTTCGAGAAAGGATTTTTCGTTGCCTGGATCGTTGTCGCTATTATATGGGTTTGGTGCACTATGCTGATTGCTGGATTTTATCCTATCATTGATGGCAGAAGGCAGCTGCTCCTGGTGTATCGCGGATTGAGAGGAATAAAAACGGTGGACGATGATACTGAAAGCGGGACGGAAACACCAAACAGTGGGATACTAGAAAACAAATAGATTATATACTTAGTACGGAGTAATTAAAGAAGCTAAGAGGTTATTCTCTCTTGCGCAGATATTAGTACTCAGTTGCTTTGGAATGTTACTCGAGAAATTAGTCTGGGCAATCAACATAGTCGCAATTTAATGGAATGAGTTAGCATAAATCGTAATTAACTATTTCGCATAATAATTATTCTATCAATGGCCCCAATATGTACCGAACTTCGAATCCCCGGAAACAACTTGAACAAACTCATGCGCTATAAGAGAATCTGCAAAACATTAGTATACACAGGGTAAAGGAATTTCTTTGAAAGAATTGTTATTACCTGTTTTATTTGAAGGGTGAAGCTCATCGTACCTGCCGCTCGTGTTAGTTCATTGTCATCTCATACGAAGCAGGAAATATACCAGAGATAGGAATCGAGTGAATCCGGGCCATCCACGCAATTTGCACCGTTTACGTCGCAATGATGAAAGAACCCTTTCACATTGTGTGGCGGCTCCAAAAAATTCTTCGGCTTGTTGTAGATTTCGGTGATGAAGCTGTGTATGTCGAATACTGCCACCTTGGCACCTGGCCAGCGGTTTTTAACGAGCAGATTGAACGGAACTCCATAGTCAATTATTGTGTTTGCCGACGTAGTGTATTCGAGCATCTTCTGGGCGTACTCCGTCTGGTTGTACAGCGTCTTGTTTGCCCAGAACTGGTTGTCTCCTGCGCCTCCATCAGACTGTGGTCGGTAAAGCCCTACAAGCTGCAGGGCGTTTAGATTGAGTAAAACGAAACGCCGACCACCCGTTGCGTATATTGCGTCAAAAGTCGACCAAAGACAGTTGATGTATGTGGTAATATTTGTTCCGGCTACTTGTGAGTCGCTGAGGATGCCAGTATAACTCAAGTCGTTTGTGCCTATCCACAGCGCATAGACAGTGTTTGCTGCAGTTACACCACGGTATAAAGCTGTCTTGCGATCCTTCTTAAATGAGGGTATCTCATCCGTGATAATTGACGGGAAGTTCGCATTGAGGAATCCCGCCCATCGTGCCACATTGTTGTTGTCACATGTAGCACCAGATATCGCATAATCGTAAAGAGTTGCACCGGTGCTGCTTCTAACATATTGAGGCCACGTCAAACCTCCGCTAGCAGTGACATTGGTCTCAGCTGGTAGTACTCCTGGTGGTGGTCCATGAGCTTGATGAGATCCATAATAATTAAGCCGGCCGTTGTCAGTATAGCTGTCTCCAAATGTGATGAGATATTTGAAGTCTGATTTGGGATGTAGGGATGCCGCGTTCAGGGCTGTAACAAAGGTGGAAACTAATAAAATTGATCTCATCATTGTACTTTGGCTCCTTTGCAGGAAATTGTTATCAAATAAACCATGCGGTATAGAAAAACCGGAACAAGAGTGAGGAAATGCAACACAGTATATAATAATAATCAGCTTATATAGCGACACATGGACTCACAGTCTTGTCAAAAGGCCTTGTCAATGTAATGCATATAGCCTAATATCGCCATCGATGCTCGTCACCAAAGAATTGCAAATGTCATAACCTGTTCGGCATTTATATCCATCCCAGCCAATAACAACGTTGTCTGTGATACTCCGCATTGATGTGCATTTGACTGTCCAATTTTAGCAGGGATATTAATCCAACAAGCGGTAAAGATCCGGGGAAAGACGTCTCCTCTAGGCACCGTAGCTTGTCCATAGAAACACCACTCGAAATTCGTCAGTAAACATACCAATCATTTTTCTACCTCAAATGATGAGAGCTAACAAAGTAAACATCGAATATTGAGCATCAAGTTGAGGAAATATACGTTTCATGTCTGGAACGGCATTTTGATTCGCATGCCTTGCGATTTGGGCGATTTGAAAGTCCATTTTAGCCTGTAGGCTAAACGGAAGTAGGATGACCGGAGGACCGGATCTCTAAGGGATAAATGGGCTTCTAGCAATTCAGATTCATATCGGTGAAAAGGCCATGGATTACATCAATTGGAATTGTAATATCTAATTGTGGACAAAGTCATCGCCATAAGCCGGCATGGCAATGCAGTAAATTTAGACAAAAGTTCTTTCAGGTGCAACATATGGCTCTTCTCCACAACTTGGATTAGCTGCAGGGACTAATTCACAAGCTACGATTCCAATTGAAGTCTGAAGAAGGCGATCAGCACGACGTTAATACCGGGTATGTATACAAAGTCTGTCATTACTGAACTGAAGATGACGGAACACAGTTGCCTACATATTGTTTAGCCATCTCTTTAATCCTGCCACTTGGGTAGCCCAAATTGGTCTTCCTATTTTTACCAATTCTGTTCCATAGCCATCCAATAACTCGCGAGCATCATCAACTGTTCGCTTCGATAAATTTGCACAGTCATCAGCAGTGCCAAGCGTGCTGTCGATCCATTCCTTTCTCCAGATTCTTTTTGCTTCAATGGCTTGATTGCTGCAAGTATCAATCTTTTTCGCCACCATGTAAAAGGACGAACGCTTTGCATGCGCCCTTTTTGGTTTAAACAAAGAAATTTCAGAGAACTTCGAGAATATGTGTAGCAGCTCAGCGGTATGAATCTCTTCAGGCTTATGCATAACAGCGACCAATGTCCCTCCGCTCTTAACGTGCTCCAAAGCGATGACAAGTTGTGCAAGCTGTAGACGCACGGCTTCTCGATGCTCGCGCCATTCCCCGAGCTCTTGATTCCGAGTCACCTGACAACCACAAATTACCACGTCAAACATTTCATGTCCCAACAACTTTGTGACAGTGAATGTGCTTGCTGCTGGATGGCTTTCCGGTATAGAGGTCAAGTCCATATCTCCAGCTAGGGTGTTGATATCACAGAGATCAAGCTTCATCCGTTTATGCTTGAATTGTACCGAATGGCCTCCCTTATTGAGGGGAAGAGTGATTGCTCGAAGTGTAGTCTTGGGATAAGATTCCATTATTGTTGCTGAAAACCCTCCTGGAGCCATTCCCATATCCAAGGCCGAAGGCTCGTCACTCGACTGCAATATGTCGAATGCGCCCGTGCTGGAATGAAGCTGTTTGCCAATAGAAATTGTCATCTTATAAAAATAAAGCTCGCCGTCAGGTGATGGATTATCTGCTCTCTGGCGTTGCTGCTGAAAGAATTGATCTCCAGTAGGATTCTCCCAACCCTATGCTATCATCAGTAATTTGCAGCATTTTAACGGCAGATCAAATCACCTACCTGCTGTCGAATATCGCGAAGCGCACGATAGGTTGGACTGCGCTCCAAAAGGTACATATGGATCAACTGTTGAGGTCCATTCGCTATTGACGTTGGATCTGCTCTCAGAGCTCCATTTGTGTCAGTCGGTTCCAATAGCGTAGCGTCCATTTTGAGAGCATTCGTCGGTGATGTGATAAATCTGGTAGAAACGAGAGTATACTGAGAGCGAAGAAAGTAGCTACCTATAGTCATGGCTGCCTAAGGCTCCGGAAGGATCACGTTCAACGTTGTTACACACACGAATATTTCTGTAACGGCTAGCGTATATGCATTTTGTATTCCGGAGGGGTCGGTACATGTATCGCCTCCCGTAAGCTGCGATCGAATGTTTCCAAGTGTAGATACAAGTATTCGTTGTCTATTCTTGCATGAAACAAGTTTGCTTCAATATATGAATTCCTGCTTCAGGCGACGAGAAAATTGGGCAAGTCTAGGGATAACTTTATATGTGGAATAATGTTTCTTGTCGTACGGAGGCTTCTATATCTTTTCTAAATACAGGTGCAATCATTCAGGTGGTACCCGACGCAGGTGTACCTGCGATGTCTATATGAAGTAGTCGCGACTTAAAATGGTTGTCACATTGTAGTTAAAAATGCAACATAAGAAACATGGCGGTTTGTTGAAAGGGTTCGTATGGTTCGTATTCGGAAGTAGCTATAAGCAATCGCCGGCTTCAAGATGAAAAAACCTTTTATGAACTTTTCCAACTACCATAGCTCTAGGTGTATGGAGTGCATACACTTATATATGTATTCGCATACCTTCGCATGGTGACTGGTCGAAGGCCGCTGTGAGGCAGGCGAGTTAGTGTAACACAAAGCTGACGCTACGTTCGTGGAAGGTATAATATTATTCTTACACATAGGAATTCATTATGTTGCACAAAGAATGCTAGAGACTGATGTTGATAACGCAGCACTTGATGACTGTAATATGTCCATTTATCACGTCGCCTGTTGCATGAAAGCCGAGTTAATACAGGTCTTACATACATAGGATAAAGCAAATTTTGAGGCCCAACGACTTCCAGCCAAGCTCGTCTAAACTGATCGCATAGCGACGATGTGGTCGACTTGTCTATGGATAGGTGCTGACATTATCGCAAGCCTATACTGAGTGTGAAATCAAAAGCGACTACTCCTACCGCACAATATTTGACCGAAGGATAGAGTACGTATGAGCTCTACGCCCCCAACTACAAGAAAGGAAGCATTCCCCATATGGTGTCCATTCCTGCCCGTGTGACTCTTGATAGTGAATTCGTATCCTAGCTAAGTTTCCACTGATATACTCATATATCCCATGGCGCGCTGTCAGCAACTGGTTGGTCATTATCTTCATCAAAGATATCAAAACCCAAATGTCGGCTTGGGTCAAGAAATCGCACAGGGCCGCGCTGAGTGGACAGCCGATCTACAGTACGGAAGTCGTCCTCCGAAAGCCTCTTTAGATGGAGGTTTTGCTCCATGTGGCTAATCTGCACCGATTTTGGCACCACTGGAATTCCCTTTTGTACCGCCCAGGATAAGCAGACCTAAATATTCATCAGGCAATCAGTTCAGTATTCAGTGCAACATACGATGGGCGTGTATGTACCTGAGCCGAAGATATTTTGTACCTAGCTGCAATTTCGTTGATCTAGGATGGCTGTCAGAAGCTTTTCCTCCATAAAACTATGTGTCTCACGGATACGTGCCTTCAAATCTGCAGTTGGGAATGGTTCGTTAGAACCCCGAACAACTTCGACCGGACGACCACCAAGCGGTTGGTGGGCCATGAGAAGAATGCCATGCTTGGATGAGAATTCGAATAGCTCTTGCTGCGGTAGGTACCTATCGACAACTGGAGATTAGCAACAGCACTTGAAGAAAAAGATAAAAACGGAAATTGAAGTTGCCTACGGGTGAATTTCAACCTGATTTACAGCGGGGATGATATTTGCATTGTCGAGGATTCGTTTCGTCTTGAGAACATTAAAATTCGAGAGGCCTGTCGTGGTAATTAGTATCATCAAACATTGGCAGACGGCGCTATATGAACAAACCAATTGAACGGACGAGGCCGAGGTCGACCAGTCGTTCCATTGCCTGCCAAGTTTCTGGATATCGTTTGGAGAGGCTGTAATCTATCACGGGCTAACTAGCGTAAGATCATTGCCTGTAGCATTTAGACATGTGTGATGACGCCTCACCTTTCCATTACCGCTCGGGTGTCTAATGGTTTTGTTTTGTTCCCCCGCCTTGTAAGCATGAGGGACTTGGTGGTATCAGCACTCAGCCGCTCTCCTTTGGCGATACTTGAGAGATTATAGCGTGTAACATACAATGCATCAAGTATAAATCAACTGTCACATCCGATGTTAGCCACATATAAACTCTTTGTTGCTGAAAACATTTGGATTACCATAATCTAACTGCAGGTCGCTCAAAGATAGTTCGAGAGCTTTCTGTACATCGGCAGGCTCATGCCAAGTTTGTGCGCTGATATTGTTAAGCGAGAGAGAACTCGGCGGTACTAGAACACGAAGGAGCCTGGCACATACAGCTTAGAGGTTACAAATATCTCATGCCTAGGAATTCCACTTTCTTTAATAGCCTCTCCGATTTCTTTTTCGTTCCCATAAGCGCTGGCACCATCGATGTGTCTATACCCTAATTGCAGAGCTATCTTTACGGCGTCTTTGACCTTGGAGTTGCCTTCATCGCCCTGAAATGTACCGAGCCCAATAGCAGGAACATTGTGGCCATTGTTCAGAGAAAAAACCTGGGGTAAATCCATGGCGGGAGCGGGGGAGAGTTGACTGCGTGATTTATGAGGCCGAAAGTTTGTTTTTGTCTATGTTAACCCTGGGGCCGCGAACGCGGGAAATCTATGGTATGGTCAATGCGGCCTGATCGCGGGAGCACGATGAGGATTCGCTAATATTTGCTATATGATATGGTAAAAGGCCCCGGTTTCGTTTTAGAGCCTGGATCCCCGCGGAAGACCAGGGTCTTGGTAATGGAACCGAGGATGGGCGGGCACATTGAGTGCCATTGGTCTGAAGGGCATATCAGCTGCGAAGGAATCCAGTATTGTACGCCCTCTACTGCTTGTCAGGGTCGTATAAAGTTCTCAGCCCGCCCATTTAGTACATCTAGCCTGTAGATGATTATTTGTATCCACTGAATTTGACGAATATTTTCCAGGCGAAACTTTACAGTGAAGATGGCCAATACATTTGGCAGCTATGTTGCTGCTGGAAATCAGCAGACGGTAGATCCAAATGTGCTCTCTGGTGAGCCATATTAGCAGACCTTTGCCTGTTTGGGCGTCAAATTAACAGAAACGTCTGAATATTTGCAGCATTACCAGACGTTGCGGAGGTGTTGGAAGTGGCATACCACCAAGAGTCTGCCTGGGCAAAGGCTTTTCGTCTTAATGTGCGCAACAATGATGGGAGCAGCGAAGATTATTTCATGAAAGTTTGTATAACACTGTTCAACTCTTGGAATGTGACTGGTGCACGACATTAAAATTGCTTACCATCCTAGGTCTCTGTTGACCATCATGGGAAACTGGCTCTGATGGGCGAGTTCGAATCTACATCGGCTATCCACAAGATCATACCCGAATTCTGCCCCAAGCCCATCGGATGGGGGACTTTCAAAAACGATACGAATTCCCATTTCTACATTTGCAAGTTCTACGATTTCATCGAAGGCGTACCCGAACCCAATTTTTTCTGCGAGCAGCTAGCCCGGTTGCATTCTAGCCACACATCACCAGAAGGCAAATTCGGATTCCACTGCACAACCTATAACGGTAACCTTCCACAGGATAATACCTGGTGCGATAGTTGGGAAGCGTTCTTTGCTAACGGTCTACGCCATGTTTTAAAGGTCCGTGAGGACCGGGCTGGACACAACCTTGAGCTTGATGAGCTTATGCCTGCACTCTTCGACAAAATCATACCCAGACTCTTGCGACCACTGGAAAGCGAGGGACGGACGGTACGACCTTCGCTAGTTCATGGAGACTTATGGTACGGGAATACAGGTATTGTCGACGGAGATACAGAAGAGGGCATCGTTTATGACCCTGCCAGCTTTTGGGCGCACAACGAGTGTAGGTAATCTTGCACTCTTACTGACTCGTGTCCCCATGCTATCCCCTGCATCTAGTTAGGTCCGCTGATAACACAATGCTAGATGAGCTAGGAAACTGGCGCCCGGAGCGAAATAAGTTCACTCGTCGCTATTTCCAGGCCTATCATTCCCACATACCCAAAGCCGAACCAGAAGAGGACTATGACGACCGCAACGCCCTCTATTCATTGTACGTAGCCCACGCTGACAGTTTTGATAACTTAACTTATTCTTTCGATCTAGGCGATTTAATTTGCACGCTGCAGCACTGTTTCCCAACCAAGAGTCATTTGTTCGCATGTAAGTTTCTGACACGAGCATTTCTATGTACAGTGGATCGTGAGCCTAACATTGCTGTAGGGCGATAGACGAGATTCGAAGACTAGCCGAAGCGTACCCCGAAGGATATACCGGCGCAGCGGCATAGCAGAAGGAAAATTTCGAAAGCGGCTGACCAGCAACAGAAAGGTGTCAAGCCAGGCAAGCCAAAGTTGTGTTTGGAAGAATAATATATACACAGAGCCAACGTACCACCTCTTGAGCTTCTAAACATTCAATCCAGAAGATTCTTGTACTCTTAGGTAGCCTAGAAACCAATGAAAAGGAAGGGCGGTTCTATTAGCTCTCAAAGCATACATGCCTGCACAACCGATCAAGGTCACATTGGGGGGAATATGTGCTTACGGGTCGGCCCGTGGTCCCTAGGTTGAAACATCAATCATGGTCTGGAGACACTAAAAGTTACGTGCATCTCACCAATATGCACCCTATGGGTATACTCTGTGAGGTAATAAGCTGTTCCCACCAATAGTCTACAACGGGGGTAAAGAGATTCTATTTCAGTTCAACTTATTTTCGATTTATATCTCTAAAATACCTTACCTATTATTAAGTTCGATACTTGGGAATGGCTACACGATTCGCTGCTGTGTTATACGTACAATACATGTACTATTCAATTCCACGTTGATCAAGCAGTTCACTCTCTTGATGTCAGTACTTTAGTGCCCGAAGCGCTAGCAACCTAACAAGCTAGATTTCTCCCTTAGCCAACTTTGATGCGGAGAGGCCCCTTGCAAGCACTCCGCCGCTTGAACATTAGTCCCCTCTAGCCCGGGTATGGGATTGTTTATAGAAGTAATGGGAAATGAGCACTCGTCTTGAGGCTATGTTAGACTCTGCTCGTGTGTAGGCCAAATTCCATTCCCATCCTTTCATACATGTGTACTTCGACTCTTCACATGAGCTCATTCATGCCTTAACTGTCTTCAACAATAGCAACTAGCTAGCTGTCTCTGCGCGGGTGTGAGCTAGGACTTGGTTAATGGATGATCTACCCTTGTCCTGTTGGTTGTACCAGCTTTCATGCTAGCTTCAATGCTAGACTAGGTGCGGTCCGGTGGAATGGCCGAGTTGGGCGCTTGCAACTTACCTCTCATTGGGTGTCGTGAATGGCCGTATTTCAGCTGGCTAGGCAAACCCCCTCAGCTGGAGGTAATCCCCTTCTTTCTCAACCCGTCATATTCTAAGCTGAGGTGGGCTTCACGAAGCAGGTGAGCTGTGATCAAAATCTTTGAGCCAGACGGGAAGAGGCTATATCTGTTGATATTAACCCTTCGACTGTCACAACCTAAAATTATGCAACAATGTCGCGATTCCCAGCGGCAATAAAGACCTTACACGCCAGGGTCGCCCACACCAACACGGATGCATCTGAAGATGAAACCCAAGAGACCGACCCGCTGGGACTTACCACGCTCTACGATCCGGCGCCTAGAAATGCCATAGTCGATATAATATTCATCCATGGACTTGGAGGAAGCAGCAGGAAGACATGGTCGAATTCGAGCCACCCGAGGTCCTTTTGGCCGAAAGATTGGCTGCCAGATGAGCGAGGATTTGAAGATGTACGAGTCCATTCTTTTGGCTATCGAGCAAACTGGGGCAAGAAGTGGCAGCAACAAAGCATCCTGAATATTCACGACTTTGCCGAGTCTCTAATAGGGAGCCTGAGAAACCACCCAAACATACGTCGGGATGATACGCGCATTATTCTCGTTGGTCACAGCATGGGCGGGTGTGTTGCAAAAGAAGCCTACATCATCGCACGACAACACCCATCATATAAAGACCTAGCAGGGCGAATATATGGAATCTTCTTCCTCGGTACCCCACATCATGGCTCAGATCTGGCAGGCATCCTGGAGAGCATGCTGATTGTTGCTTGGGGCAAAAAGCCTTTTGTAACGGACTTAAAATCTGGATCATCTGCGCTCGCCCTGATCAGAGATAGGTTCCGCCATGTTGCAGCGGACTTGGCATTATGGACCTTTTATGAGACATTGCCTACAGCCTTGGGGCCTATAACCAGAATGGTGGTGGACAAAGACTCGGCAATTTTAGGCTTTGATAAAGAAAGGATCGAGGCGATGAATGCTGATCATCGCCATGTCTGCAAGTTCACCAGTCAAGAAGATTCTAACTACAAGATGGTACGAAATGCCCTCCACACTGCCGTCGATGAGATTAAAGATAGATTCCTGGAGTCGACCCTATCACAACTTGATACAGCTGATAGTACGGAGATCGAATTAGATCTACGCTTAAAGTCTCTTCTTGGAGTATCCGATACATTGGAGGAAGATCTTACATTACAATCCGAGTTAAAAATGCCCGATTCTTGCGAATGGCTTACGAACAAGTCTTGTTTCATTTCTTGGAAGGAAGGCGATGCCCCGAGTATTCTCTGGCTGACTGGGAGGCCTGCAACCGGAAAATCCATCCTTTCCAGCCACGTTATTGATCACCTAAGGCCTCTACGCGTATGCTGTAGCTATTTCTTCTTCAAGCACTCAACTACGAACAAATCCACACTGAGCGACTGTTTTAGGTCTCTCGCCTTTCAGATGGCAACTCAGGATAATCTGGTGAGAGAGAAGCTTATACAGCTTGAACACGAGGGAGTCGCCTGGGATAAGACAGACGACGCGACTATCTGGACAAAGCTTTTCGTCGACAGAATCTTCAAGCTACCATTTGAAAAGCAGCACTTCTGGGTGATTGATGGCCTTGATGAATGTGGCAACTTTAGTTCACTCTTCACCAAGAAGCTTTTGGCCAAATTGCCTCGCAAGCGCGAACTTCGAGTTTTCGTTACCAGCCGCAATCTAGATACTGTTGAGCGTGGGTTAGTATCTCTCGGGCCTCAAGTGACTACCTATGCTTTGTCAGATTCAGATACTCTTGAGGACATTCGGCTGTTCCTGGCCACAAAACTCAGAGAGTTGGACCGCCTAGAGACAGAGGACGATTTGGAGGCCATGTGCAACAAAATTCTCAAAAAGTCTTCCGGTTCTTTCCTCTGGGCTCGCCTAGTCTTGCAGGAATTCGAAAACACTTGGACTGAGGAGGCCATGGAAGCCGTCTTGAAAGAAGTTCCTGGAGAGCTCTGCGACTTGTACAGTAGAATGGTACAATCGATCGAGATGGACAAGAGCAAAGCAAGCCTTGCGAGGACTATATTGACATGGATTGTCCTAGCACGCCGCCCTCTGGGTCTAGATGAACTACGGTGCGCTGTAAAACTCGATCTCAACCAAACACTACAAAACATGAGAAGGGCAATTCCTAGTTTATGTGGTCAGCTTGTCTACATTGATCCAACAGACAAGGCGCATATAATACACGAAACAGCGCGCGAGTTTCTCCTCGATCAAAGCATGTGCTCCGAACTTACCGTTTACAAGGAGCGCGGCCACACTCACATTGCGGGTATTCTCACGCGATTTCTGTCTGGCGATTGCCTTAAAGCACTGCAATTAAATTCCCAACGCTCCGTGAAGATGAAAGGTTTCGCTAAATCTGCGTCCACAATGCCTATTGACTCATCTCTGCTTGACTATGCGTCGACATTCTTTTCGGAGCACATATATCGCTGTTCATCAGGAGATGATGTCTTGATGGAAGAAATATGCACTTTCCTCAATACCAATGTACTCTCCTGGATCGAACATGTTGCGAAAGGCGGTGATATAAGTCACATTACACGAGCCGCCATGAACCTTCGTGGTTATTTAGGTCGTCGAGCGAAATACGTCCCCCCGACGGATTTATCGGTTAGCATTGTCGAAGGTTGGGTGACAGACCTCATTCGCGTAGCCGCAAAGTTTCAATCTCAGCTGCTCACGTCGCCCCGTTCAATCCACCGCCTAATACCCCCTCTATGCCCGTCAGAGTCTATGATTTCCAGGACCTTTTCAAAAGATCGGCGATCGGCAACTTTCGCTGTTAAAGGCCTTCCTGCTGCAACATGGGATGACTGCTTGAGCCGCCTCGATTTCCAGAAGGGCCAAGCAACAGCAGTTTGTCATGGAGATGGTTTTTTCGCCGTTGGGCTATCAAATGGAAAGATTTTTCTTTACAATGCTGGATCTCTTCAGCTACATCTGACCATCACACACCCCGAAAGAGTCAAATTCCTCCAGTTCAGCCAAGATGACGAATACGTTATCTCTTGTGGCGCCAAGTCAATGGTCCTATGGAGGCCGACAACAGGCATTCAATTATATAAATTCCCCTTACAATCGCCCCCTCTTGGAGTCATATTCTTAGGTCTTGACGAAATTCTTTGCGCATTCCAATCTGGTAGTCTCACAAGATGGTAATATGCGCCTCAAGCACTGTTGCTTAATCGTAATATACACATGCTAACAACCGTTAGGAGCCTTGAGAGATTTCAGAGCGGATCAATACCGGAGAACCTTGAGGATGACTACTCCCACACACAATATATTATGCCGCAACAGACTCCAACTTGCGTGGCCTTTTTGGTAACGAGCGATGCTATCTTACTTGCTGTCGGCTACCGCAAACACCCGGTACTAATATGGAACACGCTGGAGCAACAAGTATTGGGTCAATGTATCGTTGATGCAAACAATGGCATCGATGATATGGTATTCAATCCTAACCCAGACATCATTGCACTGATAGTATCATGTAATGATGGTAGGTTATGCATTTTCGACTACTTGATGATGAAGTTGACGTTCACCATGCCAAACGTGTATGCGCAAAGCGTTGCCTGCTCACCCGATGGTCATAGTCTGGTCACGGGTGGCAGTCATGGAATGATCGAAGTTTTCGACTTCGACCATGATTATGATGGCAACACTATCCTGATGCCTATTTATCGCATCGACGGGCTATATGACTCTGTCCGTGGCGTCGCCTTTAGCTTTAACGGACTGCGCTTCCTTGACGTTCATTCCCAACAGTGCCGTGTGTGGGAGCCAACAGCCCTTGTTAGGAAGAACAATGAATTAGAGAGTACCAGTGATGCAGCAACTCTTCCTGTAACAACAGTTGGCATGCTGAATGGCCCCGAAGAACCGGAAATCACAAGTCTCCTGGAGGTATCGAGGGATGGCCAGTGTGTCATTGCAGGCAAGCGGCGAGGAGACGTTTGTCTCTTCTCTACTGCTGACGGAGTAGAGGCTGGCACGCTTTATCAGCACGCACGGGGAGTATCTGTCATAGCGGTTACTCTCGGAGAAGAGAAGAATATTGTTGTTTCAGCTGATGACTCTGGCCGTGTCTTAGTTGGCGAGCTACTGATGCCCCTGAGAGATATTGCAACAGGGTTTCAAGGACAAAAGCAACCAAAAGCGCGTATTATTCTTGACCGTCGATTTGGCGGCGCGGTAGTGCGGTTGCTCATTAATGATGCAGCCGACAGGCTTCTTATAACTGGCCATAACTTTGATGAACTTTGGGATTTGCCGTCAGGATTAGTTCACAAACCGATACAGCAACCATCTACGGACGACTATACCGCAACTTCTTGCGCTTCGGATTGTAATAAAGCAGCCAAATCTTCCGCCCGTACGGCTTTCTGGCATCCTACAAATCCAGAGTGGTTCGTAATCATCGCTGGTGATGTGGCGCGAGTCTTTCGCTGGACCGACTATGAAGAATTGACTTCTGCGGAGGGCATTCGCCTTCAACGGCCTACACCATCCTTGGAGCCCAGTTCACAGAGAGAGTCTCCGCGGTCACCAAAAGCTCAACGATTCGAACCTTTGCGACATAATTCCGATTGCACTTTTACAGCAGCAACATATCATGTCGCGTCTGAATACGTCGTCGAGCTTCTTAGAGCCTCAGCATCTGCACCGCCGCAAATCCATCTGTGGTCAGCCGCTACGTTTGATCCAAATTTACCAGGAACATCAGCTTTCCCGATCACAGCAACTAGTCTCGGTGCTATACGCTCATCTGTGCGATCAGTGATCGGATTCGTGGGTCCATCAACGCTGGTGTTTTTAGACAATGATCTGTGGATATGCAGTGCCGAATTGCAGCCCAAAGTTACTAGTGGAATGGGGAATATCGGTAGCATTCGGGCGTCGTCACCCAACACAAAGGCCCGTCGTCATTTCTTCGCGTTGAGTGAATGGTGCGATACAGAGGGCGAACTTAAGTGTGCGTTGGCTGCAGTCTCGGGGGTAGCTCCGCATGCCTACAGTCAGGAAGTTATATTTGCGAGTGATCATCGTGTGGTGATAGTAAAGGGTGGGTTTGAGTTTTCCGAAAGGATGATCGTAACGAAAACATGAACTATTGGCGAAAAGATTCTAAACGCCATGTCTCGCATGTAATTTGTGGAAGTCCTGCCCGGCCGGCCTGCTTGAGGAAAGGGGTCGACAGGACTTCGCAGGTTCGTTTATAAGTGCTAGTTACGGTACACTTTCGCGCATTTTATTGCAGATATAAACTTACAGACTGAGATGGGTATCTATATCCAAGCTAAGAAACTCAAGAAGTAGTCGCAGTATACCAGTGTTTCGAATCGGATGAGTGGAAGTTCAGCGCGTGGCAACACTACAAGATTTCGGCAATTATCACCGAGACGCTAATTAGCACGTACGAAAGAGGGTCATGGTGAATCATCAACCTATGATTGTAAACATATAAGGTCTAACAAGGAGAAAGGTTTTCGGAAATTGGTTGCCAAGAATATATTTCTTTACAGTTGTATTTTGTCACTGTATGAGAAACCTCCTCTTTATCCGTGCAGTATCTTCCAATACGATGGACACTTTATCATCTAATTGGTCAATCGACATGACAAGAAAACGCCGCCATGTCCAATGATCAAAAGCCTACACCTCCAGTTCTTAAATAATCGCGACTTCGCTCGAGAGGCCGTATCACTCGATGCAGCATTTCTTGTCTCCATTTCTCTGGTGCTACACTCCTATTTCCTCCGAGACACCACGAGACCGCTTCGGCATAATCTGCGCCTGCCTCTTCATTGACTTGACACTGCCACTCTCGAGCCGCCAAAACATCATAGCCCGCCTTCTCTATCTTATTCTCCCCTGCTGGTAACCTTTTTCTCCATGGCTGGTCTTCTAGAATTTGGCCGAAACAAAGCTCCAAGAGCAAGATGCCTAGATGATCAAGTGCCCCGGCAAAATGAAAACTGTTTTCGGATGTAGAGAGGGCATCCTGTTTGTTCATAAGTCTGAAGCTTTGACTTATATATGGCTGGTCGATTTCGACGAGAGTTGAATCGGAATTGCCTTTGGGGAAAAGAAAATCGGCTCTTTTTGGAGATGGTGATAGCCACGGGGATTCCAGCAGCTGAAGATATGTAGAGGCGATGATTAGTGACAGCGTATATCTCTGTGAACGCGAGAATACTGGATGTATTTCGCCTTGGAGTATTTGGTCGAGGGTCACAGAGGGCATTACGTTAGCGCTATTGTGAGGGATATTGTACAAGTAGTAGCGACAATTCTGATCACTGACGTAGCCATAACATAATGTTCCTAGCGGTTCGAATGAAGTGCAAATGTTCAATATCTCACCAGTCGTGCTGCGGGATGAAGAGGCGGTAACACAGGTGGGTGTAACTGAAGGCGACTGGGAGCTATGCGTTGCAGACGTGAATGGCCACCAGTGATGCCTTCGTGATTTAACAATTGCATCTGCGTTGCCCTTCATCTGGAGCGCTGACCCATTCGGATAACTCTGCGCGCGGCTAGGCTGATGAATGGGAACAGTTTCTAGTGGTGTGATACTCTCATCCAATCTTGCCTTTTCTGTTTCGTCAACCTCCGAAACCCTGATATTTTGAACTAACCAATTAGAAGCAATGAACCCTTTCAGAGTGATATCAAACTCCGCCTTTCCTGCTATCCGATATTGGAGCAGCAGCTTTGCTCCATGTTGCTGACATTGGCAAGTCCAAGCAGAAGCCAGAGCTTGATAAGCACTCTTTGCCTTCTTCCAGAAGCTGCATATGGCTGTGTCAATTGCTTTTGATTGTTGCTTTGACTTTCTATTTGTCGCTATGCGTAAATCTTCATCACTAGCTTTAAAAAGTCTTTCTAGCTTATCGTTATAATTCTGGAGTTCACCAAAGAGTCGTTTACGCATGGCTTCATTGTTGCAGAGCTTGAATTTGTAAACTTGATGTGAAAGACCTTCTTTTGAGAAGAAAGCTTTGAGCTTCATTCGTTTACTTGATGTTAGTTGCTAATAGAGATAATTAATTCTCCGTTACAGATGTAAATATGGGCTTTCTTACTGAATTGGCAAGCAGTTTCTCAGCCCATTCTGAGTCAATGAGAAGCTCTCTATTTATATCGTCCAATACCCGTCTCATACTCTGTATGTATTGCATATATAGCTCATAGGAGCCTTCAAGACGCTTCTCAAAGAGTTCCGCAATGGAACTATCTTGCCAACGATCGCCTCCTGGTGCGATGAGGAGTTCTGCAATCATATCCTCATCTGCTACAAAGCAAAACCTGCTCCATGGTGACTTTAAACGATAGCTTATAGAAATTCAGATCCCTCTTCCAATTTGTGTATTCGTTTTTGATGGTGAGAAAAAGGCCAACCCGCTCCGCAATGTCGTGATATGCCTCGAGGGCGTTAATGGCTATGGGAAAAGCGCCAAGAATAATCCCTGCGATTTGAAATCCTGACATTGCGAAAATTTAAGATATTCAATGTCTTGGAGAAAAGGAAAAGCTAGGTATGCGCGATTAATGGCGACGACTTTACTTACGAGAATCAGGCTGAGCTTGCAAGTCGGTTACATTATATGTAATTCTCCAATCGCACATCACGATAAATGTCTCCATGTGTCCTCCAAGCGGGGTAGTGGCCACCATCAGACATCCAGTTATCTATATAAGAACAAATCACTTGCTTATTGTTTATTCTTTATTTAACACAAAGTATAGCCGTTCCATATTGTTTCGGTTGTTTCATAATAATGGCAACTTCGATGCATTTTCAGACAATTTCGGCCACGAGCCAGCGTGTACGACACAATTTTCTCTCCTTGATATCACTCGTAGAGGAGCAAAAAAAAAAATACGGATCTTTCGATTTACAATCATCGGTAATTTCTGACTATTTAGACAGATTCTCTCTATGGGCTGGAAATATGGGCGCAATGCATAGTCCACATTCTCCATCATCACTCGATCAACAACTTCTTGAGGCCGCCGACATCTTGGAACAAATGAAGCGACAGCTAGGTGACATAATAGAGGCTATCGGTGATTGTTAGTAATTGTTAATATACACGATGATCTTTTCTGACACATAATAGTAACCAAAATAATTCTACATGGTCATCCGAAGAGCGATACTCTACTTGATCTAGATATCTGCTCTGATCTGGCCTCAATTCTTGGACTCGATCCGATCGACGAGAGTGACGAGTTTTCTTCGGATGAAATTACTGTGGCTCTGCAGATAATTTCTGAATCTATCAACTCCCTCTTCCGGTTAGATATGCTGGTCAGAAAGTCAGCATCTTGCAAGCGTTTCAAAAAAGCAATTCGAATCTCCGACCCAGCTTTCCCAGATGCCATTGATATTGATTATGTTAAGCAAAAGCATGTCAAGCTTCTTAATAGCAGGCTTCTATCAAGATTAGGCAACGCCATTGCTAAAAGAAGGCAACTCCTTAAATATTATGGGGATCGCAGATCTCGGTCTGCAGTCGACGAATTTGATCATAGCACTACAACTATAAAACAACTATCACATGAAGCTATTACATCTGCTCCCTCTCTAAATTTTCCATCAGGAGATATACTCGAGGATGATTATGACATATCTTCGTCAAATGCCTCAATAATGGCAGATTCTACGTCTAATCCCGCCCTCCCTCATCTAGCTGCTATAGCTAGGACTCAAGAGGCTTTTGAATGCCCAATATGTTTTACTCTACAATCTTTCAATGGGGAAAAATCGTGGCAGTGAGTGCTTTGTGCTATGTTCATAATATTTGGTTTCCAATCCTGTCTGACGATATTCGACCCAGAATTCATGCATTTGGTGATCTCAAGGCTTATGTATGTACGTTAAGTGGAGAAGAGTGCGATGCGGAACTTTTTGAGGATCGTGATATGTGGTTTGAGCATGAGTTGCGGAAACACAGATGTGAATACATATGCACTCTTTGCAGCCATGGACCCTTTTCGTTCGAACGCATAGCGGCACACATTCAGAACATTCATGGGCGTTTCTCGGATCGCCAGTTGCAAATGCTTCGAGAAGGAGGGAGACAGAACTCCATTCAGTTCAAATCTGAGGACTGCCCATTCTGTGATGAATGGACAGAAGCACTTTCATCAAAAACAAGTCCGATTGGTAAAGAAGTTGATCTGACGCAAGATATCTCCGTCACTCAAACTCAATTCAAGAAGCACGTCGCCATACATCAAGAACAGCATGCAATTCTCGCTCTCCAAAGAGCCACTGGTAATATAGAGATGTCAGGTTCGAAAGTTGACAATACATCAACTTCAGTAGCAATACCCAAGTCACCACTTAAGACGAAAGAAGATCCGGTTGACAAAATTATTGATGAAGTAGATGGTATCTCACTATCTCATACTAATATCTCTACTATGGATGCACTTAACAATGCCATCAGTGCTGCAACAAATGTCGATGAGATAGGTATCGCGGAGCAACTAATCCCAGGTTTAGTATCGAAATATGACGGTAAGGCCAAATTGAACATTCCCTGTCATTGAAGTCAGCCAAAGTGGAGTTCAGCGCTAATTTTCGTATCAGAAGGACCTCAAAAAACTGCGAAAAATGTTGAATATCGACCACTCGATCGATCTCAAAGGACAAATTCGTATAGAGGCGGTAGCAAAATGAAAACTTGGAAATGTGTACGCATCCCATTTTGGCCAATACTTTGGTTAAAAACTAATGTTATATAGTGCAAGTGCGGCTTGGGCGGCTTGAGAAAGGATACGACTCCTCAATGCTCAGAACATGACTGTCAGCACCCACGCTGCAGCAATTGTTCCTTGTATGAAGATAGCATGGGACCTAGTCGCCCCTTCAAATAGTATAGGACTCACCTACCTGGATTTACATGGCTATACTGGGTAGTAAAATACGAATGATTAGGCCAACATCTCCGTGACGCTTAGTAATTTATATATTTGTCTGTATACCTAGGTAGTCTTGATAGTGTCTTGCAAGACTTCAACCAACAAAAATGCCTTCATCTCATTACAGAATGATTACAGTCTCCACCTTGATATGTTGTATCTCGCGGTTATAGATAGTACCTACCTACCTATTGATGGGACTTCCAAATCTCGTGAGTCAACCAACATCCGTCACGTCCCTCTGACCCTCTTTTCCATCAGTCTCAGCTTCCGCTATCCAATCATCATTATTTACCCATATCTTCCCCCTGAACAGAAACTGACAGCAATCCCACCAGAATGAGTACGTGTTACTTGATATTGATGTCCTTCCTGTTTGCATGTGGGCACCTACCAAGTGCTAATAACTGGAGTGGCTTCGGTGCACTAAAATGGGGGCTGCGGTAGCACTGTATCCTCTTCGGAAGATTTCAGGCACTAAAAAGGCGTGCTGCGCTTGCATCTAGCTTTGCCACTGCATTTCGCCCCCAAAACACAACTTCACATTTGAGCGCCCTGGAACTACTGTTTTGCTGTATAAAAAAAAAAGAGGCGCTGACGAAGTCTATCAAATGTCACGGAATTTAGTACCAAAAATATAAGCAAACAAGAAAAGAATTGGCAGAACAGCCGGTGTTCGAACTCTGACGCTGCCGCAACGTCCCCGCCAATGCCGTACAGCCCATCTACACAGGGCAAGGCCCATGGCTACTCAAGTTAACCACTCGACTGTTCCGCCAGATGTTGAGAGAGGGATTGCAATTCTTTACTTATCAAGGGCATCGTCTACGTAGGCTGAGGTTGAGTACAATAGAATGAAAGAAGTTTGCGGCTTTGGCTGGGAGATGGCGTTGTTTTTATAGCTCAGAACGCCGTACGGGAGATGCTACAGGGATGCGACCCCGCTAAGGGAGGATCCGCCCGCTAAGCGTCAGCGACCCACGTCCATGGTGGCTTTTCTGCTGGATCGCGGGAACAGACCAAGAGATTGTGGCTCCAGACTAAGAGCAGCACGGTCAATTGATGCGAGGGGGTGCATTTGGCGGATTCGAGATTCAGGTGGAGATGGCGGCTCAATTATTTGCAAGGCACAACCAAGCGCATAATTACGGTTCGCAAAATGAACACTAAGTATCTCACTGTATTCATTCTCATATAGGCATTGTCAATACTTCAATCATTCCAATTTTAAGTTAGCGAAAGAGACAGCAATCAATACAAAAACTGCGCGAATAATAGCAGGCCGTATACTAATGCCAAACAGTCTGCGATTTATCTCAATCTTGCCCAACGTGGGTTTGCTGGACATCCACAGTTGTCTTTTCCTTTCCCGCCGATAGCTCAGTCGCGGTATTTTCTTCATTGAGTTGAGCTGCAGGCTCTGGCTCAGGAAGCTCGCCACTGATATGACCATTGCAAGGTTTCTCTTCTGAACACTTGTCCACTTTGAACTCAGTTTTATCCTTTTTCGATGGGAAATCATCAGAGCACGGCCACTCTGTATCCACTTGATCCTTAGGTTCGTAAGCACGCCGGAATAGCTGAGCTGCTGGCAATACTTTGAACAGCATCATTCTCTTTTCGGCTTTCCCACCCGGCTTTTTCTCAGTGTAAAGACGAAGAAATTGATGCAAAAGGATGTTTATGATGAAGAGAGTGACAAAGACCACGCAGAGGACAATTATGCCAACCAGAGAAAAGGTTTGGAAGTTGGGGCTTGAGAGAACGAAATCACCCGCACCATCGAGAGGATCGCCATTCTCGTCTTGCATAATGTTGTTCAGTCCACTCCCCGCCTGATATGTCGTGGTGTCCAAGAGGACATTCCGTGTCAATACAAAGCTGCCCAGAATCAGACGCTTCAGATCGTCGGAAATGCTTGAAACTTCTGCGTTTATGACGCCGTTGGGGCTTGTACTTGCAGATTTAAGTGCCGAAAGACCAGCTCCGTTGCCCAAGTTCACCATCACTGGGACATTCAAAGCGCTTTCCAAGACACTGAGCAGAACCGGTTTAATCTTCATGCCTTTCAACCCTCTAAGGCCATAGATGTTGGTGACGTTTTGGGAACCGTAGGTCCAGCTGTCGTGCTGCCAACAGGAGAGGGCTGGTCTTGATCGCTTTATCCAAAAGGCTGCGTTGTAAGGGACTGAAATATTCTCCGTCCGAACTTCTGTTTCATACCACGGATCACCCCCCTGTTTAATGCTCGGTCTGTGGGCTGACCAAGCCACAACAGCGTAGGAAATATTTCCAGTCTGGAGGGACTGATTTGCTGCATTCGGATGAAATACGAACGTCGCTTTTGGAGCGTCTTGAAGAGCATATGGATTGATGGGGACAGCTAACTCTTCCCTGACATCATCCCATAAGCGATATACGTCCATGTTTGCGTTCGAGAGGTTTGAAATCCATCCATACTCGGTTGTACAAGAACCCGTAACATTTAATGCAAGGTCGGAACCGTGTTGGAGGCCGATATCGATCCCAGTGAGCGAGTAGGTGTACGAATATTGATAGACGTTTTCACCTCCCACTTGGCCAAGAAGGACTGGCTGTCCGATCTTCACACTGTCTGCCAGTGTACCGAGGGAAGCATCCACACTACCGAGGGCACGTAGATTTGCTGGAGAGAGTACCCCAAACCTTTCAAGTACAGCGGCCGTATCTTGATTCGAACTAGGATAGTAGACGGCACTCGGTCGTGCAGGTGCAACAGTACCGACTTGCATCAGCGAGGGTCCAACGATCCCCAGTGACAAGCTGCCACCGTAGATGATGAACGCCAGGGTGCAGAATATGAAACCGTAAACAAAATCCGATTGGGATCCAAAGTAATGTAATGCATATTTTGCCAGTTCTTTAAAAGCAAACCAAGAATCGTTGGAATTCCAAAGGGTCACTAGAGCAAGATGTCGCCGCCGAGTCGTTGCTCCAGGAAATACTATGGCAATAAAGCAGATGAAGTCCCAGAGTTGCACAAAAACCAAGGTCAGAATGACAGAGATGCCAGCTGTTAGGATTGTTCCGCCATAGGTGGTAAATGTTATGGCCCAAATGGCACCATCTTTGGTCGGTACGAAGAAGGAGCGGTGAAGCACATAGGAATCGTCTACCAGTGATATGTCAACCATTATGAGTTGATTGATTAGAACATTAGGTGAAGTGATTCTTGTTCGGAATTTTACATTATAGGAGTCTCATGTTACTGATATTGGAAACTTAAATATAGTCCTATCCTGCATGGCAGGATGAATTGCGAAAACTGACAGTGGACACTGGAATAGCCCAGTTACTGCTCGGAAGAGGGGCTCAACCACACCTCCATTTTAATGAAACGGCCAGTCTTGCATATTTCAGCTCTTGCAAATTCTATCTACTGCATCCATCCTTCCACTTGGCTCAATGTGACTGGTTACTCTTTGGAGCCTCATGCGTGCTGCCACGTCTTAGGCAGGACGCTTGCCAAATGGGGTCTCAATCTACAGAGGGGAAGTAGACGAGCCTCTAAAATTGGATAGAAAAGCGCCGATTCGGCTGTGCCAGACAAGGTTGCATCCATTTGAGATATGAAGAATCACGTATTGTTCAAAACGCGTACGAGTAATACCAGCTTTCGCCGCAATTCTTACAATCAAAACATTACTGAGTTCCCCGTCTCATATTCATTTCCGAATAGTCCGGGATAAGTCTTTGTCTCTTTTTTTTTTCTCACTCTCTGTCATGAGAATGTGGCCGCCATTGTGATCAACGGTTTCCTAGAAGCTGTCGCCTAGGGTGTTCATTAAGTGACATATGATACACAGGCAGTATGGATGCTTCTTTGCCGAATTCCGCGGATATGTACCAGACAACGAATTGATAGGCTATAAGTTTATGAGGCGAGGGTAACTGTGAGGCTTTATCATGAATAGATATTGAATGATACCTTGTTGCATCTCGCTGCCTAAAGCCGCATCTGTGCCCAAGGAGGAAACGAGTGAGAGAAGGTGTCACATTCAAGCCATATCGTCAAGAGGGACATGCTTTGGAATCATCGAGCTCTCCAATCAGACATGCGCACGAACATGTTTGTGTCAGTTCGGTTGTGAATTGCGACTCACCAAATATGACAGCTCATACGGATGGCGGATTGTACTTACACGCCTCATTATTTCCGCTTCATCTATCCCCTGGCATGTCTTGTGGGTCTCTGAATGCGGCTGAAAAGGTCTGCCCGCATACGATGATGCAAGGAGTACCGAATAACCTTAGCCCACGATGATCCGCCAAGAAAACCATCACCGAACCCTAATCTGATAGGTAGATGGAAACCTGAAGCACCGTTGTTGATTTAACCTATTTGAGACTCACCGTCGCTAGCTGCATGGCCCCGAGTGTGATTGAACAACAACTAACAATGCCGGATTCAGGTCCATGTCTCTGCAGGAGCCTGTCTATTATTGAGGTTCTTCGTGCAGTAGACTAAGTAGGCTTTAGACAGCGACTTATATGTAAGTTCGCGGAGGATAAATAATGATGTCTCACTTCAATGGCCCCCAACTTATAGACGATCAAATCACCCTCCTCATTCATCTCTGTCTGTGTTATCTCCGGCAGAACACACCCCCCAATTGATGCAATGTACAAACAACACCTCCTTTCACTCTTTGGCTTTTACGCCGCTTCTGTGACTCTCGCACAGTCGCCACAGTCGCTCTTGTCAGTCTTACAACAAAATGGGTTCTCAGAGTTTGCTCAACGACTTCAAGCAAGCGAGCCTGTACTTGCCAATCCTGGCATTATTGTATATGCCCCAAGCAATAGTGCTTTTGGTAGTGGTGTCAATGCTACTGTCACTCGCCGTCAAGCTGGCGCCGCTTCCGGCCTTGAGAGTTCGCTCTACTTTTCAAATACTATCAAAAATGAGTATATTGATCCCTCTGCTGGCGGTCAAAACAACACTTCTGCAAGGCGATTCCGAAAGCGGGCAGCCTCTCTAGGAACCGTCCTCGAGACGTTATATCAAGACCCATCAGTGCGCCTTGGCCCCGGGAATAACCAAACACTCGTGGAGAGGGGCGTTCCTTCTGCGTCGCTCCCATTCGTGTTTTCAGGCTCAGGGAAATACTCCAAAGTTACAGGTCCCGACATTCCCTTTGACGGTGGCGTTGTTCGTCCCATTGATGCGCTTCTTAGCCTACCAGGGAACCTGTCATCAACTCTTCAGACATTGGGCGAAGCCAAATTCGCTGCAGCATTACAACAAGCGGGCTTGGTTGAAGCTCTTGAAAACACAGGGTCCATTACTGTCCTGGCACCAAGCAATGATGTGTTCACTCTTTCCAGCACAATTACACAGGCCCAACTTGGGCAGGTACTGAAGGAGCATATCATTGTTAGCCCATCATTCCCGCTGTACTCACCTTGGCTCGTGGATGGACTGACTGTCCGCACTCTTGGTGGTTCCAATATCACTGTTGTAATCAAAGACGATGTTGCCTATTTGAATGGTGCCAGAATTCTGGGAGGAGATTCTCTCATTCAGAACGGCGTTGTCCACACTATTGACAAGGTAGGTTGCGTTCATTATGACCATGTTATGGTCTACGACAGTATGAATGCTAATGACTCTTGACAATAGCTTCTGAGTGGAAATATTCCCACCGTTCCTACCAATACTGCGATGATGACAAGACCACTGCCCTGGAAAGCTCTAACTCTCACATTTATTGGCACAGTTGTTGCCCGACATCTTCTTTTTTGAGCTACGTAGGATTGAGCTGGGGTTGAGATCACAGCCGAGGCCCTCATTTGGCGCATGTGGTTAACATAGGAATTCGGAGTCGTAAGATTACAACTATAGGAAGCTTTATTTGTTTCATGAATTATATTCTGCAATAGATTGAGTTCGAGAATTTGTGGACTCATGCCAATTAATCCCGTGACTCCCGAAATCATGTAGTTTATCGTAGTATTTTCTACTTATGTTCATCCTCCGGGTTTCTATTTCCAATAGTTTCCAATCTCTCGTATATCTTCTATTAAAGCAGGTGGATTATCCAACCCAGGGAAGTATCCGCCAAAGTCATGATCTATTTAGCTTTGTTAGTACATTTGGGGATATAAGTAACTTGAGCATAAATTCCCTACTTCAATAAAAGACCAAATTGCCCACGGTTTCAGCTAGTACGCGCGGCCAAGACTGGACATTGTATTTGAAGCCACTGAAGAGCATGGGAGCATCTGTTCGTGCCCTCGTATAATTGTATCGAAATCCAGTTTGGCCGAGAGGATTCTGAAAGTAGATGTATCCGGATGTCAAAATTGATTTAGTCAGATAATAAAGAGATATACTGCGAAGAATCTCATTGTGGGTCAGCACGGATGGGCTGGTGCCCGCCTTAGGATCCGACCCTGAAATACATGTGATTAGCTGTTGCTTCATCAAAGCGAAGTACACAAAAATGCCCATACATTCAATATACTTCTCGCCCATCCACACAAGCTGCCCAATAGGATTATCGTATAGCACAAGGCCAATATCATTAGGCTAACATTGAGTGAGTACGAACTTTGCGCGGTAGTATGATACAGCTTACCTTTGAACCTTCCTCACTGAAGTACCCGCTCCCCGTAGCTGACCAATTAACATATCTCTGTTCTTCGAATTGGTCAAGAGATGTGTTTAGCGTAATATTTTGAGCCTCCAGCTGTTCCGGAGTTAAGGGTAGAAAAGGCAATATAGCGAAGTGTGCAGCTCTTGCTGAGGTATTGAACCCATCAAACTGACCCCATGCCACACCTGAGCCCCAATCTGTACCATGAACTGCGTAAGTCTTATATCCTAAGACCTTTGTCATTGGAGTATTAAAGACACGAGCAGAATCGTCCACAGTCCAATTAGCTCCTGGGGCAGATGAAAAGGCGAAGCTTGGTAGTGATGGTACAATCACATCAAATGAAACATGTTTCCCAGTAGCTGTCTTTGCCTTTTGTGTGAGACTCTTTATGACTGGAATAAATTCGAGAAATGACCCTGGCCAACCATGGTAGAGAATTAGTGGGATAGCATCAGGTTCATTTGACTTTTCATGTATAAAATGCACATCGAGATTCTCTATTTTGGCTATAAAATGATTGTATCTTGAACTGTATATTATTAGAATGATGATTAATAAACAATATCACGTTTCATAAACTTTACCTGTTCATTGATTCTTCTTCTTTGAGCCAATCAAAGTCGACGAGCCACTGGTTTCTAAGGGCTTTCAGAGTCTCTAGACTGATACCAGCTTCATTTCCTGGATATTGAGGGATTGTACCTGGCAGCTCGGTATCTCGTATACGCTCTAGCATGCGAGGTACACCATCGGACAGCCTAATAGTAAAAGGCTGCAAATCATACGAATCATGACTGCAACCGGCGACAGATGATGCAGCAGTCAATGTGTAAAAATATAAGAAGGGAAGGGCAATCAATTTCATGATGGAGGCGAGTAAGTATTGTCTTAATATTCAGAGACGTGTAAATAAGTTGGTTTTGACAAAGGAACTGTGGAAATAGCAGCTTGTTTCTTGAACACAATTTCTCTTAATATATATATACATAATGATTTCTACCTATAGACTGCAATGTAGGCCTTTCGATTTCATCCCGTTGTATCTCGGAATAAAAGTCCGGCGTTTGCATCTGATCCATTGGAGATAGAACATTATAAATGCGAAAACTTCAGCTGAAGCGCTTACATGAGGCTACATTCTGTGATTGTTATATGCTGATTATGAGATACACGGCGGGTTTTGCGGTAATACCTTGCCACTAGCGGCAATATGCGGCAATATAGAACTCGCTGAATTCGTCACTTGTTGGGACACTCGGCTTTATCCGGCATTATTGATGTTTAATCTCCTTATTGAAAAGAAAGTTTGAATCTTGATGTTTATAAGACGAGAATAGTTTAAAAACTAAGAACGCGCATTATTGTGGCTGCGACTAGGGCATGTCTACCGTTCTATGCTATGCTGGTTGCCTTCGAGGCAAACGGAATGCCCTAACACTTACCCTTTATTATTCTACCTGAGATAAACCGAGGCTCGGATTATAAAAATACTACTCAAATGAATGTTTAGCGCTTATGGAATAATTATTGACTACCAATAAAAAATCTGTAGAGCTTGCCTATGCATTAAGCTCAGCATGTTGTCTCGTCAAAGTTATAAATGAGGCACGGTCAAAACCCAAGATGGGGAGTCGTATGCCGCTGCAGGTAATGAGCGTAGAGAAATGAAGGCTTCCAAACCAAGATATACCCGTGCGATAACATAAAGAGTCCCTCCAATGCAGCATAAGACGTAAATAAGGATGTGGCTCCTTTTACGTTCAGCGCCTTCCAGTATGCCGTACCAAAACCACCATACTGAGCCAGAGAGGTGACCCAAGAGGTTGAAGAAAGACCACAAAAGTCCACTAAACACAATGTAGACGCCGGACATTCTCCAGAACCAAGACTCAACATTAGTGGGGAATTGTTCGTTCCAACCAGCCACATGAACAGCGCCGTACACCGTGCTGGAGCACCACAAAATAATGCCCATTAGATGGCCCTGCATATGACGTAGCAGATCATCTCCCGGCCAATTTCGAGGACGTTCAACCACAAGCTCTTCTGATGGGCACCACCAACTCTTATTTGAACTGGCCTTGACGTGCTCACTTGGTTTGTGGCCTCTTGGGTGCTGACTGACTTTGTCCGGCATTTCAGGATACAATCGATAAGCCTCCCGGTATCTTAGTTCATCTTGATCACAGGGAGGGATATCGAGCCGTTCTCTAATGGCCGGGTGTTGTTCAATGGCTTTGCATGCAAGCTTCCACCTCTCAATTCGCATTTCCGATGGAATGGTCTTGTGAACAGTTTTGCTGACAACTTCTTCATGGTGGAATGTTTGTGCTGATAGTTCAAGCCCTTTGCGCATAGTGATACGACCATTTGCTGGAAACCTGTCGTCTGAGGGCTCCGATTCGTCAATAAGTTGGATATCCCCTTCAGAGCCTTCTTGATCGCTTCTTGGGGCAATTTTCATCCCGAGTGCTCCCGTGTCCAAGCTTTCTTGTGACGCTGGAAGACCAGGGGTGTATAAGACTCCAATCATTTCCGTCTTAACACCCAAGTCACGTAAGACGTCTCTATTGACCTTGTGCTCTGCGCTGACTTGACTGGACATGTACATGAAAGCACATATGGGTCGAGTCCATTCCCCTCTGAGTATTGTTGGTTCTTTGATCCATCTTGGCTTATACCACCAGAGAGCATAGTTTATCAGCGCACAGACGACATGGCCTATAGTATTCGTTTCGAGCGGTGTCAACGGCAGGCCAACTGCGACTCGTACGGCAGCCTGCACTACCATCCAGCTGACCTGGAAACAGCAGATGAGTTTCCCTGATCCGTCTGTCTTGCTTTTATCTTTAATATCTTCCAGCGAAATGTCAGGTAGCAAGCCACATTTAGCAAGTAGCTGGATTCCTCGAGGGGTTACATGAAGGCGCCGTTGAGGGATAAAACGTGGGCCGTGCATTTCGGGGGTATCCATATCAAATACGAATCCACCCATTCCCGCATAGAACCCATGAACCATCGTCGACTGTGGATTTCGACCGTTGTTGCTCTTCTGTCGGAAATGATTAGCAATTGACATCACAATAGCCCAAGGTCTGAACAACCTCCTAGATAAATTTTGTCAATGTTCGAGCAGAAATAAACTGGCGCCAAGCCGCCCAGATAACAAGCTCAGGCCCAAATATCCCCAGAACACTCCATTTCAAGTATCTATACGTGTATTCGATATCGGTTTCGCCATGCGGTGGAAGGTCTAAGTGGAGAGCTGACCAAACGCATAAACTAAAGGTGAGGAGACATGAGAATAGTAGCGAAAGCGTTCCGCGACCGTCTGGATTTGGCACATAACCAACAAACGTGGTGTTTATAAATTCAGGACGTTGTATTTCCATGGGAATTGCTAATGCGCTCAACGCAAGCTTGGAAAAAGGTAACAGAACTTGGAGATATTCTTCGTAGCGATTGAACGCTCATTCTTGGGAACCGACAAAAACATCTCGTAGGCAAAATCCAAGGAGCGGAGTTGACTTTGATGATTTGAAGCATCTTGCAAAGGGCCGATCCTTCAGAGGCATTAGGTGACCTCTACCCAACCACATACTGTGTGGCTGCGGGAGAACGGCTGCTCCCTCGCTTAGTTTCAAGGTTATTTCAGGATGGGTTTCAGAAGGTACACGCACACGTTGATTGGGGCAGTTTTTTGGGGGCTGAAGTTTGCTAGCTGCCATTGGAGCCCTTAGCGCTTTGCTGACTTAACAGAGGGGATGAGCGGCTAATAGACAGTTATCTGCTGATAGTTCACTCACGCCGACAATCCTTCATTTTCTCTTCTCAAACAGCTGCACTGCAGTCACCGGACCCTTTTCGCGAACAATGTCTCTCCGGCGAGGGACATTGGAATCCGTTTCTCAATTAAGTATGGAAACGAATCCCCTTATGAAACAGAACAAGGCAGATCATCTCTTGTTAAGAGTGCCGAAGTTGTTGTATTTCCACGAGATACCTAAGTGGCAACAAGACAACGAATTTCTTCTATCAGGCTATAGGTAAACTAATTACATAACTCCTTATAACATGAAAAGCTTTAATTCATAGTGTAGGCCTACGTCTGGCTCGACCCTGGGTTTCCTACACCGGCATACTCTATCTACATAACCAAACGATCAACATTTATTCCCATTTAGTTGGGTGCATAGTATTCTGTATACTGCCATTCTACTTCTACTGGAATTATTATCAGTTCCAGGTGAACGCACAAGTTGATGACGTAGTGGTAATATCCATTTACTGTCTAGGAGTTGCCGTCTGCTTTGCATTCTCAGCGACGTGAGTAGAGCTCTCCAGCCCCCTATTCATGTTGTTGCTAATCACTTTTCAAGATTTCACATCTTATGGAATCATAGCCAAGCTCTTACTTCATTCTGGAATAAATTAGATTATCTTGGTATCCTTGTTTTGATGTGGGGTGCCGGTATTCCGACGATTTACTACGGCTTCTTCTGCAACCAAAATTTACAATGGTTTTATTGGATGACTGTAAGTTGGCCACCGATGTTTACCTCTTATATGGGCTAATCTTTCCTAGACGAGCGGCACTGCACTAGGTTGTGCAATAGTTACATTACACCCAAGCTTCATCTCTCCGCAGTTTAGACATTGGCGTGCATGCTTTTATGGTGAATTTGGGCTGAGCTCTATTATATTCGTTGTTCATGGTCTCATTCTCCACGGATGGGAACTTCAAAGGGCACATAGGTCTTTAAATTGGATGGGTTGGATGGCCACGTCTAATCTTACGGGTGCAGTCATTTATGCAGCCAGGGTAAGGTTATGCTTGGGCTACTGTTTGGAATTCATATTAACTTTACATAGGTCCCGGAGAGATGGGTTCCACACAAATTCGACATCTTTGGTGCCAGCCACCAAATTCTCCATGTTGCAGTCATTATTGCTGCTGTTATACATTTCTGTGGCTTACTAAACGCCTTTTCGATTATTCGTTCCAAAGTTGACACATGTGTCAACTGACAGGACTCAAATGTTGCGGGATTGATGGGCGCGATGCGAGTAATTGATCCATTATTTATCAGATAAACATCGTTTATTAATTATGTAAAACGGTTGGAAGAACCACTTTATGCAGGTTTCGTGATTGAGTTTTATTTTTTACAAGTTGTAGTGAAATAGTAGACAGGGGCCACCGTATCATGCTAAACTACCGTTCTGTATAGATATTGTTCAACAGAGAAGCGTTCAAATTAATTTACTATAGAGGTTTGAAGATCTATGTTTGACCTTGACAACCAACAAGTAGATAGGCTTCGTGGGAGTATCAATATTACGCGTGGTCTTGGTCTGTCCCAGTACCACCGCATAATCGAACCTGGTAGTGCACGGACGGCCATGGTTCAGCTAAGTGTACATGTATTCGACAGCGATCAACCCGTGGCAGCATTTACAGTGGGTTTCGTTAGGATCTCTGGGCCGATTCTATCTATACACTCGGAAGTCCGTGCTTCAGCATGGCGTTGCAGTAGCCTTGCAGTAAGGTGTTGAGATCTTGGATCAACGGAACAGTGGGTAGGTCTGATACATGAACATACAGGGGTAAGCAGCAGAGCGCACTCATCTCCACAGCTAACATCGTATTTCTATCTAAATCGCCTTTTCCATGTCAAGAAATCTTCATGTATTTGCATACTGAAGCTCCATGAACGCAACGTATAGCTGAAGATTTATTACCATGACATTTATATTTGAATAAAACCTTGTCACTTAGGATTCAGCCTACAGTAACCAATCTTCGTAGCATTTCTTTACTTTTAACCAACAAAGCACTGCCGCCCTTAAGATTAGTTTCAGTTATGTTTATCCACGATTGACTAGCAGTCATTTACATAAATATAGCAACGGTCTAGTTTTGACCGACTTTTCCCTTTAGACGCATTTCAGACGCCTGTACATGATGACAAGATATAAAAATTAATGGGTTACGTACCTTTAAATTGTTCACGGCTATGCCGGCAGCTTCGGCCATAAGGCAATAAAGCCGAAGCAGCCGGATCAGATAAACTCGGAACTTTTTTTCCATCCGTGTCCGTTGTAGCGATAGGCAAATTAGGATTATATTATGATTGTATTGGTAATGATATGAGTGAGAGTTAAGTTACGCAGGCATACCCTAGCTATCAGAAAGTGGACCTATGTCTTCAACATTGACTGGCTCCTTTGATAGTGAAGGCCCAGGTATCTTGTTGGGGTTAGGAAAAGAGTTGTCATGTCTCCATCACTTGGCAAGGGCTCAGTTAACTACGTAATGAAAGCGCGTGGGACTTTTCGTCTAGGAGCATGAAATGTGAGTTCGGGTTCATACGGCTAAAGTCCTAACCACTCAAATTAATGAAATGGCGTATTGCGTATTCAAGGAGAGAGCCAATTGCTGAAGTCTATCAGCGCTCGATATCTAATCACGCTGGCAATTGGTCCAAGTGGTGTGACAAGTGCGTATCCAGAACTCGGTCTGAGCGTCAGCAACACTAGTACCGCATTTTTTACCCTTATTAGAAAGGGAAACCCTAAGCTTATGTCTGACCGAACCACAAAAGGAATCCTCTTGCCTTTTTGAGGTTGGTAATACAGGTCTAACCGACGGAAACGCTAAACTATAAGAGTTAATTTAAATAAACTACATCCTTTTGGCTCATGCGGTTTATCGAGAATCTCCATCGTCTTGTGGCAACCAACAGTTGAGAGCCTAACCCATGTATCTTTCGATTTGAGCTTCCTTATTGAGAAGATGAGATTTTAAACTAGTTACAGGGACATATAATCCAAAAATGTTCTGTCTACGACGTAACACTTTCCGCATTCGAAGTACGAGCCAAGACTGATGGTGCGTAGTATATATATTATGAGCATATCCTTTCCTTTCTGAGATGATTCGACATTATGAGCCATCCATTCATACATTCCTATTTTGTCTAATTAAGCGTGATTGGCATAAATTCCAAATGGCGACCAACACTTATTCAAAGGCGAATTTCCTCCAGTTGCTAGGCCTATTCAGTTCTGGCGTCCTTGGACAGGCCTTGAATAAGCCTGTTTTGTTCACTGATGGATTGTCCCCTCATGTCGACAGTGTGTTTTTCCAACACTTGACCCCAACTCAAAGTACGTGGGATCAATGGGGCTGGGGATGGATCCCGCAAGCTTGCTTGTCCATTGTCCAAGGGACTTCGTTTAGCCCCTATGACATTGAAGTCTACAATGTTCACTACACCGATTGCGCTAGCGCAGTTGTGATGTGTCGACATAATCAGGCTCAGATGTCGATCATCAACATGATCGGTAAGACCCTCCATCGAATCAAATAGCAGGGGAATGGCTTTCTCTAATCTATTCATGTATTATAGATGCTTTTGGTCGTGTCCCAATCCATGACCGCCAGTGGACGCAGCACATTCTTGCGCTCCCAGCAAGCTCCTGCAGTGCCGGTACGGGTGGTGCGGTTACTACCTTCTACGGACCTTGCTATATTCCCTCCGTCTTTGTCCATGAGTTGACCCACACCTTGGATGCCTATGTCAACGATCAAACTGGATCAACCGGTTCCGTTCATGTGTACAGCACAACACCTTCATACCTGAACTCCGTCAACCAGGATTCCTGCGTTCCTGACGATTACGCAAACCACTGTAATTCTTCCAATATTCCTGTTCTCTCTCCGTTTTGCGGACACTGACAATTCCTAGCTCCCCAAGAAGACTACGCCCAAACATCTGTGCTTGCTCTCTACGAAAAGGTCAACCCCGGAGGCCTCGATCCTATCGGAAACTGGCGTTGCTTGGTCAACGCCAAGAACAACCTCGACAGCATCATTGGTCAAGAATTGACTCCCGGTGGCAGCTGCACTCACCGTTGGGCTGATTCAGCAATTGTTTGTATGGGCCCTGCAGCGGGCTGCGCCTCTTCCAAGAGAGGCTTTTCGACCAGAAGGGGCGCGAGGGTTGCAGGCCCGAAGCCAGAACCCGCCAACAAGAAGGGCGATCCATTGGTTAGCAACCTCACGCCTGATCTGGCCAGTGTTGCTAATGCGAAGATTGATGACTTTTCGCATTTGGTGAGCAACCACACTGCTAGCATCGAGGCGACTATCAGGATCAATGCCTGGAACAAGGCAGCAGGCAAGGCAACAGTACCAGTTCCAAAGGCCTAAACCCAGTTTTTTGTGCTGGTATTGATACAGATTCTTTGACTGAGTTCTTCAAGGATAGCAAAGTTAGCTACTGCATATATAGTTACTATACATAATAACTAATCATTTAAATAAAAGCATAGTTGCTTCTATATGACATCCTAACGAACTTGTGGTCATGATCGAAAGAGGCTTGGGCGTATATCCTTTCTTGAGCTGCATCGTGGATGCTGGGATTTAGCTAATTCTATTATTTATAGCTGCCAATACCTGAGTTTTTCCACGGGATAATATGCGGTTCGGGGAAAGGGGGAGGAGGGAGATGACCTTCAGCCACATATTCCTGCATCGGCTGGTTATGTCTAGTTTGCGAGTCTCACCCAAAATACAGTGAAGCTATCATTGGTTCTCTTACTGAGACGAAACTAAGATATAATGATAACAAGAAGTCACTTCAGCCCGTTTCTATAGGCATGGAAACACTTTGAGAGAGAGATTTCCGGATATTATGCTAATTCAGAGTACCCAATACTTTTATTATGAGCGAAAACCCAAAAGCACCTAGCCTGAATAAGGAACCTTCATGGATGAAGTGTGTCAACCCTTTTCAATTGACTGCACTGTCCAGCTGGTTCACGTAATCCTGAATTGTGACTTGTTCTGGGTCATCCGTCATGAACGCATGTTCAATATAGTCATTAGCTATGTAAACTGTTAGCCACATCTGCTGTTTCAAATATCAACGCACGTATGCAGTATATGAAAAGATTGGGTATACCATAAGCTTTCAAATCGTTCCAAGCATCAACGATGGTTTTCAACTGCCGCTTCTCCAGTAGCATGGGCGGAATAGACTGCTTTTCATCTTGAAACAAATCGTAGAGGGTCTGAAGGTCAGTATTCATTTCGGCCCATGCCCCCTGAAGCGCTTCAAGCGTCTCAATAGCAGGTTTCATAACGTTGAGAAAGCCTGTTAACTGGGTCTGTAGACGAAAACTTCCAGATTAGTTCATCTCATCAAAATCTGTAGGATTCAGCTATTAGCTGTTACACACTTACCCCCATAGATGATATATCCCCTTGCAAACGGCAAGCCGTTTGTAATTTTTCTTTGTTTGCATCCAAAAGTTTCTGAATTCCTTCCATGGCCGCCTTCAGTCGGTCGATGTCAGCCGAGCCCTTGAACATTACCACCGCAGAAACAATAGCCCCAACATACGGGCTATTGCACGGCAAAGATTTATTTCTATATTAGCGAGATTCAAACTCACATAATACAGGTTAATGATGCTCTTACACGTAAACATAAATTAGGGACTTTTCCATCTTTTGGAAATCTGCGAATGCGTGTTAACTTAGTATCGGTATGTTTCTCTGTGAGGAGAGAAACTCACCTCTGTCAATTTGTGTTCGTAGATCCTCAATCTCTTTCAACTCTTTGTTGATTTCGCTTGTTAAATGTTCAACATCATTGCCCTCCTTTTCCAGAAGTGCCTGTAGGGTTTTCCCATCTTCCCCAAGTGTGTTCTCGTAGCCCTTGCAGTTATCGTGGAACGTACTCAGGGCAGCCAGGGCCTCTTTGATATGATCCTGTATATCCTGAATCTTTTTCTGTTCCTCTTCAATCGTTCCTTTGATAGCATTGGCTAGATCATCAAGCGTTTTCTGGTCGGGATCAGGCTTACTTTGCTCGTCATTGTACTTTCCAACCCATTCTAACATGCCTTGGTAATACGAGCTGCTCGATGTTCCGCCAGCCATGGTAGCGTATGTCTTGATCTGTCCTGAGAGATCAACAAGTTTGTCCCAAGTGACTTCTTTAAACTGTGTACAATCCTTGGATATCTTTATAAGAGAATACTTTTGTTAGTAAATCCATTTTGCTTTTAGAGGGAAGCTGTAATTAGAATACCTCAGTATAGGTTTTGAGTAGATTATCTATCTCATCCCAGACTTGATCGGTTATTTCCTCCGTGGTAGTAAGTCCCAAAGTTTTGATATAGGAGTCGCGGTTAGTTGGGAGCAATTTGCCCGTCCAAAGAAATCTACTGAATGCCACCATCTTGTCATGATTCAGAATGAACGTCTTGTCATCATCATCGGCAGCATGGATCTTGATGGTCAATTGCTGCACCTTATTGTTGATGAACATGCCTTTGGGGAACCAGACCTGTGGGTCGTCAATCGGCTTTGATGGGTCGAAGTCAGCCATGATTAATGGCAGAAGAGGTTGATGTGTTGTATATATTGCCACGAGGAATCCCAAATGAAGAATCTATCCTGTGCTGATGATGGGAAGAATAATTGAGAGGCAGAAAAGATAGAGATAAGACGTTCTTGGCTTTATATACCTGGAAATCTTCTTAGTTATTGTATGCTTTCGGCACTTTTACATCGTCGATTATGTTGATATATTCTTAGGGGCGTTTGGTGAGACTGTTCAACGTTGCTCACTTTCACTTTCCCCTCTCTGTTTTATCTTGTTTGTGAGTCAATCATCATTCCGATGGGATAAGATCATACATGTATGCTTCAACCCTCTTCATACAGCGTACCGCGCGTAGCAAATAGTAGGACATACGTCACACATGTAACGACAAACACGACCTGGCGAAACTGCACTCAGGTACAGGCACTCTTGCTGATTGAACTGTACTTTCATCATCTCAGTCCTATCAAAACAGGGGTTTGCAATGTTTAGTATATTGAAGATAGCTAGCAGTTGTTATAATCGTTCTCCACTAATTCAGCTGACTCTAATCCGTACAACCTCTTCCCTAAAGTTTCCGAGAAATAAAAATAGACCCATCTAAGAAGTCTAATATTATATAAAGACAAGCTAAGCGGTGCGCGAGTTATCAAAACGTCATGGCTGTCTATTTATCTCTACTTTTGCATTGGCTATCGTTTATACCAATGAGCGATGTAGGTATATACATGCTATGACTATTTTTTCGAAAATAGTGCAATCGCAAGTTGTCTTCTCTTACACTGAAAGGAAATCATGAACCAGTTGTCCATCTAGTTTCCTATATCTACTCAAAGATGTCAATATACTAGGCACTTACTTGTGTAAATGTGCCCAAAGCTTACGTGTCACGCAACACATGTTGCTGTAAGAGTGTCTTTCTGGGCAACTGCAGGAGCCACGGTGCCTTGTCGTTTATCTTAGAGTATGATTGGTGGACATGCTGTTAGGTTAGACGTCATCCAAAGGAGTAGTAGCATATATGAAACCTTCGCATGCATCCCTTGAACAGGACAAGTGGCATGATATATGTGCTACATGGCTCATCTTCAGAGGCCGAAATCGCTATCACTTGGAAGGTTAGGAAATGCTGTGGATTCTAAGACAGTTTGCATATATTAAGGCAGATTGGTCCCAATATGCTGAATGCAGCCCGAGCTTTACCTTCACCTTCGTTCCATCTGGATCATTGATAACATGGCAAATATTGGACTTCAGCCGAACAACCCTACCGACTGGCAGAAGTATGCCACCTCGGAGGCCGTGACCGCAATTCCTCTACGAGATGGAGACAATGTAAACAATCGTTCGGTGAGAAAATGCCTACACTAACGAGATGCTTTTGAGATCTAGAGTCTAATATGCTAACAGAAACTGGCAATCCACCGGGGCATCTTTCTGGACGCATCAGTTGTCTTTGATCCTGGAATGCATAATCTGAACGTCTATACCGATGTTCTTGCTTTCATGACCGAGGATATCACCATCAATCCCGCCAAATACGGCACCGTGAATATTGTAGCCAGGGTTTTGACCGCGGCCAAACCGGTCACTTTACGCGTCCCCTCAGGCGATGCGGCCACTAGTGCTATCTCTATTTATTCTCGTGTGCTAGATCAGCCTATATCAGTCTGTATAGGTGATTCCAAACCGGTAGCGCTGGATCTCGGCGCGGATACTGACAATGTTGGAGCAGCTGTAGTCTTCGATAACGGCGAGGTGGTCGTTGAATATCTCAAGAAGCATCCTTACGATAACCATCCTGAGCTACAAGCCAGTCTCGAGACCGAGCTACGGATTGCGTTGATTCAATTTTGGATCAACAGCTCAATTGCCATCTCCATCTGCTCTTATGTGGCAGTCATCACGGCGGGTCAGAAATCCTACACGATGCTCAACACACAAGCCGTGGCCCTGGGCCAGCAACTTGCAGGCCGAGTTATGGCGGGCCAAAATATGACCTATGCCCCTGTGTTAGTTTTAGACACATACAAGGACACCATGCAACTGGCGCTGACAGCTGCCTCCGCATTTGAGACTCAGTACGATCGCTTTCAGGATAAAGCAACGTCTCTGAAAGAGCAGATTGAGGCGTGGAAGACAATGCTTGCCAAAGCTACTGATAGCCAAACAATGCAAGGCAAACTGCGTGACTCGGCATACCAGAAGTACCAGGACGCTGCTAAAGCAGCCGACAACTGCGACCAACAGTTCAGGTTTGACAATGACGCTGTACAGAATGCCGGGGTACATTTTCAGGATGGCATAGAGAAATGGAAGTTCGAGCAAAAACTCAAAGCAATAAAAGAAATCATCACGGCAGTCATTAGTGAGTATCTTCTCGTGATTCAGGCCTACCTAGACGAAGCTAATCTGGCATCTGCTCAGCATTCGCTGTTGGCATTGGTGAAATGTGCGTCGGTAATCCGGCTGGAGCTAGCGGAGCAGAGAAAGCCGTTGAGGCTGCTATGGAAGCGGAAAAAATCGCCAATCAAGTCGCTGCAAAAGTAACCTCCGGGGCATTCAAGAAACTGAAAGAGGTTGTCAAGGCACTGGGCAAATTATATCCATCGGTGTCTCAAATGGTCAAGGCAATCAAAGCTCTTGAATCCAATCCTTCTGTCGATGTTCCTTCCATCGCTGAAATCTCGGGCACGACAAAGGGGGATGCAGACTCCAGTGCTATTGCTACCATGGCAGCGTGGGACATTTGGATTCTTGAATCAGATGACCAGATGGCCTTCGCAGTTACGGCTGGAATTGAAGGCGCAACTGCATATCAGCTTGCTCTGCGAAAGCACGCAATCAATGGAAAGCAGCTGGTCCAAATCCAGGCTGAAGCTGTTAAAGCTGGGTATGAGTATGTTCAGGCTCAAATGGAACTCAATCGTTGCACAAAACAGGTGGAAGATCTCCAAAGCTTGATTGACAGCTATACAGGACAAGAGGACGTCTACCTCAGAGCCGAGGTTCAACTCTATGATCGTCTATTGGCTCTCAAAACGGGTGTGGTGATTGAGCTACAAAATATGGTTTGGGCATATCGATACTGGGCTCTTTCAGAGAACAAACTTGTTCTTAACGCCACGAAATCCATTGAAGATTACGACAACGATCTTTATCAGATCGCCCGCGATATGGAGACAATAGATGAGCAATATCCCAGCGATTTCCAAGGTAAGCCACTACTGCTGCTTTCTATCTTTTTACAGGACTAGCTGACCGGTACAAAAAAGGCTTCACGTACTATGATGAAAGTGACAAGGTATATATGCTCACTCACAGCGCTCTCACGAAGGAAATAATAGCTGACAATACTGGTAGCTCCCATTTAACTTTGGAGAATTGCTGGTCAAAGGCCTTACAGGCGGAACATACACTGGTAGCTTTACTCTAGCCCCCAACAAATCTTTGGCTGGGGTTTTCTTCGGGGGTTCTCACTACCGGCTGAGCGGCTTAGATCCAACTCTCAGAGGAGCTCTTCCAGAGAAGAAAGCCGTCAAAGATGGCGTGGTGATTGTCCACTTGCAAATTACCACATCTGGAATATACGAAGATATACGAGGTGGTCAGATATTTCGCTTTGCAAGCCTTCCCCAATCTCGCCAGTGTTCCTACGAGCTTAACGAAAATGGAGAAAGAGGAAAGACGTGGGATAATCCCATATTTGAAACTAAATATCACGCCGAACCTACTCCGTTTACGCAATGGGAGATAAAGGTTCTGAATCCTGAAGACGTTGACTTGAGTGGATTGGTAGGAGTTGATCTGAAATGGGAAGGACATGTTCGATTTGCACCGAGTCAACTCTTAGGAGGAAAGTCGAAGGAGTAATACAGCATAGCTAACATGTTATTTTTCAGGGGAGATGTAGTAAATTGCAAATCATGATATTGACTATAAAAGCTAAGACCCGTGAAGCCTACAACACATACAATATCGATCAAAGCACAAATAACCTCAGCTTGATATTGTTCTCTCCTCTTGTAGAGGTTCATAAAGGCTATGTCAAGTTGTAGCGGAGCAACAGATGGTCCAGAGTAGGCGCCGCTGCAATACATGCGAATTCATGGTGCTGGCGCCGCCGTAAAGCTTGAGCTATCCCATATAGTTGTCCAGGAAATCTTTGACTAGGTAGCAGAGAGCAAGGTTAGCATTTGACAATCAGCAGTTTCAAGTCAACGATGGTCTCATCGTACCTTCAATCGCCAAATCGCTCCACATCTCCAAGAGTTTATTCTTCTGTAGATCTAGGAGAGGCCCTGGTCCAGGTTTTGTATGTTCCGCCACATAGGTGGACAATGCAGTGAGATCATTCCAGATATCGACGGTGGCTCCTACGGAATTGTCCTATCAATATCACTCGCTTTTCGAATCAAAATGTTAATTGGAGAGAATGCCGTACCGACAGCGTGTTGCAAGTTATCCATTGAGCCGCCCGAGTCGTCTTGCATATTTTGCTTGTCTATTATACCCTGTCCAATTTGTTCATCGGCAATAGCACGAAATTGCAGGCATGAAAAGAAACTATACCGCTCCCCAGACTGGCTGGGCTAAGAGCTCACCTGGAGAATTCCCAACGCATTACAGTCATTGTCAAAGTCCTCCGAGTCACGCTCGCCCTCATGGCATGCGCGAAGTCGCTCGATGGTACTTTGACTGGACAAATCTGCGCCAATCTTTTTGACCAGGATTTGCGCCTCAGTAGCATTTCCAATAGCGTCTCTCAGGCTGTTGGTTACGTCAGTGGCTATATCTGATAAGGATGCGAGTTTATCTATGCGTTCTTTCATTTTCGCCTGAACTTCCTCGCGGAGGCTGTCGTTGTCTGATTCCTGGCCGTAGAGCCTCTCAAGAGCATCAAATATCTTGTCTAGAGGAACATGAGACATATATCAGGATCAGAGTAGTTTGAGGAAGATCGGAAGTTGGGCTTTCTTTACCATAGTCCATTTGGGTTGCGGCTGCGAGTCCCAGAATGTGTTTGCATACGTCTCCCACGGAACGATATCCACTCTGATTCAGAGATTAAGATTCCGTGCATTAAAAGATCTACAGCGAAATGTCTTTTGCTTACCTCCAGAACCATGGATTGGTGGGTAATCTGCTGCGTTGTTATTTGAAAGGACTGACAACAACTGAGAATGGGTGTGCACCTTGTAAAAGTCATCCATGATGGGGATGAGTATATCAGAGTACAGCTGTTAGTTTTAGCTTCAAGTCTTACTAACAGAATAGTACGATTTGAGCAATACCTCTTGCATTCCCTTGTCTGTAAACCCAGCCACATAGCGAATTCTTTGGTCATCATATGGCAATCTTAGCGTTGCCTGCGTCGCCTGTTGGAGCTTTGAGAAGTTCGGCCCATGACAGACAAAGTTTGAGTTGTTGTTTACCAACAAGCCTCTCGGGCTAAGGAATGACTCGTCGAAGGACATTATCAAAAGATATAGTTGTTTAAGACTTTTTCTTGTCTTGGTTGGGCAATACATTCCACGTTGATGAGCGAAAAGCGCAGTGTAGCGTTATATATAGCTGTGTTCTTGCCTACAATAGAGCGCAAATGTGATGAGATCATGGCGGCAACATTGGTGTAAGACGAGTTATGCAAACAGGTGCCGGTTGACGTGTGATACCCAATCTGTCTCAACTTTCGGCAGTTTGGTTACACCCAATATTACGCGGCGTTTTATTGGGCAATTTGTTGTGATGGGATATTCTGTCTAACTTCACTAGCATCATGATGTTGGACTCCCAAGCTTTACTGCCGATATCTTACAAAACATCGTTTTCATAACAAGAATCCACGATGACATAAGGCAATTACCAGAATCGTAATACAAGCGAAGTCGGTAGAAAATGAAAAAGCTCAAGCGCTGGAGCAGTCGTCTCTTTTGCTTATTCTCACAGTATGCCATAGCTTCATAGAGTGTAAAAAGAACGTCTATTTCCAACAAGCGACTGACAGCTCAATCGGCGTTTCATGATTGGTCAATGGCCAACACGTGACTTGCCCGGTTAGCTCAATCGGTAGAGCGTGAGACTCTTAAGAGTTACACATTCTGAATGCAATCTCAAGGTTGCGGGTTCGACCCCCGCATTGGGCTTTTCCTATATAACAACGCGATTGAGATTCAGTCGCTTTCTTTTTTTGCTTTTCTTTTGTTTTTGTCAGGTTAATAAGTAAGGCTCATGAAAGCTCATGTTACTTCACCGTTTTGTAGTTGGAGGGGGTGATTTCTGACAAGTAACATTGGAACCTTGCATGCATATTTGCTTGCTACACAGCTGCCTATTTCAACCAAGTGGACAAACAAAGTTCTCCATACCCCAGCACCATGCCTCTGACGACATTGTGAGTGTCCTTTTTACTGTTTATTAATAGATTCCTCTCCAAACATTCGCCTACTGTAGAGGCGGAAGTGGCGGAAGAACAACAAGGCGTGAAATGTTGCTTCTAACATGATAAAGGATCATCTAGCATCATTCTTGCAACATCATTGAAGAATGGTTAGTTTTTGAGATGGTCGTCTACATGCTCCCATAGAATCACTCGTTGGCTGCATCATGGATAGTTGCCGTTAGGTAACAATGGCAGGGGCCGATGGCTTCATTGTACAACAGAACCCTCTTCATCTGGCTGGCTGGAGCTGTCGTTCAAGCCCAAGTTCCAAAGGCGCATGACAATGTGAGCTTTCTCCAGCCCATCTAATCGGGCAAGACAAAGTTTCCCGATTTGACCTGTGGGGGTCATTCTAAGCATGGATGTTCCTCAAACATAGTCTTCTTGTCGGCAGCTAGAGGCGCTTCTTTGCGGTGAGCTGAGCTGTATCTCGAGAATAGCGTTGAAAGTTGCCCATTGGCATTGTCCAGCCTATAGGATTCTGAACCAAGCTGTGCGTACATGTAATCGACCAACGGAGTTGTACGTAACAGCTGATCGGCCATCAACTTTGACATGATGGCATTTCATATCCTTTTCAATGCCTAAACTGCGCCGTCCAAGCTGTTTGCCCCACCGCTTTAGTTCGTAGATGTAAATTTACACGAATCACAACAAGATCGTCCCTTGCTGCCTTTCGCGATGATTCGATCCTCACTGCTGCTCCAGGCCATTCGGGCCGGCTCTCAGTACCGCCGGTACCCCAGATTATATATCTTCCACCAACCATAGCTGTTGAACCTGCATTTGAGCATTTTCGGAGGGCTTCCCGATTCGCTGCCCAGAAGTTGGGGAAAGCCAAAGCTTCGGAAAAGCGTCAGGATGGTAGCAGCAGTTGTAACATGACGGATAATTTTGCGGATCTTGCCCCGGACTTTGGATCAAGGTTATCTTGTTTACCATGTCATTTAAATGCCCAGTCCTCTCCGCATGCTCAATTCAGTGGGTTCGGGGTTGCCTCAGTTTGTTCAGAGTATCTGTATTGATCCCTCTTTTACGAGACCATTGCCACCATGGTTCGAGCAACTCAATTGCTGACATGGCTCGCGGGAGTCGCGTCCGCAGTGAATGCGGCTGCCATTGACATTGCTCCAGAGGCGTAAGTTCCTTTCTTCTCGTGTCTAGACACCCAATTGGTTCAATTGATACTCACAAAATAACCAGACTTGTTGATCGCGGTCTCTCTTTGTCTTTGGATGCTGGCCTCACTTTCGGCCAGTGCCATCCCGTCATTCGCCACCAAGACTTTTGGATGGAAACTATCAAGCACACGGGCATCTCTCCGTTTCTGAACGATTCCTCGTATGCCGTCTACCGCAACGTGAAAGACTTTGGCGCAAAGGGCGACGGTAAAACGGATGATACCGCTGCCATCCAAGCGGCTATTGATGGTAAGATTCCCATTCCCATTTGTCTTAGCCAGTATCCTTGAATATATCTCGTTCTAACGCTTAATGCCATCAGCCGGAGGACGTTGCCTTTGGGGTTGCGGTCCAGGAGATCCTCCTGCAAAGACACTCAAACCTGCTCTCATCTACTTCCCCTCCGGCACTTATAAGATCTCACAAACCCTCAACAGCTACATCTTCACCCAGCTTGTGGGCAACCCATTGGATAGGCCCGTCCTCAAGGCCGACAAGAATTTCTCTGGTCGATATCTGTTGGATACTTTCCCTTCTCCTACCACTTCGCCATTTCCCACTACCATCAACCTCTACTACCAAGTTCGAAACTTCGTTTTCGATACTACAAGTGTAGATGTCAAGTCATCCGTGGCTTGTGTCAACTGGCCGTCTGCCCAGGCCGTGACTCTGAGCTTCAACCACATGAAGATGGCCGAGAACAGTCTGCACCAGGGAGTCGTTTTCAACGGAACCACTGGTGGCGGAGGCGGCTCCGCTACTTTCATGGGCGACCTGGAGTTCACCGGAGGCAACATCGGAGTGAGTTCTTCTGTGCTATGATTTGAATCCAAATGAGCAACGGCTGATCTAGGTGATGCATATAGATTCGACTGAACAACCAGCAGTACGCTATGCGCGCCCTGACTTTTAACAATGTCAAAACTGGAATCCAGATTGATCACATCTTTACACTGTCTCTTCAGGGTGTCAAGTTTAACAATGTCAACACCGGCGTCAACTTTACTGCCCCACCAAACAACTCTGTAGGATCTGTCATTCTGATCGATTCAGAAGCCACTTCTACCGACAAGGTTGTTGTATCACAACACACAAAGAATGCCGATGGCTCCCTCATCATCGAGAACCTCAGGATCAGCCGTGTCGGCCATGTCGTCGCTGATACTCAAGGAGCCTCTCTTCTTTCTGGATCAACTCGATCCACCACAGTGAAATCCTATATTCAGGGAACAGTTTACAAGGATCAAACTACCGGCAAATACCTCGAAAGCAGTGGCTCTCTGTCACGACCCCAAGCTTTGGTCGACTCCAGCGGTGCCTACTGGACCAAGTCGCGGCCTCAGTATGAGCAGTACAGCTCTGGCTGCTTTTCGAGCGTCCGAGACTTTGGTGCTACCGGTGACGGCAAGACCGATGCTACCAAAGCTATCAATGCTGCTCTCAAGGCCAATGCTAACCGAAGGATCACTTATTTCCCTGCCGGAAACTACCGAGTTAGCGGCACTATTCACGTTCCTGTTGGATCCAGAATTGTCGGAGAGGTGTGGTCTACTATTAGCGGTGAGTGATCATTCCCAGTGTAGCCGTATTCTCAAAGTTTCGTTGCTAAGCAATCCGTCGTTTATATAGCATATGGAAAGACATTTGAGGATGAGAAGAACCCTCAAGTTGTCTTCAAGATGGGCGATACCGGCTCTCGTGGCGTCATCGAGGTGAGCGACATTGCCTTCGATGTCGCTGATGTCCTCCCCGGTGCCATTCTCGTAGAAAACAACGCTTCGGGATTTAAGCCCGGCGATGTTGGTCTGTGGGATTCGCACTTCCGTGCTGGTGGAACAATTGGCTCTGAGGTTGAGACGAAGTGCCGCTCTTATCCTCAGTCCCCCATCGAGCAGTGCAAGGCTGCTTTCTTGTTCATGCATCTGAAGTCCAACAGCCAGACTTACTTGGAAAGCGTCTGGGGCTGGTCCGTCAACCGTGATCTGGACGGATTGAGCGGTGCCACGAACGGAACCAGTCAGTCTGTTGCCGTGGGTCGAGGTCTTCTCGTTGAATCCAAGCGCGGAACATGGCTTGTTGGCACTGCATTTGAGCACTTTGTGCTGTATCAGTATCAGTTTGTTGGTGCTGAAAACGTGCAAGCTTTGATGGCGCAAACAGAGACTGTATACTGGCAGCCTGCACCTGTGGCTCCTCAACCTTGGACGTGAGTATTCCCATATTTATTTATTTTTGCATGTATCTCTGATATTAACTTGTTTCCTTAGGCCTGATGCCCGGTACTCTGACCCCGATTACTCCAACTGCGATGGAAGCTCGCTTCAGTGCTTCATGGGCTGGTCTCTTCGTGTTGTCGGTGGCAGCGATTTGACTTTTTACGGATTGGGCTTCTGGCAGGTAAGACTACATCTGCTCACTTGCATTTCGATCTCAATGCTAACAACAGCACATAGTTCTTCAATGGTCTCAATGGTGTTTCGGGCCCATATGCTCAAGACAACATTGTCTCAATCGAGGGTCAGCCTAAGAGATTGAAGATTTTCAATCTTGGCACACACTTGGTGAAGAACATGGTCACTGTAAATGGCAATGCAGCTGCTCTCAGCGCCGATAACAAGGGCGGATGGGGTGGCCTCATTGCTGCTTACCTTCCCTTTGCGTAATACCTAGTATAGATGCCATCACTAGATGAAATACATTAATGACCATCTTTCCCAAAGACTACATGTAATTTGTCCAATGTTTACAGGAGATGTCGATAGTGGTGCTCTGCATAACGCCATGATTACTTTAGGTACGCTGCACCATAGCCCACATCCATAGTCCATAGAAATAACGATATAAGCGAAAAGGCTCTCAATTATCGCCCCCAAGCTCATTAACTCATCCCGTGTCCAGATTATGGCAGCTTCATGAAGACATCCAGCATCTTTGGATGATTTGGTGTGCCCAAGCCCGTGATAGGATCCCAGCCTTGCGCCGCCTCAAACGCTACAGAATCGCATATCGACGTGTTTCCCTTTGTCACATCATTAAACATCTGTGGATTCTTATAAATCACTGGATTCACAAATCCCAGGGTCGACTTCCCTGCCTTGAGCCTTTCCTCATTGATGCGATTGATCAAAGCCGCAACTATCGGCGTCGACGCGCTGGTGCCACCTTGAGCTACAATCTCTTTCTCAGCGCCAAAGACATTGAGAACATTCCATCCCAGGGCGCTGACATCTGGAAAGCCACGGCCCTGGCTGTTAAAACGGTCGCGATCGAGGTCCTGATGACTATCCAAGTAAGCCTGGACAACCTCGTCTTGATAGGCAGGGCGAGAGTAGTTCCAGGAAAAGCCTCCCGCAGAAGCCAAGCCTAGGGCATTAAGACCAACTTCCTCGAGACCAGGGAGAAGTTGGGTCGCACCAACGGTAAGCAGATATGGGCAACTTTAAGAAGTCAATACAACGCAAATTAATAGTAACATACTCCGGGATTGCTTACTTCGCAGGGTATTGCGCGACAGCGTGGTAGTACCACTCGTAATACTTACTGGGGTCACAGATGTTGGATGGTGCTGAACCAAGATCTGCTGTAGATGCGACAATCATGGTCCCCATGAGCGACAGCTTCATGAATCTAACAAAGCACGATCAGTATTATTTAAAAATAGATTAGAATATATGGCTCGGCGGACTTACTCATTGCACTGCCGATGCATGTAGTTGTATGGGAGCAGTTGTTCATCCCACCCATATGGGATAGAGTACACATTTGTGCTCTTTGTTGTTCCACATTGAGGGGGCCCTCTGTACCATCCCTCAGGGATTCCGCCATCGGGGTCGCCAGGGTTTTCGTGAGTGTCAGGATATGTTGGGTCGATCTCGGGGTCATTTCCTGTCTCTCCAAAAGCTGTATAATTGCAATATGACTTTAACTCTTTTGGTCAGTTCACCTTTCAACTAACGATACTCCAAAAGTATCACCGCACTGAACATGAAGGAATACGCTTACGCCGTCAATAGCATTCAGCCAGCTCTGAAACATGCCCCAGTATATTTCACGCCCATAAGTGGTATAATAGTCATCATCAACTTGATATATCGTCACGTTCTGCGGGTAGACCAGCGGCAACGACATTTGAACGTCGAGATCCGCTTCACCGCTATCATCAGGCTGGTCGTAGTGAATTTGGGATACGTCGATGGTAATATTTAAGAGCGTCATTTCAGGTGGGATATCGGTGTAATTGGCCAAGAATACTTTGAGCGCAGTCGGGCTGTACCAAGATCCGCTTGCGAACACGCCCAAAGAGTTACCAGGAGCTCTTTTGTCCCCTTTGGACACATTGGAGATATTGAATGCAGGTTGGTGTGATGAGATCCAAGTCTGTGCAAAGGCCAACATCTGCTCGTTTATCGAGGGCGTCGCGTGCAGAGACTTGCTGTTCTGGCAGTACACTTCGTTTCATATACTCTTTCCTCATGTTACCAACAAGGGCAACGCCAGGATGGATGAAATCAATAGATCTCGCGAGATGGCTGGGTACTTTGTATCTTTAGCAGGATATAAGTTAGTCCTCTCTGTTTTTTTCCCATAATTCGAGGTAGAAGAAGCACGTACTCGCGAGTCTCCAGCCCAAATTGGTATGCGTGATACTCAGTCTGGAAAAGTTCTTCTGCCTCTTGAACAGTAGCATTGAAATGGATCCACTCATAGCCCAATGAGTGGACGATCCTATCTTCAGAGATACCTGATCCCGTGAGCCACTCTCTAATCAACTCGATGGACTCGTGTGACGGAGAAAACATCTTTGCAACCTGCTCTGCCGTCCAATGTTTACCATATTTCACGAAATCTGGGTCCGAAACATCCAGAAGAAGATCATAGCCTCGATCCAAGTTGCACTGACTCACGCCAATTCTGACGGGGATTATATCGTGTGGTTCGAGACTGTTACGCTTTTCCCTGTGACTATGGCTGTGAATATCTCGCCGCTCGTGGGTGACATGCGTCGTCGGAGATGCAGCATAGACAACAGCCACCGAGATCAGAGCCAAGGTCGCAAAGGGCGAGCTAGTCATGATGTCTAGGCTGGTTACACGCAGATACAGGTTGAATTTGACACTCAATAAGACTGTTTGTCTAGAATAATTTCCATATCCTTCTTGCTTCTTACGAGATATTTAAACCAATAATTACCGTAGTGACATGAGCAGTGACGGCCTCCATTACATCAAAACCTTATAGATAACTGTAAGTGGAAGCGTGCAAAGTGAAACTTTACTCCGACATGACTAAAAGTTCAACAACTAAAGTGCCTCTTTGAGTCTTCACATATCTAACTTGAAGCCTACATGAGCTTTCCTCTCTAAGGCATTAAATCCCAACACATCAGGGTCAGTGACAGGGAGATGAAACAATAGATGACGCGGATTACAGCGACCCTGGCAGGCTGGATACGAGGCACACACATGTAATGCCAAACAGAGACCTTAAATGCGTGTATTGCCTAACAGATACTTCACATACATATAATACTAAGCAGCCACTTCACATACATTTAACGCCAAACAGAGACTTCAGAAACATGTAACACCTAATAGAGTCTTCTCATGCATAAAGCCAAGGCAAACTCACCCCTTTTCTCTCTATACGAGAACTCGATAATGCACCCGCTGCACCGCACAGGTCGTTCTAAATGATGACCTAGATAATTGCCTAAATAGCCATCTGGTCAACTCTTCAAATAACTGGCTGGAAAATTAATGAGCTCATCCCCTACGCTGACGACGCAATTGAAATCAACATGAAAGAATAATACGCCAAGTAAATATTGCTGATGAGTTGTTGATTGAGCCTGAGGGTAGAGAGAGTTGCAGGCGCCACGAGTGCTGTCACATACCATATCATGTATTTTGAAAAGCAATGAAGAAACTGTCTTCTTAACCGCGATACCCAGCACGCCTAAGCCTACTGAAACATAGATGTATAAACTAGCATTCCAGGGCGTCAATTGAAAGAAAAGATAGCAGGTATTAGGGGTTGCAAGCTTTATGTTTATATACTATATTAACGACTGCATCAATATGGAAACTAAACTAACTCCGTGTGACTTAAATTACCCCGGGTCCAATAAGAATCTACATAGATAGCACGACATATTCAATACGTAAAATACAAATCATAGAAGAACATCCAAACAAGAAAAGCATGGCCAAGTCCTCTGCATAACGCTGTATGACAAATCATATGCTATGCCCGCAGTACCAGCCTGTAGTAGAGACATTAATGTTGATAACATGAGACGGAATCGGCTGCCATCGGATGTTTGCTGTCAAATATCACCAAGTTGCATAAATGAGGGCTGTCTTAGGCTGGCCGTGCCCCTCACTCAGTACATACACCTACAGAAATTAGCAGACGAATAGGAATTTATCTTTAATTCCGTGATATGTAATTGTTTAATATCTAGCCTTTTTACTATTCGTTGGATGCGCGCATGATATTTGTAATTGCAAACAGGTGATCTGCGGCTTGGATGCTGCTCCGGAATCGGCCAGAAAGTAAACTGTCAGATGGCTGCAGAATCTTAAACACCGGGAGGAATAGTGAAAAGAAAAAAAAAAAAAAAGAGAAAAAAAANAAAAAAAAAAAAAAAAGAGAAAAAAAACATGAGAGGAGTAGAAAGCATAAGAAAGCCTTCGCAACAAACAGTTACAGGCATATTATCTCATCTATACTTTGTCTGTAAAATATTATTCGTTTCTGTAGAGTCGTACCTGGGCTGATCGTGTAAGTGAAATCCGCGGAATTGCACACCACACACATAAACTACTAGTAGCCATGCAGCTTCTCTCCGGGACTCCCGAGTAACATGCATCATGAGGTCTTTCAGGGCGCCAACTTATTAGGCAATGTGTCTCCACCTTAGCTGCATCTATAGCCGACTAATATGGCTTGTATGGGCAACTCTCGGCACTCGTTTGAACTACGAAGCGAAGGATGCCCAAGGCCACTTTTTTAATTGTGACCTAAAAGCTGGACGATCTCCCGGATCCACATTGGCGATTGAGTGACTGGAGAGAGCCACTTCGAGCTCCATCATGTGACGATCATGCCATGAAGCTCTGAAACTCTTGTGAGCTGCATGTTGAATCACCAAAACCAACTGTCTTAGGCATAGTGCGTATGAGGTATCATGTTTATCATTAACGAAAGTCTAGAGCTGGGTGTAAAACAAAGGTATCAAAAGCGACCGAATCTATCCATCATTACTTCATGTCCGAGCAATCCCCATCCCATCCTCAACCTCATTAATATGGGGATCCATTCTCCACTCCATTCATTCTCTCCATTTTGGTATGTGTTGGTATCTCTCTATTTGTAAAACGCGGTGATTGTTTCAGTTTCGCAAGATGCTAGTGCAGTGCACAGACAATGGCTGGCATTGTCAAAGTGGCATGTGCTGCAGATGAACGGCGCAAGCGCGGAAAGCGGAGACTTGCTGTGCTGTTTCTCTTAGTTCATCTGACAGATGCTCTGTCGTTGTTTAGACAGAGTTGTCGGAGGGGCGGCCAGCAGAGATCTCCTTGTTGTGGGGAGCAGCAGCGGGAGTAGCATACTCGGCACGGAGAAGGATACCCTCAACAATGGTGTTGCACAGAAGGAAGAAGCTGTAGAAGTAGATATTAGTGGGAATGCTCATTAAGAAGAAGGGACGTAGTAAGATGCTTACAATCCGATGAAGTTGAAGGCGTCAATGGCCTTCTTGCGGGAGCAGTGGCCCTCACCAGGCTTGCCGAAGCCGCACTTGCCGCTGCTCCAGTCCTGAGAGGAGAAGATGAAGGAAGTGAGCCAGAGGTAGGAGAAGACCAGGTTCATGGGAGCCAGGTATCCACGGTATCTGCCAATGAGAGGCAGGACAGCACCAACGAGCCAGAAGCCTAAGGTGATAGTGGCCTAGATGCGAAGGTTAGCTTCCAAGAGCTAGAGTATGGTATAAGTCTAAGTGGGTAGACATACAATGACTTCCTGGTAGACGATGTTGACACCGCGGTAGTCGTACTTGTGAAGGAACCAAGAGACAAGACCAGTGACGATGGTCGAAGAGATGAGGATCATCAAGTGGTTGGCGAAGGCGATGTATCGCAGGGTAGCGTGCTCCAAGTTGCCGAACATGTTGGCGGTATTAAGTGCAAGTTGCTTCTAAAGGGTATTAATTGGTGTTGTGAGAGTGATGATGCTTCAAGGAGCTCAAGGTGGCGGTGCTGTCGGGGTATGTATATTAATGTATGAGGGTATATGGATGTCGATTAATGAAGCTGTTGATCCAAGCTATTTGCTTGTTGTAGAGGATGTTGAAGCTGATGCTGAGTGATCCGAATAACCTCCAGATACGCGGAGCGCACGACCTTCTTTATACCAATCTCCATCGCTGTCTCCCCGCGATGTCTCTTGCCGAACGAATCCGTTCATCGGATTGATGTCATCTGATGATTCGCCTTAGACTGAGAAAGAAAAATATCACGACAATGAGGCTGCGACGTCATAGCATGCCACTTCTCACAATGCCGAAGATTAGACATTGCTCGGGCATTGGGCCATCTGCCGGCGCTCCGGGAGCTCCGGCTGCACCCACCTGACTAACGCTGCACAACTTGATTCTTTGGGCTCTTGAGACTTTTCTGGGTCTTCTTGTTTAGCTGCATTGCTGCATTGGGCTGCCAAGAGCTTTGGGTCACATCAGGCAATGTCCAATGAGTTGTTGTGTATTAACCGAGGGCATGAGAATGCCTTCAACCGCTCGGCTGGCTCGCCGATTTTGTCGGGCCAGAATTTGCAGCAAAGGAATAAACGCGAAGGCGAGCAGGGTCTGAGCTAGCTGCATGGAAACACCTGCAGATTCCATTGGCTCGGCACATTTCGGAATTGTGATGATGCCCTCCAATGGGCGAGCTGTAGCTCACCAGAGCTTTGCACAGTCAGCAAGAATTAGGAATCCGAACTTGTTGCCCAGCTATTGCTGCATGTTAACATAGAGATTTTGCCCGGAACTAACAATATCGTATCTGTCTTGGTATAACACATCTCTGTCCTGTGAGAAGAAACTATCGACGAGTGTTCCGCTTTGCTCTTTTTTTGGGTATCGCCAAGAAGCGTTGAGATGCTGCCCGGTTCAGATGAGCAAGTTTTCGAGTCGCAGAATTGCAATACTCGTGAATCCGTAGATCGGCGATGACTTGCCGGGCGGGAATGGCCTCGTTCGATAATTTTTCTAGGGCGAGGTGGATGACACTCCCGGCGGGCGGCGGCTCGGTGCTGGTCGGGATGTGCCGTCAATTATTTTCTCACCTCCGAGCCATCAGCTAACCCAGCTAACGCAGCGACGTCATGCTAATCAATACAAAACCAGTGAAGAAAAAAATCATTCGCGGGTACCTTGCCGGAAATAATGGGCTATTAGCCTGCAGCTTATTGCCCATTGCAGTTTCAGCATTTGATTTGCATCGTGTGTTGCTCTCATATGCTCACGCTTCTCGTTATCTCTTGACAGAGGCCATCACGACAATATCTTTGACCACTCCTCTACCTTCATGTGCTGTATGGTTCGTAAAAAAAAGTCGGCTATTGCAATTCTGAATGCGATTCTGTCCTGGGCATTGAATGAACGTGTCATTCTGCCTTTTTTCCGTATGTGAGTTCGGCGGTTCGCGATAGCTTGTGGCAACGGTTGTCGGCTACGGCACGGCTAGCCATCAAATCACATCGCAGCGCGCTTTGCCTCATCAGCCTCTTGTCTAAGGAAATGCTTCAACAGCTTTGGACTCACGAGTCATTTGGCAAACAGGTTTTTGTCCTTGGAGGGTTACATCTCAGCTCTCACCAATCGTCTTACATACTGGTACTGGTGGTGGGGGAAGAAGTCCGGAGCTGCCGATTCCATATTCCAGAATTTTCATTCCGGTACACCAAAGTACAAGCAACAGCGGCAACAATCACTTACTTATAGAGCCTATGAACCGATTGTGTAAATTCGTTCTATTCCGTCTGCGGATTTTTTGCGTTTACTGGCTCATACATCTCTTTTTTGCGTTAAACTTCGGGACAAATGCTGCTGGACGAAGTCATCTCCAAATGACTGCAAGTGTGTAGTAGCGTCTTGGGTCCAAACACACACGTACGCTTGTGATATAAGTCAAACTGATAAAAGAGATAACATTCCCTCATCTTGCTTTCATTGTTTGACACTATTGAAACAATGAAATGAGGTGAGAGACCCAGACGCAGATATTCAGGAACGAGTGTCCTTTTAAGCATAAAATGGGTGGCTGTGCCACAAAGTCAAACCGTTGCCACCGGCATCACAACGTATGCTCATCGGGTTCACACTCCAAGAGGACATGATTACTATCTGACCGATACAGCATTTTAACTCCGCGTATTTATTTGCCACGATCGCAGAGAGCGTATAACGTCATATGACCCCTGATGCAATAACAGTCTACCCGAAAGTAAGTGCTCTCAGCACGTCGCAATTACCATTATACTGCGCCATACATCTTTATTTCTATGTTCTCGTGGTATCAGCGGAGATTGCAGATGAGATTTGCGATAATAGCCCGATGATTGCGATTTTAGTAAAAGTTTATCTATATGAATAATAATAAAAATATGAACCCAATCATATTCCTTACTGCATAATAGTCTAAGCGTGGCCGCTTTCCTTGCCTCTCACCACATCAAGCGGTAGAGATTGTGCCCATGATAGGAGTCGACAACATGTGCTGAAATTCGGCTCCGCGGCTCGGCCGCTTATGTTATATTTCTGAAGATAGTGGTGTCTCTCCCTATTCGACGGCTCTGCTCTGAAGCCTATTCTGAAAGGACGGAATGCTATTCTCCACGGGCGGCCCCATGGCTCCGGTCCGCGGCGGAGATAGTAACTCCGACTGGATCACCTCAAACGGTGGCATCAATCTCAACATTGAGTGCCAAATTGACGAAATCCGCAATCTGACTCCTGCTCCTTCGCATGAGAATCTCGCCAATCCACCCCTGATGCTACCTATAGAGATATCTCCGTATGATCAGTCACAGAGACATTCGTTGAATCGGCATCGTTCACAAAGTCCGATGATTTCGTAGGAGATTCGCCGTCCTGATACGTGGTATCAAGGCTAGTAGTTGCAAGTATGCAATGACACCCAGTACGGAATTTACATGCGTCACTGAAACACAAGCAAGGGAAGTCATTATATTTCGATCAGAATCCGATGATGTTATTGGCGCGCGGCTAATACTCCGCTATTGGTGGATGCTCCCTATTCCCATACGAATTCATGTAGAAAGGCACTGGCAAACGTACAGCAGGACAATTGATAGCTCCACAACAAGAAAGGAGAGCGGAGAGCGGAGAGCGGAGTATAGGTTAGAGGAATACGAAGTACGGAGCATATCTTAGAGGAATACGGAGTACTGTATGCACGGGGCTTCTATCCTTTACCTACCTCATTGATAGGAGAATCCGTGGGCCAACGAACGAGGTCGCGAAAGATTCCCCTTTTGAGCCAAGGCGTCTGGTAGCTGCTGATCTCACGCTCCACTCCAATTGGACGCCCCGCCTATTGAACTTAGATTGACAATACGCAGTCACGCATCTTGGCATATTGTCCGGTAGCATCTGAAACGCTTCAATTAGTGTATTTAGCCAATACAATATAGAATTATAGCTAAAGAGACATATACAATGGTTTGTTAGCTTTATTGATGTTGTACAATCTCCCTAGGAAACTCGAGAACTTCTCTCACAGATTATAAGCTTCCCAATTGACCTATTCAACCAAAGCCAGTACATTAACGATGGAGACGCATTCATGCATGCATCACTCCCTTCTTTAAACGGATCTTCGATCATATCCGATACTTCCGCTTAATAAACATTTGTCCATCTCAGGAGAAGCATTATGGTAAAGGCTCTCAATATCGGTTCATATTGTGTTAGGCCACTGCTATCAAAGATTTATCTATATAAACTATGCAGTACAGACATGTTTTTGTTGCTTAGGTCCTCCAGCGACAAGAGCAGCAATATCATACAGGGATATACTTCTGTTGAGTTGTCACGTGGAGCTGTGTGGCCACTCTCCTTGTTGTTTCCCCCTCTTTCATAGATCAGTATAGCAGAACACAGAGAGTTTTGCACCTTCAGCTTGTCAGCTTGTCAACTTCCAATAACCAGCACTCGGAGCAACTTTCAAATGGCTGTGACTAATTTCAAGGTCATCATTGTTGGCGGTGGTAAGAAGATTTAGCTGCAATATATTGTGCTGTGTTCAAGTTTATAGACTAACTCTTTCAAATAGGTCCAGTAGGACTGACGGCCGCGCACGCTCTGCACAAAGCAGGCATAGATTTCACCGTTCTCGAGCGCAGCAATGAAATCGCTATGGATGTTGGTGCTAGCATCGCTCTGGGATCTGCCACTCTGCGAGTCCTTCATCAGCTTGGCTTGCTGGATCAACTGTGGGACCTCGGCGGAGAGATAGCTTTCCAAAAGAAATTCACCATAGATGGCTACAATTTCAAGAGCGGCGACTGGTTATATGGTATGAAGAAAAGGTCAGTCTTATATTACAAGATATCTTCATTATAAGTATTGAGATACATTCTAACGCAATACCTTCAGCCACGGCCTCCGCCCTGTTGCTTTCCATCGAGCAGAGCTTGTTCAGTCTCTTTACGATCAACTTCCCGAGGAAGTCAAACCCAATATTTTGACAAGGAAGAAGGTTTCGGACATCCAATCGGGAGAGAAAAAAGCCAAAGTTGTCTGCGACGATGGAAGCATATATGAAGGAGACTTGGTCCTTGGCGCCGATGGCGTGCATAGCCAAACTCGCAAGATTATGAGAAAACTCGCTCTGGAAGCAGACCCCAATGTCAATTGGGACCCTGAAGCCCCTTTTACGGCGACTTATAGATGCATGTGGGCGAGTTTTAAGAGACCAACAGCCGTGGGAGACGCAGCTGAAACTCAGCACAAGGATTCTTCTATCATGTATTTGGTGGGCAAGGAGCGTGGCTGGATATTCCTTTATGAAAAGCTACCACAGCCCACCAAAGAACGCACGTCATATACCTCTGAAGATGTTGAAGCAATGGGCAACCGATTTGCCGAGTATCCCATTTGGGACAACCTCAAAGTGAAAGATGTGTTCCCCGATCGGATGACGGGCGGCATGTCGGATCTCCAAGAAGGCATCTGCAACAACTGGGGTTGGGGTCGTATCGTGCTTGCGGGAGATGCCATCCATAAGGTATGCCCTAATGCCGGCCTGGGCTATCAAACCGGAGTCCAAGATGTGGTATCGCTGGTCAACATTTTGAGACAGTTGGTCGTTCCTTCGGAGCCCTCAATGGGCCTCAGTGTCTCTGCCCTGGAAGCCGTGTACAAGAGCTACCAAAGTCAACGATGGGATCCTCTGTCTCATGATGCACTTATATCTGGGCACGTTACACGCATACATGCCTGGGCTAATGTGTGGTACTACTTGTTGGGTCGTATCGTGCTGGTACCACACTTTATGGATTATCTCATGAATGACTGGTTGCAAGCACCGGCCACGAGCAAAGCGCTAGCTTTCAACTTTTTAGATGCCGAAGAACCATTTGAAGGACAAGTTCCCTGGGTGCACCCGCTAAAGAATATTTATTAATTGGCATGATTCCATGCCGTGTTGAAAAGAGTGGCGGGGTGAGAGAGGATTAAAAGGTGTATCTTCATTTCTGCAGCGATGGTGTGTCGCTCGCTAGTGCTGACACTCGCCATACTTATGTATACTAGATAGAATTTATAGATCGGAATTCCAATTTAATTTGGAACTCTTCATCGAAGTTCTGAGCTATCATCAACAAGCGGATATCGCCACGCTTAATAATGAAGCTGCCGAATTAACCGCTCCGTTGGTTGAACTTAAGAATTTTTTCAATTGGGATAGAAGAGTTATCAACCTTGAGGAAATGTGGCTCCATGAAACCGAGGTAAAGGCGTAAGACGTGGCTAGCTAAGCCACTAGGATAAACTGACTCGGAATCAACTTACACACAACGATGGATTCAATTCCGAAGCATGTCCGTCATCAAATTGCAGAGTAGCAATGCTACCACGGCATTTCACACCAGCTGCTTTATTCCATGTACTGTCAATGCTAAAATCAACGTTGTGAGACAATCCTCACACCCTTACTCTTTGGGAAATGATTCCGCATTGCTCATTTTGCTCTTTAAAGAGCATAAAGTTTGTTCTACTTAACGCCACGACGTGTTGTCTGTGGATGATGGATTTAGTAACGACAGTTAATAAGCGTGACGTCTTCCTATGCCACTCTCAAGGATAAAGTACTTTAACTTGAAGCACTTTTAAAACGACTAAGAAAGAGAAAGGACATCCTGGGCAAGCTCAGTTAATGTGACGTCCCGACCCGATACTTATAAAGTATAGGGTAAGTTCCCAAGGTAATAAGCCAAGGTCAATTGGTTTATGTTAGCAGAGAGGACAGGAAGTAGCTTTAAGCAGATGTAATCACAAAGCAAGTAAGATGTAATAAAGATTCAGTCTGTATTTAATCTTGATGCTTTGTTAACGACTGTCTATTTAAGTTATCTAAAGAGCGTAGAGAATCGAATCTTATATATCCAGTCGTTCCTGGTGGCTTACTCTTAGGATCGTGAGCCCAAGTGTGGGATCACCATCTCATGAGTGATCCGTCTAGGGTGGCTCACAATGAGCTCGTCGCTCCTGCGCTAATTGGTCCTTCGGGTGAAGTGTTCTTCCGTGGTACATTCCCAATGTACCTTGTCTTGGGTCAGGCTGTAACAGTTAACTAGTTGAGATGGCGAATAATGCTAATAATGAATATTGTAATTCTAAGATCAGGCATAGTGGGTGCAGTTCAAAATGAAGCTCTCACTCAACTTTGAGGTGGATATAGCGTTAATGAGTTTTCCAAAATCTCGTCTCTTTCATGTGGTTCCTTTATTTCCATGGCTGCAAGCTCTCAGGCAATACGAATCCGAGCTTGCCATCTACGGCTGAAGTGTGGAATATTATGAAGAGAGATTCCATAGATCTCTTTCACACTAAGCGAAACCTAATCCAGCACTTTTCGGACTTCCCTGTCAAAACTCCACATGACGAAAGGCGTCTCGGTTTCTCTAGCCAATCTCAGGCAGGTGATGAATTGTTTCCTAACCTTTGGTGTGATTTTCGTCATTTAGATCTCTTTCCTCGGAAAGAATCCTATGGGAAAACTGAGAAGGTTGAGGAAATAGATGGAGATTTAGGAAAGTGGGGAGATAGAGATCAGGGTAAGGATGGAGAGTATGGAAAGATCTCTGTACTTTATTCAGTACGCCTGTGCCAAGTCCACCACGCCCGGCTTATAAGCATGCAAGAAGATATGGATTCAGCATCGTACAGCCTACTTCATCAACATTATGGCGTAGTAAGTCATTACCAATCATACTAGGTACTCTAGATTGATCCTTCAGCCATCGACTTTGAGTTTGGCTTAAGCACACGTGTCCAATTATCACCAATGTCTCACTCGCTGGTACATGGTAAAATGCAATAGTTCCAAAGATCTGTCAACAGTGTCATACGCATCTTTGGCTGACCAAGATGTACGCGCGCGCTTTCAGTAACAATGGCAACTTTTCGAGTTCTCAGCTTGCGCCAGGCGGTATAGCATTTATGCCGACCCGGGAAAATTACTACATTGCGGCCATCATCAGCACAAGGAGATTAATTATCTGCACGTTTATTCAGCGGGCGGGCTTTACGCTACAGAGCTTCTTCCCGCTGCCCTGCTTCTATTGTAGGTATTTGGAAGAGCTCTAGTCCCAAGCCTCTCGTCTGATGGTGTCATTAATAATGAGACGTGGCCAATCACGACCGCAACGACTAATCATAAAAGGCCCTAAAATAGTCTCAAATAGTAATCAAAAGTTGCCTCTAATTAGTAATTTCAGCAAAAAAGCCGCGGCTCATCGTCGTTGGCGCCAAATTCTTCTGCTGTGGAATGCTTCCAAAGTGGAACCCCCCTTGCTTCTACGGCCTTATGCGGCCAATCATCTCAAAGGTTACATCATCAGGGCAAATAGTTCCTAGGACGTTGCGGTGTTTCGGTGTTTGGGATAAGACCGCAGAGAGCGTTTGCGCCGTTATCGTTCTCGTTCAACACCACGCAGCCGGGGCGCATGGGTGTCGCCGAAGAGAAGGAAGATTCTTGCCGCGATTAGAAATGCGAAATCCATGAGAAGTTTTGTAATGGTAGAAAATGGAATATTCGGAGTCTGTAGAAACTGCTGTAGCAGAATGGAGATATAAGGATGGCACCGGCCAGTCTTCAAGAGCCTCCTATCTCTATCTTCAGACTCAATTCAGCAATCAATACAACAGCAAAGCTACAAACAACTCAGTAATAAACTGAAAACCCATTAATCAAACAATTACTTTCAACAAAAATCTATTACAACCCAACATCAACATGGCTGGCGATCTCGTTCTTGTAAGTCCACCCCATGCAGCTTCCCCCATCAAGCCATCTCCTACTAACACTGTTATCCGCCTTTCAGCTCACCGGTGCCACTGGCATGATTGGCTTCAAGACCCTTGTCGAAGTCGTCAAAGCTGGCTACAAGGTCCGCGTCGCCGTCCGAAACCAGGCTGGTTATGATCGTATTACCGGCCTCAAGCCTCTTGCCCCTTATGTCTCACAGCTAGAGAGCATCATTGTGCCCGAAATCACTATTCCCGGTGCTTATGATGAGGCTGTCAAGGGCGTGAAATATGTCGTTCACATCGCTTCTCCTCTGGCTCTTCCAGTTGAGGGCGAGGAGGCCTACCAGACTCAGATCATCCAGCCCGCCATCCAGGGCACAGTTGGCATCCTTGAGTCTGCGAACAAGGTGTCAGGCATCGAGAAGATTGTCATCACAGCCTCTGTCTTGTCTGTTGCCTCCATTGTGGCCATGGCTACAGGAACCAAGGTCAATGGTATGTCGTATCCAACCCCACAAGCCCAACTGGACTTGTATTAACCACTTCTCCAGAGGAGACTCGCGCCACCAGCACCGAGGGCCCCTTTGCCTCAAGCATGTTCGCCTATGAAGCCTCCAAGGCCCTTGCTTTCCAGGCCACCGAGAAGTTCATCGCCGAAAAGAAGCCCGCCTTCGACGTCATCAACATCCTCCCCGTCTTCGTCGTTGGTCGCGATGACACCGTCACTGATGTTTCCAACATCGCCAAGGGCACTAATGGCTTGTTGATGGGCCCTCTCCTTGGCCATGCTCGCGACCAGCCGCTCCTTGGCGTTGCTGTCCACGTCGACGATGTTGCCAAGATGCACGTGCTTGCTTTGAAGCCTTCTCTCAAGGGCAACCACGACTTCCTTGCCTGCGCACAGCCAAATGAAGTGGTCGACTGGGCAGACTCCTTCGAGATTGTCAAGAAGCGCTTCCCTGAGGCTTACGCTAATGGAGCCTTCAAGTTCGAGTCTATTCCTCGACCTGTCTCAGTCCCGGCATATGTCGACTCAACAAAGGCCGAGAAGGCTCTGGGCTTCAAGTTCAAGTCATTTGAGGAGTTGACTGTCTCCGTTGTGGAGCACTATTTCGAGCTCATTGGCAGCAAGTAAACGTCTATCACACGATGCAACTATGAGATCATCATAAAGGGGATATAGATGGAATGTTTTTGGAGCATATTTGATCAATCTAATATGCTTAGATTAGATTAGCGATGAATTTAATTGATCTTATTTACAATGAGTTATTTGTACTATGCAGACGGCGTCCTAATTAATTCAGTGTGGCGAGAAAGCAGATGTAAACAGTATACAGTCAGTCTCATGTTCTACCAAAATGAGACACTCAAGACGGCAATTGTTAGTAACATTGCGCTATTCGATGTTCCCATCATTGCTATCCAACAGTAAATACAAAATCGTAAAACGCGTGCTTATGTACAGTATCATCATGATTCGGCTATATACATTCCCAGATGACTTTTATGACTCCCTTTTCCATTTTTTCATACTCTCCTGTCGTCCCTTATAAACACGCCACACGGAATAAACGCTTCAGGAAACAAGTGGCTTAACAAAAGCAGCTGCTGTATCCGCGTCTTCGGCATACGTCAAATGAGGCAGCAAGATGAAATCTCCGCCCTGGCAAATGTTGTCTCCGTCGTGGCAGACAACGAGAACCTTTGAAGCGTCGTAATTGGCAACAGGTCTGCCATTGTATGGGTCACCAAAGAGAACCACGGCGCTGACTTTCGCCATTGTCGCAGCATCTAGGTTGCTTGCTGCGTTGTGTACGACCATGCTACCTTGAGAGTAGCCACCGAGCACGAGCTTGGTGTTGGGGCAGCTGCTGATGACGGATTTGATCTGGTTGGCCCTATTGTTATTGTTAGCAAACGACCGGGATTGAGATCATCTGAGAGGGGGAGAAACTGATGGGCGATGTGCCACTCACATGTCAATTCCTGGCTGCACCGATCCCGACAAAAAGCCCTGGACGCTTGCAGGATACGGAACTCCCTTGACGCCGACTCTTTTGTTTGGGAGTGCGGTTTCGAGCGAATTGAAGAACCAGGGCCCAACGAGGACTCCGACGTTTCCAGGATCGCAAGTACCTCGAGCGAACAAGACAGTCACATCACCACAGGCATCGTTTTCTGTGTTGGAGATGTCAAAGAGGTCGGCAGCAACATCCTCAGCATCTCCGATCAGACCACAAGCTGCTGAGACGGTATCTCCAATGGGCATAATCTCTGCCAGCTCAGTGAGGAACTCGTTGATAGTGGGCCAGTCTCGCCGAGTAGAGGACTGGAGAACGGGCTTTGGGTATGCAAAGGCATGGCCTGCCAAGAGGGCTGTGAAAAGGGAAAGGGACCGCATCTTGTACGCCGGTAGAAAAGAGATGATACAACGTTAGGAGGCTAGAATTCACTCGTTCCCAGGGCGCCAGAGGATGATTGAGGCGAAATGGAGTCGTCCGAGTATCACTTTATATACTTCTCGTCTCCACCCTGGCTGAGTGCTTCCACATGAAGCACATGCTTTCTCCACGATGTATAAACTCATTTCCGAGCACATGTACATACAAGCGTATCAATAGATCTGATAGCCCCAAGCTCAGACTCGATTGACGAGTAGAAACTCGGGCTCTGTCACCCTCTTTGGATAATGCAGTCTCGATAGTGCAAGGAGAACCTTCCAGATCTGGGATGGAGGTTCTTTTTTGCACAATGCGGCGCTTCGCTGCTCCGCCAGTAAGACGGCACCAATGCGGGACCGGAGACGATGCGTGACTATGTGGACGGGGAATTAAATCTGGGGTTAACAAGAGCTGCGTTGTCGTACGATTTGTCGGTTCGGAGGATCATGAAGCTACGCAAACGGTGAGAGATCAGTTAACCCTAACCTCACATGCACCCCGAGATGAACCTTTGACAATACTACCATGGCATCAAAGTAAAACCCAGTACCAACTATGTGAATATTTTAAGCTATGCTGACAGCTCGGGAACGAGACGATCTCTGCTTTACCCTTGCATATTTTGTTTGTTCTGTGCGTCTTACATGCGAGGATCCAAGATCGACGCCCGTTTGGCTTTGCAAGGGTTGGTTGGCACACAGACGCACACACTTGACATCTCCGAACAGCCTATCGCAAAGCAGCATCGCGTTCCCCTCATTGTCTCCAAAACAAGTGCAAAGTCTCTCGGTATCACAAGCCAAATTATAAAACGGCATTGGAGGAGAAGCCGACAGCTTTGCGCCTAGACGGCACTTGCGAGCCGTCAACACCCACAGAGGTGGCTGTGACAACGGCCCAGTCGGGAATATACGAAATATCCCGCCTTGGCTTTCTCTGGGCAAAGAGTAAAAAGGGTTTAGAAGAGTCTCGAGTTTGCGGGCTCGACGGAGAGTTGCACGGCCTCATTGTGGCTCCTCGCCTTGATTCATGCAGCTTCAAACAGGCAGCACTCATACCGAGAACTTTTCAGCATCGCTACAGAGACGAGAGGGGACTAGACACTCAAGGAAAACAAACCGCTTTCTCATGCATCCCGCATTTCTTCTTCCCCAGGCTCCGCTAATACCCCGCAAACCAGACGGGTCATCCCAAGAGACAAGCATCCGCTTGATACCCAGATGGGAAACGGCCCGGCAGATCGGCCACTGAGAAAGTCATGAGACTCGTGGGGTTTATTGTTGTGATGCGCCCTGTCTGGCGGCTAAAGCATTCGCTCGTTATGCTCACCGATTCATCGAAACTATCTCGGTACCTGACAATCCTTTGGGCGACTCAAGATGATTCATGGCATGTGATTTGCGCTTTTTTGATCCTTTATTGCTTAGAGGAGCGAATGAGAGGCTTTGGAGCCTCCGGAAGCGATGCATATTGTCTCCTCTCTTACGGTTTCCTTATTTTGAACATGGACTCTCCAGCCGCAATCGGTCTTTGTGCCCTATTTGGCAAGCCGTGCTACTTGGCCGCGTCATAAGTCCCAATTAAGTCACTTGTCATTGTAAAGATCGAGCATTGCTTCGAGACGGAGAAAAGTACTATGCGCTTTTAATTGATACGCTTCAAAATGATACTCTCTTGTGATTAGTGTGACAGGTTGTGGGCCAAAGGTCAAGGTCCTTTCCAACAGCAGTGTACTCGGCGGGGAGATTTATATACAATGCTATATTATGAGTGTATACTTTTTCTGTATGGTGTACGTAGAACATAATTCATCATTCGCATAATCATCGTCAATCTTAATTTTTTTTTTTTTTTTTTCGGAAATCCCCTTTTTAACATGATCCGGGACCAAAGCCACAGACAACCAAGATGCCTCCTACAAGCCGTCCTACAAGCCGTCCTACAAGCCGTCCCCGTTGAGTAAAACATGGGTATAAAGTAATTAATATTCGATAAATGGACGAAACCAGGCCGCTTCCCCCCTCTTATTTATCGACGACGTAAAGTATTCTTCCGCTTAGTTATCAAAATGCTTGTAACTGGATCGCGCATCCGTCGCAAGCGTGGTCGTCGATAACTCCACGAGAAAAGTCGGTCGTTGTGTTTCTCCCCGAGAAGAAGTGCCTCCAACCCTGGAAGCTCTGTTGTCGTTACTCTGCTCATCGCCAGCGGATAATATCTTGGGGAACATGCGCTGGAGAATCAGGCGAACGGTCGGTAAGCAAGTGCAGATGATCCCAATGTTGACCTCCATTGTCGACCACCAAGCGACATTCCATTGATCCCAGGTTGGATTGATGAGTTCAGCGAAGAATATGACCGATTTGAGGCGGAGAAGCGATATAATGCTCACGCTAAAGGCAAATCAGTTACACTGCTCAAAACAGTTCCGGGATGCACGTCGAAGTCGATGCAGAAATAACCTACAAGGTTCCTAGAATGAACATGACAACGACTCCAATCTTCTTCTTCCAGTGGAGATTCAACCTTTTGATTTGGATCAAGGGCAGTATGATCATCCACACGTCTACCGCCAAACCTAATCCTGCATTTGCCCAAGCGAATGCGTTCAAGTCGAAACATCTTCCCTTGGGTGGGTAATCGTAGTATTGCGCCCAATAATAATCGAGCGGTACGCATTGAGTCATGGCGGTAATGACAAAAACGACTCCAAAAACGATATTAAAAATGGCCGTTCCGATTAAGAGACGCCGAATGTTCGGCCCTGGGAAGACGTAGAGGTAGAAGAGCGATAAGCTGAGCTTCACCAACGACATTTGAACGAGATAGAAGACTTCCCCGATGAAAAAGAACTTTGCAAAGAGGGGAAGCTCGGGCGCTGGTAAAGTCCAAATGTCTTTTCCTATGCCATGGCCGACGAGACCGACCTGGTTAATAACGATTGCAGGGACGGAAATGACAATGGCGGCAAAGATGACCCAATCATCTGGTCCGATTTGTCCATTGTCGCTAAGATATCGTTTGAATAATAAGCGGACAATAACGAGAAGAATGGTGACAACACCAGAGGCGATATTCATTGAAGTGTACTGTCCCGATTCGTCTCTATAAGGCCGGCCACAGGCTGTTTGCGTGAGATTCATTGTCTCTACAATTCACAATACACGTCAGTATCATATCGCCATCCAAGCTTGTATCACGTACTCAAGGCTTCCGACATCATGCAATGCGCCCTGACGCATATTGTCCCGGCGTCAAAATACTCTTCATCGTCACACATGCATGGCAGGTCGCCGAAAGTACATGATGTGTTGTGGATAAGCGATGTCAAACAGTTGAGCTAAAATCGCCGAAATCAGTCAACTTCTTGAACACGATCATTGTCCTTCTTCCTGTGTCACCTACAGCGCAAGATGGGATCTGTGGGATTAAGTGGTCGAAGTCCTCCGATGACATCGTTTCATGACCGCTCAAGAATCTGGGTTCTTTTTGAAGTCCATGGCCGTAGACGAATGGCACTGCCATCAAAAACCTCAAAAAATTCCCTGACTTCATTTTCGATTCCGATCTGTGATGTGAGAGTTTTGCGTCGAGGGTGCGGCTTGACCAGACTTTTTAGTCTTTCCGGTTTGAACATCGAGTGAACATATTGCTTTCAACCGTTATTGTCTCATTCTGAACAACTTTCCCCCTAAAAGAAAAATTAAAAGGAAATAGAATTTGGGAGACGGGCTTCCGTAGAACGATAAAGAGTGTATTAAGGTGTGAGAAACCCTGAATCCCTACGACAAGGCCTCGGTAGACCACCCAGCTTAAACTAGCATCGAGAAATCCGGGATGGGATATGAGTACTCCGTACGGCGCAGGGATGCGCAAGCTCTTGCCTACGATATGTTCAGACTGCCGATAGAAACAGATTTGCCCGTAATTGTACAAAGCAACAAACAAACCGAATCCCACCTGCTGTACTCGCCAGGATCAACGACATGGGCACCCCCCTGACTGAAGACCAGACATCCCAGTTGCCTGTGCGCCAAGGCGTGTAAGACAAACGCTGTGCCTTGACAAGCTCAGGCCTACTTTAAAACTGGCACTCGAACCAGTTGCAGTGTTGGTGCAGAAGCAAACGCGCCGTGCCCTGCATGTCAAGCCGAGCGAGTTTCCAGAGACGAGGCACTTTGTACATCTCTCAAGTGGGGGTTACTGTACCGCATCGCAGGCGGAATGTTAGAGTTGACAAATGAGGTGATCTGGAGTCGCAGATGGTGTCATTCAGAGGTCGAGCCGCATGGAATGTTCCGTAAGAGAGAAGTCCAACCCAACAGCACTTATTGTACCAGTCTCAAGCCTGCCATTCTCACATACACCGAAGCAAGCATTCGCTAGTATAAGAATCATTTGTCATTTTCAGGCGTCTCCATAGCACTCGTATACAATACTAGGTAGGTAGGTACATGGAGTAATACCGACTCGGCCGGGTGAGCGATGTAACTCTAATTCCAGTCCGTATTTAGCTCCCGATCTCCTACAATGGTGTCAAACCAAACCAGAGGGTTTCCGATAGCCTTAGTGCTCTCATTCACAGACGATCATCAATTGCGTATACAGCACTGGCATTTTCCTACTGCAAAGCCGTTGTTGTTTGCTGTCCCAGCTCCATACCACATCAATCTTCCCAATGATATCGAGAAACCTCCCACATGTGTGTGGGGGTCAAGTCAAAAGCAGTAATGCGTGTGAACCAAATCGAGCAGACATGCCCGTAGCAACTCAATGCAGGCTGGATTATTCGCCTCCGATGATACCCTGCATGTCCATTTCCATGTCCTGTGTGCGTGTAGATGTTTCTTCGACTCACCTCCGCTTACGAATTCTTCCGTCACATCATCATCATGAGATTCGCCGCAAAGATGGCGATCGTCTCGACACACCCAGCGCACTGATCAACCGAGCCCAACACGTGGGAGCCACCAGTGCAAAAGCACATGCAACACACGGTCCTTTGTTGCTCGCCACATGAGCTGCCGCCAAGAGAATCACGAAAAGCGGCGTTTGGCCAATGAAACGCGATTAGAAGCAACTGCAACGCCAACGCAGGGACCGCGAGATAAACATGTGCATACAAGGGGAGAATACGACGACCATTCTAGAGGAGTTTAGTGTGGTGGATATGTGCGGATTGTCTGTTTCTGTACGTTGATCATTTCACGATCCCTCTTTTTTTGTTTGCAAACCCCTTGAGAGCGATCCTCTCGGGCCGAGGTTTCCGTATTAACTATGGATAGAATCTGCTTCGTAACTCATATGACTAGCATGGTGAACTTTGTGAGATAGCCCTGGGTTGATTTTGCGGCGTTTTGGCACCGTGATACACACATTCTCCTTGCTTAATCCGCCGAATGTGCTCCATATCATCACCACGTGGTGTTGCTTATCCACGACTTCAGCTGAGATAAACCAAGATAAACCAAGACAAAAATTCGACTTGACATCACATCTTCATCCTGTGCCTAGATTCTGGCTAGAAATGCAATAAGCCGCAGCCATGCGGGCTCCAGACCAAGATCGCGGCTCGTCTTACAGGCATCGTCTTCATGTCGCAGCTGCACCGCATGCATCTTCAGCTTCGTCCATGAAAAGGCCATTTCTCGGAACGGAAAGAAAATCCGTTTACATGTAAATCATAAATCTCACGGACATCCCGTCACTAATCTCAATCCATCAAGAGTCAAAATCCTACCGAAATATCCACGACCCATCCACACAACTTCCAAAACAAAAAGTGCCGTGCATCTGCCAACCCCCCTGCGTTTGCAACTTTCCAAGACATTTCGCCATATATCTCTCATCCATGCTTTTTCCCCCATCTCGGCTTATCCTCCCTCTATGAGAAATTCACCGTCTCCACTTGAGCCCGCCATATCCTAGTTTGCCCTGCCCTTCATCCTGCCGCTCCTGGACAAAGCAGTCAGCAGGAAGACCATCCGCGGCAGAAGCTATTACTTATTGCGTAAATGGGGCCGCTTACGGCGTACAAAATGCCGAGAGAGAGTTGCCCAATGCTGCAGTTCTAGACGCTGAGACTTACTAACATACATATACGAAGTACGAGCACATATCGATATATAGGAACTATTTGAACCATCGCCTCTTAGGAGGATCGAAGAACCGTACATTTAGACAAACCTATATGCAAGCTACAGGCTCTATCAGATTAACAAAAACTACGGCTAGGAAATGAAATGAAAACAAGGGCCACCCGCTGTCACTCTTTGTCCCATCAAACCACGTTACACACGCGGCTATGTTGCACTTCCATGTAAATCTGCAATGCAACGCCATACACTGCAGAACATCACTACATCTCATCAACATGCATGTATCCAGTCATAAAATATCGATCCATAAATACTCCAGGGCACTTAATAACCCAGGTCTTTATATCACCGATGATGAGAGCAAATGGCCAAATACACACACATTCATGCAAAGGCGGCACACCTCGGTGAGACATACAGCTTCGTCATAAAACATTAACATTACAATCTCGCCTTTCGCCGCCATTTCTTTGAGGGCGAACAGTTCCCTATAATAAGCACGCTGATACTGACATGCATCACACTCTCACGCCTTTTCCTTCTTCCTCACAAGCCCTGCGCCCAGCACAATGACCGTAGGAGCGTCCACATCGCCGCCATCGTGGACATCATCCCCTTGTTCTTTCTTAGGTTTTTTCCTGACCAGCCCACCGCTCAGCACATTGACACCACTGCCATTAGCCGTCTCGTCCTGTGATGCCTCCGTCACCGTGTCTGCCCTTTTCCTCTTAACAAGCCCAGACAGGTTATTGACTGGTGCAACTCCTAGGTCTGGCTTGTCTCCAGCAGCCGCGGCAAGCTCCCGTGTCCCTGTAACGTCAAATCCCCACCGGCTTCCCAGGCCAACTTCGCTTAGCCAGCGACGCGTGCTCCCTGTGGCTTTTTCCAAGGTGGCAAAGTCCAAGCGCAGAAGAAGCTCGTGGATTCGCTTATAGTCGGCTTCATCCACGATCCTCTCGCCTCGACCTTGGGGTGGCCAGTGATAATACGCAGTCGATACGGGCTGGTCTAAAAGGTAGTTGCGCTGCTTGGTCTTGATACGTGGCTGGCGAGGCTTGATGGGGCCTCGGAGCTTGCTCTTGGTCTTTGCCGACTTTTTCTTCTTGGACTTTTTGTCTTCATTGTCAGAGTCACGTTTTGGTTTAGTTGGAGTAGTGTCACTCTGATCTGCCTTGAGCGGGAAGAGTCTCCTAGGCGTGGTTGTCGGTGTGATATTGGACACCATTCTCTGCTTCCTGGGCGTCTCGGGAGTGACACCCAACGCACTGGTCACGACTGAGGCACTAGATACCGATACAGTGTCACTACCATCTGGCTTTGGCTCGTCCTCCAAGTCATCAAACACGACCCACATGAACCCCGTCATCCTACCGCTCGAACACTCTTGTCGGAAGGCCATCATCTCCCAAAACATGTCAAGAGTCTTGACTGATTTCCAGCTCCCCGTAGTTTTCATCGCCTTGGTCTTTGTAATCTCGTCATCCAGCTCGTCGCGAAATCGTGATTTAGGGTCGTCCGGGAACCGGGGGATGAGGCATCGTGGTGGCACCCAGTCAAACTCTCGGTAATAATGCGAAATGCGCTCAAGCGGGTGGCTCAACGACCAGCAAGATGCAGCACCGGCACGGCGCGGGATGAAGGCACGAGTCTCGTAGGCATCAAGGCCAGGAACAAGCAAATGTCCCTTGGCGTTTCGCCATGTTGAAAGATTACCAGTGGGAGGAGACTCGACAATGGGGTCAAGCACCCGGCACCACCACTTGACGAGGCCACGGTCGTCCAAAACATGCTTTCCGGGGTATTCGATGCTTCCGGGGAACAGATACTGGTCTTGCGCGCGTGCAAAGAGGCTGACTACGAACTGCACGTCTTTGCGCCTCCGTTTGTCGACCAAGTAGCGTATGAAGGTCGCGCAGACTTCTCGAATAGGGCTGGGAGCACCCTTTGGCAGCTTTAATTTGTTCAGAAACCCAGTAGAGTCAGCCTTGGATACAAACAAGGTGGTGGATCGAGCCGTAGTGTATATGAAGATCTCGATGCCGAGTACGAGGACTCGCTTCCGCTGTGTCGGTTGCTCTGCTGTGTTTTCACTCTCTGGAGCATTCTCTAACGTGTCTGGAACATCAATTGAAACGCTGAGGAAGTGCTTCTCGCAATATGTTCGTTCGGGTCGTTCGCCAGGAGGTGCAGAGTAGAGCGCGTCAACCTTGGTGGGAGGCGTCGAAACATGATGGATGCCGAATTTGTAGCCTCTGGGAAGCACTGCAGCAAGGCGGCCGCGTAGGCTAGTGTCCTGAGAGTCTGCAGACGCCATCTAGAATCAAATCAGACGGATACCGTCGCTCAATAGGCCCGAGATTTGTGAGGAGGGAGAGGGAGAGGAGAGTAAGCCGCAAAGCAAAGCAAAAGACATTGGATGGACCAAGGTTTGGCGCCTCCCTTGAACCCTTGGAAGTCGCGACGAGCTCGGTGCGCGCAGAGTGAATGCAGTAGCTCCGCCTGTTGTTACAGCTGAGTTAGCGCACTGGGTCCACTGAAGCCTGGGGGGCCACATGCCGTAAATGGAGACCCAGCGGACGGCAATAGCGAACAATAGGGCTGATTTCGTACATGAAGCTAAACGGCGGCGGAACCGATCAATCAGGAACCAGCTGCGTCGATCACATATGCGAAATGGAGGCAGCAAATCGAATAGTTGATAATGCGATACAATATGGGTTTATATGGGCTTTTTCTATTTTCCCTCTTTTGCTTTCGCTCATTTGTTTGAGCAAGAACATGAGTGAGAGAATTATAAGGTTGTCATTCATTGACATATTTAAGCTTAGTACTATCTATAACAAAATCAAATGCTACCCATCACCTGTAAAGCGCTACAAATATTACTTGCATAATTAACCATTCTTACCAAAAAGAATGGCTACTGGACTCAAAAACAAAGAATAGGATTTTTAGGACTATTGAAAGAACTCGATTTAATTGCTGTTGAATTTGATCAAACAGCACAAACATCTAGGGTAAGGTGCATGCTACATACTGACCTAAGGTAATAACCTGTGGCTTTGATGACGCCCGCCACCACTCAATCGATAAACCGCGATAAGATAAGATGTCAAAATGCCACCAAACACGTGACCTTGGAAAATGCTCCAGGTCTGTCGATAGAGGCCTTCAACACCATGAGCAGCATCGCAAACCACAATTGAATCCACAACCATGGCTCTCCAGTCCTGTCGCCCGAGCCTGGCCCGCTGCCGACATGCCGCTCGTGCCTTCTCCCCCTGCGTGCGCGCGTACGCGACCGAATCCGCGCCGTCAACGCCAGAGACCTTCAAGGTCCCCGCCACAACACCCAGCACAAATACGAAGCCGCGATGGAGCCAGACGCCCGAGGGCATGAAGGCGCCGCTGCAGCTGGACTTTGCGAAGAGCGCCAAGAACAAGATCTGGGCGGTGAACAACGACCCCACGCGGCTGGACGAGGTGTATAACCGCTTGCTGGGACCCGGGGGCAGCAAGATGCTGCCAGAGGAGCTCAAGTGGCTGGCCGTGACGCATAAGAGCTTCGACCAAGGGAGGAGAGGGTTCAATGACCGATTGGCATTGCTAGGTGCGTTGGCGCATCATTCTGTGGCACATACTGTATCATGATGAGCTAACTCTGGTGCTGTATTGCAGGACGGTTGACGATGGTAATGGAAGCAACAAAGGAGATTGTGAGCAAGGAGCCCCTCGCCGGCTCAATACTCCCCGACCAATTCGACAGAACGCCATTGGAGGATGATCAGCTACTGTCGGTGGACAACCTCAACGTCATGGGACCCCGAGACATGATTGGCAAGGACAAGCTCTATCAGCTGGCTAACAACGTGGGCCTGCTGGACGTGGTACGGTGGAAGCCTCGATTGGTATGTGCCCCTTACTCTGTCAGACTTTGAGGACATCATGGTATCGCCTTCAAAACGAATGGGAGAGAGAGCTAACTCGGTGACAGCCCCGACGACTCGAGGCCTCTGGTGTGGAAGTTGTGCTGAACTCGGCACTTATGGCCATCGTTGGCGCAATCACACTGCAGCACGGATCGGCCGTGGCAGCACAGGTGGTGAGGGAGAGAATATTGGCACAGGTGCCCAAGGACGACTGAAAAATATAGACCAGGGCGGAGAGGGGGGAAACATGTATGACCAAAAAAATTGGACGGCGGCGGCGGCGTTGTGTAATCATACCTTGTACTATTTATGAGGAGACGAAGCTGAACGTGTTTTGAATCTAGAGGCATGAAATGAAAGGACCTGGCTCGGCTTGGTTTATCGTCATGGCGAAAGCATGTAACATAAGAATTTGTGCTTTTTTGGACTTGCGGTTTGGGTAGTGAGATTTGTATAAAACTCTTTCACCTGTCGCTTACGATTCATGGCTGCGAGATCTTGTATTCAAACCAAAAAGAAAATTCATTCGGGGTATCTCAATTAGAGCATCTGTACAATCCTTTTGCCTAGCTACATTATCTCACTCCCAACACATCTCATCCCAACAAGGGCCTCTCCTCTGCTAAAGTATCCTCGTCCTCGTCAATAGACTGGCTGGTAAAGCCATTCTTAACCAGTTTCTCGCGAAACAGCCACCCCACAACAGTTCCTGCACCAGGCCCAGCAATGACCGAGACTGCAATCATGCTCAGCGGCACCCTCCATCCCGCCTCGACAAAGACCCAATACAGGACGGTCCAAGCAATAAACTGAATGTCGATTTCGATGAAGCTAACCGTCAACTTGGTCATCTTCTTGCGGTCGTCCCCCTGAGCAAGGTTCCAGATGACAAAGACGTGCGCAGCGATGGACAGCACAATGGGCAAAGCGTAGACAAGAGCCACACACTGCCAGTGAGACTCGTGGTGGATACTGGTTGGGCTGACACGGCGGATGCTCTCGACAAGGTGACGCACGCCCTGGCGGATGATAGAGACGTAGAGGGGGAAGAAGAGCCAGACGCCAATGGTAGCCGGAGAGTTGAAGACTAGCATGAGAATCGAGGGCAAGAAATAGCCAGCAGCAACGGCAATAGGGATCGCCACGGCCTCGGAATCTGGCACCGTGCGGCCCTCCTCACTGATATCTTCAAGCTCAGCCGCGGCCACGGTCGAGTCTTCACCACCGGTTCCCTGGCTGTGCTTCTCCGCGAGCACCAGCGCCTTGGCCCGGTGCAGAAACGCCGGTACAATCACCAGCTGCCAGACCATGGCGCCTCCAAGCAAGTTGAACAATAGCCACCACAGCGTAGGCTTCGCAATCAGCGAATTAGGCTTGTTGCAGCGCCTGGCCGACTCCACGGTGCATACAGTCGCCAGCGCGCCAACATACGACAGAATCACGGCCATGACGGCCTTGGATCGCAGCGAGTCCAGCGCGCACTGGAAGAAGCTGACGAGGAAGCAGCTCGGCGTGCCGATGAGCGGGATGTGGCTGAGGCCGGGGATGCGGGCGCGGGAGTGGCATTGCGACCACAGCAAAGCGATGTCGACGTCGGAATGGGCAAAGAGAGCGACAAAGGTGCCGACGGAGAGGATGACGGGGATGACGAGGAGCGACTTGAAGGACGCGAACTGGATGGGCGGCGCAAGCCACCTGGACGTGGTGAAGCCGTGTGAAGGCATGTTTCTCCTTTCTCCCTTTCCTCTTTTCTTTACAGTGACTCTGTATCTGCAAGCCAGAGAAAACGGAGTTAAGAAGAGAAGATTAATGCGCCGGCATGGTTCCTGGCGAAGAAGAAAAAGTGAAGAAAAGAACAAGGATGAGGTCGGTCGTGAGATGAGAGGGAGGCTAGAGTGAGACATGCACTAAAAGGTGCTAACACGAACGGGAAGCTGCCTGAGAGCTGAAAGCTCGTAAGAGTTCTAGCAGCTAAATGGCGAGACTCAGCGTAGCATTGCTGGCTGATAGCGGTAGTTGGTGCTGTGGCGCAGCGCTTGGGGGGACCAGTGGCACCACACCTACCAATTTGATGGGCACGTGGGAGACAGATCTGATGACCGGGTCTGTTGATGCATGGACATGGAATCGGAATAGCATTTATTAGTCTAGTTAGTAGTTTTGAGGTGAAGGTGAGTAAATGATGCAGGAGTTGAGTATTACCTAGTACTTAAGTAGATGGGGATTATATATTGTTGCTTTGCAATATATACATTATAGAAAGCTGCAGCACAGCAGATATATGCGACTTATACTCGGTACTCCGTACTTGAGCCTCATTCACACCCTACGGCCCCGAGCAAGATCCGAGGCTGACACGCAACCTTCATCGCAAGGGCATTGTTTCAAGTTCATCAAATGACACGACGTCGAAGGAGCCCTCGGCCACCACAGCTCAAGCAGATCGCCAAAATCCACTTACCGATAGCAACGACGCAACGAAGCAAAGCACCCTGCCCGATGACGAAAACAAGAAACTTGGCCCCAAGCGGTCCGCCAACGTGCGTTACACCACCGTCACCGACTACGCTACCGATGTATGCAAAGACTATAAAATCACTGGCTTCTGCGGCTTCGGTGATGGGTGTCGCTACGCTCACGACAGGGCCAACATGAAGCAGGGCTGGCAACTCGACCGGGAGTGGGAAACCATCACCAAAGGAAGACGGAACATTGGTGGAACAGTGGTTGCAGCCGCTAACCGGTCGACGGTCGACGAAGAAAATGCCAGTGAAGATGATGAATCGCCGAGCATGGACATTCCTCGTACATGCGGGCTCTGCGACGGCGAGTACAAATCGCCCGTCTCGACAAAATGCGGCCATGTCTTCTGTGAGGAATGCGCCCTCAAAAGGTATAGAAAAGATCCAACGTGCGGCACCTGTGGGAGCGCAACCAATGGCGTATTCAATTCGGCGTCTAGATTAGTCAAGAGGCTTGCGACAAAAGATGGTTGAAACATGCCGTCGTAGAAATTACATGTAACATTGATACCATAACTACCTAGCTGCAGAGCTGTACATAATCACACAAATCTAATAAAGAACATCCACCATTTCAGTAACATCCAATGCCGCTCACATCATCCAGGAGTAACAGCGGCTGTTCAACAGCTATATTTCCACTATTCATCTACTCGGGATGGCCCCTCGTAAATAAATGGTGGGGATCAACATTTGTATGTGTGTGCCCCTCATCCTCGGCCGTAAAAGTGAATAATAAATCTCGATTCTACCAAACACAATCGTGTAAAAACAGCACAAGTATCCAAATCATCCATCCACTCCCGAATCACAAATACAAAAATGGCCGCCCCTCCTCCCCCAACTGTCTACGATCCCGCCTCCCCCTCCGAATCCGCCCCTCCACTCCCCTCCGCTCCGTCCTCCGTCCTCGGCCCCTCTTCCGTCCTCCAGCCGCCGCTCTCCCGCCGCGGCTCCGGCCCAGGCATCGTCCTCGTCCTCCCGAGCCCCAGCACCATCCCGCCACTCGGCCCCGACGCAGAAAAGCCGCTCGACCCGGAGCCGCTGCTCAAATGGGCCGAGGAGGGCTTCGCCGTCGTCGCCATCACGCTTCCTGAACCTGAGATGGAACTCACTGGTGATGACGCTTCCGCCTCCGACGTCGTAAACTTGATCCGGGACGCTGTGGATGCGCTGCGGAAACATGAAAGCGTCGACACCAAAGATAAGTTCGCTCTTGTCATATATGAGGAAGCTGTTGTTAGCTCGCTGCTCCTCGACGCGGACCGCCTGCAACAACATGGAATCGCCGGCATCGTCACCTTTTCTCACGCCGCTCCTGAAATCACCACATCAATCCCGCTGCTCGCTCACACCAGCACAGCCTCAAATCCCAACATCAACAGCAGCGATGTGCAAAAGTCTAATGTGACGGTGAACTTTTATTCTGAAACAACGCCTCACTTCATCTTCCCCTCGGCCGCGGCTTACAACAACGCTGCTGCTACCCTGTCTCACACGCGCAGCCTGGTCTTCTTACGAAAACACCTAGGCGGGCCGAATTTTGATCTCGAAGCTATCTGGGAGGAACACTGCTATTGGGAATTCGAGGCGCGAAGCGTTGCCAAAACCATGGCCACCATGGTGGTGAGTTTCATTCAATCTCCAACAACTTTGCTATCTGTCACCAGTCTCTTACCCATGGGTGTAGGCGGAGCCATATGTCAATCATATCCCCACAGTGAGTTTATTCATCAAAATAATACACGAATACAGCTTCAAGTAGGGACAACTAACCTCTACCTCCTTATGACATGCATAGATGACGGGAGGCATCGGTCGTGAGAAACTAACCGCCTTTTACCGTGACCACTTCATCTTCTGGTAACTAAAATCCACACTCATCATGCCATCAAACAACCTATTTCTAACACCTCCGGACTCCAGCAACCCCCCAGACACGCATCTCAAGACCGTCTCCCGCACCATCGGCCCAGACCGCATCATCGGTAAGATCCCCCCCTCTCATCCCCCCCTCAAATCCCCCAGACTAACAAGCACGCAAAACCAAATAGACGAATTCATCTTTTGCTGCACTCACACACGACAAATCCCCTTCCTCGTCCCCGGCATCCCCGTGACGAACAAGCCCCTTGCCATCCCCATGGTCGGCGTCATCAACATCCGCGGCGACAGGCTTTACCACGAGCACATCTGGTGGGACCAAGGAACAGTGCTACGCCAGCTGGGTATTCTACCGACACATTTGCCATATGAGGGCGGCCTCGTCAAGCTCCCTGTCGCGGGGGTCGAGACTGCGCGGTTGCTGCTGGATGAGCGAGATGGGACAAGCAATGAGATGATTCAAGAGGCCGTTCTATCTGCTAATAACAGCAAAGATGAGAATGAAAGCGGAAAATAACAAAGAGTCAATTGATCTCGTTTATCTAAATGTGGCGACCTCTTCTTGTACAAACGCCGTCGTGTTCAAATGCTAGCCCCCCCTTTTCTCGTATTTCATCCACCCCAATATGAACCAAGTGACATACATACCTATACTGTAGTCACAATGCAAAAATCACCTTCCCTGGCTCCTCCTCAACCGCCCCTTGCTCATCGGCGGTGCCTTGTTCACCTCGGGAATCTGATACCCCTTTTCCCTCTCCAGCCTATGCCTCTCCCAGAAATCGCTCGCCTCTGTACTCAGCCCACCCTTTCCATCCCGATCCTCCCCTTGCCCCTGCCGCCGTTTCCCTCTTCTCGCCATGTATTTCATCATCTTCCTAGCCACGGGCCTTCCAAGCACCACGTACAACCAGCGCATCATCCAACCATACTGTCTGCCGATCCACTTGAAGAAGCGTCGCGCAGTAGTGCTCCACGCAACGATGAGCGTCCCGACGATCAGGGCAACACTCGCCGGAATACCAATAATACCAATCGTCCGCAGAGGCAGATTGTCTCCTCCTCCCCACTCGCGCGTATTCATGCCAAAGATGCCTGTAAAGAACTGCAACGGCAGGAATATGACTGTGAAAGTAGTAAAGATCAGGACGCTTCGGCTTTGCGCGCTGGCCAGATCCGCATGAAGCCTGCTTAAGCGGACTTCGTCGACTTGTGCCTGGCGTTGTACCATCTGAAGCAGCTTGTCGTACTCATCTCGCGTGTTCTTCACCCGGCGTACCATTTCCTCCGTGATATGGATATATTCTGCCAGCCGCTTCAGCGCCTCAGCAAGGAATCCTCTTCCGTGGACCGTGTGCGCTCGCATCTCGGGACGGTTGTAAATGGTGTGCATCGATGAGATTACTTTCGACTGTCTCTCGAAAAGGCCTAGCAGCGTCGCAAGTTCGTCTTCAATATCCCGAAGCTCCAGCAGTGCTGACGTGTTGTCTCTATTCTCTTGTTCGGCCCGTCGTCCCTCCTCTTTATGACGCTCCCGGATTGAGCGAGCTTTATTTTCAACCGGCTCGTAATCAAAGGCCTTGTCACGGAATCCCTCTGAGCGGAACTCTTTTAGTGATGTTGTAAGCTTCTCGGTCTAGCATGTGTATTAGTGACATGTTGGATATACCCTTAAGGGTACAATAGCTTGACTCACCAAGACGCTTATAGCTTCTTCGAATATTCGAAAAACTTCCAAATCAGGATGAGAAGCTCGATCTAGAAGCACGCTCACCGCATGCAGAGCTGCCAAAGCTGCGAGATCTAGGGAGTTGTCGCATAGGCGAGTCAGATCTACATTGACATCGTTGAAGATGCTGTCTCGAAGGTCTGCTTGCTGATACAGCGGTCCCTCGATGGGATCACTCTCTCGTTTGGGGAAGAATGAGAGCAAGGTATCTGTAAACATTCAGCTTAGGATCATACCGATCAGAAAACAACATGGACTCACGAGTAGAGATAGTCCAGACCCATAGCTGATCTATCATCAGCACATTTCCATTCAGCACGTCCTTTTCAGTCTCCTCTTCGCCATTCTCCTCAGCCTGTTTGTTTAGCTTCTCCCGCCAACTGGCTGTGCGACTTCCGCTCCCGCTACCACTACCACCACTTCCGCTCCCGCTTCCGCTTTTATTGCTGCTTTCTCCGGATCCCAGATTGCTGCCAGAAGTCTCGCTATACAGTCCCCGATACTCTGCCACATCGTAGTACCTTTCTTTAGTCAGCTTGTACAGCATTTGGTCATCGTCTCGCGATCGGGTATCCCTTATCGATGGATATCCAAACTGGTCCAGCGTTCGCCGGCAATTGATTGGCGGATCATGTCCCAGAAACTCCCATATGACCTGCAACTCCAAGGAATCCGACTTGGCTACAGATTCGGGAATGGGTCGGGCCCTCCCGTGAGCCAGGCGCTTAGCAATCAGTTCACGCCGGCGGATGAGTCTCTTGTACGAGTCAAAGTGAAGGTACGGAAGAAACAGACAGACATACATCTGATCATCTTCGCCAGGCGGAGAAAGAGAGCGACTCGGTACCGAATGACCACGTGGAGACACTAATTATTCACGGGGATCAGCAATTGAAGCTTCGAAGAATAACAGTAGAGACCACTTACAAGTTCGAGGCGCCGTAAAGTAGCATCCCGGCTTTGCGTAATGCGCATAATGCTGCGAGTGCCGACCACGTGTATGCCTCCTAACCCAAAAGTCATGATTCGACAGGGCAGAAAAATCTCGCTGGTAGGAGACTTGCAACGTTTGGAGAACAGCCTAGTTGAAGTAATTGGCGTCAGCGATACAGTCTCTTATTTACGAGGAGTTTATCATAAAGTAAAGGAGTGGCAACTTACAGTCACCCATGTAGGGTTATTAAACGGTAAATGAATCCAAACAAACTTGCGAGCCTTGACCATTGGCTTCATAAAAGGAGTTTGAGGAGCATCGTCTACGTCCACAATGGCGTTTTCGCTTGCTCTATGCCCCTTATCCTTTGCCATCTTTCGGATTTCAAGAACACTCTCAGGCAGCTTCGGAGACGCATCAAGCCCATCATCTTCACTATCGTTTTCCTCCCCCATGAGAACTCTATCGAATGTGCTGCGGCTCCTCTGGGAGAAAGATGGAAAATCGCGATATCGAGGAGGAGACGCACCGCCCATGTCGCTGTCAAGGCTCATCGAGCGGCTGAATGAGTTTCTCCCTACTCTACCTCTCAAAGGCGGTGATAGACGATCAATGGCGAGCTCCTGGTCCAAGCTGGCACGCATGAGAGGGGACGGCTTGCGGAAAGGCGTTGAGTGTCGAGGAGGAAGCGAATTAGGTCGAGAAGGAGGCGTCAAGGGCCCAACACCAGACTGAGAAACCAATGCCGTCGGTGCGGATTCTGTGCTCATCCTCGGCCTTGTTCTAGGGGAGTCAACCGGGAGAATAAGAGGTGATGGCGGGATTGACAACACGGCAGGCGGCGCCGAAGTCCGGTGAAGCGGCGGAGGGTGTTCATGCTCAAGCTCATGCTCATGTTCATGTTCGGTCTGGTTGATTCCAAGAGCATTCTTCACAGTCATCGGGTCGGGTGGAAACGTCACAGGCTCCGGCGGTCCCTCCATGTCGACCAGACCCGTCCTCCCCCTCATGGCCAGAAATCTTCCCTCTTCGGGTGGAATTTCTACCTCATTCAATCTCTCGCTGAGACATACTTCCGGACCTTTACTCATAAAATCTCTCAGCGGCAACCTTGTAGACCAAGCTCTCACAGTGCCATCCTCCATGCCCGCCTCATCGAAGAATCCATGGACCTCTACCGTTACTTTTTGTTCCAAATTGAGCATCCATTTGCCTCCTCTTGCGTCCTCTCTAGCGTTGGAATCCGCCTGTTCAATGTTTGCCGCCAGCTGTCGTAGGAAAAGTCGTAAAGTGTGCATGTTGTGTCTCCCAAACGAGGCAATGTTGGCATGGTCGCTCTGCAGAGGAAAGATGCGTTCCTGCCGCATCCCGAGAATAGCAGACTTGATGGACGTAAGAGGCGCAGTAAAATAGATGTTTCCCGAGTTGGCAGACAGACGGGAGTCGATCGTCTCGTAGAACGTCCACACACGGATGTCGTCCGAAACGACCTTGAAGTCTTCGTCCACATGTAGGAGAAGATGGTTTCCCATACGAAGATCATCTGTCAACGACACTGGTAGGGGGACAGATAGCTGAAGCAGGTTTTGGATGCTCGCCGCCAGGGTAGGCATGGCAAAGTAGCTGGACCCCTGGTGCGGTGTTCCTACCGGTCCAAACGACGATATCATTAGCATCATTCATCTCAATCATCATATGGCTTGACTCACCGAAAAAGGCAACCCCATAACACTCGCGCAAGATGCTCTCATATCTCGAATCCCTACTGGCTTTCACCAACGCCATCTTGACCACCAACCCTCCAATACTGTGGCCAATAAACAACAGCGGCCTCTCCTGCTGCCTCTCCCGGGTCCTCAACGCCCTTAACTCATCCAGCAGCGCAACCGCCAGCGAGTTGAGCGTCGTCCCTTCGCTAACCTCTGGATGCTCATACAGCAGGATCCGCGCCCTGTTGGCCTCTCTTCGGATGCCCTGCCTCACCCACGACGGGTTCTGGTTCTGACGCTCCGCCTCACGAACCTCAGCATCTCGCATCGACGGCGCGCCAAAATACCGCCCCATGAGGCCATCCCGGTTCCAGCTGCGCAGTGGATGAGCGGCTGGACACGGAACCGTGACGATGTCGACACTCGTCTCATCGTGTGTTAGTCGGCCCTCCGGGTCAAACGTGAACCGCAGCCCGTCCTGTCCATCCCGCTGCTTCTCGACAAATTGCCCTCCATCTCCAGGCTTCAAATCAGTCTCGTCGGTGTCGGTAAAGGTGCTTGGCGGCCTCGTTCTGCCAGATCTGGTCCGAGTAGGAGAGGGAAAGGGCACTTCCAAGGCGAGACTGGGGGTGGCCCGCTGTATTGTCGGGCGGCCACCGCCTAGAGCCATAGCTGTCCTCCGCTGTATTTTACAGCGCTCTCACTAAAGTCCGTGATGGCGATGTTCAGTCCAAGCAAATATATTGAAAGCAAAGTCCCATTAACTCAGCATCATGAAAGCTCGCTGTTTACAAGAGATACCCTTTATATAGCATGTGAAGAATGGATACACAAAAGCAAATGTGACTTGAAAAAAAGAACACCAAAGTCAAATTCCATCACGATCAGCTCGCCAGCATTTCTCTCATCCCCACAGCCTAAATCACACTCTCAACTTACAAAGACTCAACATCACCTGCTCCCCTTAAGAATACGCAACAACCCGCCATCTGCCGGCATCAGGCCCCTACCGACGCAAGGCAGATACCGATCAATACGAAGCCAGAAGCTCCCCACAGCCTAGCACACAGCATAGCATCCGAGACCCCGAGGGCCAGAGACTACGTTAACTCGCCCTAGCATCGCAACCCCAGATCACGACCGTCCCCTCGTATCTCACACCAAAAACCTCGCCCGCAAGCTACACTCAAAATCAAGAACTGAGACCTGCCCCGCCCAACCTTCCTCACTGAGCGGTAATGAAAATTTAATAATTAAATATCTAGCTCAATAGCTGTGAGAAATTCAAATCACTTATTTTGCTCGTGACAGAAGCCGCTCCACGCCGTGGAATGGATGGGAGCCATTGATCCATCGCTAGATCTTTCAGGGGGCCCCTTCAGCAGGCTTGCAGGGCTTACAAGAACTTACAGCTGACCCCCCCTTTCGGCTCGATGTTCTGGCCATGAGACTTGCGCCACCGTGACCTGCGGCACATGGGCTTTTTTGTAGCTTCAGAGCAACATGAAGCTCTCAAAGCAACATGCCGCGAAGGAGTAGCTTGATCGAAAATGCAAGACTGCAAGATCCACACGGAGCTTTTAAGCTCATCAGCTATGTGGCAAGTCATTTACAAAAGTCTGAACAAAGACAGCACATGATTCCAAACTGCCATCTCTAGGCTCGGCATTCGTCATCTAGCTCCAGTATCAACTCCAGCTTGTAGGACATTCTGAGCGGCCGAAGCACATGCAACAACCTCACCAGCGGTGCTGTCTTTTCGTAAATTAAGTCATCCATAGATGCTTTATGAGCCTCTTAATTTGGGATCCGCACTCTATCATCGATCTCATGGATAACATCGGCACTATTTACGGCGGCCACATTAATATACACACAGTCCAGCCCCTATATAACAATTACAGATCTTCCAAATCGTGAATCGCAAAACGCAAAGAGAATCAACAAGCTCCCAAAACGCCAGCCCGTACAAGGGGGGTATCAACTCGATGTAACTAATTAAGCGACCTGTAAAGCATCTAATCTAATTTTCTCCTTTTAAAAAACATCAACCCCTTTGCTTTGACTACAAGTCATCAAGAGTCGTGCAGTGAAGTATCGCATCCGAGTAAAGCCGATTTACCACCATACAACTCTGGCCAGGCCGTATGACGACTAGACCGTTCGGGCCGAGTTTGAAGGCCTGGTCGTTTCCCATCTTGACGCTAATCTTGCCTGAGGCTACCGAGCATGTGCGCACCTTGGTTGCTTCAATGGGCCAGTGATGCGTGTGCCCCGGTTTCAAAATGAGAACATTGAAGCTAAGACCTGGCGCTATCGTGATAGGATGTTGATTAGACATGTAGGCATTAGAAAAGCCAACATCTGGAGTAGTCAGTCAGTTTGATGTGCTCTCGAGGTAAGAGTAGCAGCTATGGCGAGGACTGAACTTACTGGTATTCGTTGTCTCATCCTTCATAGTACCGGGGGCTATCTCCCAGTCTTCCATCTCTTCCATATCAGTCACCTCAGCAGGTGATGGCTTGTGAACAGCTATTGAGATTGGCGGGATAGTTGTTCCTAGTGGGGAACTCTTCTTCTCCGAATCTTGAGTGGGGTATTGCTCAGGAGGTTTAATCGACGAAGACAACCTGCTGCTTTGTCTCATCACCTGTGGCAGGGTAGCATGATCATCGGCCTTGGTACCTGCGCCGTCGCTCATCTCCTCGTCATCTAATACCACTGCCTTATCACTCTGTTCCACTGATGTTCGATGGTTTTGCTGGGGCACCGCCACCTCCGTCTTCCCTTCAAGATCCCGATCCTGGCTGGCCCATTCGCATTCGTTCTTAGTTCGGTAACAGCAAAATTGATACTGACACGCAATGCACGTTACCGACTTACTGAACACAGCCTTCGCCTCGGCTGGTAGGTCCGGGGGCAAACCCACACAGGGAGTGCTCAGTCGTGACAATCCTTTCCATCTGTCACAGGGATTCATCTCCTCCGCCTTACCCACAAGATATGCAAGAGTACAGGCATATTGGAGGGGATCAAGTGTCTTATTATGATGATGCTCCCACCATAAACCCGGTAAATTACGAACTTGCCTGTATTTGGATAATGCCAATACGTCCAGCCGAGCAGGGACTTGCTGGCTGGGTGAGAGGCTCCTATGCAAGTACCGAAGAACATCGGTCATGGGCGGCGGCTCCAAGGACTGTATAGGAGGAGGTGGTATTGAAGGAGGCGATGGTTCTGCCTGCACTATCGGCGGCGGCGAAACAAAGGAAGTGGCCTGAACAGGCAAAGGTACTGGCGTGGTTTTGGGCCGCTTCGCCAGTCTCTCTTCCATGGTTTCGTTGCTTGTGTCGCCGCGCAAGGAGCGTTTCGACGTGTCTGGCGGAGCGCTTCCTCCGATGCTCACTCTGCTCGTTGAAAAGCTCCTCTTGCTGAGCAGGGCGAGCAGCTTCTTCCGGTTCTCTGTGTAGTCTGGAACCGCAGGCGGTGGCGCTCCCGGCGACAGGGGGTTGAGAGACACGATGATACCTGGAGAACTAATACCATCTTCGTTCACGTAATCGCCAACCTTGGAGAATGTGCCATCGCCATTGTCATTAAACAAGGAGCGGTTATGCTTCCCGTGAAAGTGTGATGACAGAGCCCTCATATTTTGGGAAAGAACTCTGCAATCCCGTACAGGGCACACAAAGGGCCTTTTACCGCCGTTCTCGCTGTTCTCGCTGTTCTCGCCATCGTCATATCGTTCCTTGCCGGGTGGAATTGGTGCGTTGTTCGTGCTCTGTTCGGTTCCGTCATCCTCTAGTAGCAACCAAGTCAGCTCGGCACCAAACAAAGACAAGCGTCGTGTGCAACATGGTGTAATTACCTATATAAGTGTAATATGATGCATTGTCCGCGTTGGTCTGGAGGCCGGTTCGGGGTCCCTCGCCGTCCCCAGTATCCATGGCATCTCCTGGGTCGGAAGGCACAGGAGACGCAGACATAGACGCAGACGCATATGTGGATGCAGATGCAGATGAGGAAGCCGTACTAGGCCTCGACTCTCGCCTTCTCGGGTTAACATTCGCGGGTCGATTCAACTCCGTCATCTGCTGCAGCAGAGCCTCTTCTGGTAAGCGCTTCAGGCCAGCCATTGCATCTGTCTCTGATTTCAATTGGCTTTGAGGTGATGCCTCGGATATCTCTGTCGATTCACGCCTTGTTGATGCTTTTGGCAAATCCCCATGCGTCTGGGGACGTCGTTCTTGGGTAGGACCTGTACCAGGGTAAATGTTAGCAGCAACCAACAGCAACAAAGAAACAACACAGGTAGGGAGGGGAGACGGCCAAGTGAATTGACAGCTGTAGCAAATTCAGCTCACTTTGAGCTGACCATTGGCTCAGTTCGTCCCATCCCTTTTCTCCCTGCCCTGTGCGCCCAGCAGAAGCAAACGCAAAAGGCAAACAACGCAAACACCGTGATCCGCACTGCTTACCTTGATCTTCCACTTTTGTCTGCTTCTTCTCCCAGTCCTTCTGCGCTTGCATTATATTCTTGTTCGCCGCCAAGGTGTTTTGTTTTGCCGCCAACCCAGGTGCTGCAGTCGTTGTCGTCGTCGAAGTTGTCGTCGAAGTTGGTATGCGCATAGGCACGGGTATAGGCACAGGCGTCTCAATCGGCGGCGCGCTTTGATAGCTCGCAGCTGGTGGGAGGATGTCGCTGACAACCATTGGAATCGGCACATCGTCTCCCTGGCCCGTCTGGCTCTTCATCCGATCCCCCACCGGCGGTGACGACGACGATAACCCTCCAAAGGTGCTCCTCCTCCAAGGAGCCCGTCCAGTCCGTTTCATCTTATGTCCTGGATTGCCGCCCTCGGTAGTGGAAGCCATGATTGCGTGCGCGCGGGATCAGAGCCGCTGATTGCGCTCTAGAGTCTAGATATCGTCGGCAAGGGATTTCAGGTTGATTCGGCACGCATCGAGTGGATTCACGACCACGATACACGAGTACGGACGTGTCACCACACGGCCTGGATCGTCAAAGTTGAAGCTCGAGCTGCCCAAGCTCCAGGCATGACGCGCAGGCAAGCTGCTGCGGTCACGTTTTGTTGTCTGTAAGGGAATTCGAAGTCGTATCGTGATCGAACGGTATTCAAGGCAACCAAGCAACTCAACTCCTATCCCAGCCTTTCGTAGCCACGAGCTCCTTCGCGCTAGGCCGCGATCAAGCGTGAAGTTTGGGAAAGAGTGCACCTATGCACACTCACAGACTTACAGCGGATTACAGTGGAGCTTCAGTGACGTGCAGTGAGCGAGGGGCACAACCACAAGGCTGTAGCTTCTACTGTAAGACTCAGGAACAGGCGCCAGGCGCGAGTGCGGCTTTCCGCACTGCACTGGATTAGGTAAGATTTCTGAGCGCAGGAGGCTTCACTTCATTCATATAACATGTGATTCGTGAGATGAAGTTGCACACAGTATGCCTTCTTTTTGATATCGGGGATGCTTATAGTGAAAGCCAGTACACAATCACAATATTGGAACACCCATATTTAGTTTGTGGCATCAAAGCTTCTTCCTTCTATGCTGAAGCCAACAGGACGGTGCCCAGCTTCAAGATGCTCCAGATGGGTGCTAATAGGATTGATTCAAAACCCATCCACCCATTTCCAAGCGGGCATTGGCAAAGATATACCCATCTGAATTCTAATTCAAATCAGTCCGTTCATTCGTTTCTACTATACACTTGGATAAATACAAAATCCCACTCAGCTCAGACCTCTCTACCCATTTATTTGGCCTTCTTTCCAGCCTTCTTCGCGGCCTTCTTCGCAGCCTTTTTGCTAATCGCCTTCATCACTTTACCACCACCACCGCTCTCCGCCCTCTTCTTCTCAGCCTCCTTCTGCCCAGCAATCTCCCTCTCCCTCCTCCACCGTCTATGTCTAAACCACTGCTTGCGCGTCCTAAACGCCTTCGTCTTCAGGCCCGTCGTCTTCACCAGCCGACCAATACGCCAATTATCCTCGCGATAGCTGTAATCCGATCTCAGCCTCAGCAGTCTGTCAGGCTCTCCAGCCTCCACTCGTGTGACCTCAAAGGGGATTCCCGACGGCGAAACCTCAGCCTTGGCCACCTCGGTCCGTATCGTGTGCACCGTCTTGTTGAGCTTGCGCTTTCGCTCGGCGTGCAGTGGGTAGGGCAGCGTGTCTTCCTTGTTGAAGACGACGCCAATGTACTTTCGGTCGGGGTGCTTCGCGGGATCACGGTAGTACTTGACGTAGCCAGTCGCCATGGCGTGGATGGTGTGATCGCGGCCCATGATGCAGTTCTCGCCTGGCCACCAATGTGTTCCGCGCTGCTTGTAGAGAATATTGCCGGGAATGACGAATTGATCTGTGTTCAGACACACACTGAGTTAGCAAGACTCTCGTATCTCAACCATTGGAACCTCCAATTGCAGTGTAAACGTACCTCCAGTCCGCTTGGCACCCAACTTGTTAGGAATTCCCCTCTTGCTCTTCTTCTTGTAGGCTCCCTGCGCCTTCACCGAAGCATTTCTTCGACCTTCAACCAAGGCATTGGCCAATTGAGCCCCCAGAGGAGCAACAGCGCTGTTGACAAGACTTGGCCTGGAAATGCTAGCCACAGCAGCCAATATCGGCCGCTGCATCATGAAGAACCGCATGGCCATGCGACGTTCCCCTCTTGTCGTGGGGGGGATTTTTTTTTTTTCGGCCTGCGAGGGGTTTGATGTCAAAATGCTTCAATGCACCTTTGCATGATCCTAGCCCAAAAGTTGCCAAATTTGGGAGGTTTTGACGCTTAGTCATCTCGAGCGTCTCTTATCGATAAGAATTTGTAGTGGCCAGCTTAACATCCCGAGCTTGCTCTCCAGTCGCAAGATTGTCATCACACGACCTTGCTAGTTGTCTCGATCTTGATCTTGTTTTCCCCATAGTTGCGAATAAAGCTCCTCAAAATGCGCCTCTTAATAGCCCTCCTGTCGTTCTTCGCCCTCGCCAACGCCCAATTTGGCTTCTTCGACCAAATGTTTGGCGGCGGCGGCGGCGGCCATCACCAGGAAAAGCGCCAGCAGAACAATCCCAGTGACGCTCGCCACTACCAACACCAATACACACATTGTAAGTATACCTTTCATGCATCTATCTATTCCTCCTATGCTACATCCCAAACAACATACAGGGGAGTACAGAGCTGACGTGAAGATGCGACAAGCTTCCTGTGACAACTACCTCTGTCCCGACACCCTCGCCTGCGTCCACTTCCCTCACCACTGCCCCTGCGCATGGGACGCCAACGACGACAAGTTCGAGCTTGCAGAGGGAATGCGCACGTGCGTTTCAAAAGGCGGATTCAAGCAGGGAGAGACCGCACGCAAGATTGAACTGGCGCGCAAGGGTTTGCTTTGAGTGACGGCGGCGGCGGCGGCGGCGGGACGGTTTCGTCCTTGGGAAGCACAAAAGATGCGATGCGACACAACACGACACGACATGATAACACTTGACACAAGATTCTGGACATATTGTGGAAATCAGGAGATGGGACAGCTTATAGAATGATAAAAATGGAAATTTGCAACTTGTTGAAAAGAGCTACCTTCAAAAGCGCTTTTAAGCTCACCTCTGTTAATCATAAAGACATGCAATGCCTGTTCCAACCACCACAAGTCGCAGATGCCCAAAGGCTCAAGATAGCAACCACTTGCCCAAGCTTCCCCAAACCACCCATCATGCTATTTCATGCAAGAGACTCATTTGTCGTCTTGCGTACGTTTCTCGTTCCACATTCACATATCCACTGCAAACGCCTCATATTCGTATCCATAGAACTCCACCCAAGGTCTTGTTGCGTATTCCGTAAAAGACTGGCCAACAAGAAAAAAAGAAAGAAAAAGCCTCCATTCCATGCCCATATGCAGCGGTGCACCGAGATGTAATAATAACAATAAGAAGTAGAAACCGAAACGGCTTGCGTGGTAAAGCCCTTCTCTTTCAACTACGCTGACCCATTGACAAGATTTGTAGGCAAGGGGGGAACAGGCGGGACTCCATTCTCTTCCTCATTCTCGTCATCATCCTCATCATCCTCATCATCCTCATCCTCATCATCTGGAATCGCCTCCGGGTGTCCCAGAATGTGCGCTACGCTCTTCATCTCATAGTGCTTCTTCCGCATCTCCTCGAACTTGCGGTGCTTCTCCCTTTCTTCGGGGGAGAGCCCCACAATCTCCTCTTCGGCGGAGGGGGTGACACTCTCCTTGTCCACATGGACCGTCTTTTCGCTGGAGCTGCGCGACGCCGGCGCCGGTCTCTCCGGGATTTCTTCCTCTGGTTCGCCCAGCGATAGGCCCGGAATGTCGTCTTCAGCGCCAGCACGTTGATTCTTGCGACCAGAAGGAGCACCGTCCAGGCCAGCCGGTGCCTCTTCTTCGTCGTCGGAGGGGTCTTCTGTCGGGTCGTAGTGTTTCGCATAGGGAGTCTTTGGTTCGGTAATTTTCATAGTCGAGGTGCGCTCCTGCTCCGTCAGGTACAGATTGGCCTCATCCCACTTGAGACGCTGGGCCGAATCAGACGGGTCGGTGATGCTGTTGGAGGAGTGGCGGCGGGAGCCCGCTCCGGAGGACGATCGTCGGTGTCCGGCGTTGATCTGGGTGTTTGCGAGGGTAACCTCTTTTCGAGACTCTTCGGGAGAGTGTGCGGTGTTGAAAGAAGGGTTTTTGAGGATGCCTGCACGTCTAGAGTCAGCGACGGCAACGAATAATAAGAAATAATTCACAAAATCGAGACTCACCTCTGGGCCGTTTGGCATCCGGGCCCGGTGGGCTGTGAGAGGGCGGCGAATGCTCGACTGAAGTCATCCTGGCGTCTTTTTTCCGCCTCGGCGTGACTAGCTGGTAAGATTCGAGGCTGCGATAGCGCGGGCTGAGGCTCTCGTGGGAAGGCAGCTGTGGTCGTAGCTTGCAGGTGATGGAGGTCGTGTGAGTGCGAGTAGAAGCTAAAGGCAGAAGCAGAATCACGTTGCCAGCGACAAGAGAGAAATAGTTTTTTGTTTATGCATAAGCTAGGATGTGCTCTGTCGAGGTGGGGAGAAGGCAGCCCAAGCTTGTGAAGCGGGGGATACAAACCTGAAGTGCTGTAGCAGCAGCTCAGCAGATTTAGTGGCCGTTAGCCACTGCTAGCCACTGCCAGATGACGCAGTAATGGCATGTCGCCACGCCCCATTTCCAAGATTGGTTGATCACAAGCCAGTGGAACTATCAGCAGCTCAACTTCTGGTTTTCGTTTTCTTCTGACTGGCACCCGACCATGGCAAGACGATGATCCTCTCCTGCTTCTGCTGCATGCCTTGTCAGGTTATTGCAGAACACGAACAAGCATGAATGTGCCTAGTGGCTGGAAGGAGAATTTGCACCCACCATCGCCCTACGATCTACAACACCACGATGCCCGGCTTGGTTTGGCCTCATATGTCTCCCCATCCATTCATCCCATCTTCTTCATGCAATGGTATATAATCGGGAATAATATTACTGTCTTTAATTTCCACAGGCATCCCTTGCCCTGGCCATGTAATACACATATATACCATACTAATTGCACCGCCAAGTTTGCAAGCCAACCGCCATGCTAAACTTCATTGCTTCGTCCCGAGGTAATCGACCAGCTCACCATGCGGATATTGTCCAAACCAAAATACCAAAAATAAAGACACAAACATGACAAAGAAAATGGGAATCTCAACTATGCTCCGCAAAAAAAAACAAAAAGTCTCAAAAGAGAGGGGATATAGGCCGGTGTGAGGGGATAAACATATCCTACTGTTATGAGGATGTTATTACAGATGGATGCTCTCTCGCCTCAAGTATTAAACAGAAAAAAAATGAAATAAAGGTAGGGCATGATCTTTTGAATCGTGCAACGCATATGTAGTCTCAAAATGACCATCATGTTGATAAACAGGGTGAAAGAGGTTCAAAACAGCACTCGAATGTATGCCGTCGCTCGTTACAATAGCTTCCAACATTAGTCAGGCATACTTTGTAACATGTCGGCCATCTCATGCTTGAGGGTGGCCGACAACAAAAACACCAACGCCGCCTTTTAATCAAACTAGATTTTGTTTTTCGGAACCAGATTGAGCACTGCGACGACCAAATTGTACCCAGTGCGGTAGCACACGCTTTTATCCTTTTCCGAGCTCCAAATATCAACACAACTTCGCAGTGTGTCGAGAATGATCTGCCGAGGCGGAATGGCGCATCCCATGGCAGCAGCGCCTGTTAGAGGTGCATCTGCGCGGAGGACATGGATGTATGTCGTCAAAGTTGCGGAGAAGAAGTCGAGCACGAAAGCTCGTCCGACCAAATCTAGGCGCAGGTGCGGTTCGCCAGCCCACATCTCACGGTAGTGTACCAGCAGCGCGAGGCAGCACTCCAGGGACGACCAGTATGACTCGGGAAACATGACGGGCCCTTCTGGGTGCAAGGCAAAGGGGCGATGCAGAACCATGAGGCACCGTCGCAAAAAGATGTCGACTGTCGTGCGTTGCAGCTGTCCGGTACAGACCCGCTGGGCGTGGCTCATGAGCTCTCGTAGCTGCGCGTTGTAGCGCAGCACGTCGGGGTAGGAGATTTGCTCCTTGTTGGAATTGATCTGCGCCATGACAGCCAGCACGGTTGGCAGCGACTGGTACAGCACCATCTGCAGGCTGTCCGGCGGACCCCAATCGGGGATCTTTTCTAGGGTACCAAGTTCATCTGGCCGTGTAAGAGGCGGCATTCCAGTGCACATGGCTACCTTGACATCAAGATAGAGGATTGTGAGCCACAGCTTTCGCCGGGAATCTTTTTCTTCCTGGTTGCGCCCCTCATCTTCTAGACTTGACGGGTCCTGAGGAAGGCCATAGATGAAGGCCGTGCGAACGAGCAGTCCGAGCAGAGACCAGCATGAATCCACGGACCAGCAAGTGGGATTGCAGACTTGCTTGGCCACAACCATGAGGGCCAGAGTTTTCAGGGCCAATAAAGTTGGTCGGAAGGAAAACGGCGTCTGCATAAGACACGCCTCAGCAGCCATCATAAGCTCCGTGGCAACAGGAGGCTCCCCTTCCGGAGAGGCAAAGCTGCCCAGGCCCATGACCATGAGGAACTGCGCTAGCCAACAGAGATCCGAGGCGTTGGGATCCATCCAGTAGCGTTCAATCTCACGCCTAAAGATGTGGATGTCCACGATTGGATTTACCACGTCGAGCAGCTCGAGATATCGCTGAAGGTACTTTTCGTGGTTTGCCCTCTCACTCGCCAACAACCGAGTGACGGCATCGCGAGTGTAGTACTTGCTTGCCCCAGGAGTACCAAAAGGGAAATTGCCTGGTAGTGTGAAGTTGGCCAAGCAGGCATTTGTAGCCACATCCTCAAGGGCGGCAGCCAGTGGTGCTGATTCCAAAGTTGTCAAAGTGCCAATCTACTCTCAGCAGTCAGCAACATGCACGCGGCATACGTGTACTGTAGACGTCAACATACCTTGGTCATGAGGTCTCGCCAATGGCTGGATCCTCGTACTTTGTGTTGGACCTGCCAAGTAGCAAGAACCGTTGTTGTCTCCTCGCTGTTACTGGATGGGGCTGTGGGACAAGGGAACTTTCCTCCGTTGGGGCCCTTGTTGTAACTGTAATAGCACTCTCTTCCGTTACCGCTCGACTTGCAGCGACCGCACGGCAACTCCTTGTCGCACTTTACCTTGAGGCGGTGGCAGCGCAGACAGCTCAGGCAATTGCGCTTGCGCTTGCGGACAACGCGCAGCTGATTTGCTGCCGCGGCCCCAGTAGCGGCACCTTCAATCGGCATGCCATTAGCATCAACGGCGTGAGGCTCAGGGCTCTCAGTCGATGCAGTGGGAGAGATTAAGCCATTCTGTCCTGGTATGCCTTGGGCAGGATCGCCGTTGACGGGAGGAGATGATGCCAAAGCAGTTGCAGCCCTTGCCTGACGTGATGAGTTTGGGGAGGCAGAAGTGGCGCCGTTGGCAGCGGCAGCCACCGCACCGGGAACGGCGACACCATTGACATCGAAGCTACAGCGCACGCCAGCCTGAATGCATCGTGAGCAGGAAGGCTTGAGCAGATCGCAGCGCCGTTTGAAATGGCGGCAGCGGTCACACGTCTTGACCTCGCGCATATGGGGCATGCTATTCTTTCACACCAAGCAAGAGCAGTCAATGGGTGGTTCTCAGTCCTGGCCGGTACAAGAGAGCGACAACGAATGTCTCGCTTTCGAATGACGGGTACTGGCACCGAGATTGCGAAACAATGAGCGGGGGGACAGACGAAGAATGTGTGTTTCCCAGGGGTGACAGACGGGAGGGCGTGCGTTGCGCTTTGTCTAAGATGTTGGATCGGAGGATTGTTGGAGACGTGTTTTGGATTGCTTGTGCTGGTCCAGTGTCGAGAAAGCCGTGCTGCTGCAGGCGAGATGGAAACCACCAGGCTGAAACCAGGCTATTTCAAGAATATGTTCAGCCGCGCAGAGCAGACGCTGGCCCCCAGCTTAGACGCAGCCTCGGGGACACACACAGCGTAGCTGAGAGCACAGAACACACAGACACGTTGGTCAACCAGATCAAAGTCGGGTCGAAGGGGGAAGCACGTTAGCGAGGCGTTGGTTGTCCCGCTTGCGTTCCCGCCTGGATGGTTGCTTTGCTGTGGTCTTTTTGCAAGCGCAGCGTCAATGTTCCTGCGCGTGAGATCAATGATCGATTAACATATGCACTCAATTGATGGTTGAGAGTGGCAATGAGGGAAAAGAGATGAGGAGTCGGCGGTAAGCGGCCAAACAAGCGAGGCGACCTTGTTAAATGCGAGAAGGATTAAGGGCCTGGCAAAGTCGGCCGCAGATATCGCCGGCTCTGGACCGAGCTAGGAGCCGTTTTTTTCTCTCTTAGCAGTGCTGTGCTGCGCTGCTGCTGCTAGCACGAGGTGCCTGCTGAGCAAGCAAGCTAGGCGCCACACGCAGCTCAAATTTACTGGATTTGGAGGGCGTCTGCTGCGCTAGGCCGCTAACTTTTAGCGCCGCAGCGTCCTGTCCTTCTCTCCAATGTAGGGCGGCTGCGGGGGGGCGGATGCAATGGTGCCGGGAGCTGGACATAATATTGGCTGAGCTGAGCCTTCAATATCGTGAAGTGCTGCGTCTGCCAGGAGCACATCAACAGGTGCTCGTCCAGAGATATCATCGTCGTCACTTGTTCGTAGTCCATAGGCATATCTCGTCTCGTCTCGTCTCGTTTCAAGCCCAAAAATGGTAGCAGGTCCATGGACATTCCATCGCGTCTGTGGAGCGAGGTGGTGGAGATGCGGCCGGGCCTACTGTATTAACCAGGCTTGCCTGGGCTGACCAACATGCGGAAAACGGATTAATTAGGAGGGTCGCCATCACCTCTAAATGGCCAGTCGTTAGCATGCAACTGCCAGACTAGGATCCGGCCGACCAGGGGGATCGCTTTGGGGCCAAGGCCTGGCTAGATGAGGCCAAGCCGGCGCTGGTGCTGGTGCTGGAGCCAGTGCTGGAACCAGCGCTGGAACTCTCGCTGCTTGGTCCGGAGAAAGAAGCTTTGGGATAACCAGGCGCTAGGGTGTGGCAGCTAGGTGAGTCGCAGAAGCCAGAAGCGCAGCGAGCATCCATGTTTAGCTCTCGATGTGACCTGTCAAGGGTCCAGGCCGTTGCATGGCTACGCCGGGCCTAGCTTTGGCGCAGACTAGCATCGGCAAGTGAATCGAGGCGCGTCGATAAGATGTAGCACTGCCGCTGGCCTCTGTATTTTGCTTATTTTTCACGTTTTCCTTTTTGCTTGTCGCTGTCTTATCGAATGGGAGCCAGCAAGGCTCGGGATGGCGGAGAAGAGTTTGATGTCTGGTCGCTGAAGCGAGGTGGATAAGGTGCGGAAGCTCTAGCCAAGTCGAGGCCGGTCGCCTGTGCTCTCTTGATTGTACCAGGCTGTTCAAACGAAACAAGATGGCTAGGACGTTCGGGTGCCAGGGAGCAAGGACCTGTATCTGTACCTGTACTTGTACGAGTACCGTCGAAAATTGTTGTTGGCCTGGGATTGAAGCGGGTGTCAGTGCCGCTAGGAACGGCAGCTTTTTGGCTAAACAGACAGCATCATCCTTCGTGCTCCGCGCAGACGCCTTCCTCTTCTTGACCAAGAACATGGAGCGGCATACCTGTAAGGCTGAAGCAACCGATGACACTTGCAATCCCCTCGGTTCGTCCTTGTACATACATACAGCTACACGCACTGTACGGTGCATGTGGTAGGTGGGCGGATGATCCAGGAAGACGCTGGAATGCACTGCAACGCCGGGTTTCAGGTATCGAGAGGCCCGGCCATGGTCCGAAAACGTGGTGGCTGCAGGCCCTAGTCGCGGTGAATCGATCTGTCCCTGCTCCAGAGGCTGTCCAAACGCCAGTTGCCACTCAATAGCCCGTCACGGGGAGCATCGTCCAGATCTCGCTTCCCAGCCAGTCTTTGCTAACGTGGTAGCAGTGCGACGGTGTCTCGTGCGAGACCAATATCCAATATCCACGAAAAACGGCTGCCTTGCTGCTTACCTTGGGTCTCCGTTAGCAGCCCGTGTTGGTGGATAGGTATGATTCATGCTGTACTACTTACTGTACGAGTGCGAGTCTGAATGCCGTAAGTACATGAAATTGATGTGCGAAGCACGCATACAAGCGCATGTATGTACGAGTACTCCTACGAGTGACCAGGTGGGTGACAGGGGAGGGAGAGGCGACAAAGTCGAGGGGAGGGAACCGTATCTCCACGGGACCTCAGGCCAAAAAACCGAAATACCTGCTCCTACCTCTTCTTTTCGCAGTCCCAGCATGTACACTTGCCTGCCTACAGCATGTACTTCGTACTTAAGCGCATGCAACTCCTTCTTGGCTGCATCAAGCAGGAAGTGATATCACAAAACACTACATGATTTCCATGCACTCGTGCTCCGTATCACAGCCCCGAATCCCGTCATACATGGCATATGCCGTACGTGGACCAGCGAGCTCTCAAGTGCCGGAGCCGTCAAAGGAACGAAGGCATTTGATGTATTCGTACCTGTACCTCTGCCTAAGAGTATAAGCGCAACAGAGTAGAAAAGCGAAAGGCCTCCTCTTTTGCTCGCCTTTTTGCCCTTTATGTTTTACCGAGACGATTCAAGGCAGCAAGTATGGCCGAGATGATGGCATCCACACGGGGGAACAATTATCCCAAAATTGAACCCGTCTGGCCCGCTGCGGTGTGTAACGGCGCCCCCTGTCCATTGGAGTGCTTTTGACTGACGATCACACAAATGAGACACAGCCCCATAAAGAGAGTGACAGAGATTGAGAGAGTACCCAAAAGAATCCGAGAAACTGCGACGCACTCTATTGAATCCAACTCGCATTCAAGTATCAGCACCATCCCATCTGCTGCATGTAAGTATTCAGGCCCATGATATTCGCCAGTCTCTCGCGCAACTACGGGATATGAACATATGAACACTTGTATCCGAGCGTCGTCCGGGCTCCATGCACCGGAAGAAAGCTCCGAAGAACCAAAGCACGAAAAATCCCCTTTGGCTTTGTGATACGATACAGTACCTCTACGGAGATAGAGGAGAGTCATGACCCTGCTGGCTTCAGATGAGTCTCCACCGCAACAACGTGGGGATGCCTCGGACTAGTGCAAGTCAAACATTCGCCTTTTTGGCCACTCCAGACGAGTACGGGTGCATTTACAGGTCCATACATTCCGTACTGATTCCGTACGCTCGGTGCTGCTACTGTACTAGCAGGTAGCATCAATGGTTGAGAAAATGAGGCGTACGCGTACATACGAGCAGAACACTGGCTCATCTCATCCACGAGGCGCTACTAACCTAGTACCTGTGGTTGAACTGCACTACAACCTCGAGCCGTGATAAGCCTAAGCCTATAAGCACTGCGCCCTCTGCTACGTCCCGTGTGCCAGTACTCGTACCTAGCTGGGCACATGGTAACATGATCGTATCTCCAGGTCACGATACGATTACTTATTCTCTCGGCCCGGCCACTATATATTCGCCTTGTTTATGCGGCTAAATGCTTCTTCCCAGCCTTTCAACACACGTCGTCACTGATGTATCAATCGTTCATGCTGCTTCATGCCATTCCGAAGTGCAAAAGTCGAGAGCATCTTCCAGATATCATGAAAACCGACAGAGTTAAAACATAAACTCCCTGTCGATTACTAACTAGGTAGGTCTTAACGAAATGCTTGATGTTAGATACGGAGTACGAGCAGATGCGACTCTACAATACTCGCACATATTTCCAGACACAGAAGACGATAACGGAGTGGGCGGAGTGACCCTCTGTGGATAGCGCATGAATCAAATCACATACCCATGTCAATCGCAAGCCAGGAAAGCACGCAACCCTGCATTGTACACACTGTGTACAATACTTCACTTTGGCAAACCTGAGACATCTTTCTTTGGCCCGCATTAGAGTGATGCCTTGAAAAGAGGTAGAGTACAGCTCGTCATCTCACTAATATCGTGGCAGTCCACTTGCAATTCTCGTCACAGCATCGCCCTGCCTTCAAATGCACGCACGGCTAGGACAAACAGGGCTGTATGAATCGATTCACAGGTGCCAACAAAGCAAAGCTCTGGCCATGTAGGGAGCACATTGTCGTATCTGAAAGCATGGAGTACGAGCAGCATACAGATATGAACCTTGTAGAAAGCCATCGCGTCTATCCTGGGGCTTACATGTGCTAGAACTCCGAAAGACCCGCTCCACGTGTTCTCTCTGCTGAAGCAGGCATCGATTGTAATTGAGGCCCTGGTCGGGTATTGTATTGAGCGCAGATGCCGCTGATATCTGACAGGTGACAGGTGAGATTGGGGCAGCCTCCTAAACCTGTGATGCTGGATGAGTGAGCGCCTTGGTTTACTAGTGGATGAGTACAGTACGGTGCAGGCAGAGTGGCTCAAGGTATGTACCAGGGTTCAAGAAAGCGCACGAGGATCTTGTATCGCCAGTCACCGTCAGGGGCCGTTAGTGGTATGCTCTGTCAGGGGTAGGATGGCGCGGGTAAGACGCCTGGACGGCAAGCATATTCGCATCTTATTTCCTGCTGACGTCCGTACGTCCTTGTACATGCGAAGCACTTCGTTTCTTGAACGTAGTATTCCGTGTTAGTTGGCGTCTGCCCGCATGCAAGACATGTTTTGCGGACTTGGTTCCGTGTTTGTTGCGCCGAAACTCGTCGTCCAATATCGTGGCTCTCTGGCTCGACTGGCTTTTACAAAGCATTATGGCCCTGGGAACCGAGAAGACACCAAGTCAAGTCATCTTTCAGGCCAATTTGCATGTACTGTATAATATTCTTGACAAATTGCAAAATGGTTAGATATTCGAGTATGAGACTCTATGGAATATGCAAAAAGGGTCGAGGTGTCGTAGCATCATCGTTAAGTACCAGAGTACCGTCTGCCGCTTCTCCGCGGCTTTTCCTACACATACCTGTCTTTCAGTATAATTCATTCTGATTTGCTCTCATTGTAAGGAGTACAGAGAATTCTTCGCTTGAAAGATTAAACTGCGGTGATGTTGCGATAAAGCCAAAGCACGTGAGTCCATTATGCGACTTGAATCTCGATCGCCCCAAAAAGCGAGGCTTGGCATCGACGATATTTGAACTTATGAGCCTGTCAATAGGAGATATAATGGGGAAGCAATACGTTAGTTTGCCTGTCAAAGGGGGGAGATGAACAAAAAAAAAAAAAAAAGGCGGAGAGTGGAATCTGTTAGTAAAGCGTGAGCCGTCCTTTTGCTCGAATATTCCAGCGCGGCGGTCGACCCCATAACCGAGCTAATAATGATGCTAAAGCTAAACTTCCGCAATCCTAACCAGGGCAAAGATCGACCCTGGCTTTTCCTTGTTATAGGTGCTGTTCAGCACAGATGGAAATTACCGGCTCCACACATTTGATGATTTCATAGGGCGGTGGCGTGTCTCCTCGGTAGTTGATTGAACGAAAGTTGCCGACTAGTGAACAGGCGGAGGCGTACGGCTTTCGTACTTTTGCTATTGTATGAGTCGTAGTGCTGACTTCTCTCATAAGTTCTTTCTGGTAGAGCAGGTGAGGCTCTGCTCCATCAGCTGTAAGTCTCTAGGGTAAGGCAATGATTGAAGCCATGAAGAATTGAAGTTTTTGGTTGCAAGTTTCCCCGCATGCCAATGCCCCGGAGCAACTGGTCCCTTGTCTGCCAGAACATCTAAGATCGTGTGGAGTAATTCAGATCCGAATGTGCGGGATTTGGCTGTGATGAATCATTATATACAAGACCTTGGGCCGCATTCCAGGCGATGAATATATAGCATCGTGCGTCGCCATGTGTCTTCAACTCCCTGCCTCTTCGGGGTTGCTGCCAGCCATGGCGGAAGTTGAGCTCCGACTCAGCAGGCTTATTTGATCTGTGTGCTGCAAAGTATTCGGACGCACTGCTCCGTGGCACCAGGCACCGACAAGGGAGGGTTACATCAGTGTGATGCGGTGGTGCTCCAAGTGCTGTCCCCAACCATCACCGTAAAGTACTAAGAGTTGACGCTAGAAGCTCCAGAAAGCCCAACCACCTTTGTTTCTCTCGTGCCTGTCGCCCAAGGGTTTCGACTCTTAAGCTCATCAAGATGTCATCTAGCAAAGGCAGTGTTCAAACCGGCCTAGCTTGAACCAGCAGATATCCCCAAAAGAGACGCGCAGATTGCGCCTTTGAGACGGCAGCCCGATGGCCATTCGCCCAACATCATACTGTTAGCAGTGGAGCCGGTACGTCCCCACCTTTGCGCGATCCCGATCGAGATGGATTGGGGTTTGATGACTTCATCGAAGTCATAGCCAGGAATCGTTGAATCTGGCATCTGGGCACGGATCGAGGCCTCAGTGCCTTGCTGTGGTACCCTGTCTGCCCTCCCTCGCCTTGTCTTGGACATCTCACCCGCTTCCCCCCTTCTTTGGCCAAAGCTGGCTGTAGAAATAGCCGAGTGGCGATGCTTCTGTGTGAGAAATAGAAGTCATTGTCCTCGTATCAACACACACGCGTTCTCGAGTTACATGTGTGGTTAAACTAATATGAAATTCCTTTTGAAAGAAGTTCCATGTGCCTGACACGTCCCGCCCTGTCATTCACTCTTGCAACTCATCACCGTGGTGCTGCTAAGTGGCTCCCGACAAACTCCACCCAGCTCTCGCCCAGCGTTAATATATCAGCCGCTTGTTCGTTTGTCCCACACGATGGCACCTAAGAGAAAGAAGGCCGACGCTTCTGCAGTCGAGACCCCCGCAGCAAAGGTCAGACGTAGCTCCAGAAGAGTCAATGGGCCTCCCGGGCAGCAACAGGATGGCTCTCGGCAAGGGGGGGAAAAGGAGGACCCCCTGGGCCCGGCGGGAAGTCCAAATGGTTCAATCCGTTCACGGGAAGCGTTTGAGCGCACAATGAGAGAGCTCGGAGAGATGGGTCTGAAGCTTCAAAGCGCAGTAAAAATCCAGCGGCTAGCTGTGGAAACTTCCGATTTGTCCAAGTGTGACCCCGAAAGGGTTCGAGAAGAGGCCTTCAAGCTCAGGCCGGCGTCAATGAGACAGGCAAAAGCCGAGCAGAAGGTCGAAGAAAAGACTCCGGAGAAATCCATCGTTGATACTGACTTGCAGTCGGCTGATGCGGCTGAAGAAAAAGCAGATTCCGAGGTTGTTGAAAGGACTGCGAGGAGACCGCCGCCTGTGAATAGTGACGTGCTGCCACTACCGTGGAAAGGCCGTTTGGGTTATGTGAGTGCCGATATAGACATACTTACCTATATTCTTAACTCTTCAAAGGGTCTCGATTGCAGAACATCAAGAGTTCACAAGTCACAGTCAACACCAAAGCTAATGCAACGGCGCATAGGCTTGTCTTAACACATACCTCAGATCTGCTAGCACTCCTGTCTTTTCGTCCCGAACTTGCCGTATATCCTCGATTATTGATCATAGGCATCCCCTCCAAGACCCAACAAAGCCTGAACATGCCACCAAAAACCGACCCGACAAAACTCAGACATCAGATGTCCAGCGCGGATTAGATTTTGTCCGGGAGCTCGGTCTTGCAAACGCTAGAGACATTGTCAAGATGCTACGATGGAACGAAAAGTATGGCATCAAATTCATGCGACTTAGTAGCGAAATGTTCCCCTTTGCAAGCCACGAAGAGTACGGTTACAAGCTTGCCCCATTCGCCGCTGATGTGTTGGCTGAGGCTGGCAAGGTAGCTGCTGAGCTAGGTCATCGCCTCACGACACACCCGGGCCAGTACACGCAAATTGCCAGTCCGAGGAAAGAAGTCGTCGCTGCGGCCTTCAGGGATCTCGAGTATCACGATGAGATGCTGTCATTGTTGAAACTCCCCGAGCAGCTTGACCGGGACGCCGTCATGATTCTGCACATGGGCGGTACATATGGCGACAAGGCAGCGACTCTGGATCGCTTTCGCGAAAATTATGCCAAGTTGCCAGATGGAGTGAAGAGAAGGCTAGTTCTGGAGAATGACGACGTATCATGGAGTGTTCATGACCTGCTACCCATCTGTGAGGAACTCAACATTCCTCTGGTGCTGGATTATCATCATCACAACATCATTTTCGATCCCAGCCTTCGCGAGGGCACATTGGATATCATGAGCCTATATGATCGCATCGCAAAAACATGGACCAGGAAAAACATCAAGCAGAAGATGCATTACAGCGAGCCAACCGCAGAGGCTATTACGCCACGGGATCGGCGTAAGCATTCAGCGCGCGTTAAGACGCTTCCACCTTGTGCAACAGACATGGACTTGATGATTGAGGCGAAAGACAAGGAGCAGGCAGTATTCGAACTGATGAGGACATATAAACTTCCGGGATGGAACCGATTTAACGACGTCGTTCCCTATGAGCGAGACGATGAGCCTAAGAAAGAAACGAAAAGAACCAAGAAGGAGAAGCAGAACGACACGACTGGCGAGACTGAAGAAGGAGATTCTACAAATACCATCAGCCCAGACGAGTATGGAATGGGAGGACAGCAGAACCGGGTATATTGGCCACCAGGAATGGAGGAATGGCTGCGACCTAAGAAAAGAGAGATCAACAAGAAGACCAAAGCTGAAGATGAAGCGTGAAAGGATGTCCCTACCAATATATGAGAAGAGGGAACGATGAAACCACAGAGAGAAATAGCGAAGTCGTGCTATAGACGAATTAAGTATTAGGTAGCTGAGAACATGAATGGAGTTGATAGGCAAAAATTGAAATAACCTTAGGATCCAAAGGATCTCTCTATTGCTGCTGTAAGAAATGAAACGCTCATTGATGATACTCGGCCGATTATTGGGCAAGTACCCCGTGCGAATAAAAATTTTCTAAGCACACCTCATAGTAGCGCGCACTGTAAAAAAATGCCTGCACTTAGGAAGGCACGCCTTTGAAGATTACTTTCACCCAAACACAGCTAAAATCTCCTGATTCTTGCAGAGCGTGCGTTACGACTTGTTGTATTGTATTATTTGCACAATTGGGTAAGTTCTCGTCATGTCTACTGAAGATTTTGGTTCCAAAACCCAGGCGTTCCTTGAGTGGTTCAAGGCGCTTCCTGGGTCGACGTTTTCTGAACATATTGAGATCACGGATCTTCGAGCAAGAAATGCAGGCCGCGGCATAGGTATGTGAGCAAATCGTGTTCATGTGCGGCGTGAGATGGTTAACAATGTCGTGGCAGTGGCTCTGGAGGACATCCCGGCTGATACAGTCCTGTTTACCGTACCGAGAAATGGGATAATAAACATGGAGACGTCCGAGCTCAAGGAGAAGCTCCCAGACGTCTTCTTCCATGCAGATGAGGTCATGGAGGTGGATGACAAACCGCAGCAGGACCCATGGAGCTCTCTAATTCTTGTCATGATGTTTGAGTATTTCAAGGGAGACGAGTCCAAATGGAAGTCGTACATGGACGTCCTTCCTGCATCTTTCGAGACACCCATGTTCTGGACCGAAGCGGAGCTTAATGAGCTTCAGGCGAGCGCTACGCGGACAAAAGTTGGCAAGACTGACGCTGAGAAAATGTTTCATGCCAAGATCTTGCCAGTCCTCCGTGCAAATCACGAAATTTTTCCATGCAGCCAATCTTACAGTGACGAAGACCTTGTCAAGCTGGCTCACCGTATGGGAAGCACTATAATGTCCTACGCATTCGATTTCCAGAATGAGGATGAGGAAGACGAAAAAGACGAAGAAGAATGGGTTGAAGATCGCGAGCCTAAGTCTACAATGGGTATGGTGCCGATGGCTGATATTCTCAATGCTGACGCTGAGTATAATGTGCGACCCTATCCATCACAATTATGCTTCTAAGCGCCTTGCTGATGGCTGATTCATAAAAAATAGGCACACGTCAACTATGGAGATGACGCTCTTACTGTGACAGCATTACGAACTATCAAGGCCGGCGAAGAAATCTTGAACTACTATGGTCCTCATCCCAACTCGGAGCTTCTCCGCCGTTACGGATACGTAACCCCGAAGCACTCTCGTTATGACGTTGTTGAGCTTCCATGGAAATTGGTTGAGGAGTCTTTAGCGGCAAGCCTGGGCTTGTCAGAAGAACAGTTGGACAGTGCGGTGAGTTCTTCTTTGCCCATACCATCATTCATCATGACTGGGGCTGATAATAGATAAGCGAGAGCACTTGGACATGGATGAAATCGAGGATACGTTTGTTTTGGACCGAGAATCGAATGAGCCTAACCCGGACGGCACGTTTACTGGATCGGCTAGGTTTAGCGAGATACCAGAGGATCTCCGGGAGCAGCTTAAATTGCTTCTTAAAGCCATTCGCAAAGCAGATCCATCAAGTGTTGTCGACAAGCGGAAACGGGACGAGATTCAACATTCCGTACTTTTCAAGGCGCTTGATGCTCTGGAGTCGCAGTATCCAACGACTGTTCTAGATGATGAACGGATTCTTTCTGGTAGCGGCATTAGCGAGCGGCACAGAGCCGCTGTTACCGTGAGGCTAGGGGAAAAACGATTGATCCAAGAGGCTAAACTCTACTTGTCGGGCATTACTTCAGATGCCACTCCGGAGGAGACGCCGGCATCAAATAAGAGGGCCAGACGGGATTGAAACGACACATCGATTTCGGTAGTTGGCCCCTCACAACCAAGGCTACTCAGCCTTTATGCGTAGGATAACGCTATTGCCGGAACCGACCGGGTTGATGTTAGGATCTTGGGCGAAAAAAGGCAAACGGAAAAAAGAAATATATCACATGCGTGCGTGACAAGGCGGCCCGCTCAAGATGTTTACAACGGAGCCTCATTTGGATCCACATTCGATGCGCGAACCACCGTCTGTCCGACCCAGCCTTCCTAGCAAGGCAGCTAAAAAAAAAAAGGCAACCGTCCATGATTGATTGTGCCAGAAAAATCCCTTATATCTCTCCATCTCTGTCTCCATGAATCCGAGAACGTAATCATTTCATCCAGGCGTCTTACTCCCATCTAATGTGAAGGTCGAGAACTCTTGGTCCTCATCACTCTGCCCTCGCCTCTAATCAATATTACATGCTTCGGCTTGATACCTTGATCGTGATTATTGTAATCAATTCTGTCAGTAATTGATCTCCGCTGCATTGACGGCTCATGCTGTTTGCTGAACAGAGTATGGAAACACAGGGTAAGTCGAAAGTGTATCACCGAATTTGGACTCTTCGACTAACACCTATAAAGGAGCTTGGCTGTGCCATTCATTCACCGCTTTATAGGCATGTCATAATGCCTATATCAAACATTGAGATGACTGTCGAGTCGTACAATGGAACATATACATGAATGCCACTGCGTTTGTTTGGGGTAGCCGTTGAGATTGCGCATCTGAACGAGAAATCCACGTCGTCGCAAGAATAGCGTGGGACACAGCAATCAACATAATTTTGGCATTGATGTCGTGCCTCTTCAGCGCCTTGGCACCTTAGGCTCCGTCAAACCCATCAATGTTGATATTATGGGCCCCTGCCTGTGAATCGTTTGACATCTTCACCGATAGACTGACATATGAGAAAAGAGCTCTCGGGAGCGGACAGTGCTCTACCCGATACTTGCCATGGCTATGCATAACGCGAAGAGCTACATAGTGACAAAGTTCCGTTTTGTGTGACCCTCCATTGTTGGGGACCGCAGATCTGCTGTCTTATAACTGGCCATTCGGGTGCTGAAACCCCGACGACGAATGGCGAGTCTACAACCGTTTTGTTTTCTCCCGACAGACTTTTTTCTCTACTCTTCTCCCCCTCCTCTATTTGCATGGAAAACAGACAACTTGCCTCTCGTTTTGGCTAGTACAAAAGTGTTACTCTGGCTGGGATACGGCGTCTTGCAGCATCCGTTGGTAATGCGACGATTGTTTCGAAATGGACAGTATACGGCTCTCGCACTGCATACTCGTATCATCTCCCCCGAGGCCCCCACACTTGGGAGTTGAGACCGGGATGCACATCGTGCATGGTGGTGTTTTATGATACCATCAGACAACCGCGGCTATTTACTCCCCGAGGGGGCCGTAATTAAGAACCCGCGCAGCCTCGTCATCACCACACAGCACACAGCGCCGCGAGCAGTGATAGGCTCAAGGTTACGAGCCCAAGAGGCCCATAACCCTAGTCCGAAAGCTCGTTATTTATTGGTCCACGACTGTGAATGGTGGTGTTCAACTTTTGTCTGAGATATTTTCAAGCTTAGATCGGCCTGGGAAACCAACAATCGCCTGCCTCCACCAAGAGGATCTCTCAAAGCCCGTGGCGACCACCTGTTGGTGGCGTTGGGTGTACAGACAAGCTCGAGTATCCGAACTATGGCCTTATGATTACAAAAACGAGCAGAAAACATGCCTTGCATCTTATACCGGCCTATCACACGGGTTGCCAGTATCTCGGAGAGCTTGTGACCAGGGTAGGTAAAAGCGGCGCTGGGCCCAAAGCCAGCACTCCAGGAGTCGTGGGACACTTGAAGGAGCCCAACAAACTCCTTTAAGTGTGGAGGAAAAAGAGCGACGAAGAAGAAGATGAAGCTCAGTGGACGTCGGACCCAATGGAACCGAACTTTGCTCTCACCGGTTCTGTTCACGAGACACTAATATTCATGTATGTCGACGTCAGCCTTTTCCTGAGCCTTCCTCGCAAGAATTTTGAGCCGCAAGTCCGCTGGTGGACAGCGCGGAACACCATCTTTCCTGGCCCGACCTCTCTGCTAGTGGCCAACTTCCCTCATCGTGCTGTAACGTTGGATACGTAGCATCTCGGCCTAACTTGACCGGTAACTACACACTTGATACCTGGCCTTGGGCAGCGACACCTATGGAGTCTGTCGGAGGGTTGAGGGGGAGTGATGGGCAGCGGAGTTGATAATATGTAGCCCCGAGACTCCACGTATATCATCTTCACAAGCACGTTGTATTGTTGACCTGTCACCCTCTCTGAATCACCAGTCTCGAATACACAGCCTTTCAGGGCATACATCGGTGAAGAGAGTGGCTGTCATGTCTGGACATGTGAGTTTTTCCAATATTCGACCCGGCGTGCCTGGCATAATACTCGAAGCTATCTTATCGGAGGATCCAAGCGAGAAGTACAAGGTACTGATTTTGCCATCTTATACCATAGGGCAGAAGCTCACATAAGCATGCGGGGGATGGGGGCAGGCATTCGACCAACAATCTCCATCCCGATCCCAGAAGCTTCCTCTTTGTGATCAACGAGCTGGAGGTGAAAAAAGACGACACCTATCACGAGGGTGATAGCTGGTACAACCGCATACCGCCTAGCATCCCTAACGGATATGGAGGAGAGACGCTCGGAACGGTTATGAGGTATCGTAATGGGAGAGTGACAGTGGCTCCTGGATATAGGTGGTACCGCGAAGGCATGAACGAAACCACCGGGTGGTGGCCTGCTGGTGGTGTTGTGGTTTGCAATCCTGACGAATCGCCCATGTATACCGAGGATGGAATGCTGCAATACGCTGCCCTCTACAAGCAACTCGCAGTCTTCTCATGCAACCCCTTTCTCCCGGTCGTTGTCGTCAACGGAGACCCATTATCCGCCGAGTCGCTTCCTCGATCGCCCCTACAGTTCCACCATCCTCTTCACCAAGAAGGAATATCACACGCTGTACACCCGGAAAGTATCATGCAGTATGGTCTCGGACCGCGCAAATACGTGGCCGGGGCAAACCCCAGCTGGATGCCCAGCCTGGTGCCGGCGATTTACAGTAACCCTTATAATCCGGTTCCGTCGACTGGTCTTGCGGGAGAGCTTCCTATTATCCTTGGTTTGATGGCATTTGGCGAATCTAAAAACGTGGAAGGAGCAGTGGATCGAACTTTTCTGGGAGATGGTGTGCACCGTGGCAAATGGCGTGATGGGCAATGGCATCGTGCGGAGGCTCCTCGGGGGTGTGAGTTTCAACCTTTGCGAATTCCGAGCTACGGTTTATTTCCATGGCACTTTCTCCCTTCCTCCTGTCTTTATTCCTATGGATTTACTATTTGGATATAATCATTTGGGTATTAATGATGGAGTAGATGTGCTTTCCGCAGAAGAGGACCCGCGAGGCTTCCTCATTACGGTGCTGTTCGACCCAGAGAACCCGGAATACTCGAATGAATCCTCTCTCTTCGCAATGGAATGGACAGAAGTGATTGTTCGAGAAAGTCGAAGATAAACGGCCATGGCATGGCATGCGCTCTGGCTTCTGTCCCTATGCATTTCTTTCTCTTCTACGTTATTTTGTTCTTTCGTTATGCTGGGGGTGTAGGCTGTGGTACTCGATTTCCTTGCCGTCATGTTACTGCTTTATCTGCTGCACTCGATGTTTTTCTCTTTTCATCTTTTGAACACGTTGAATGATTTGCGTCGTTGAAATCTGTTGATGCACGACACTTGATACGTTACGAAGTCCACGCAGGGGACTCCGTGGAGCTTGATTGCTCCCCTCTCACCTTTTTCCTTTGCTCTTTTGTACTTTTGGGGAGTGCGTGGAGCTGCATCTTTCCCTACCTATGCAAGATACCGCACCACTTCTTCTTGTTTTGTTTTGTTTTGTTTTGTTTTGCTCCTGTCTGTCAGTCCTCTAGTCTGTTTTGATAAGAGTTCTTTTTTTGTAACTCAATGACTACCTAGTATGATTCAATGATACGCCAACACCAAGTGATCATACGAATATTAAGGCATTTTCAATTCATTTCATCTTATTCATCCAGCTGATTTTACGGTGACGACAACATTATAGCTCTCTATGTTTAAATAACCCTCCCTAACCTCACTTTCACATGGCTCCCCCTAGTGGAAGTCATGCAATGCGTTCCCTTGTTGCCCCCCTTTCAGCCTCTCAATTCGCTATAATTTGAAAGCTCCCCATGACTATTTACGGCGTTTTCGCTGTTTCTCGCCCCCTTTCCAAGTATTTCGATGCTGGTTTGCAAAACGAACGGCCAGCCGCTTAAATTAATATACCTCTCTGCTATCCCACCTATGATTATATATAGCGCGTCAACTCGGGGCCAAAGCTCAAGCTACATCGGGCAGTCGAACAGCAATATCGCCAGATTGTGTGATATATCGGACCCATGGAAGAGAAGGATATTGAAGCTAGAAGAGAATTATTCAGCATTTCGTATTATGTCGGGAAAGTGTCAAAGAAACATAGGGGGCTTACCTTGGGCTCGGTAATCTTGAGGTATCGGACTTGAATTCCACTCGTCGTAAAGTAGGGGATTTCGAACTTGACTTGGATGGGTCGTTTGGCGCCCTTGCCACCGATTCCACCCATACTGCCTCCAAAACCACCTGTCATGCCACCGCCGTGCTCATCGTCTCCTCTGACGCTAGGAAGGCCAAGTTCAGCGCGCATGAGGAATTCCTTGTTACCGCCAAACTGCTTAATCTTCCAGACAATGGCGCTCTGCTCAGGGGCGTAGTGTACAGAGCCGACGTTGGTTCTGAATCGGGGGGAGTCGGCATCGTCGGGGACAGGGACGATGATTTCGACGTTGTTGGCCGTGCTTCGTCGCTTGAACTGGGCTCTGGCCTTGAGCATGTATTCGATACGTGAGCCGGAGTGGGACTCGACAAGGCACTCGACCCAGATTAGGGGCTTGACTTGGGTGTTGAGGCGGTATGACATGAGCTCAAACTCGCCATCGGGAGGAATGAAGGAGATTGTCCGATCGTTTTCGAAGCGCGAGAGTCGCACGCACTGGTGGAACTTGACATCCTCCATCTCAATAGCCTTGCCTCGCGTCGAGCGGCCCGTCGTCTCAAACATGACCTTGTCGTTAAGTCCCAATCTCAGCTCGGGCATACCACTGAGGTAGCATTTCATCTTGATGGCACCGAGAATCTCACTCCGCAACACATTTCCATTGGCGCTGACGAGGAGGTTCAAGCTTTCGACAACATCGAGGAAGACTTCGTTCTTGCGGTAACGGATACCCTCGGATCGCCAAGACACGGCGTTGGTCACGGCGATTGGCGGGCGGGCTTGGATCTCGAGCTTGTGTGATTCTTGAGTAATGTATTCTTGGAGAATCTTGGACTCGGTGGTCTGGGGGTAGCCAAAGTCCATCATTTCGTCGAGAAGCTCGTAAATGACGACAAAGTTGTCGCGGATGGATTCTTCCTCCAAAGCCTTGAAGTACTCGGTGAAGACTTCGACGACCTTGTGCAGGAAGAGCAGGATTCCGGCGGCATTGGTGTTGCGCTTCGTCAGCGCCAGGAGATATAGGTTGTTGTGACGGATGTATAAGTACTGTCACGCGCGTTAGCCATTTTCTCCCCGTTCGACCCCTTGGGCTGCATGGAGCTTCATGTATATGTTGTCTGGGAGCTACGGACGTTGATTCCCTCGTGGGAGAAGCATGGCGGAACGGCTGACGACTCTTCTTCGGCTTCTGATAGGAGAACGGGGAACTTTTCGACGGCGGACATGGGAATGTCACCCCTATAGTTTCGGGCGAGGAGGGTCTGGGAGAAGCCATGTTAGATTGACCCGGCGATCCATCAGATGCACCTTATTTCACGAGTCGTCATACCTTGCCCTTGAGGTCCAGAAAGAAGATTGCAGATGCCATGGTGACGATCTATATATAGAAGACGATGGCTTGGCCAGGAGAGATGGCGGGGAGGAGGGGCAGCTAGAGAGACGGATTCAGGGATTGGCGCAGCGGCCAGGGAGAGACGAAGACGAGAGAAGATGCGGGCATACACGAACAAAATCTAGAGATCCAGGAGGTTCAAAGAAGGGGCATGATATGATGGCGGCGCGACCTGGAAAGCTGGATCGCGACGTAGCTTCAACTTAGGCTGCTACGAATCGGACAACTGGTTGCTCACCGTCTGCGATGCGATAGGCCCAGTAGTGCAGGGACCAACTACGGGCCGGCAAAACTATGGCTGTAAGAGAGCGGTCACGTGCGAGGGATCTCTGTTCCTGAGCTGCTCCACTAAGGCCCCGCGAAAAAAAAAACCAATATCAAGCTACAACGGGTTTTCCGTCTTCTTCTTTTTCCTTTCTCTCCAACGCGCCCATTAGACAGTGCAACTCATCTTTTTACCTGCGACCGCGTGGCTTTCTGTCATGACAGCTGCAGAGCCGTGGATGAGTTAGCGATTTGGCGGTGCGGAGAGGAAGGAAACTTGTTTCATTTGGTTCATTAAGAGCTGCCCGCGTGTGTTTTCTGCTTTGGCAGGATTTGATTGCTTGGGCGGCGTCAGAGGAACCACACATTCATTACCATCGGACCTTGTGTTAGAGAGGAGAGTCGAATCATGATGCCGATCGTTCATGTGATTGCCGTGTAGGCGAATCCAGCTCCTTCGCTACTGTATCTATGCCCTCATTTGCATGTGCTCTCTCATTTGCATGTGCCTGTGGCAGACATGGGATATGCAGGCATGGGATAAGCACACACAAAGAGAGTGAGGGCAAAAGCTATCCGCGCCCGGCTTCTGCTTGTGCGCGAGCTTTCTAGCCTCAACCAATAATGGCTTCCCTGTAGCGCATTGCGCGGAAGACGGCAGCTCAGGCCCAGATCCCGGAAGCAACCACCAGCCGACCAGGACAACACGATACAGTACAGTACACGACCTACAGTGTGTTTTGCCTGATGAAACGGGGCGACGTAAAAGGCGTCATGTGATGGTTGTGAACCAGCAGTTGTGCCGAGTGGCAGCACTACTCGGAGCATTTCTGCGAATAGGTGCTTTACTGTCTGAGACAGACGTTGCCGTTGTTGGGGAAGACGTCAAGGTGCCTGTGCTAGTACCCAATGCACTGCCTGATGATGTGAGGTTGAGAAACACAATCTGGGGTGCATCGGAATGTGTGGTTTAAAGGAGCAGGGAGCAAAGCTTCAATGTCCTTGTCCAAGACACAGAGACAGCAGTGTATCTGTACAGCAAGCAGACCATGGCACACCGAGAGAGAGGCTTGTCCGGGGTCCCCGCATTTGGAATCAGGTTTCGGGGTAATTGATGAAGCCTGCCATCCTGCTCAGGGCAATGAGGGTGCCCGTCTTACAAGCCTCCTGCTACCATCACTGTGTCTGTTCTCACGACCACATGCGTGGCTTGGTTAAGCTCTGTTGGGAACGTGGCTGTTGATGACCAGGTGGACCTGATGCTCTGAAGGTTGCCAGCCTCGCCTCACCATCGCTATCGCCCAGCAAACGATTTGGAGATGCAGGGCAAGGTCCGGTCTATTGACGTGCGCAGCTCTGCCTCCCCACACGGCGCATGTTTTTGATGAGAATTCTCGTGGCCATGTGAGCAGTAAACCCTCCTCTGGAAACTGTTAGTGGCCCCAATTTACCCCTAAAACCCCCCACTGGAAGAATGTGGACATTCCAATCGCGACAAGGGCACGGCATGCTACACAGCGAAGAGCGGTGGGATTTGCTCGGCCGGGAGGGGGCAAAAGCACATGAAATAAGTCTGTCCAGTGCCAGCGTCGGTGGGGAAGCGAAAAGTTGGGGCTCAGAGCAGAAAGAGGAGCGTCACATTGCATGTGATAACAGCTTTGCAACGCTCAGGCACGTGCTTGTAGCCCGTCTCCCCAAGGCCCGTTTTTGGGTTTGATTCTAATTTAGCAACAGAGTGACGGCACCAGCAGTTTTTGGTCCATTGCTGGATTTGGCATGTCCTCGAGGGGGGAGGAGATGCGGCCGCGCGCCCTCTCGTCTCGTCTGGTCTCGTCTCTCTGGGCTATTCCAGCGAGATCGTGGCAGTGACGATGATGATGGGATGCCAAGCGGTTCATCACAAACGGCCTTGATTTGTCTGCGTATCATTGCTTAATGTGCTCGGCAAGGATGGCACAGGCCTGCTGGTTATTAATGGCTGAATGCTGTGCTTTTGCCAGAATTGTCGACCACTTGCAAGCTCCCCGTCAGTCAGCGTGCAGTCGCAGTGTCTTGCCTCCATGTGGATGCTCCACCCGCGAAGAGCTGGAGAGGGCACCAGTCAAGCGTCGAGACGAGGGTGAGATTTGTGTAGCGGCATCGCCGTCTCGAAATCTGTAGCAGCGGTCAATGGAACATTCGCCGCCTCTTCTGCCCTCCACCTTGCTTGATGGGACATTGGTATTACAGGTGAGGTAGGAGGTACTTAAACTAGCAGGTAGTTCAAGGTTCGTCGGAGCACATGCGCGTACCGGTACACGATGTGCCCACCTGGAGCTCCATAATCCCCATTCAGGGCTCCATTAATAGCACCAACCATGAGCGCATTGAAACTGCGGACCCTGCAGAATTCCCAGCGCCTGACCTAGGGCTCTCGGCACCGTGTACAGGTACTTGGTCTCCAATCGCATTAGCTGCTGTCAATACGTAAAAAAGTCACCACACCACGCCGTCACAGAGTCCCCAACAAACGGTAGTATCGAGTGTGTCGCAGAGGCCAATTCATTCGTAGGGTGCGAGATGGTGTGGGAGAAACCCGTCATCCATTGCTGGATTGGGATAGGATGGGAAAGGAACGCGGCCAAAAAAGATTTTGAGGCATCCATGATTGCTAGCTGCCAGCTGTAGAATCACGATACTGCTTTGCTTTGGCCTCCACTGACTCAACGCTTGCACAAGGGCAGAGTCCAAGTGGATTTCCGGCTTTTTTTTATCTCGAATTTTTACCCTCTTGTTTCCAATTTTTGTTTGAAATCGTCCAGGCAGCCCTTGACGGCCATTGATATGCCCGTCGGCGGGCTTATGCTCTGTGCGCACTTGATGTAATTGCCGTCCTGTCCTGTCGTCTTATCGCCATTGTCATCACTGTCCATCCACGTGCCCAGACCACCCTGCTCTTCTCCCCTTCTCTGTCCAAGAAGAAGGGCTTAGCATGTATCAGAGCGCATTTTCCCCCATCTGAAGCTATTCTCGCTGCCTGCCTGTGCTGTACCCGTTTCCACCATCACATTTTTTCTTTTCTTTCTTCTTTTTCTTCTTTCCCCATCTTGTACCGCCCCAATACCAGCCGATTGAAGCCCGCTGCCCCGGCGTTTATTCCCGCCACAACCCCTGCCGCAGCGCCAGCCAGCCACTGGAGTGCGAGTGCTTGCGTGCTTATCAGCCGTTTTCCCATATGTGCATATCATATATGCGCCTGGGCCGCAATCACATGCCATGCATCGCCAGACGCTCGCCAACAGTCCAGCTTCGGCCCCCCTCGGACCATCACCAGCACTTGCACCAGCACTTGCACCACCATTACCGCCGCGACCTCGCCTGCCGCCCATCAACTCGATCCAGTCCATTCCCTCAATAAATTCCATCCATAACCATTCGGCAAACTCCATTCCGGGCTTCAGCAGCGTCGACTCGCGGCCGTCGAATGCGCCATTGCCATTGACGCTACAGCGGCCTCTGCCATTACCGCCATCACCATCACCCCCAAACTACTCGCAGTCCATGCACAGCCATCACCAGTTCCCCAGCCCGTCCGACAACGACAGGCTTCCCCCGCTGGTGCACCATGACGGCGACAGCAGAACATTGCCGTCGCTGAGCAGCATTACCGGCGACGTTGCCATGCGCGCCGACGACCAGCATCGCCCTCCGCAGCACCTTCACAACCTCCCCAATCCGCCACCGCTGCACCAGAACCAGAACCATTGGCCGTCGTCCTTCAATGGTTCATTGAACTCCTACCGACAACCGCCGCCTTTCCACGCGCCTGACAGTCCAGCGACAATCATGGACATGGACGGCGCGGCAAGCGTTGCCAGTGCGGCCTCGCCGTCGCCAGATCGCATCTATGACGGAACACCAACCCCTAGCAGCCTCACCCTCGACGACCCAGACGTGCGGCTTGCGGCTGAGGCTCTGGGAGATTTACGCGCAGGTAAGTAACCATGCCATTATCAATATTAAAATGCCCAATTGTTATGTCAATGTTTGATGCCAACTGCCCTCTTGCACAGATTTCGTATCATCGCCTCCCGACTCCTCTTCGCTGCCGCCCATGAGCCCGCCCATTGCCCCGTTCCAGCTTCAACAGACAAAACCAAAGTCACCCAAGCCCGAGCCGCTTTTGTCTCTTCTTACAACCGCTCATCCCCTCGTCGCCTCGACAATTGGCGGCGCTAGTTCCGCATACGGCGGAGCCAAGAATTTCTCTCCGCGATTCAAATCGGGCGCCGAGTATGTCGAGGGCTACCTGACGCCTATCGCCAACACAGTCAACTCCGTGGGTAGAGTCACGGGCGTTGAAGGCGGTGTTCGATGGTTCCTCGGCGCCGGTCGCCGGCATCCGGCACCCACATCAGACCCCGACTCGAACGGTTCCAACAAGAGACGGAGGACAGGAGAGAGCAGCAGCAGCACCAGCAGCGATGCGAATGGATCGCCGGACAACGGTCTTGATGATTCGTCGTCGGTCATGTCAAAGACTCCTCGCCGCCTATCGACTGCTAGTACAGTGGACACGCTGCCAGCTTACGATGACCAGCGGTCGCCCGCATACTCAGAAACCGCGCCCGCAACGCACAAGCCGCCGGGTAGCCAGCCGTGGCAGACCCGCTTGATGATGTCCACGTCGGGACTGAGCGTTGCCATGAGCGCCGAGAGTTTGCGTAGCCTCAAGTACTGTTTGCGTTGGCTTCGATGGACCAACGATCACATGAACCGGGCCATTCTGAACTTGAAGCACGCATTGGAGGAATATGAAAAGGCAGAGAGGAAGGAGCAGTCAGAGGGAGGGCCATCTACGGATAGCCCCAGCGATGCCGAGGCCATGGATGTCGACGGCGCGGAAAAGAGTCAAGAGAAGCCGAACCCCTCACGAAGCGAACTCGCCGCGCGAATCAACAGCCTCAAGGGTGATATCCTCAAATCCCTTCAAGACGTTATCAACAACGTGTCCAAGTATGCGGGCGGTGCCCTTCCCGAGAACGCGAGGGTCCTTGTTCGCCGCCACCTGACCAGTCTCCCCCAGCGATTCCGCCTCGCCACCATGTCTGAAAGGCAGTCTGAGAACTCCAACAGAGATGGCGATTCGGCGATGCGTGAGGGTGCGCAAAGGGTGTTGGTGCTGGCCAAGGAGGGCCTTGACATGGTGACGCAGGTAACGGGCGTCTTGGATGGTACTATTGTGAGCGCCGAACAGTGGTGTGAGAGAATGGGAAAGAGGCGAAACCCTGACGGAGAGGAGAGAGAAGAGGCCGCTTCGTCGAGTCAGCAAATTGAGTTTGGCAGCGATGAGAAGTCGGGCTAATGCTGTGACTGGAAAAAGAAAGGCAGAAGAAGAAGAGAGAGAAAAGGCAGGGGAAGAGATTTTCCCATCACGGTGAGACTGAATGGGAGACAGCACGGGACTACCAAAAGAAACATTTACGAAATTCATCAAACGAGAGCTTCTAATCGGCTCAAAAGCAAGGATATATCCAACAAGTGCAACAGATTGCAAAAGATGCGATAGGGTGACAACAGGACTTGATCTAGTCTCTGGCTATGGGCTTTTGATGAGTCAAGCTTACAGACGACTACTTTTGCAAGGCTGGGTTGGAATGTTTTCCTGAAACCTGACCATTTTATTTATTTTATTTCCTCCGCGATTACCAACACATATTCTTTCGCTCATACGGGTTTTCATTTATCGTCTAAGGAAGGGGGGAGACTTCAATCTATCGAGATTGTGTGTCTCAATGTGTAATCTACGATTTGTCTGGCAAGAGGCCTACAGGGACATTCCTTTTGTTTTTTGAGCGCTGACTGTACTCTTTTTTCTTTTTCCTTTTTCACTCTTGTTTTTTTTTTCTTCTATTTCTTTTCGAAGCTCTCTGAAACATGGAAGCTTCAATTTATGAGCGGTTTTATTTTGTTTTCTCTTTTGCTTTTCTATTTATGTGACTTAGTTGTTTCAAGGGCTTGAAAAGAGAGAAAATGCCGGTGTGTGGTTTGCGCGGCTTTTGGGAATGCGGAATGTGGGTTGCATTACTTGCGAGACAGCAATCGAATTTCATAATGGTCGTATTCGTCGTCTGTTTGTAACATGGTGTGCCTTTGTTTGATGGCAGAGTGTTGGTTGCCTTGTGACTGTAAAGTGCATATATGGAATGTTTGCTCCTGTCATGATGCTCGCCACTGTAGTTTCTCGACGATGAGGCTGCCGTGGTTTTGAGAGGGTGGGATACGATGTAAGGAATCGATTTCGAATCGTTGACAGATGCTGTGATGTTGTATTGAGCTAGGTAATCGATATCCTTTGTTGAGTCTATAGTGTGCCTTTGGTGTACGTCTATAGGTGAAAAGAGATGGTGCTCTGGCACGAACAAGGCGGAGCATTATTCGGGTTACTGTGAGTCATATTAATAGAAGAGGAAATAAAATGTAACTGTCCGCAAGAGTGAATAGCCGTAACACGTAAATCAGACACAATCGAGGAGTATACCATGAGTAAACCCCATGTGTGTAAGTGGTGTAAGTGGCAATAGAGGATAGGTAAACTTGTTGACGCCTTGCTGCTTCTCCTTGGGCAAGTCTAAACAGCATTGGCAAATCGACGGTCTTCTATATGCTTAGTATTCATTTTCGCAAGCTGTCTATCAGAGACGTCTCCCTCAATGCCAGATACCCAGAGTCCTCAATTCTATATTACTGAGTAAACCTTTCGTTCTGCCGTCTCTCAAACTCGGACCGGTGGCAAGATAGGAGCCGAGCCCTTTCCATTGATCACCAATCCATCTCAGCAGATGATGAGAAACAAAACTGCTTACAGAGCAGAAAGAGAGGGAAAAAAAACGCATTGATGATTACTCCAAGGCAAAGCCAAAGTATCATCTTCAATTCATCTGAGCCTCTGCTTCTTGTCATCCGGACAATAATATCTTAAGTCCATCCACGGTACGTACCTGCACTGGTCAGCCCTGCGGGACATTCCGCCGCTCTCCAGGTACAAGACCCACGTACCCTGCGGCATCATCCGAGCTGGAGCTGACTCATCTCAGTCGTGCACCGTCGCCTGTGTCGCCTTTCTCTGCTTTTGCGCATTGAATTGGACAACTATTATGGGGAAGCTGGTATTAGATAATCTCAAAATTCGGAACATGATCCGTCGAGCTCCTCAAGGTTCATTCTGTGACGCGCTTCTAACGTCAAACAAGCCGCGGCACGGGGAGTTTGACTATGAAGGTTTGGGCTGGCGTTTGCCGCGCGCTGGACCAATGATGAGCGTCAAGGCGGACGGACAACATGCCGAAAGAAGCCTGGAGAGGCTGTTCGCATTGAACATAACCAAAAAAATGAGGGGCAGCTTCAATGATTGTGGGCGATCCTTTGGCCATGTGGAGAGCTCGAGACCGAAGAGGTGGCATTGAGATGGGATGAGAAAAAAGGGATATATAAAGAGTGTGCCGTTGTCCATGGCCAGTTGAGAAGAAGCAAGAAGCAAGCACTCAGCACTCAGACTACAGCTCCAAGCCTCGGCATCTCAGCACATCTCCAAAGCAACCAATTCACAACAATCTACATCTACAATCCACGACTCAGACACAATGGCTCCCAAGAAGGTCCTCGTTGTTCTCACCTCCCACGACAAGATTGACGCCATTGACCGATCCTCTGGCTGGTACTTGGTATGTCTCTATCTTCCTCTCTTCCTCTCTCCTCCTCCTCTCCAATCCCAACTTTCAATTGGTAACTAGCTCTGACCTCATAAACACAGCCCGAGTTCGCCCACCCTTACCATGTCCTCTCCGGCAAGAACGTCGAGATCACCGTCGTCTCTCCCAAGGGCGGCGTCGCCCCTCTCGATCCCGCCTCCATCGAGCTCACCAAGGAGGACCCCATCTCCGTCGGCTTCCTCAACAACAACAAGTCCCTGTGGGAGAACACCCTGCCCCTGAAGCAGTTCGCCGGCCGCTCTGGCGACTTCGACGCAATCTTCTACCCCGGCGGCCACGGCCCCATGTTCGACCTCGTCGACGACGCCGACTCCATCGCCCTGATTGAGGAGTTTTACAACGCCGGCAAGATTGTCTCCGCCGTCTGCCACGGCACCATCGCCCTGGTCAACGCCAAGGTCAACGGCGAGCCCCTCCTCAAGGGCAAGGAGGTCACCGGCTTCACAAACGCCGAGGAGGACGCCGTCCAGCTGACCAGCGCCATGCCCTTCCTCGTCGAGGACCGCGTCAATGCCGTCGGCGGAAAGTTTGTCCAGACGGCCGTCTTTGGCAACAAGGTTGTTGTAGATGGTACCCTCATCACGGGCCAGAACCCGACTTCTGCTTCGGACCTTGGTGAGGCTCTTGCCAAGGCTATTGGTGCTTAAGTGGGCATTTTTTGGGGGTCTTTTCTGTCTTTGTCGCCTAGGTAGCTCGAAATAGAGTAGCAAATTGTTAAATATCCATGCCACTTCTAAACTTGGCTGGTCTCACCCCCCTGCATCATCGCGTCTATCATGAGTGAATTGTCGAGTCAGTCGCCTTGAAAAGGAGGAATATGTTCAATTCCTCGCTTGTAAAAGGATAATTACCTAATAAGTTGCAGTCCTTGACCAACATGCAGATTTGGTTCGTCTTATGAGCAACCTGGCTGTCGAATTGAAGGTGTCGAGACGCAGAGATGCAAATCCCACTAAACCGCAGCTACCCAGGCATTGATGACGTACCGAACAGCACTGCAGCGAACCCCATTAGAACCGCTGCAATCTGTGCTGTAGGAGCTCAACACTAGCTGCTACAGTGGGGTATCCGAAGCCTGTTGCTGATTCAGTGCAGATATCCGCTTGCGGTGCCTTTCCTTAGGTACACCTAGGAAAGAAGATTCATTTTATGGCAGACACACAATAGTGCTTGATATGGAATTCCAAAAATGAAATAATATCATATCATACTATTAATCTAGATTTACAACATTTTGATTCAATATTCCATTATCTTAAGGATGTAGATACATGTATTCGGCTGCCGGATTTTGGCTTATCTAATCCGTTCGCTCTCCCCCACAATTCGCCGGTAGTGGTCCAAAGTTGCTCGCAGTTCAACCATCCTCAGCCTCACGTCAATCCGCACGCGAATCGCTTTCCAGCCAGCTAGCCACCCAACTTCGACCGTGTTCGCAGCTTCGCATCGCCCAGAAGACGGCCAATATGGCGAGCGAAACGCCCAAACTGCTGTGGAATACCGAAAATGTCAAAGATGTTGCCGAGTCGGTGGGCATTGGCTCCATGAGCGACGAGGCTCTCAAGGCTCTCACACAGGATGTCGAATACCGTATTGGCCAGGTCATTATCGAAGCTCTGCGTCTCATGCGCGCTGCACGACGGACGACGATGACGGTCAATGACGTTTCTCTGGCCCTCAAGGTTTTGGATGCCGAGCCCTTGTATGGCTACGACTCCACGCGGCCTCTACGATATGGCGAAGCAAGCTTGGGACCTGGCCAGCCGTTGTTCTACATCGAGGATGAAGAGGTGGATTTCGAGAAACTGATCAATGCACCGCTGCCTAGAGTGCCGCGAGACATGAACTTTACTGGTGAGCTTCCATCTTACCTGCGATGGACATACAACTCTGGACAGCTCCGCTAACAGCTCAACGTAGCACACTGGCTCGCCATTGAGGGTGTTCAGCCTTCTATCCCCCAGAACCCGACCTCGGCCGAGTTGCGACCACAAGACTTGTTGCCCAAGGGACCGGGCGCTAACCCTGCGCTATCTGCCCTTGCTGGAAATGATGCTGCCTCCGGCCAGCCCTCTGTTAAGCACATTGTGAGCAAGGAGCTCATCCTTTACTTCGACAAGATCCAGGCTGCTATCCTCGACGATAACCCCGATGAGGAGGTCATTCGACTGCGTCAGGCAGCACTTGGGTCTGTCAGGGACGACCCTGGTCTGCATCAATTGGTTCCTTACTTTATCAACTTCATCATGGACAGGGTCACGCATCAACTAGACGATACATTCACCCTGAAACAGATGATGGAACTGACTAACGCTTTGATCGAGAACAAGAGCTTGTTCCTGGACCCGTATGCCAGTTCTCTCTCTGCACCCGTGCTGACGTGCCTGATGGCTAGAAAACTGGGCACTGAGGAGGGTCAAGATTCACTCAAGGAGCAGTATGATCTTCGACAGCTAGCAGCCTCACTACTTGGCCGCATTGCACGCAAATACTCAGCTTCAAACTCTTTACTCCGACCAAAACTTACAAGGACATGTCTAAAATACTTCCTGGACCCCACGAAGCCTCCTGCCGTTTTGTATGGTGCCATCCACGGTCTGCTTGAGGCTGGAGGAATGGAGGCAATCCGAGTCTTGGTGTTGCGAAACCTCAAGAGTTTCGACTCTGGTATTCTCCAGCCCTTGAAAGAAAAGTCGGAGGGCTCGATCGAGTATGAGATGCTCGTTCAGGGGCTGGTACAGGCTGTAGCATCTCTCGCGCAGAAGACGGACACTACGGATGCTGCCGAGGCGCAGATGAACGGGGTAAATGGCAACGCCCCCGCTTCGGAACTTTCTGACCTAAATGACTTCATTGGTCCCATTGTTGGCGAGAAGATTGCTTCTACTCGCAATCACCAGCTCATCAAGACCATTCTCGATGCCCGGTTTTTGGAATAAGGAGTACTAGTTAAGGAAAACAGCTACAGCTGACGCAGCATATGAGAAGGCGCACGGCGTTTCGGGTTGGTTGATATCCAGGAGATGAGCTCACGCCCGGTCATCGATACATGGCATTCGGGTTTGTAAACTTTTTAATAAAATATTTTTGGACAATTAATAAAAAAAGGCCCTTTGATGGCCATTTATTTTACATACACCGCCCGCTGCTTGTCCGGTGTTGATTTTTTCCTCATTTCTTCTAAGCCATCCATTGATGCTCCTTTACAAGCCAAAAGCCAGGTAGCCACCGCCGATGAAACTCGATATCCACAGAGCAGCCTCTCCCCTCTTAATCTGGGTCTTAGCGAATCCAATACCTAAGTCGTAGACCAGGTGCTTGATGCCGTTGATGAAGTGGAAGGTGAAGGGGAAGGCCAGAGCGAACTTGATGGCGCCTTTGACGACGAAGGGCAGGGCAGCGAAGCCGGATGCCAGCGCGGCGCTCTCGACGTGGAGGCCGAGGAGAGGGGAGGCGAGGTATGCGGTGAAGTAGACGTAGGCGGCGCCGGAGAGTACGCAGCCGGTGATACGGGTCCAGGCGGAGGCGCCGAACCAGGTCTGCTCCATCTTGTAGATGCCCAGGTTGGGGGAGACGGGGCGGTTCAGGCGCTGGTTGACGAGGACTTGTTGGCCTTCCTCTTGGGAGAGCTTCTGGGTCGATACGGGTCTGCGGAAGAGAGCGAGAGATCTATGTTAGTAAGCTGTTTCCTGCTTCTGTTCCTCGGTTTGTTGTTTCATGGAGGGGCAAGTTGGATTTGTCGCGCGGGCTTACCGGGCCTGAGAGGTTGACATGGCAGAGGCGAGGACCATGCGCGGGATGTTCTGGCGAAAGAAGACATTGGGCTTCGTCGCGCCTATGAAAGCAGTTCGATGTCAGAGAGCGTCCGTAGTGAGGCTATTCGCAGATTGCATGTGAACGCCAAAAGCAAAGCTGCCGAGGAGGGGAAAAAGAAGAGCAACGTACTGCGCACAGCAGCGAGGCCGAGCCGGTGGGCGATCATGTTGGGCGAGATGACTTGGATGGAAAGAGGAGTTTCGAGATCGGAGCGGCGATTTGTCTATTGCTGTTCGACGTTCCCCCAGACAAAGAAGAAGCCGTTCGCCGGTTGCTGTCGTCGGTTTGCGGGTTTGGATCGAGCTTCTTCGGAACGGAACTGCGTCGGTTCCTCGGTTTAGGTGGGCCAATCAGGGAGCTCCAATTCATCATCTCCAGAGCAAGAACTCACGTGAGAAGCAACATCTCGCTCCAGATCCAGCCGGCATCACGTGCTAGAAACTGAATGCTGACTCATCTTTTTTTTCTGGTGGCCCTTTATGGAGGAAATTTCCCTCTCGTGGGATTTTCTTTTTTTCTCTTTTCTTCTCCAGATAGTCACGAATGTCCGCCGCGCGGTGTCTACTATGGACATCGATTCCGGCAAGGCCTTTTTGGCTTGAGGACGTTTGGAGAGGAATTCTTGAATGGATCCTTCGTTAATCTCGGCATTTGGTTGTCCTCCGTACCGGTGCCGTTTCATTCTGAGATCTACATTTCCCTTTGCTGATGACCACTTTGTGTGTCTGTGACTGTGCTTTTGCTGTACTGTGTAATATCATTGCTGTAGAAGAGCTCTTACAATGGAAGCCATTCAGGCTACAAATGTGTCGCTATTGGGTTCTTTGGCCTCGATGCTCTTTGGATCTTAATTTGTTGCTTTGCGACAGAACTGAGCGTGTGACGCATAGCTCAGCTACATGCAAACAAGCTCATTCTGCCGTGGAGCTACCCTGGTGCTAATTGGTGACAAGTGCCCAAGAGCGATGAGAAACTCTAAGCTGCGTTGTTGTTCCTTTGAAGCTATCTAATGTGTTGCATGAGATTTTACTATCAATTGATCAGTATATCTTATTCAATTTTCACAATACGCAATTATCAAGGCTGTTTACCGTGGTCACATGTTACGGCAGGCATAATGCTAAGCAATGGTGTTCAAACAAACTCAAAGACTTCAGCAATCACATATATGAGATCACTAATGATATTGATTGGAAATAAATTACTCAAGTAGCTTGATCAGATACGACTGATCCAGTTTGTAAATCTGAACCACGTGCAACACAAGATAATTCAATTGTAACCCAGAAGCTTCTTGAGCTCTTCCTTGAGGCTCTCAATCGGTCGGCCAGTTCCGGGCTCTTGCTTGTACGAGTAGTCCGCGTCGTAGCGATTATCTTCGTCAAACAGAGCAACAGTCCCCAGCATGGTGTATGCCTTAGTGAACAACCGAGTCTTCACACCGTTCTTAGTGTCTTCATCCCAGAGCCTAAATCCTTCTTTCTTAAACTCTTCAACATCGACGTCGACTACCTTCCATTCTTCACCAGATGAAATCTCCTTAATTATGTCGATGAATTCATTTGTACTGACGGCATAATCTGCAACGTAGGCGACGCGGTTGCGATACTTGTCCGGGTTTTGAAGGACCGTAACAATGGTCTCGGCGCATAGCTGCAAGCGGCTGATGGACACCTTTTGGTTGCCCGATCCGAAGCGAGTGATGGTCTTCTGCTTCTTGTCGATCCAGAAGAATCCACCCTCAATACCCCAGTCAAACCACCCTCCAGGAATGATGGCCGTCCAGGAGAGGATGCAACCAGGCGCCGATGTGAGCTCTTCAAGCTCCTTTTGAGCCTTCCGCTTAGGCTCAAAGATGCCTACTTCTTCAGCGTGAGCTGAGAAGGAATCAGTGCTGAATTCAGGCGTAATCAGACGTTGCACGCCAGCAGCCAGAGCGGCTCGCACGATAATGCTTTGGTGCTCAGCTGCTGCAGGATTGAATGCTTCGACAAGAGCATCTTGGCCCTTCAGGGCCTCGGTAAGAGTCTCAAGATCATCGTACGAGGCCTTCTTGACGGCGACTCCTTCGGGATAGGTAGCGGTGCTTTCTGGTCGTGCAATGATTGTCACGACGAAGCCAGCAGAAAGCAAAGCTGGCACCGAAGTTTTGCCAACATTTCCAGTGGCCTGATGAATTTAGTTGTGTAAGTTGATTGGAATATTCCAGTGAAGATAATGGAAAACTTACTCCAAGAACTGCGACGTTCTTGATTGACGACATCTTTTCTGTGAAAGACTCAATAGCTCAAATGCTCTTTACTTCTGATGGTGTGTAAGTAAGTGGTTTCAATCAAGAAAAGAGGGAGATACATCAGGTTTTTATAGACATCCAGTCGACACAATTCCAACTCATCTACAACTCGCGTTCCAAAGGTGAGTACATCCATATGGACAAACAGTGATGCCTCTCATACTGCAGCGCAACTTCTGATTGGATGGCACTATCATCGGAAATCTCAAAACGGATTTACAGAATTGGCGCTAATGCATCGGCCGAACCCTGCTCATGATTTATAATTTGCCTAGTTCCGTGAGTTGGCCCAAGGTTAAACGTCCGGCCCCACGGCAGCAACGTCTCGGGAGCTTTATTATAGCTTACATGCCCCATTAACAGAATCTCTCTTTTGTACAAGTATCTTCGAGGTCATCACATTACAGGTATCCGCGGAGAATTGACTTGAATGCTACAGCACGATTGTGTCTGAATTGATAGCTACAAGACCATGCAGGCAGCGGCTTCTACATCGGACTACATGACTCTACATATTCCGCCGCAGTTTCCAGTCTTCGGCAGAGCGGCTGGGGTTTGCCATCAATGCAAAAGAGCCAAGACCCGCTGCGACAGAGCTCTTCCTGCCTGCAATCGATGCATACTGTATGTATTCTTCATATCTCGACACAGTGTTACTGTGGGCCGGCCTTCCATACTCATGTTTGGTTAGGAAAAAGACTCGCTGTGTGTATGGGCGCCAAATATCCGCCAACAACTCCGCTGGCGGACTTTGCTCCGGAGAAGGAGAAGATGTCATGCCATCTAAAGATATTCGGGCATGCTGTCTCGCTAAAGTACCTCTTGACATGTGCTACAAGCTCGTTGGGATGATCTCAGTGGCCCTCCTTAGTGGCGTTGATGATGCTGAGCAAGAAGCATCGCTTCTTCGTATGACACTTAAGTCAGCAGGATTGACCGCCACGTCTGTTGCTCAAACTTACAAGGATACGATTCATAATTGGTTTCCGATTATGACCGATGATCAAATCGATCAACTTGTGGAATATTATGCTTGGGGACAATGTCGTGGCATTGACGGAATGCTCCTTTTATCCATGGCACTGATATCTCAACCACCTTGCGAAAATTGTGACCTTACTATGCACAGCAATTTATACCAAACAGTAAAGCAGTCGTTTCTGCTTCTACAAACTACTGCAAAGTCATATTTAAAGGTTCTGCAGATCGGGCTTTTACTATCACTGTTCGAATACGGCCATGGCCTTGACCGAGAGTCTGAATTGACAATTGCTGGCTGTGCCGTCATTTGCAAACTAAACAATATGGGTTCTATTGCCCAGAGTAAAGATAACACAGGAATAGGCATAGATGCCACCTGCCGGAAAGCAGTCATTATTATGGACTGGTTTGTGCTCTATAGACATCTCCATCTCCGAACGAAAGCCTATGACTGATATATGGACAACAGTCTGGTAAAATTACCAAAATATTCGAAGGGCGAACAAACGCCGAGCGATAGTGGCTCAAATTTAGTAACAGCAGATGCACATCTGGATGGTAAAAAGATCAAGGAAAGCTGTGGCTCGTCGTCCAACTTTGAGATGCTCTTCCAAGTTGCAGGAGTCGTCCGAGATGCAACACAGTATATCAAAGATGAGAAAGCATCCAAGTCTTCTCCAAATTTGTATCCCGTGGTAGAATCAAGGCTTCGAAGTCTCTGCTATGCTCTGATCCAAGCCGCAGGTCCCAATTCTCTCGTATTCTGCGACAGCATTGCGCTCGCACTTAGGTACGTTACCACGAGATCGATTACCGAACAACGTTATGAAGCTGACCATTTATATCTAGCTTCCTATTTGAACTCAATGCATTCCATTTGACGAAATCCCAAGAATCCGTTAGTGCGGCGGATAGACTCGCCATAGAGTCATCCCGTCGAATGGCGGTTGATATATGCAAGTCCATGAACGAGATAGTGCCAAAGAAAGGAGTCAAAGGACTTTCTCTCATTGGACTTTCAACCACATGCCGTGCCGCTCAATTACTGGCTAGAAATACGCCCAGCTTGTGTGGAGAGGGGATGTTTACCATTCCGGATCTCGAAGCTCTGGATCGCGCACAACACGAATTTACGCAAAGGTGGCGGGTGGGAGGTAAGCTTGGGACATATTTCTACATATAATATGCTCGTTTCCTCACAAATTTCTAATTACGATATTTAGCAACATACAAAGAGTCAGCAGTATAGCAGAACAGATTGATTGCGAAAGCTTCTTTACCAACAACTATAATGTTCATAGATCTTCTTTTTGGCATCATTTTAACAACACGGTCAATAGCAATGGGCGCTCAACGTATAATTATTGAACTTTCGAACTCTGCAATTAATTAAAACGATTAATAGTCTAATACAAACTCTTGCATACGAGCTAATACCGATTGAACTGAACAATTTAATACACTCTCATGCCGGGAACCTGAGTGGGCCATGCAACTTCCCATCAAGTCCTAGAGTATCTCGAATCGTACTCGCACACGAAGCCAGCCAGTCTTTGATCTTTTCCCAAATCTTATTGAGCCCTGTTGTCAGCCACGAGACAACTGTGTTCAACCAACCAAAGATGGACCCCCATGGAATGAAGTAAACAGCCGCCGCTACACCTGGCGCAACCAGCATTGCGCTCCCCGCTGAGAGGGCAGTCATGGAAGCTGCTGTCGCTGTGCTAAGAGCATACCCAATAAACTTGTACTGCACAAATATGCCTTCCGCGGACATTTTAACGAGCCCGGTTGAAGCAAGCTTACCGGCACTAGCAAGAATGCCAACAATCGCGGAAATCGGGGCTCGGAAGTCGTCCCACCAACTTCCCTCCATTTTCACTCTGTCCATCTTTTCAATGTGTGCGCGAAGCTTGTTTCGATCAAAATCAGAGATAGCAGAAGCAGTTTTAGTTAGCTGTCCCAATTGACCGATATGAGAGCCGAGGTTCAACACGACACCAGGTCCAAGCCAGAGTTTGGCTTCATGATACATTGCCTCCCAAGATCGAACGGCCTGTTCGTGGAATGTCGAATAGCCATCGACATGAAGGTATTCGTTGGGGTTGTCATTGATTGCACATCGATATACCTTCAAGTCCATGATGCTGAACCCAACGTCGAAATATAGGTGGGTGATAAATCCACTTGTAATGATCACAAGATTGTCATATAGTTTGGATTCCTCAACGGCAGCAATCACCGCGTTGAGCCTAATGTCGTCTGTCGCTCCGATATCAAAATCTAGGTGTCATAGACTGTTAGTTATAGTATGAGACTGCATAATTGCCAATTCTCATGAGAGCACTACTTTTCACCCGTTGGAAAACCTTGTCTTGCTTCTTCTGGTTTATCTTATTCGTCAAGCCTTCGATGGCGCCGTGGCGACAAACAATAACTACAAATGTATTGGGATTAAATTCCAGCTGCTTGACATAGTTGACCAATAATTCGATTTCTCGACTCAGGCTCGAGCCGTTCCGCGGCCTGAATTCCTCGTGTGCAGATAATTGTGTCATGATGGAATAATTGCGAGAAAATTTGTCTATGAGAATGTAGCAAGAAGATAAGATAAATTTCAACGCTCTATTGTATATGAAAGATCTACAAGCGCCCTTCAATTAAAGTGTATATGTAAAAATAAACGTGGAAAGGTGAGAAGGAAGATGCGGAGAGGGTATTTATACAAATACACTTCAGCTGCGAGGGTAAACATGTCTTAAATTCATCCCTTGCGGAGCTGTCGTCCATGGTCATACGGCATAATGTTGACGTCAGTATACAGATCGTCAGTCGAATCAAATCACACGAAATTAACCGGTGAAGGCAAGCCAAGTCAGCATAACTTTAAATGTATTGGAAATAAACATCCGTTTCACCACAGCTATATATGTAGACCAGTCGCCGTCTGACAAGGAACAAACTTTGTTTGGTGAAGTTGGGCGGCCCACGAAGGGAGTGGACGCCAGAGACAAATGTGTCGGTGAGAGTGTCTTATCCTGACATTAATGCAAGGGAGGAATTGCTATCCGATGAAGCAACGAGCTATTGCACTTAAGCGAGAGGCAGCTGAACACATTTTTGTTTCGAAACGAACATATGGGCTGATTGATGAGAAAGGCTATCAGATGAATCGGGCTCTTTCTTTGGATTGACCTCAACCTACTAGCGAATACAGTAAGAATTAGTCAACAGGATTATTTGCAACTGCTCAAAAGCAAAATGTAAACATTTAAAAAAAAGGAATAGATGAGAAAAGGGCCTGAGATTAAAGGTAGCCTGTAAAAGTTCAGACCTAAGAGACAGATTTCACATCTTGCAGCGAAGATATTTCATTGTTCGCCAAAGAGTGCAGATCGCCGCCGGGTTTCACATAGCTGATCTATCTATTAACTTGCTAAAATTAGAAGAAGATCCTATCAAGGGAAATAAAACTGTATATCAACCCGTTCCTGGAAAATTGGAGCAAAAATAGTCCGTGTGATCATATTATCCGAACCTAGCACACCACCCGAATCTCAGTAGTGCATGTATACTTCCTCATTCGGGTCTGAGTCTGAGCATACATTGCTTTTTAAAAGTAGCAACTTGAAAGTTGTCTTCTACATTCATAGCCGTAGACATCAGACACTTCATGTTGATTTCACACAGGTATTATTCCACCAGTTACACTGTCTCAAGGTCTCAGAATTGTTGAATTATTACTCAGATAGATCTATGTGTGAGCCCAAAAATTAACTATCCAATGGCTCTCTCTACGGGCTGTTTGTTCATTGTAGTCACCGCGCTCTACCTGAACTACCTATTCAATCAAATCACGATATCCATATTCATTTTGAACCCAAGCTCATGAAGTATTCCAACATCCTGGGGTAATCTGGAGTACCCAAGCCTGTTACCGGATCCCAGCCCTTGGCGGCCAAAAAGCCAGGCGTACCACAGCCAGATGAGTTACCCACTGTGACATCGTTTAGGACGCTGGGATTAGCATACAAGGCTGGGGTTACAAAGCCGAGGGTTGGCATGCCCGCCTTCAATCGCTCAGTATTAATTCGAGTGAGAATGCCGGCAACAATCGGGGCAGCTGCTGATGTACCGCCTCCGATAAAGACGTCGTTGAAATCAACCGTGATGACACGATAACCAACTGCTGAGACATCAGGGAATCCGCGGCCTCCACGATTGAAGACGCCGCCGCCTGCGCCAATGTTCTTGCCCTCCGAGGTGTTGTAGTACTTGTACGGCGTTGGGTTTTCATCAAAGTACTTGTCAACGGCACTCTTTTGCCAGTCAGGGGTAGGGTAAATATTTGAGAATCCACCACTGGAGAATAAATCGCTGGTAGCAATCTCATTACCCTCTTTACCGTCGCTATGACCTGGAGCCAGCTGGGTTGAGCCAACAGCCAGCACATATGGGCAATTGGTGAGTGTCAACGGATTGAAAATGGTAAAATTACCGTTTGCGTCTTCAATACAGTCGCCTCCGTTGCCAGCAACGCCAGAGTCGCCTGTTGCCCCGACTATCGTCACACCTTGTAGACTGAGCTTCATCCACTCACTGCACTGGCGTCGGTCATAGTTCACGCTTCGCTGTTGTTCCTCTGGGCTGTAGGAGATGGAAATGACGTTTGTAGGTTTGAACAGACCGCACATCCTCTCCCCCTGATAACCGTTCGGGTCTGGGTAGGTTGGGTCGTACTCGGGGCTATCACCCGTAATGTTGAAAGCGGTATGGTTGCAATAACTACCATCAAGAGCATCGAGGAAGGTGTTGAAATAACCTTGGGTCAAGTTTACTTGATAATTGAGGTCATCGACGTTGTAAATATGAATATTTTGGGGGTATACAATGGGGTAGGCGCAGGTTATATCTAGCATGGCTTCGAGGTCGCCTGTAACGTGGGGGGTATCCTGATCGCTGAATCTCTGAGCACCATCAATTGCAGTAAACAGAGGCGTAGTGTTGGTAGGAATATGTCTAAAGTAGACGTCAGTTGTTTTCTCCCATGCCGCAAAATGCCGAAGTAGCTTACGTTGCGAATTTCTCAAAAAAGATGCTCAATCCGGTTTGGTTGTATGGCTGTCGCTCGTAGATGCCCAGTTCATTACCCTCGACGGCATCATCAAAGATAGGTATGTTGTACATGTTACGGATACAACGGGGTGTGATGTAATCGTTGCAATCGCTTGTGACATCTTGGCCACCTAACGGGGCCGCGGGGATCACATCATCCTTCTTAGTATTGACCTCCCGACGAACCCGCCGCTTCTCAACATCACTGGCAATCTGTAGCCTTGTAATGGCTGGGGTAATGTAGTCAATATGGTCCAAAAGATCAGCCGGGATCGAGTATTCGTCTGTCCCAACTTGACGAATACCAGTCTTCTGGTTCTCATATATGTCGTAGGTTGCATTAATGAGCTTCTCGAGCTCCCCTACAGTAGCATGAAATTGTACCCATTGGCGATTGTCTGATCGATACACGCGGTCCAACTCGATGCCCTCAGCTTTGAGCCAACTGTGGACCGCATCCACGCTGTCATCGTGAGGTGCAAACAAATCGTTCACCTCATCTCGGGTCATATGCTGGCCATAGTTGGGCGAGTCAGGGTTAGACCTTAAGGGGGGTCAGCCATGTAATAGTCCGTGGGTTAGATCATCGCGTACCTTTCCATGAGCAGCTGGTGACCAAGATCGAGATTCCTCTGAGTCAGGCCAATGCTTACAGGCAGATGGCCATTGCGATTGATACTTCCTATCTTAACCCATTCACCCGTAGACTCTACTGAACGCTCGTGGATGACATGTTCAGCTAACGAAGTCCCAACGAAGACCACTGCTGCAGAGCAGAAAAGTGTCCAAGACGTGTGTGATGAACGCATGTTTCCGTTAATATTTTGAAAAGTGTTTTGAACGTTATAGAACAACAATTGAAGAAAAAACAGCGATTAAAGCACAAAGATATATAAGAAATCAATTAACCCAGATATTAGACCATTCATTTAGCACACATGTAGCCATAGTAGCAATCACCTAGCACAGCCTCCTCCAGTTCTGCATAGAGCAGGGCTCCCCAGCATTAAGACTCTCGTATCGGGCGATATGATATGTAAACATGAAACATGAAACAACCATCGTGCATACAATATGGATCCAGTCTACACACTGTGTGAGGTGTTGAATCAAACCCTGTGAGAACAAGGGCTCTCTGGAAAGTTATCTCTCAGAGAAATGCTTGAACCGGCACCCCGCTTAACGTTCCGGAATTCCGAGTCTTGCCGCCGGTTATCAAGGGGACCAATGGTTTCAAGTATTCGAAATAGGCTCAAGACCCCGGGATAATGACTCTAACTCTACGTGTCATGGTGTCTAACTGTAAGCATCATACCTTGCTATAGACGCAAATAAGGCGGTCAACTTGAATGCTGGTCCCGTCTTTAGACCTCACAAAGGACCACCAGGGTGAACTTTCACAACACGTTGATGATACCAATAGCAAGCGAGAGCAGAATGCTTACAAGTAATTTGCTGATTCTCATCCCATATAAGATTCCATATTTTTCTCAAATCAATAGGAAGCATGCGTTGTGTTTCATATTTCTCATTGGACGAAGTCTATTAGGGTCTATTATTTAATTTGTATGCCCTAGAATCAAACGATCAGGGGCAAGCAGGCTATGCTGCAAGCTTCGTTGACAACTGACAGACACGGTCTTAATTCATACCGTGCGGCATGTTTCCCCCCAATCAAAGAAGAGCCTGTTTATCTTTTGATATTAGCCGTTATACACTACTAGGAAGTTGTTCGTATCCGAATTTAGAAGGTAAGGGAACTTTTGGAGAACAGCTCTTGAATTCATGAGAGAGAAAAAATGACCAAAATTGAGACTGGATGGTATATAAAATGCATTGTTTGGATACTCTGAAAGTTCTTGGCACACAACTCTGAAGTCAACAACATTCAACTAAACTTACAATGAAGAGACCAGCTACTCTTACTGCTGTAGCAGTTCTGCTCAGCGTAGCTGTAGCTCGTGTGGTACCATCAAGTCATGTACGGCATGAGGTACGTGACGGGCTCTTGAACTCTCATTGGACAAAGAAGAATCGCATTGAAGGAGCGACCACAGTTCCAGTGCGAGTTGGCCTGACCCAAAGCAACCTCGATATTGGCGAAGCTTTGTTGATGAATATATCTCATCCCAACTCAGAGCACTATGGAAAACATCTCTCAGCGTCTGAAGTGGACGAAATGTTTGCGCCGTCAAAGAAGAGGATAGATGCTGTTACTAAGTGGCTCAAATCGGCTTTAAGCGACAGAGTGATCAATCTATCTCGAAGTCGCCAATTCCTGGAACTCAATGCCACGGTTGCAGAACTTCAGGATCTCCTTCATACCGATTATCACGAGTATACGAGCAAAATATCAGGCAGGGCTGCTCTTGGCTGCCAAGAATATCACATTCCATTACAACTTCGGGATGACATCGACTTCATCACACCTGGTGTTATGATGCTCGAGATTAGGAAGAGGGACGAGACATCCGTTCGCAGTTTTGGTCCAATGGTGCCTAAACTGACACCTACACTGACTATGCGACCGGAACATCCCGGTGACCTTTCGAACTGCTCCTCTATGGTCACCCCTGAGTGTGTCCGCGCGATGTATAACGTAGCAGATAAGCCCAAGGGGCACCCAAATAATTCAATCGGCATCTACTCAACACAAGGGCAGCAGTACAGTCCAGACAGCCTCAGCATTTTCCTTAAGCTTTTTGCACCTGAGATACCACAAGGCACACAGCCAGAGTTTCAAGGCGTCGATGGGGCGCCTACACCCACTCCGCTACCGTATGACGCTGCAGAGGAGGCCGATCTTGACTTTCAAGCGGCCTACCCCCTTGCTTACCCAGCCAAGGTGGTTAATTACCTAGTTGATGATTTCTATTATGAGGCTGGCGGTGGTGGCGTTAGCGGTCTCTTTAACACCTTCCTCGACGCTCTTGATAAGTCATACTGTACATACTCTGCGTACGGTGAGACGGGCGACCTTCCAGGTGTTGACCCAACTTACCCGGACACGAGTGAAGGTGGCTACGACCAGCCGGAACAGTGTGGTGCCTACACTCCAACCAATGTTATCTCAATCTCTTACGGTGAAGATGGGGGGAGCCTGCCGATGAACTACCAGCGACGACAGTGCAATGAGTGGATGAAGTTGGGCTTACAGGGCGTTACTGTCATCGTAGCTTCAGGAGACGGAGGTGTGGGTGGCTTTGGCGGCTCTCAATGCTCCGATGGACCCTTCGTCACGATACAACCGGCAGACTGCCCTTATGTTACCGCTGTTGGAGCGACGAATCTCACAACTAGTAGTATTCGTGGTAGCGTGAAGTTCTCAGAGAAGGCGGCAGGTTTCAGTGGAGGCGGCTTCTCCAATATCTTTGGGACACCATCTTACCAAGCCAACACCGTCAACTCATACTTTAGCAATCACCCGCCACCTTACGACTACTATAACATCACGCTCAATGCTACACACACGACGGGCCGGTATAACCGTGGTGGTCGTGGCTATCCCGATGTTTCTGCCATAGGAGTGAACTTTGCTACATGGGTTGGAGTTAATGATGGTATCACGCTGGCAGCAGGGACGTCTGCATCCGCTCCTGTGTTTGCAGGCCTTATTACACGCATCAATTCGTTCCGCTTGAATGCGGGCAAGAAGCCTGTTGGGTTCATCAACCCGATGTTATATCAACACCCCGAAGCATTTAACGATATCACGACTGGCCATAGTTCGGGCTGTAGTACTGATGGATTTAGTGCTGTCGAGGGCTGGGATCCGATAACCGGCATGGGAACGCCCAACTACCCCAAGCTGAAAGAAGTTTTTTTGAATATGCCATAGAAAATCTGGCCTACTTTGGGTACCTTTCAGCTCGTCACCTTCGAACACGGTGTAGGTTAAAGAAACACCAAAGATAGTAGAAGTAAAGAGCTGTTAGAACAAATAAAAAAGGTCATCGATATAAGCGATTTGTGATATGCTAAAAAGTGAACATACTCGTTTCTTCATAGCTTGCTGGAAATAGCCTTGTTTAGTATAACTGCTTGCACTGCTCAAGGTCAAGGCTACCCGCTTTTGAGAGGTAGCATTTGTAAAAATAGCAATACATCTTAATGATGAATACTGGGTCCGATGGGCATGTCGCCTTTAATTTTTTACAGATCCGGAATCAAAGCGTCAATATGCTTAATTTGTTCCAGCCCAGATGTAACAGAACAACTTCAATTTCTCTACAGGCCTACATTGTCTCAGGAAAAGAAAAGGAAGCTGTGCAAGGCATGGTAGTAATATCGATCTATCACTGCCAAATGCACGATGGATGTAACAATTGGGTAGCATTTGTCCCAAAATATGGGGGCTACTGTAAGTTACAATACGAGAATCAGAAATCGCTGAGGAAAGTTAGTGCGTGTTTCAAAGCGAGCATATTACAAAAGTTCTTCCCAGATCGCAGGGGTTAGACATGAAAGCTCCTGCTATTCGATGTACATTTCAAGCCCTACCGAGTTGCCCTGTGCCATCAGACAATCTGGGGTGGTTGATAATTTGTCTCTGTCACGTCACATGCCGTATTACTATTCTCATGGCCCACTTTGCTGTTCTCTTACAACATTTTTCCTACAAAGAAGAATTGACAAATAATCCTTCTCTAAACCACTGAAGCAAAATATTGAAGCTTTGCTCAAGAGGATACAGGAAGCCACATTACTGGCACGCTTTTCTATGTATCGACTCTATTCGGCAGGCAACTGGCGTGCATCGGGAGTTGGCATCGGCAATTCGTTCTCGCTTAGCAGTCGAAAGAGGAACCTGGTTGGGCAGTGCCTTTTGAAGCCGTATTTCTTTAGTCAACTCTGTTGTCAAATCTTGAAGTAGTTAATTCTTCCAATTAGATCCTTCAAGTCAGCTTTCAAACTCCGCTCTAAATACAGGTATACGGCACAACATTCCGTCCGCTACAACATATTTAGCAGCTGGGATAAATAGACAAATACCCGCTGCCGAGGTACCTAGGTAGGTAAGCTTACTGCAGCATAGGGGTATGCATGTTCGTGTTCGTGTGAGTGAGTGAACGAAATAGGAAGGCAGATCTAGCTAAGCAGTCGGGTTAGAACCGAATATTGAGTCCTGTTAGTCAGATGAGTAAAACAACTATGACAAAAAATATTCGATCGCGGATAGCAGCTGGAGTTATTGAAAAGAGAGAATGTTGGGTTGTTTAGTGTAAACTAGATGATTTTTCATCATGAGCGGTTCTGTAAGATGTTTTGCACCGTTAGGAAAGGTTGACTATTGAAGATCGATGGACCATAAGTTATTAGGTTACGTACTACATGTATGCTTAAAGATCGCGCCGGTCGCTTTCCGCGAGCACGGGACGACACATCAACCAGGAAAGATTACCAGATATGGAAAGAGACTGGGAATCGGCTGATACCCGATACCCCTTGGAAAGAGGCCCAACAATTTGTAAGAACGTTGTAAACATATGCGGTCTTATACCGCAAAAAACCAAGCCCACCAATAATACCGTCTTAACTCAGTCGGCCCGGGTCGTCGGGCCAATGCCGATCCCTCCATTATGTGTTGGTTGATGCTAATTAATTCGTACAACCGTTCTGGGATACGCATACTAAGTTCAAAATGCAGGCGTCAGATAATATAGAAACCATTTCTTTTGAGAGTATCTAATACTTTAGGAGATTCTGATTGCTGAAATCTGGTGGAGAGGTCATTATGATAATCGCTACTTGGTCAAAGCTGAGAGCAGACGTGCTGAGAGACATGTTTTGCGGAAAGCTGCTACTCCCCGAACATACGCACCCGTAGATGAAAATGGAGTGGATAGCCGGATTTAAGAAAGAACAAGCCCCCCTAGTTATCGGAAGTCGGTGAGCCAACTAGTAATGGAAGTGTCATTGGTGATGTGATCAGCTATAGAAGTGGTCAGCCGTGGAGGTGGTCAGCCATAACAGAGTCCCCGGTAGTGGTTCGATGCAAGGTACCTACATGGATTAACTCGAGCCAATGAAGCGAGTCATGAAGAAGGCTGAGTGGTTCCTGAGATGATCTGGTTAGGAGTGTATCACAGATTGCAAAACTTATAAATACTCGTCTAAATCCCCTCGATCATTGAACTTTTAGAATATATCTAAATCAAGCCTCTAAATAACAATCTTCAACTCTCAATAAATTGAACAACTCACCAGCCAACCGACAACATGAAGGTCTACGCCGCTCTCCTTGCTCTTACTGCCGCTCTGGCCAGCGCTTGCAACACCTGCAACGTAAGTCTCACATAGTTTCTTTCTATTACTCATTACTTGTTTTCTGTTATTGACAATTATGAAGGACTGCCCTGGTGACCAAGTTTGCAACCACTTTGGAGGATTTGGAGTTACTCCCACTACTTTCTGTGTTGAGCCCAGCGACCCTAGCTGCAACGACCCCCGTGGCAACTGCGATACCGCTGCCTGCAATTAATGTCTATCTTGATGGAATGGGATTAAGGCCAATCTGGTATTCATAAATTAATCATAATTCATGATTCATGAGCATGTAAATATGGGTTTATATGAATAAAGGGCGAATTCAACGTTAAGATGCATAGTGGTTGTTCATAGAGGAGTGATAGGTTATGATTCCGTGTCCCTTACACATAATGCAGTTAAAAAGAGTCGTGTTGTTTCTATTTGTTGAAAAAGCGATCGCTGAATGACTAACTGTGAACTATCGAGGTAGTTACAGGATTGGAATACGAAGACAAGCAAGAAAAGATCCAAAACGCCACATGCTTCGCATATCAGGATATTTTCCTCCCTATCACCTCGTTCCACTTCTTAAACTTGGACTTGCTAAGCATACCGTCGTGTCCTTCGCCCTCCTCGCCCCATGCGTCCTTTGTTTCAGCTATACCCTTGGCAATCCAGCTGCCCTGCGCCATAAACTGATTCCATATCAAAGCTGAATCTTTGTAAGGGGCCATCTCTTCTTTTAGGTTGAGAATGCGATGTGCAATATCCTGTGCCTCAACTTCCAAGTCATGAAACTTTGCTGGAGCAATGGCATACAAGAGTCGTGACTTGATCATTCGACAGACTGCGTATGTTCCTCGTAAAGCCAGACGCGTTAGACACCAGGGGCCTAACTTCCTGTAGTCAAAGTCGCTTGGAAAGACTAGAACTCCATATTCATCTTCGCGAAAGCCACCGCTGGTTTGGATTATGGGGCGTTTCTTTATCAGACTTAGCCATATCACGAGATTTTTACGCTTTGCTAAGAGGCGCTCTGTGATATCGTCAATCTCTTTCTGTGAAGGCGGGCATGGCGAAAGCAACAACTCTGTTGTTCTTTTGAACAATCTCGGCATCTCAATGAGGCCACCCCATAGAGCGAGGGCAAACTCCTTGTCGTTCGTAAGAGTCACGTCTTCACTAACAGCCTCTCGAATGACGGCTTGCCACCGGGATTCTTCCAGAAAGCAAGGTGTATTATTCAAGAATGCTGACATCACCTGAGAGGGAAAAAAAGGAATTAGTTTACTAATCAGGGGTTTTCTTTGAGAACTTGAATCTCCTTACCGTCGGCCCGATATGCGCTAGGAATAAAGCCTTTTCGAATTCTGTATTGAACATATGGGCGCCTCGAGCCTCTACTAGCCGAGCTGCACCGCCAACGTGGTGCATCCAAGAATCTTCCCTGTTATCTCCATTGAGAGCCTAGGGAAAAGGAACAACTAGTCAGCTCAACATTGGCCATGATGAGACTCTCATTGCTCTACAAGTGCCACGAACCTCGAATATGCTCAATAGCTGTGTGGCACATAGCGTCTCCGGTTTTGCCCACTCGCGCTCATCGAGCAAGGCATGTTGTAGCGCTTTAAGTGCCTTTTGATAGTGCATCAGCGCCTTCAAATCGCCTTTGGGCGATCTATCCTCCTCTCGCTGGGATAGGTACTGAAGTTTTGCAATGACACAATCGGTTGCGTGGCGGAGCAGTGTTACGTGCCCATATCGACTGGGTATAAATGACAAGAGCCTCTGACTCGAGACTTGCGCTGCGATGATGCGATCTTTGGGCTGTGTTGGTTCGTATAAATAGTGAGAGAGGGTGCCGACACCAAGGCGGAGGCCGGTTAGCGGCATGAGATTAAGAAGAACAGAGAATTGCTTTGGCATCATCGGATCTTGGAAAGCAAAAGGCATGGAAAGGGATGGAGGCTGGTAAAATCGCTGCAATTGATCCAGATCCGAGGCATCGTCAAGAGCCTCGGGATCGTCAAGCAATGGCTTGGGTCCCACAAACATGGGATACTGCCTCATGTTGTGCTTGCCATAGTCTCCTCTCTGTCTCCGGGCCATGGCGGTGTCTTTCATTGCCTGCTGCCGGATGCGCCGCCGGACCTGCGCATCAGTGGCGAGGTTTGGTCCATCATAGTTGACGAAGGAGAATGACTTGGACGAGGCCTTCTGAGGCATCCTGTTTGTCTGTCTGTCTGTTTGTCTGTCTGTTCTGTCTGGTTGCGGCTTCACGTCCCTTGATGGCTGAAAAGCGGATACTGACTGAAGCGGGAGTGGGTTGATCAAGGATCAGTAGCTCAGATGTGCTTCTTTACACGAATCAACAGCTTTTAGGGCAATGTTGCAATTCGTACGCAAGGTTCATTGTTGGCTGGAAATGGGCGGAAGGGCGCTCAAAGGGATTGACTGATGGCTTGATTACTATTCACAATTTCGAATTGAGTCTAGGCCATCGACAAACCTCCGACAAATGCACAAATGCGCCACATTAGGAATAACTATGGTCTTAGTGTAATGCAAAAGGCTGGAAGCCATTCTGCGTGTCTATCAAATTATTGGGTTTGTTACAAAGGACATCCATGTCAAGCATGTGTAAGTCGGGAGTCTCCAGATGGGCGGCAAGGCTAGAGCGGAATGTGGGTTTGAATCAGAAACACATATTGTATATTACCTACATTCAATTCTGCGTACAGTACAGCAATACAGTAATATACTGGATAATTTACACGGTAGAATCCTGTAATCTACAATACAACTTGCACAGTCTCTGGTTTGCTGGCCTAAGCGGATAACACATGCTGCCAGACTCATCCTCAGCCATCACATCCATGCTGTTAATCTCGCTCACGAGGTCCGTATGGAATGGCTCTGGAGGATGGCTCCAGACGTGGGTGACCGCATCGGACACGCATTCGATCTGAATCGCTCGAAACCGCTTTGCTGCTGCAGTGCGCATTAGGTGGTGCGCCAACGATTTCATGATGCCCTTGCCCTCATATTCCTGCCGCGTGCTCGTCGCAGCCCGAAACAATACTTGACCCGGACCAGTGGCTTTCCAGGAACTGTTCCGTTGATCGTCTGCTTGCAAGGCACCCATGGCAGATCCAAAGCCGGGGAGAGCTGCCATCATATCCATCAGTCTTTCGGGATTCAGCGGATCGAAGCTATCATATGCCATAGCGACTGACACAAGAGGGAAATCCATCTGATCAAGCAGCTTGGTAACGCTAGCAGTCTCGTCATCAACGTTCCAGTAGAGTTTTCCTGAAGTAGTGGCTGATTCTGGTCGTTTGAACTCGTATTCTTTGTCAAACACTCCCAATGAGTGGCCGGATTCAATCTGATGCTGTATCAGATACGCCATGCTTTTGTAGACTTTGTAGGCACGTCGTGTCAAATCTTCTGGACATGAGGCTGTCCATACTTTTGTCTGATAGACGTTGCTAAGAGCTACAATGGCCTGGGCCCAGTTACAATGTTTTAGCTCGAGCGGCCGAATCTCATAACGAGACGAGAGGGTTGGTACTGATGCCATGAGGGCGTTATCATTTGCCATTGTCCAACAACTATGAATTAAGAGGATGACCAGGACCAAAATATGGGATCGCATTTGTGTATAAATATGGCCTGGATGTGCGATGATGGATTGCCGGATACCCGATGAACGGCTATTTGCTATGCAGTCTACATACAGGTACATAGCATGCAATGAGTCTAGATACTCTACAGCACTTATAGACTTGGAACGCAATAACAGCTGTTCAACTGTGCAGATTTACCATTTTGTAACCGTCTCTATCAATTCCGCCCGGTTACATTTTGACGAATTCTCTCTCTTCTCGTTGCCGGATCTGCCCTTAGCTACATGTACCCATGCAAGATACATTGCCACCCCACAAATGATGCATCGTAGACATCAAGATTTGCCTTCCAGTAGCACAACAGAATATTCCAGCGGCCTTTCAGTTTTCGAGCTAGCCCCCGCACTCCGGTTGACGAGAATGATTATATTCATCATTCCTTTTCTAGCTTGGCTTATGAGAAGGGAACGAGAATCCCCGACCTCGGCTTGCTCGGTTGTCGCCCCCATCGCTTAGTCATACGGAACTAGCTGCCCTCATATCGCCGTCTGGGGTTCGCGATAAGTCACAGCAATCCACTCTTCTGCTCCATAAAGTGATTGGATGGAGCTTCATCATCTCGCATCAGCAAAATCTGCGGCATCTCGGACCGTCACTGAACTGGTGTCATCGCCGTGACCCCTCATGGACATTCAGGAATCGTCAAAGCCAAGCCGTCATCTAGATAGAGAGAGGAAACGAGCCGCGCGCGCGTATGTTTGGTGCTGACCCGAGGACATGAAGGCTGTGTCTGACTCTATCTGTGTAGGTGTGATGGCTGTCGCCGCCAGAAGGAAAGATGTGATGGAGGCGTGCCCTGTCGGAGATGCTTCCGGCTAGGTCGCCAGTGCGATTTCTCAGGCAGGGCCGCAACTGAAGCGGATTCGCAGGCTGGCTCAGGAATGCGTCCTCCAAGGTAGAGCTTTCTATGAAATGATGCGGGAGAAGTCAAGACGAAGTGTTCTAACAGCCAAAGACCTCGCGCGCCTGATCATAGCTCCGCTGAACAAGCAAAGAGGCTCGAATATCTGGAGAAAATCGTCAAGGGTTACGTCGGAAGTAAGGATGCTTTGGATCTCGAAACCCTCAAGGGGTTAGCTCAAGCCGCAGAGAAACGTCGAAACTCCCCTCGACCGGCAGACACCTCCTCTCAGAGCTCTGAATTTGAGGGCGTGGATGAAAAGTTTGAGATACGGCCCCTCCACGGCAATGTCACGCGTACGAACTCGGTCTTGTCTATCTTACCGGCAAGTTGGATGCTAACCTTGGCTGTTAGATTATTCTGGAGAGTTTTCGCATTGGAACTTTTCAATGCGGATCAAGAAATGGATCGATCAGAGTGTTCCCAGCGACGCTTTAAATGTGAATGCTGACACCTGCTGATATCTTGCATTCAAGCTGACCAAGTTCTATAGCATTCATCCAAATCACCAACAACCTTTAAGGAGTACTACCGCGCTGAAGAGCTACAGTCACATTCAGATGCAATAGGTGCATTAGCACTTTTACCGCCGAGACCTATTGCCGACTTTCTCGTTTATTCCTTCTTCAAACATGCACAGACCAACTATTTCTTCGTTGAACAGAACTGGCTCAAAGCCAAGCTTGATCTTGCTTATGAAAATTCGGCAGCATTCTCTCGGCGGGATGTGGGGTCAGTGTGCATCCTCTTTGCCATTCTTGCCATTGGAACGCAATTCGCCTATCTCGAATCATTGGTTGATGGTGCCGAGAATCCCACGGAAAAGGGACCCGATGCATTTACCGAAGACTCCGTTGGGATACTATTCTATCAGCAGGCATGCCGACTGCTTCCAGATGTAATTACGGCCTCATCGCTGGAGAGTGTCCAAGCCTGTTTGTTACTCGGTATATATACGCTTCCAGTCGATGCATCTGGACTGGCATACATTTATCTCAATCTGGCCCTTAAGCTTGCGATACAGAACGGCATGCATAGAAAATACCCCGTCGAAAGTCGAGATGCGGACGTTGTTGAAACCAGGAATCGGGTTTGGTGGAGCGTATACACCATCGAAAAGTACGCTTTGCTTAATGATATCCGTTTTGCGCCGAGAAATGGGGAGACATGTTCAATAAGCTGACCAAAAATCTCTAGGCGTGTTGGAACTTTTCATGGCAGACCGACATCTATATCCAGTACTGATGTGGATGCTGACTTTCCCGTTCATCGTCCTGATCTATGGTCCTCGACCTCGCAAACCGATACTGCACACATCTTGGCAACTTTGGAGCTGAACCAGCAGCTGAGTAAAATGTCTCGTGAAATGTGAGCCCTTTCAAGATGACTTAGAATTAAATCAGATGGCTAATTGGTATTCTCTAGAGCAATCTTGAGATCGGTGCCTAAACATGAAGTACCGGAAGGGCTGAAAAGGCTCGCACAACTTCACCGTGAACTCAAGACGTGGTGGGATGCTCTGCCAAATGACATCTTTTGCAAAGAATTCACATCCCAGTCGAAAATTTCTCGCAAGCATATGCATCTACAGTTGGAATATTGCCTCGTTCGCATGTACGTTGGTCGCGTCTTCATCTTCCCCGAGGCAGTGCTGAGGGATGGCAGCAGCCCGTCCACGTCTGTGAACGCTCCCTCGAGTGCGTCTTTGAGCAAGAAAAGCACTCGTTCAACTCTGTTAGCGGACTGCATCGAAGCTGCCCTGTCAGTTATAGACACGTGTCGCTGCCTGCGAAATACGATTGGCCTTGCCCGAGCCTCTTACACCGAGTTCAGCTCTTGTCGGGCAGCTCTCCTCGTCATTACTACACAATGTCTTTCCCAGAAGACATACATGTTTAGACAGGCTTTGCGAGATGGCCTGTCGATGCTTAAGGAGATGTCAACTGGCAGCCAATCTACACAGTCCGAAGTCTCCTTGATTGAGGCTTTTGAACAAGCCATCGCCAACATGAATACGCAGGAGCAGACTACCAGCACTACAGTGAGCGAGTCCCAATACGCAAAGTTCAAAAAATGGGAGCAGCTGTGGAAGAGCGATTCACCTTTACCAGAAACAACAGATGGAGGTGCTCAAAAGAAACAAGTGCCAATGGCACCCCCGGCGTCAGAGCCACCGAAGCAAACAGGAGAACCACAGAAAGAAGATACCACGATGATGCCGTCAAGTACTCCCTTCTTCGGTGTCGACGGGCATTTTGCATCATTTCCGCAAAATCTGGATGATTTTTCAGCTTTCTTTGGGAATGAGTTTGGATCGAATATTGACTCTGGACATGGCTGAAAGATGTACAGGGTCAAGAAAGGGGCTGACCCTGAAGATCGATAAGGAGCACACTCTCTTATAACGGGTTTGTTCGCATTCTTCCAGTGGACGGATGATATGATATACCCATCGGTTCCACTTTTGGTGACAAACTTCGAATCAAAGGCGGAGCCAACGAGAGCATTGCAAGCACTGCATTTTGGTTCAATCAGAGGTCCATTGTCAATCTGCTCCAGGCTGGCTCCATGGCACAATTACAAAACTCGCAGCGACACAAGGCTATATAATTACTATGAGAGAGGAGGAGGCCGCCGGGTTCTCCTTGGGGGCCAACAACAATCCGACATTGTGTTTATCTTAAACATCTTTCAGCGCAAGTCAGGACAGGTCGGGGAGAGTCGGTCGATCCATTGCAGCGTCATGGTTTATGAGATGCTTCCGAGATATCTCACCAGCGATTTATTTTTATCCAAACGAAATTGAGAAGGCAAGATGCCATCGTCTTTCGCCAACGGGACCTTAACGGAGCCCGCCAGAACCTAATATACTATTATATAATTTGTCACGTCAATGTGCTTGCAGAAGTGACATCATGCCGGGATACAATCGAAAAAAAGGCTCTTGATCTAAGATTAGCTCCTGGGAAGGGGGGCCCCGGCGTGTTTGTTAAAAACAGGTCAATGCGTGAGCATCGCCTGGTGTGACAACCTTGCAAAGTCGGATCATCGCTGCCGGTTTGAAGAGGCAAAGCCTCGTATTTGGCAATCCATCATTTTGTTTTCTTTTGGCGTCTCCCGTGGCAGTTGCTTGTTTAGGACATCGCTCTGCCCACCCTTCTTCTTCGCCAATCGTGAAACCCTGCAACAAACCAGTCCAACGCCGTCTGTGCAGGCTGTTTGAAGGGTACAAATGCCCTGAACAAGGCGCCTAAAGAGCGTCTCATTGGCGCCTCAGCCGTGTCGCGGCGATGCTGTGCTTGGAATCTCCATACCAGAACGATCAGCTACTGCTGAAGCTACTCCAAAAACGTACGCCAGCGCGGGGTGAAACCAGGCACGCACAGCCTTCTATTGGCCTGACGATTTCGTTTCATTTCCCAGGGCTGCGGGGAATGCAAGTCTGAAACCTCCGTTGCACAGCCCTCTTGGCCGTGCGGAATGGCGATGCGGTTAATCTGTTTACTGGTAACAGACATGCGGACCTTGGCGGATCAACGCGCGCGGACTAGCAGCAGCCAATTGAGGGTGAGATATATACGAGTCCATGGCTCCAGGTGATGGCTCAAGGGATGTGATGTGATTTGTAGCTTCAAGTTTTTTCTGGCATCTTTCTCCCAATCAATACTTCTTTGAAACAAGCAGAGATAGTATCGAGATGACGCGTGACACAATGGCGACCACATTTAGACGCTCAATTGAGCAATTAGACGGCATCACCAAACTCCTCACGACGCGCTGCACAGATACCCAAGAGAGCAACACATGCGAGAAGCCCACCTCGCACACACAGATTGTGGTTGGAGTCGTCGTTGCAACAGGGTGAGGCCTCCCTTCTCATGAAGCCTCAAGTGGCATTTTTTCTTCTATCTCAATGGCAAGCTCGCTGACTCTTTTTTTTTCTTCATCGTGTTTTAGTCTTCTTATCTTGGGGTCGGCACTATTAGTTCTAGTCTGGTTGACTCTGAGACGGAGACAAATTGACAAACTCGAAGAAGCGACCGATCCATTCGAACTGGCCGCCTATGGCCTCGAGCAGACGCCAGTCCAGAAACAGAGGCGACGCGATCGCTTTAAGGCGATGTTGGGGAGAAGATGAAAGAGAATTTATCGCGACACGAGTTCTGGCAGTTATTCAACCTCTTGGGCCTTCCGCACAGAAACACAGAATGAAACAGCGAGGCAAAGAATCGGATACGAAGCTGAGAAACAAAACTTTGATGGTGTCGCTAGAAAAGCGCTACTTATATCCACGATAATATGGCACTGAGCGAGCGAACAAGTGTGCTTAATTCACTATTCACGCCGCGAGCCATTACTGCGAACCAGCTCAACAAGCCGACGATGCGCGCACATGTTTTTGCAAGTCGGCATTTTGATCTACATCATTGGAAGCAAAATCTTGGAGGAAACTGGAAAGGCGTACTGGAGTTTGCCGTTGCGGGTTTACGTACGGGTCCCACCGTTGCGATTAGGACTGGACGGATCGCCAGATCTAGCCAGGGTGGTTTATTTTTTTCTCTTCGCTTGCGCAGAGCAGACACGGGATGGCTGCCATTTATATTCTACATACGGATACCTTGGTTGTTTTTAGCGCTATTTTACTAATTCACTTTGTTTCTGCATACAACAGACCGATGCGGCTTGATTTTGTCATCAAGAAGAATACGCGCATGTTTAGCATCACGTCTGCCGAAGCTGTGAAGTCATGGCCAAATGGCAAATGTCAATTCGCTCTCCTATGGTAATAACGGCAGTTTAGCTTACTGCTCTGGCATCTACCAAGATTGTGAAGTTCTCTTGAGCGACAAGTGTGACTAATAATTAAGGAGTGAAATCGATCGCTAGGGATTGCTGAGAACTGTGACGATTGCGATTTCAGTATAACAGAGCCGACCTCTGAACATTGGCGACCTACGTGCCTAATCGAATCATCTGTGAAGCATTGTGTTAGTATTCTTGAGAAGATACACGTGTAATAACGTGTCAATGTCTTCTTAGTCGGCGCATCATCAAGATACATCGTGTCAACAGAGAACCGCTGTTTTCCCATCAGTATTCTTATCTTTGGATATCAAAATCGATCGATGCCGCAGCAGTAGCTGCTGGGCTCCACTCAAGATTTTGCCAATGTGATGCATCCCTCTTACACCCAACTCATTTCGCCTTCATCCTTATCGTACGAGTTGCTCAGCATTGGATGATCAATCTTTTATCTCATATAATCCAACATTCTCCAGTCCCCTAATCCGCCGATTCCGATATCGTCTTTTCCCTTTTACAATCTCGGCTTTGGACACCCGGAAGTTGGTTGTTCACGTGGGGCCGGCACGGGACCGGAACCGGGCCGGTCGTCTCTCTCCTCCAATATGCTTCTCTCCTGCTCTATCTCTAGTGTGGATTCCCCGCATCCGCCACTCTGTCAACCGGGAATCGCAGTTCCGGGGTATCAGGAATTTAACTATAAGAGCCTATCTTCCAAACCTTCTTTTTTTCCTTCTCCAAAAGTATCACCAACTCATACTCCAACGAAGCTGAAGCTCATCACATCAAGTTCTCTATACAATGTCTTCTGTTCGTGAAGTGAAAGTGACCACCGAGGTCCCTGGACCTCAGTCCAAGGCAGAGGCCGAGAAGCTGGGCTCATTCTTCGATAACCGAGCTTTTTACTTTGTTGCTGATTATGACAAGAGCTCAGGCAACTAGTATGATCATTCTTGTCATGCACTTGGAGAGAACGAGGAGGCTGACTTATATGTGAAGCATTGTCGATGTTGACGGCAACCAGTATCTTGATGTGTATGTTTGAGATGTCTCATGAAGTACATGCTCATATCATGGCTAACATCCTCAATCAGCTACTCTCAGATTGCCTCCATTCCTGTTGGCTACAACAACCCAACTCTCACCAAGGCCGCTCAGTCCCGTGAGATGATCTCTGCCCTGGTCAACCGTCCTGCTCTGGGCAACTTCCCCTCCAGCCACTGGCACGACTCACTCAAGAATGGTCTTCTCAAGGTCGCCCCTGAGGGATGTGACAAGATCTTCACTGCTCAGTCCGGCTCTGAGGCCAACGAGCTTGCCTTCAAGGCGGCCTTCATGCTGTACCGCCGCAAGCAGCGTGGTGAGGGTGTTGAATGGTCCGACCACGAAGTCAGCTCATGCCTCAACAACGCAAAGCCCGGTTCTCCCGAACTCGCCATCCTCAGCTTTGCCAACTCGTTCCACGGACGAGGATTCGGTAGTTTGTCTGCCACCCGATCAAAGGCTGTTCACAAGCTCGACATTCCCTCATTCAACTGGCCTCAGGCACCCTTCCCTGCCCTGAAGTATCCCCTTGACAAGTTCGCCACTGAGAACGCCGCTGAGGAGAAGCGATGCCTAGATAAGGTCGAGGAGCTCATCACCACATGGTTCGTTTAAGCCACTATCAGTGAAAATGGTCCAATTTCCACTGACACATTTTTGCATAGGCAATTCCCCGTCGCTGGTTTGATCGTTGAGCCCATTCAGAGTGAGGGTGGTGACAACCACGCCTCCCCTGCTTTCTTCCAGGGCCTTCGTGACATCACCCAGAAGCACAACGTCACCATGATCGTTGACGAGGTCCAGACTGGTACGTCGATCTCATCTAAACTGCCGCCCCAAATACGATGTCGCTAATGCATCATGCACAGGATTCGGCGCCACCGGCAAATTCTGGGGCCACCAGCACTGGAACCTGACTTCTCCTCCCGATATTGTCACTTTCTCTAAGAAGGCCCAGACTGCAGGTTACTACTTTGGTAACCCCAGATTGGTTCCTGACAAGGCTTACCGCCAGTTCAACACGTTAGTTGTGCCCGATTATGATGTGAATGCAAGTTTGCAATACTGAATATATGCGCTAACACTAAAAACTAGTTGGATCGGTGACCCAGCCCGTGTTCTCATGAGCAAGGCCGTTGTCGAGGAGATTCTTGCCCGCGATCTCGTCAGCCAAACCGTAAGCGAAGCAAATATTTCCCACTTCAAGCAACCCCCAAAGACTAACTAGATTGCCAGGCTCGCGTTGGTGTCGCCCTCTACAGCGAACTTGAGCGCCTCGCTGCCAAGTACCCCCAGCTTGTCAGGAACCTGCGCGGCAAGGGACAGGGGTAAGTTTATATAATGAGTCAATTGGCATAAAGGTATGCCTGCTAATGATGCTTTTCTAGAACATACATTGCTTTCGACACAACCGATCCGGCTAGCCTCGTCAAGAAGATGAAGAGCCTGGGCGTCAACATTGGCACATGCGGCACCCAGACGGTGCGACTCCGTCCCATGCTCATCTTTGAGGAAGCTCACAGTAAGTTCACCGATCAATTAGGCAATTTTATCGATTCTGTTCACTAACGGTTCTGCAGTTCCTTTCTTGATTTCCGCATTGGACAAGGCTCTTGGATCAGCATAGATTGAAAAAAAGTTGAAAACATTTTGGGAATCATAGGGGCGTTGTTTAATCAAGAGAAAGCGATATTTCATTTTAGTTGGGCTTTGTAGTATATATGGCATGGATTGGTTGGCATCATAGTTTGGCCCTGAAAAGAATAATCTTACGGTTTACATGTTTTATCTGCATCTTTCACATTACAGTATCGAGGGTATCTGATGGCGACATTCAATAATTGGGAAGCTTTTTGACGATAAGAGAAATCAAGTTAAAAGTTTTCTTACGCACCTCATGACCAACAGCTGCCTCCATCCTTCAGCGAGTCAGCCCAGATAACAAAATCCCAAAACCCCTGTGCCGAAGATTCTACTGTGCCGCCGTGTGGGGGAGATTTGCCACCACGTAATGGTTTGATCATGCGCATACAAATTCGCGCACTAGACCCCAGACCGATCACTATCTTATTCATATTAGCTGAACGAAATTGAGAAGTCCGTCACCGTCTCTCCTCCGGTGTCCGGCCCGGACGCTTGGACGCCGAAATCTTTTTAGGTCCCGAGTCAGATGTCAGTTTCCATCCCCGCAAATCTCTTGAGCCGAGAAGCATCGATTTCAGGGCATCTCCGGCTCGTTGCCGGTTCACGCGAGATAGCATCCGGTTCCGGAAGGCCGATGATGTTTTTTGCCCGAGGATAGCCAGCGACAAATACAATTCTTGACAGAACAACACATTCTGACTCTGTTGACATAATATCGGAAGAGACGAAACACATCAGCAGCTTGGTTTGGTTCAGCATGTATCATTTCCGCAAATCCACGTTCCATTGCAGCTGCGGACGGCAATATATGCAGTGCCATGCATCCGCATCTCATCTTATCCCATGAGAGGAAGAAGGGGTGAAAAGATGAATTATTTATTTGCTCTACACACTTCGCTTGCCCATTGACTCAAACGGAAGAATTACACTTAAAATTACAAGAAGTCCAAACAATGCTGCGCAAACAAACAAGGGAGCCGTCGTCTCTACGTTTGCATAGCTTCCAACCAAAACTCCCAGAATACCGCCGACTCTGTTGAGAACAACGCAGATGCCATAACCTGTGGCGCGATGGGCAGAGGGTAAAATCTCAGGAGTATATGCATAAATGGTTCCATAGTAAATGTTGCTACAACAGTAAAATGTCAGCCTTTATTCAACAATACCAAAGGGAAGAGGAGGCGTTGGGAAAGGACTCACGATGCCGCTGAAATGGCAGCTGAAACTCCAACATTCTGCGCTTCATTCTTGACCTGCGTATAGCCAAATTGGAGAACCATTGTCACCAGGGCTCCAATGGCGAGTGTGCCCCTACGCCCCAAGAACTTCGTCTCGACTAGAACAGCTGCTATGACTGGGCCGACGAGCCCTGCAACCTGGTTAATGGCATAGTCTCTCCACGTAAGATAAGTCGAGCTCTCGCCAAAATCGGCACCCCGAGACGCGAGATAAAACGGCAAGAAGACGCTATACAGGGGAGAGACCATTCCGATGACGAACCAGTTGGCAATGATGACGGTGGTGGACCAAGCGAGCTGCCGCGTCTGGAAAAGGCCCTTGAAGTGCATCTTGAGCCGAGTAGCAGACCAGGCCGATTCTTGAGTATGCAGAACGATACCCTCCGCCTGCAGCTGTTCAAGCGTCAGGCTATGCGATTTTCCGGCCTTCAGAGAAATGCCGTTGAGGGTCTTGATGACCTCTTCGTCACGGTTCTGGGCAATGAGCCATCGCGGCGTCTGCACCATGCGCACAAGGGCAAAGCGGGCAATGGCCATGATTAGGACAATGCCACCACAGGTGAAATGAAGGTATCTCCAGCCCATGTTATCGGCTCGACTACATGTTTCGGGCGTGGCATCGGGGGCGCAACTGAAGTTGCCCATGAAGGCCCAGGCAAGGAGGCCGGTGATGGTATATCCAACCGCCCACCAGACGGCCATGAACGTGACGAGCCAAGCATGGCTGGTGGGGAGGAACTCGAGGAAATTTGTTGCGTCGAGGATGTAGTTGCCGCCAGCACCTGCGGAATAGAGAGCCACACTGATTTATAGGTCACGATTAGTTATTATTTACGAATCATCTAACATGCAGATGCTTGAGAAGAAACTCACAGGGCAGAAAAGGAGATGTAAGAGGGCATGGCACCAGCAATCAGGACAAAGACGGCGCACGACATGAGACTTGTGTTAAATGCCAGCTTCCGACCGATGATGTCGGCAGTGAAACCCCAGAGACCAGCGCCGACGAGGAGTCCAATCTGCGAAGCCAAGGGGATGCCGGAAACATGAGCACTGGGGTTTCCATACTCCTGCTGTACGGCAGGATTTGCGATGGACTGGCAAACAACGAGAAGCTGTGCGCGAGGAGCGTTTCCAGCATGTCAGTTTACAACATGATTTTCTAGAGAATAACACAGCACAATGGGAATTGCATACCGAATCAACTGTATATCCGAAACCGTTGAGCCAGAATAGATTCCATTGGAAGCTGGTCATGCCGATCTCATCGATTGCCTGATTAACAAGCGCCATCTTCCTGGCCAAGACAGGATCAAATTGCTTAACGTCAAAGACTTCGCTGACGGAAGTAGAAGAAGCTTCATCTTGGTCATCTTGGGACTTGACAACAACCGCGGCTTTTTCATCGTTGTTGCTGTTGTTGTTGTTGCTATTGTTGTTGTTGCTGATGTTGCTGATGTTGCTGATGTTGCTGTTGCTGTTGTCGTTAGATGTTGAGCTCGCCCCATCATACGGCGATCCCTTCTCACTCAACTCCTGCGATCTGGTTGGTTCAGACGTCATGGTTGCGGATACACAAAGAAACAATGAAGACGGATATGAAGCCGGAAGAATAGTAATCTCGCATTTCGAAACAAGCTCATCGTCGGTCGTATATATAACATAACATTGAACCCCCGACTCCCCCCCAAACGTCCGCCTTTCTGCTCCTCCCCTAGTAACGCTGCCTCCAGATAGAGTTCATTATGGCTATAGTAGAAACGTTGCGCACATCGATCTAAAGATGTGCGATGCGCTCTTAGAAAAATCACGTCTTCGACATGGAAATGGTATCATATCCGAGGCGTCGCATAGACAAGCGCTGCAACCGCATATAGCGTCGCATATAATGACCCCCAAGGCGCAAAAAGTTGCTGCCAATCTATTTCCCGACTCGCCGTGGGATTCCGTTGTGTGGTGATGGCGTTTGCGACATTATAATGGTACCATTGCCCTGGTCTGGGCTAGGCCAGATGACAAGTGACGAATGCGTATCTTTGATTCCATATCGCGATGCTACTTACAGGTTGCTTCCCCGCGTCATGCATGGCGTTAGCACGACATACATATATCGCATCCCAAGATCGTATGCAGGGCGCTGTACATGTAGATTAGAAATGCTGGGATACATGCACGATTCCGCGGGGTTTGTTGAGACGGATATGGACATCAATGCTTGATCTTAGATAGGGCGAAGTGTCGTCATTGGGAGTTGACATGGCGATAGATTTGTGGCTGAGAGCTTGCAGCACATCTCCGGATAAGCAGACAGTATGAAGTAGAGCTTCACTTCGGCATGTTGAGCCGATTGGGCCATCACAAATGAATGCTGGACGATCACAAATCAATATTCTTGTCAAATTCTTTAAATATTGCCCTGTTCCTTGTTCTTTGATAAGAACCCAAAGGTCGAGAGTCGATAATAAAGGACAAGCCAGGATAGTATAAAGAAAAGCATCAACACCACTCACAATGGCCACCGTCTCCACCACAATCACACCCGCCGTATTGGCTTACAAGCCTCCTCATCCTGCACTCAAGGAATTTGAGCCAGCTCGCGACCGCGCATTTTTCGCAGACCCGGCAAAAGCATCACTGTTGGGCCTGGCGACGGCCGTCGAAGAAGTCACCCCAGTTATCGGAACGGAGCTCAAAGGCGTCCAGCTGAGCAAACTTACCGATCAGCAAAAGGATGAGCTTGCACTGCTTGTAGCCGAGGTGAGTGCAAAACGAAGAGCTCCGCTGCGTGGAAGAATGGCGGCGCCAACGTCGTGATGGAGGAGAGACATAACTAACAGATCAATATTAGAGAGGCGTTGTATTCTTCCGCGACCAAGATATCACCCTTGACCAGCAGCATGCGCTTGCATCATACTACGGCATTGTGAGTATCATTGGAATAGATGTGCTCTCAGACATGGCATCTAACACGATCTGCAATGATATTAGCAAGATAGAGATCCCAACCAGCAAGATCCCAGACATGTAACCATCATTGGCCGAGGCGGGTATGTGCTTGAATCCAGTCTGTTAACCTATCCGTCAGCCCGATAACTCACCATCTTCTCTGCAGAAACTCTCGAGCTCATGGCAACTACACGGCGGAATGGCATGGAGATCACTCATTCGAGGTGAACCCGCCTTCCTATACGCTGCTGCGCCTAGTCAAGACTCCCCCAAGCGGCGGAGACACAATCTTCACCAGCCAAGTCGGTCTGTTTGACAAATTAAGTCCCGCCTTCCAGAAGGCCATTGAAGGCCTCCACGCCATCCACTCTTCAGATGTATGCTTAAACATCCCTGTCATCGTAAAAAACTGTCAGAAATCGAACTAACGTGTGCAAACAGAGAGCGTACCTGGCTTCCATCAACGGCGGAGGAACACCACACAGAGCCCCCATCGCCACTGCCCATCCTCTGGTCCGAACTCATCCAGTGACTCGCCTCAAGTCTCTCTTCTACAACCCATCCTTCATCGAGCGCATCCAGGAGCTCAACGCCCAGGAGTCTCACCACATTCTCGCCTTCCTTCGCGAGCACCTCTCCAACGCAGATGATTTGACGGCGCGGTGGAAATGGACCCCTGGCGCGGTCGCCTTCTGGGACAACAGAATCATCGCTCACAGGGCTGTGCCAGGTGGCTATGACACAGAGCTGAGAGAAGGCAAGCGAACGGCCGTCTTTGGCGAGCGACCATTCTATGACCCTGAGAACAGCGAGACCCTGTCGGAGAGGACCGAGCGGCTTGCAAAGGAGAAGGGCGTGAATGGAAACGGAGTCGTGAATGGAAATGGGCTCGAAGACAAGACAAAGGACCTGGTGTTGAATAATTAGAAAAATGTAGATGAGATGAACATGTAGAAATTATCCATGTCCATTTGTAACTTTGTTGACTTGCCTCGGTGTTTGATAACAATGTGTGTCAAGGATGGGCCATTATCGCAATAATCAGCTTTAGAGATGATAGCTATATCACGCTTGGCTTGTCGGGGAGAAGCACAGATATCAAATATAGATTGTAATCAGCGTGTTTTCGCAACGCGATTTCGAATTACCATCCTGCAAGACAAGAGCAGCCTGCTACAGTGATAATGCGGAGATGTCTTTGTGCTCACTTGCGCGTTATTCCAGAAAGATGGAAGATGAAAGACGGAACATGGAAGATAAAGATAAAGAGTACCTACCTAGCCTCTTTTCAAACAGCTTTGAGAAAGAATACACAATCTGAAGTCACTAACCGTTAGTAGTCACGTTCTAGAACCAGCACTAGAAATGTCATCTGCACAACATAGCCGCACATTACCGTTATATCGTCGAACAAAATAATAGACTACTCTCTCCACTAGATTTAATAAGTTTTTAGTCTGGTAGTGTAGTAGTTTTATATAAATACAAAGAAAAGGAAATAGTCAGTAAACCCAGAAACTTCGTCAAAGCCAACAGTTATATAGTCAATATGCCCAGACACCTTACGCCTCGGTTTCTCCCATCACACTCCCCAGTGCCAGTGCTAGCAGAGAGAATTCACTTGTCCCAGATCACTCTCCAGCCTGCAGTGACTCTAGCCAAAAGAATTGCAGAAAATAAAATGCACAAAAAGGGGGGCCGAATAAACAAGACTCTACTGATCTGGGTACACTCGACCATAACAGTTGCCAGCACTTGCAGAATCACTCCCGCTCTCTTCTGGCCTCCCCCCTAATCACTCTCCCTAATCACTCTCTGCCACACTGTCAGAAAATTTCCCCCCCTCTTGGAAACTCCATCCTCTTCACCTTCCTTCTTTCGAGAGACTGTTTTCCCCCTTCAACAACCATCACGCTCTCTCTCATCTGATATCAATTCGAAGGCTTCTTCATCAATCATTCATCATTAAACCAATCATTTTCTTCCCAGAAAGCATCTGCATAAAGGTATGTTGGAGTTTCCTCCTCGCTTTCCTCCTCTTCTTCCCTTCCTTCCTTCTCTTCATCATCACCAACATCATCATCTTTCTCTTCAATTCCCAAGTCTCCCCAAACTAAATCATCTCTCATTAAGCATCCTCATCTCCATCATGGGTGATCTCAATCCCAACACCAAGAAATTTTACATCGCCATCGCTTGTAGCATCCTGGGGCTCTTTCTCCTCCTCATCGTTCCTTGCATCGTTGCAATGTGCGTTGCCCGCTATCGGGAGAAACGCCAGGAACGCCGTGATGCCCTCGCTCGCGAACTAGAGGAAGGTCAAAGCGATGACACCGCGGCTCCTGTCCCTGAGCATCCCATCCTCGGCTATCGCGTCGACGAGATTGGCGAAGCCTCTGGCTAGAAGCAAGGCACCGGTCCCGACAACGCACCCCTCTATCAAGAAGCAACTCTTCTCCACCACGCCGATGGTCACGTCGAAGTTCGCAAGCCCGAGCCCACCAAGGGAAAAGGCATCGCTTCTCCTCAGGCCAGACCCGTCGGTCGCTTTCAGGAGGACCTCCCCGAGGCCTCTGAGCAGCAACTCCAGACTAAGCAAGACGACGCCGTCGCTGAGTCTCAGGGCTCCCAAAAGTCTGTCGACTCCAAGAAGAAAAGACTCGACCTCGACGAGTAAGAGTAGCCCAGCTTGCCACTGACAAAGCTGCGGCGAAAATCACCTCGACGGAATCTGATGAATGATGTATTACGATGAAGGAATTTGGCTTTTTAACAGGGTTTACGGAAATGGAATGGGTGGAATACTGATTTTAACAAAGGGCATCATGTCATGGAAAGGGACTTTTTTCTTTTAATTCATAGGGTGTCAGATTCATCATCGTCGTCGAGATTGTTCTTTGAACAAAACAAATGCACCCTTAGTTCACTGCATGCTTGATTCTATCCTTTGGTGTGATTTTTTGTTCCATCCAATTGTAAACAATGGAGCCCCTCGTATCTTTTGTTTTAATCACCTAGTTTACGACTTTTCTTTTCTTTCCAGAAGATGCCTTGCCGCATTCCTTTGTTTCCTCTCTCGCCAAGCCAACATCCTAGCACCAGTTGCTTTTAGAAACTCTCAGGACAAGCTCCATTTCCAAAAATAAATCATAAATATTTCGCTCTTCGTTTCCCTTTCATCTGTATTGACGCTATTCCAGCACCAGATATATCATCCTATCCCATAAATCTCCCCACCTCCTCCACCCTTCCATCCCAAACCTTCCAAACCCACAACCTCTCAGACCGAAGCCAAAACATCATCAAGTCGAAATCAAAACCAAATCTCCCCGTCCAAAATGTTCGTCGGCGGCTTCTTCATACGCTCAGCCACCCCTCTCTCCAATCTCTTCACCCTCCCCTCCATCTTCTCTCGCTCCCCTCCTCCCTCTTTCGTCCGCTCCTCTCTCGCTACAATAACCGACTACTTCCGCGACGCACTCGCCATCTGTCAGCTCTTCTGGCCCCTTTTCCTCATCATGTTCTGCATCAGCCTCTTCGCTTGCTTCGTTCAGCAATACATCTTCTCCATGCTGGCCTTTGTCTCTCGCAACCTTGCCAATGGCATGCGGAGAGTTTATTTACCTCTCTTCAACTTGGCTAGGCCAACCATTGATCGAGTTATCAAGCTATTACCAAAAAACTTGAATCTACTCAAAAAGAGCAAGAAAAAGACTAGCGGTAGACCACGATCTGTTTCCGATAAGAGTGGTCCTCGCTAACACTACTATCTGGTACGTGGTCCTAAATGCGGTCATTCTCCTCTTTCTCCGACGACGTTCTGCTAATCACTTCACTTCGACAGAATATTCAGCTACTAGACATTGCGACACGAAATAGAAACGCCTGCATCACGCACAGTTTTGTATGGATCACGATCCGATAACCCTCGGCTGCTTGAGCCTCATTTGACATCCACGAGTTCCCGCTACATAGTATCGCACAGGTCCGGCAAAGAAACAAATCTCAGCCTCAACGAGCTAGATGAGGTAGATTAGAGCATAGAGATATCTCAACTATGTACCGAAAAGAGTTTTATATACACTTGTGCAAGTCCCCTCCATGTTGTACATAATCACACCTTGTGATTGGCCTTGTCCAATGACATACTTGACAAGTCCGAAACTTGTCCTACCTATATGCATCGTGCCGTTGAGTTGCAGAGATGTGTCCAAAGATATAAAAATAGAAGTAAAATAAATAAACAAGCGTGGGAGTGGTTCCATTTCAATCGTACAAGTAATCGTGTCGACATTCACCTAAACTCGACACGAGAAAAGAGGCATGATTAATTTTGTGGCAATTCGTGCCCGTTGCGGAGAGGAGACCAACTCTATGTCGACCCAAAACGCCCCTGGTAAAAACATATAGAGGAGAAGGAAGTAATAAAAAAACGAGAGGGAAAAAAGAAGAAGGAAAAAGAAGAGAAGGAAAAAAAGCCTTTCCGATGTCGAGGTCCGCCGAGCCTGGTCCATCCAAATTTGCTCCCTTCAGTCAACCATACACCATGCATTCCGGCTAATACTCAGCTCTCATCCGCACAAATATTTCCTTTCTTCATCTGTTCTCACCTGTATCTTTTCCACGTTCATCTTCTGTGGCTGGGTTCGTAGTATGTATCTCTTCCGGAGCAACGAGCTTCTAGCCCATATTGCCCATATTGAGATTGCCCATGGTATATCCATCAAACATGGAGGCTGAGAGTTGTTCTCCGCTACTCGGCAAGAATTCCCCAAACATTTCCCAGTTGACTGTAGAGACATCGAGATATCCCCCAAGGAATTGGTTGAATCCTGTCAGCGGCTGCTGCTGAGGTGTCACCGTCGTCGCGGGAGATGTCACGGATCCCTGGCCAGATGACCTGGATTCAGGCGATGGCACCAACTCCCTGAGTCGATTGATAAAGGGTGGAGTATCAATTCTCTGGCCATTCTGGCTGTAGGCAAGCTCCCGCGCCCGCCAAGCTTTGAGCACAAATTGGGCTTGGACGACGTGGGGTTTGATAGTCATGTCGGAGAATTCGTGATGGTCACCATAGATTCTGCGCATTACCTCCCAGGCGCGGTCCGACAGACTTCCCACCGGGCGGTCGTGGAGCAACCCCGTGAAGACTGCAAATGCATCGAGCTGAAAGTGAAAACGCATGAACCACTGAAAGCCAGCGGCGACCATTTGCTCGTGTGCCTCTGTCTTGTGCTCCATCATCATCAAAAGAACCTTGAAGAAGTTATCCTTGGGACCGAAAATCTCAGTCCCCCACTCTGGTTGCTCTTGTATCGGGACGAGCATCTCCTTCAACCTACGAGTGAGCATTGGTCGAATAGCAAGCGCTGCGACGTGAACATTGCCCGCTCTTATGTCGATCATATTCTTTTCAATTTCCAGCAGTCTCTCTTCCAGTGCCTCTGCCTTTTTCCGAAACTTCTCGAAAATGGCTTTTGTGTTATTTTCCGATTCTGGACCGTCATCGAGCGTCTGGCCCATCATGGCAGCCTCAAAGGCACGGGATTCGTTGGATCCATCGGTTTCCAATTTGAATCGGAATATTTCTGAAATGACAATGCTGAAAGCCATTTCTGTAGGGCCGTCGCGCTCCACGACCGGCTCCGTCGAGCCGGGGAAAAGATCCGCATCGTTCAAATTCAGAGGCTTCTTGGTGTCCCAGCCAAGATTCGACCATGATTGGCTTAAACCGGACATCATGGCACATTTGGCATCGAGCATCATAATCTGCCACCAAATGCGTCTGCGCATCTCCGTTTCGAAGGGGATTAAGTTGAGCTGTGAGCCATCTCGATGGTAGCCCATTTTCTGGGCTATCCGCATAATGACTCCACTGATGACCCATTGAGCATGTCTATCGTAGCGTCCTTCTAGAGAAAGCTGACGGTTCGTTAATAACGGCATATTGCGATGAGAAGCTCAAGTGAAGGAATAAATGAGGGAAGGGCGACGGGAAGTTTGTTGCCTAAAGTCAGACTTACTAGATAGAGAACAACGGCCTGCAGTGTGGTCATATTATAATTTTTGAGAAAACTATATTTGATTAAGGACGCTTTGGTGCCGGTATTGAACTTCTGGATGGCAACATCGCGAGACATGCCAATTGTTTGTATGCACTCGGCAGCCGACATGGAAACAGTTGCCATGGCGAAGATGGAAAAAAGAAGGGCTTGGTTATGTAGCGGTATAGCAGCCATGTTACTCGCTGCGTCCACGATCAAGGACTGCAGGCTTGGTATGTGAAGAATTTTGAAAAGGGGGTTGACACGATCACAATAGAGCTGCCAAAGACGGAAAACATGGATTGGATCGGGTTGCAGGTCTTCAATGTTCGTGTTAAACAAGTCGGCGGAAAGAACGAGGTCTGCGTTATTGTCTGGAGTGAGCTCATCTGAGCCGAGGAGACTGGATTCTTCTGGATCATCCATCTCTACGATGTCCCGCATTTTCTGTAGCTGTTTGTATGCTTCATGTCAGCATCCGTCGCAGAGTTGAATCAATAAATGCAATTGAAAGTCAGGGTCTCCATGATCCAAGTTTCGAGTTCAGATCGTGGTTCAGATCGGCCAATGCCCATCCCATGGCTTCGACTAACCTCGTCGTAGACACTAGCCCAAATGTAGCTATCCATGAATCGAACGTTGCCATCTTCCTTTACCATGAGGGAGCCTGGATTCCGAGACTGAGTAGAATCGACGCTGGCCGGCGTGGCAACGACGGCTTCGGAGCCTGACAGGTTTGAGTTGGACGGTGTGGCTGGTAGCGGTGGCAGCGGGCGCTGAGCAGAAGGAGCTGAAGGCGCAGGAGCAGGGCCAGGAATCGGCACAGATCCGCTTGCATACTGCTTGAGCAGTTCCTCGCATCGAGCAAGGCGTTCCTGGAGATCTTGATTCGGGCGCCGGCGTTTGCGGGCTGGCGCCGGGGTGCTAGGCGTGCAGGTGACATTGGCCTGGGGCAATGTAAGTTTCTTGCAAACAAATGATCAGGCAGCGAGCTGGAAGGTTTCGTTTCCCTTTCCTTTCCGTCGCGAACATGGTCCCGGCGACTGGGAGCCGTGAGTTCGGGAGGTGAGAAGCAGAACGGGAGACGGCACACTTTCATGAGACCTGGAAGCTACCGGACCTGGTCAGGGAGAAATGGATCGCGCACCTTGATGCAGTTGGAGCATGGTGAATTCCTATCGCATTTGATTTTGCGATGCTGGCATAGGACACAAGCCAGTATCCTGGGATGCTTGTGAGCTCCGGGTGAAGCGTTTGACGACATGTCCAAGGTTGCGCCGGTGATTTCACATGTCACCAGCGGGGAGAACGTGGGGTGTAATGTCGGGTCCAAGCCAAACCCCGAAATCTGGTGATGAGAGCGGTAAAAGAAACAAAACCCACGAGAGAAGCAAAGCAAGAAAAAAAATCAAATACGGCTAGAGAATGCAAAAGTGCAATGTAAGATTCAAGTGCGCCAGGCACGAAAAAAGTGAAGAGAAAAAAGAAGTGCGAGATTCTAATAGCGCGTGAACAAAATCTTAAAAGCCGGCCGAATAGAAGAAATGATATTGCCTGACACAGCTACGTCTGGCGAGACAGGGGCAAGAGGCTGTGTGCAGCTGGTCGGAAGCACGGAGTGGCAGTAATTGACGAAGAATGAAAGTAGACGGCGGGCAGTCCTCTAAGAGAATCAGAGGTTATGGGGGGCGGAAGAACACCTAGGCCCTGGTGCTTAACAAAGTACCGGAGAGTTCTTAGGTGTCCGGACAAGCCAGGGAGCCGGAAAACGGACGAAATGGCTATTCTAGATACGCGTATTGCAAAGGGCAGCGGTGGAGATGACGTTGGGACCGAGAAATGAAGTGCCAGGCTGTGATGTGATCCCGTGCGCTGCCGGACGCAAGGCAAAATGCCGTAGGTTAGAGGTGGTATTCAATGGCACAAACAAGCAGACGTCAGTGTATGTCCGGCCAGGAATACGGACGGCGGAGACGGCGGCGGCGACGGGAAGATGTTCAGCTTCTTATTGAATGTCTTCCGCAGCCGTGGACCCTGTCCGCAGCCCTTACTAACCAGACCCTCTCTCCCGTTGGCCTCTTTCCGCTACCTGCTAAAGTATTCCGCAGCGCTGGAACGGCGTCAATTGCGGAGGAGAAAGGTTGTTTGCTTAGATATAAGATGGTGAAGCAGCGCAGGTCTGGACGAAAGTTGTCAAAAGGCCGTGGAAATGTCGTCCGTATGTCCGTTATTCCGTTCGTGTGTGTTGCGCCCGACGTCAGGGCCTAGCGGTTTCTCGCGCCAAGTACCAGACAATTTATAATACAGCGGTAGATTATACCGAGCTGAAGGGAAGGAAGCGGCAGTGTGCGTGTGATCGCGTGCGTGAGTTGGTTCACGTTGCGCCTTGTGTATTCGTACCTAGCTGCAGGGCAGGGCGTGATGTAAGCATCCAGTGGCTCGTTGGCCTTGCAGCAGTCAGGATCACTGATGGCAATCCTTTCAGCTCCAGAAACAAAAATCAAGGTTCGCGTACTCGGCTATCGCTGCCGCGGTCCCTAGAACGGAGGCAGCGGAGAGAAAATTCCAAACAAACTTGAAGCTCGAGGCTAGTTGGTCAGCGGCGAACTTGGCAGCGGGGACGTCAGAACCAGCGCGATGGCAGAAGAATCGAAGCCTTACGGCCAGGGCAAAAAGAATGGAAGAAAAAGAAAAAATTGATAGAGAAGCAGAGAGATGAAAGTCGAGATAAAAAGAAAGAAAAGAAAACCAAAATATCAAACACAGTGAGGTACTATGTATGGTTTAGTACTTAGGGAAGGAAGCGGGATTGAGTTTCTTGTTTCTTCCTCCTTCCTTCTCAGCGCCTTTGCTCGCTTTCGTTCCGCCGGACAGCAGGTACGAGGCTACTATATACATATCCTCGCGTATACTTGAAGCTTCCAGAGACGAATTGGCTCCTATTACGCCCTACTACGCTTTACGCCAGTACCCAGTACCTCCTGATCGCGTACCTTTGGTCGCTACTCCGTACGACCAGTCGTCTAATTTTCAGTACCTTTTAGCAACTCCAGGTGGAGCTATTTTTGTGGTGCAAGGGTGACTCGACCAAACTTCTTCCAGGTCTTTCTTCTCCTGGCAAAGCACAACATTCAACTCCAAGGGCGGCAAAGAGTCAGCAACAAAGTCTAAATCCTGTCTTCGTCATGCTCATTTCTCCTGGCGGCGCTTTCTGACGTATCGCCCTCACTTCACCCGAGAAATTATCAGCGAGCTTCGAAAAGTCCCGAAGCCAGGCAGGGGGACACAGGATTGGCGAAACCCAAGACGTGGCAGTGCGCAGCGGCTGAAGGCTAGGCTACAACACTGATGACTCAGGCATGATTTAAACGGCATCCATTTCCAGGAGCCATACGGTTTACAGCACAGTTGATGCGGCCGTGCTAGTGTTAGACGGGCAACGACGTTTGATATTGGCCAAGGCCGCGTATGGATGGAGCTCAGTGTCTTGTGTCTTGGGCGCCACGATTCGACGGCATTACGCGGAATACGTGGCTTATTTCCAATTGCAGAGGATGGATGGCCTCCAAAGGGGAAGGCTTTCATTTCCAACAAGGCCTCCAATGCCCTATTGTGGAATGCTTGGCCGCCGTCCTTGTTTGTGCCTGTGCTCATTTCGTTTACGGGCATGATGATTGCAAAATCCATCGTCGGAATCTTCAGGAGCCGGATCGGATCCGAATCCCCCCAAAAGACTGCGATTAAGCCCGGTGCAAGGTCGCAGCCTCGCCCTCCGGCATCGTGGGTCTGGCGTGTGACCAAGTAGGTGACTCTTTGTTCGTTTTCTCCGTTTACAGAATTTGCAGAATTTGCGCAATTGGGGAACATGGTCCGAGATCAGCACGGGATGACTCTGTGATGCTTTGGCGCCAGTCGACGGATGGAGGCGATTCCGATTGGCCTCTTTAGTCCTCGTCTCTTCGTTTTGCTCGGCTTGATTTCGCATTGGCAGCTAATCGGCCGAGCCCTCTTCTGCAACCCCCCTCCATGGTCCTCCATGGACGCCTCTCAGAAAAAGGCGTCGCGCCGGCGCTCCTCCAGGAAGCCACGCCAATGACCACGCCCACGATACTGTACAGTACCAATTCACAGACCCATAAGGTTAGAGCTGCTTGTGGGCGCGCGGCTGCTTGTCCTGCATCGTCTCGTCCCGGGGTTCGGGTCCTTGCCGTCGTCCGAAGGGTCGGATAAACCCACACGAATCCGCTTCGCAAGTCCGCACCCCGGCTCCCAAGGCCTGCGGAGGGCTGGAACAATCACCAGACTTGGCTAATGCGTTAGTTTTTGCACAACCTCCAGCTCATCCGGACCAGACATGGCGCACGGAGTTGGCGTCCATTCGACCTGCTGCTACAAGCACCTCTGGCACCACTAATACATCATGTGCAGCCCTATATACGTGACATGCCACGAAGAGTTGCTCGATTTGGACTTCTGGCGGCGCGCAAACGCCCGGAACCAAAAGCTGCCGCATCACAGGCTAGACTGGTGGCCGAGCACATGCCAATATTACTGGCAGTATTACGGAGGTACTGGCTTGGCTGAATATATCTGACAGCAATACGAGTACCTCGATGACGTCTGTGACAGCTCGAGAGAGATTAACGGCAGCGGCCCCGATAGGAACACTACAGCCGAAATTAGATGGCCCTTTTTTTAGTTCTGCAAGTGCCAGGAGTGATGCAAACAATACGGCTCGAGTCTTCTGGAACATTCAGACGGCACTCTGATCCGTTTCGGAATCTCGATTTTGATTCAACTCCATCGCTTACCTATTTTTCCCTACTTGGGCATCGCGGCGGAGTTTCGAAATGCGCGTCTACACTTAAACGCAAGCGCACTTCAACCACTTAGGCGATGCGTATATTGGATCTGGACTTACGATGCAATCTTGGTGCCTGTTAGGCACAACCAAATCCATCACGGTAGTTTTGGATACCTGACAGGCAACACTATTCATTACGCCTAGTGAGGTTTCAAATTCCGCTTCGAATCTCCTCTCGAAAATTGATGAACGGTATATCAGGCTTTAATTCTGTAGCCTATCCGTTTCCTAGGCACCCTGAAGATCGAAGCAGATGACCCACAGAAAATCAATCTCTTGTCACAGTGAGTGCAGGTACAAGGATCTTAACCAGGATCTAGAAAACCATACCAGGCAACTTCTACTCTTACAAGGCCTCGATGTTCTCAGTTTAAGCTTACAAGCCATTGCGGTTCATCCCCTATTACCGTGTCCAAGCCTCCAGTGGCTTCAGTGGCAAGTAATAACTTAGCTACATGCTACTTACATGCGCTTGACAACCAACGTTGGTTTGACTAACCGCTGCATACGGGTGGCTTGTACCGCCCCTTTGCACCAACCCGCCAAGCCTAATCCAAGACTTCCAAAGCCACCTCGTGCCTTTCTGGTCCCAGCCCTTTTGGCTGCAGCTGAAGCTGAAAAGGATGGAGAAGGAAGAAGAAGAAGAACAGGTGGCATTTCGGAAGCTCGTCTCTTCTGTGAAACCCCGCTCTCAGTGAACCAGTCGTTGCATCCTCACAAATAAGCTTCATTCAGCCTCAGCCTCAGCCGTAGCCAAAACCAAGCTAACAACACAATGTGAAGCAGACAGCTCGCTCGCTCTTAATTTCTCGCTCTCTCTGCATCCTCCCGCTATAATCATGATTGATTCGACCAAAGGCGAAGAATTCAAAGTGAACTCCTAGTGACTTCTATATACCCCCGAGCCCGTATATCGAGCGTATCTGCCATAGCCCATGGCGACCACAACATCGCGAGCCTGGACATTCTCCCGGCGTGGCTCCCCTTCAGATGTGCTTTCTCTCACAGAATCCCGACCCATACGAGCTTTTCCCCCCGAACCTGCTCTCCCCGAGGAATGGATTCTTGTCAAGGTGGCCTTTGCAGGCCTTAACGTCGGCGCCATCTTCCAAATGACTCTTATCCCTGCTTTTCTGCGCAACGGGACATGTATTCCAGAAATGGATCTATCTGGAGTCGTCCAGGACGTCTGGCATCCTCACGCCAAGGTAAACGATGGCGATGAGCCCAATAATGCTACTGAAGATGCTAGCCCTGTAAGTCCTGATGGCGCTGAGAGCAACACTCAGACTCGCTTCCGCAAAGGTGACAAAGTTATGGCCATGCTACCGGCCAGCCACGCCCTCCCAACGGGCACCGGTGCCCTGGCCGAATATGTCGCCATCCCGGCCCGCTTTGCCGTCCACAAGCCGACCTCGGCCCCCTTCGCGGACGCGGCTGGCTGCCTCCTCACCGGCATGACGGCTCACCAGCAGATTGTCGAGTCCGGCATCCAGCTCGGTGACCGTGTCCTTGTTAACGCTGCCAGCGGTGGCATCGGCACTCTTGTCATCCAGATGGCTCGCCAGGTCGTCGGGTCCGAGGGCTTCATCGTCGGCATCTGCAGTGGCCGAAATACTCGGCTAGTCGAAAGCCTCGGGGCCGACGAGACCATCGACTACACCCAGTACAACGACCTCCCGGCTTACCTCGCATCTCGGTTCCGCTCACATCCCTTCAACGCCATCATTGACACGCTGGGTCACCAGTCTCTCTACGTGCACTCCCCTGCCTACCTCGTCCCCACGGGCACGTACTCCTCCGTCGGCATCAAGCCCCCTGACTTCTCCGTCCCAAACTTCCTGCGCGCTGTCGTGCAGATGAAGCTCAACGAATGGTGGCCCGTCAGCCGCTGGCTCGGCGGCATAGGCTGTCTCTGGCGGGGCGTCTCGATGATGGAGCCTACGCTCGAGGACCGCCAGCGCATCGCCGACATGCTGGGCGGGGGCCAGATCCGCGTCGTAAGAGACAGCGTCTGGAGCTTCGAGGATGTCAAGGAGGCATACGCTAAGCTAGGAGGCCTGCATGCGAGCGGCAAGGTTTTGGTGCGAGTGGATGAGACGGTGGGAGACAATGAGTGCTAATCTAAGACATTGTCTTGTGTGCTTCGTGTTCGTGTTCGTGTGTGAGATTGATAGGCTCTTGGGGTTTTCACTCCAATGCGAGGGAGGAATCTAGATCTTGCATGCTCGCAATGACTCTTCACCGCTCCTGTTTTTAGACGCTAAAATTGGAATCTGATACTCAATTCTCATTGTTATCATAAACGTAAATCACTATTCTACTAGAGCTAGCTGCCAATTTAATCATGTTGTCATATCTCATGTCGTGTCAACCACCCTCACAAATGGAAACCTAAAACCGCTGTGCCAAAAGTACCAAACATCCTCTCTATACCAAACGTCATTTAATGGCAAAAGAAAAAAAATCTGTCCTCTTTTTCCTTCCGTTTCTCCAGTGGAGAGGTCCTCATCCCCTCTCTCCCCTCGTGTCAACCTCTTCAAGCACGTTCTCCCCCTCTTCCACCAGCGGAGTAAATCCCGGCGGCCGATAATCGTCATGGCTCACCCTAAGTGATCTCCTCTGGCCCAGTTCATGAAAGCTCCTCCTCGAAACCGCGCTCACTGGCTGCGGACTCTGGCTTCTGTCGTGATCCGCCAGCAGCGTGACGCCTTCTCCCCTCTGGTCACTTGGCAGCCTCATCTCTTCCAGCTCAATGCCTTGCGTGTTCCCAGCTTCTACATCAGCACCTCCATCCATGGCGTATTTCTTCAGGATTTCTTTCGAGTTGGCGTCCTTTTCTATACGCTGCATCAAGTCTTGGTCTGTTGGGAAGTATACGCGACGGACAGCTTGAACGGCCAACTCCATGATTATAGGGGTGACTAATCCAAGGACGAGTGACGTCCACCAGGATAGCCGAGGCCCGAAATTATGTATGAATTCGTCTCTCACTATTATTGGACCGACGGTTCTTTGGTATATGGCGGATAGAATCAGGTTCCAGAGGAACCATCCTGTGATTTCTATGGCGAGGCCAATTAGCGGGATCAGAGTCTTGCTGTGAAACTCCAGAAGCCTATATGAAATATGCAAATTAGTATCAAGCCCCTTGAAAACATTCATACAGGAAGGGTGAGAGGGCGTATAGTACTTACAGCAGCTTTGTGTTGATGAAGATAACGCCAACGCTGAAACATATCGTGCCCATTGCATAGAGCCCGTTATCTTCCGTAAACAGAATGCTTTGAAACGCCTCCAACATAAAGTAGAACGTAACGACGCTTTCAGCAACAGCCATGGCCATCCATCCCAGATACTGCAGCAAATTAAATCCCTTTCTCTGCTGACCAAAGGTATACAGCTCTGGCACAGACAGCAACGTCGCAGGCTGCAAGTCCCTGTCAAAGATTCCCAGCAGAATGACCGGCAGTGAAGTAAACGCGCCATTAAATAGCGTGAGACTCCACGACTCATAGAGCGAAGTGCCCGTATAGCCGTTGAAACGTTGAAACTGCGCCTGTATAAGGAAAAAGAAAGTCTCCTTCCAAAACGTAGCCAAGACGTACTTGCCCGTCCGGATGTAGTTCCATCGCCCGTGTACAAACAGCAGTTTCTGAAGGAATCGAAACTGGGCAATCGAATAATCTGCTATCCTCGCTGCTTGCAGGCCTTCGCGACCAGAGATGCCAATGCCCACGTGCGAGGCTTGAATCATGCCAATATCGTTGGCACCGTCGCCAATGGCCAGAGTCATGCTCTTGGGGACAAATTTCCTTATGGATTTGACCAAGTTAGCTTTCTGCGAGGGAGATGCTCGGCAGCAGATGACCGAGTCGATTCGTACAACTAGGTCGTAAAACAAGGCGGCAAGCTCTTCATCGGCATCAATCACGGCCAAGGTCTGCCCATCCACAACCACAACCGAGTGAGGCACCATCCCTCGCGCAACCTCAGTGAGCGTTGTCATCAAGGCTTCCTGCAATTTGCCCTTGGAGGAATCCAGGATGTAAATCTCCGAAAACGGCTTGCACACTCGTGCTGAATGTCCGATATTAATGGCAGTTTCCCTCTTGTCGCCTGTGAGCATCCACACTTTGATGTTTGCTCGCCTAAGCTTGTCGATTGTTTCCGGGACTCCCTCTTGGAGCTTGTCTTCTATAGCTGTGGCGCCAGCAAGCTCGAACCCTTCTTCGATTTTCTCTCCAGCTATTTCGATGCGCTCCTGACGGTCCACCAGGCTCGTTTCCGCTTCCCTGTATGAAGCTTTCCACTGCGTATAGGTATCCTCGTCGATATGTCGATATGCATACAGAAGCGTCCGCAGTCCCTCGACAGCAAAATCATCCACATGCTGGAAGCACTTTTCGAAAATCGTTGCCTCATCTGCAGCCACCAGTTCGTCTATTCTCTCGTCGTCGTCGTCGCCATCATAGTCCCTATAGTCCCACGATGGCATACGACCCAAGCTTTGCCTGGGACTCCGCAGCACGTCAGTCGAAGGCCGAGGAGTCACAATCTCCTCCGTATTCCGCCTATGAAGCCACGAAGCCATTTCTTCGGCTTGTGAGAGCCGGTAAAGATCTGTGGAGCGCCTTGCGATATTGCTTCTCAACCCTTCAAGCCCAGCGGTTGATTTGCTTCGTGCCACGCCAAAGCTGTTGCGGGTCGAATTCTTTCTGCTGATTTGACTGCTCATGCGTTTGATTGCCTTATCCTGCTCGAATGTTTTTCTGACGCTCGCTCTTCGATTAACGTCTTTGGCCTTCTGAGTAGCCATTTGATTCAGCCTGAGCCGCGCCATGATGACATTGTCTGCGCCTTTACAAAAGACGCAGATCCGATTGTCAGGCATTCTAACGATGATAGACATCCGCTTCCTTTTGCTGCTAAACTCGATCACGTCAAGTACTTGGTAAGTTTCTGTCTGTAGTGCGCCGTCTGCGCCTTGCATCTGCAGTTTGATGGACTGAGCTGGTCGGTCAATGAGAATATAGCCCAGATCCCGCGCCGCCTCAACAAGGGCCAGCTCATCAGGAGATGCGGCCTGATACTCGATTTCTCCGCTTTCGTTGGTTTCGGGCAAGCAGGTGTGACAAAGGGCTATGCATAACAAAAACTGTTTGGCCTTCTGAGAAAACGGGGTATTTGGTCGACGACGAATGTAATCAAGTAGTTCTTCAGTCTTCATGTCCACAGGAGCATTAGCCGACATGGGTTGCTTCCCCTTTGCTCTGGCACTCTCCCCTTGGATATCCATATCATGAAAACAGACAACGCCCGCAACGCTCAACTTCCGAAAACGCATCAGGTTCTCCGTCAATGTCCCTGTTTTATCCGAAAACACGTAGCTAACCTGACCAAGGTTCTCCAAAATGGTCGTTGTGTTGGCCACCATGGGAGTGTCCGTGACTGGGTCGTACATGTCCACGTCCTGCAGCAAGAAGAGCTGTCCAATCTTGACAATCTCCAAACTGATATATAGAGAAAGAGGAATCAACGTGTTGAACATGATGAGGAATCCGAAGAAGATCTGTTTAAATGGCACACTTGCGTCGTAGACACCACTCTGGACAAGATAGAAAGATTTGTCCTCTGTATCGCTTTTCCATTTGTTATATCCGATGGTAAACCCAATTGCCAGGGAGAGAACGATTGTAATTTGGAAAAGGACCATTTTGTTAATTGTAGACTGCATGGCTGGCTTTTTGGCGTGGACGTTTTTGTTCGCGTTCATCCGAATCTTGCATTCCTCGCCTGAATTGACCACAAGCCCAATTGCCATTATAGTGTTTCGTAATATTGATCCTCGGTAGATGACATTGTTCATGGATAGAGGTACAGTTTCACCACCATCAACAGTGACTCTCCCCACAAAGTTGTATAGGTCGAGATTGGGATCCTCAGATACAACGGTTGCCTGAGTCGACCGAAGCCCTTCAACTGTGCCACATCTCTCTGCAAGTAGAGGGCAAGCTTGCTTGGCTTTGAGGTTGGTTTCGCCATCTAGTGCCATCGTCTCGATGTACGCAACGCCATTTGGTCCCGTGGCGTGAAGCATGACTATATCTGCAGGCACTGATTCGTCGCGGCGGAGACGCACAACATCCCCAACTTGGACATGCTGCCATTGAATATTCATCCAGTCATTTGTCTCGTCCAACCTGGCGAGAGCTCCCTCTTCAATGTCTTGCAGAATGACATCCTCATCATCTGCCCCAAGTCTTTTCTTATTCCCCCTCCGTCTTCGCCTCATCGTATTTCGCCATCCCGACATTTTTGGCCTCTCTCTCCCCTCCCTCACGCCGTGTGTCAAAACCCAGGTCATGCTTCGATTTTCTGACTTATCGAGCTGGTATCGTCTGTAATCATCGTACCCTTCCTTGGCCATGCTAAAGGCCACGAAGCCAATGAGTGGAGCGATGGTTGTATATCTCCCAACGGTGCTGAGACCAGGTATCACCTGAAGAATACCCATGATGAGGAGATAAAAGTTTCCAAGCTTACTAAACTGAAAAACAAGTTGCTTCGGAACAAAGTCGTAGACTGTGTAGCGACTGGAGCGAATGAAGTTGCTTATATAGGGTTTGTTGCTGCGTTCGTCAATCAGGCCGCCGGGATCAACGCCCGTAGGGTTGAGGGGGATATGGCGTCCATCTTTGGAGGGTAAAAGCGGCTTGCGACGAAGAATAGTCTCCCAGAAAAACTTTTGGATGCCAGCTGCGGCATGGTCTTTCCATTCAGAGCTAAGCATCCAATGCCTCTTCTTCGCCTTGGTGGCCTTTTTTCGCCCGAATTCCTTGATACCACTAGATGGGGATGGTTTGACGGACGTCACTTCGGTGGACAAAAGCCCATCTCTCGGGGAAGTTTCATGAGCCATCTTCCCTTCAGATGGGCCGCGGATTGAATGAAAATGCTCGCTGAAGTGTGGTCTCGTTGTCGGCTCCGCTGATACTCTCCTCGACGTCTGCGACTGAGTGCTTAGTTCTATAGGGTCTGTTTGGGAGCGCCTGGGACCAGCCCCTCGCAGTGCAGTGCTCTCAGATGTTAGTAAATCATTAGAGACAGTACCATCTTGAACTGTCTCCTGAACTAGAGCCTCTTGCTCGGCGTCGTCTGCGTGGCTGGGCTCGTCCGGCAGAAGCGGCTGGTGCCGAGGAAGAGGCATCGCGATGACGTCTAGTGCTGACGGCTGTCAAAAGCATTGATACAAATATAGAACCTCAACATGGAAATAAGGAGCGCGCCATGTCAAAAGAAATATCGAAAAAATCAAAACACTATATTTATGAATGCGGTTGTAACAAAACTACCGCGATAGCTGAATGATGTTGAAGTTGGAGATGCAGATGCAGATGGGCACACACGCACACCACCCATGGAACACCTCAAACTTGGCAGGACGTCACGTTTGATGCCCAGAGGCTTGTCCTCCATCCATTGTAATCCTTGGTGCCCCGGACATGCATGGCACAGCGGTGCTTCAAACCATCTGCAGGTATCCCCTGCCCTCTGATTCGGCCTCTGAAACGAGCCATGGTTTATATGACGCACCAGGATTACGAGGCCCAACGAGGCTTTGCTTCACACACAGCCTCTGAGCTTCTTCCTTAGCCTGATCTGCCCATCTCCAACGCCCCACTGCAAAACTGCCCGAGAGTAGCTAGACGTTGCGCCATCTCGTCCGTTAAACCAGATGCCCTGTGCTAATCAAACTTTAAAAGACCTGATCGATGATATATTTGATGCCACCTCTTAAACGATTGGATATCAGCAGAATATCTCCAGTTTAGCTAACCTCATGTCAAATGCCGACGGGTACGTTAACCACTTGCCACTTAAATTCCTAGACACGGAGTTGTTCAATTACATCTCATCCATTTGACCTTTGCGTAGTTTTTCTCTGTAGAATTGGTACGATTGAAGTAGTATTCACCGATACTACCTGTCAATCCTGCACACGCATTGACCCTCAGCCACTGATCCTCAACCCCCATCCATCGGGCAGTATTTCCGCTCGATGGCGACAGAGTACGAGGCTTGGTGCTTGATTAACGCACGAGACCTAGTGATATTACGAGGTACAAGATATCAAGGCTATGTATAGGTATTTGTACGCCACTTGCAACAGCTAATAATAGCATTTTCGTGAAGCTAGTGAGGCAGTGACTGAGTGGCTATATAGCGCGCATTATTCTACAATCTATAAGACAAAATCAAAATGGCAACTTCACCAATAGCATATACTCAAGGTCTAAACACACAAAGGCCAGCACGGAAGGTTGAACATCGAAAAAGTACTATTGCAAGGCTCACAGTTGGCAGACATGAGATGCCATATCCCTAGTAACTCTACAAGTTACTCAATAGTTGAAAGCGCGATGCTTGCTCCATCGCCATCGCCATCCACATCGCAGGAGAATGTCTATCTCCTCGCTTCCCACACACTCCGCACTCCACACACCGCTATACTTTTAAACAAGTCTCCCACCTCTTACACCATATATCCCTTTGACCTCTCGGCTTTTCCATTAAAAAATCCAAGATAAACAAAACAAAAAAAATGGACTGGGTCACCGCCTCCTGGGCTGCAAACCAATTGAAGGCATGAAAACGCAAAAGCAAGATAACTCCCCTAAGTAATGATATGCGCCAAAAGAAAATTAAGCTCCTTAGGATGCGAGAAAGCTGTGCATTCGCCCGGGCAATTACGCGTCGGGTGGCCAAAAGGGGAAGTGGAGGACAGTAAATAGTGAAGAAAAGAAGAAAGAAGCAGATAATGAAGTGGATGGATGAGATACATCCACCAACTAAGTTCACCAAGCAAAGATATAAATGCGCGGGCGGTAGATAAAAAAAAATATGGCTGAGCAAAATCACCACGCGCAGAAATAACTCGTACGATCGCTGTACCGGACATGCATGACCGATGTAAAGAATGATACCGTCATGCAGATTCGTCATGGCCGCATTGTGTGATGGCAGGTGGGTAGGTCAAGCCAAGCGTATTATACCGCCGGTGGCAGCTAACAAAAAAAAAAAGATGGGCAAACAGAATTTGTGTGGCGAGATGTGCTCCAAGATGTCTTACAGAAAAGATATCATGAAGTTTCCCATGGTATAGATTACCGAATAACGCCCTTCCGCAATAATGATGATTCCAAGCAAGACCAAAGGGCTATGAAGGGCTAAAAGCAGCGCGCAGCGAGATTAGAAATGTCACCAAATCACTCATCCAGTTACCGATGCATCGTCTCGGGTGATAGACTAGTTGGATCAACAGCGTCAAAGTGAACTAGTTGGTCCATGTCAATATCTCCTTGTGAGTGCTGAACATAGCTCCCAGGCGAGTGCTCATGCAATGGCATATTAATGGAATGTTTGGAATACATTTCGTTCAAGCTAACGCCATCATCGGAAACAGCGCATGAACCATCCTGGCCCATGTACATTTCAGAGGAGCCAGGGCGGCCCATCATGGACATGGGGGGGGACTGCTCGACAATTGAAGGCTCAGTAGGACCATTAAAGGGAAGGGGAGAGATGGCTGTAGGCATGTTGGCTTCAGCAGTGACCATGGGCGACAAAAAAGCGGCACCATAGGGGGTGCTGTAATTTGATGGAGCCAATGGGCCATTCTCTTGACCCGGAGGGAAAAAGCCAGGGCTCGGCGGGAACTCTGATGGCGAAGCAGTCGTAGCTGACATGGGGTATTGTCGCATGTCCAAACCAAAGCCTGCTTGCGTGTCAATCCTCAAATTGTGTGCCACATTGGGTTGCTGTGGCACTGGAGCATAAATGTTTGGATTATGTTGAGCAGCCATGTCGCCGGGAGGCTGAATATAGAAGGAGGGCATAGGCTGGTTCTGGAACATGGCAAAATCAATTGGCCCAGGAACAGAGCGACTACGCTGTCGCTTGTGGCCCTGAGGCCGCATGTTGGCAGCAGAGTGCATGTTGGCCATCCCCCATTGTTGCTGAGCCATGGCCATCGGTGGTGCACCAAAGCTGGGCTGCGATGAGGGTCGAGCTGTGGGAGATACCGGGGCCGAGGCCGAGATTGCATGAGGGTCTGCATATGCGTGAACCTGTCGAATGCTGTGGGGGTTGTGGCGGTTCATGAAAGATTCCAAAGAAACAAGCTTGGCCAGCTGGTTGGCCAGCACCTTGGGGTTGCCTCCCAGATGATGAAGCAAGCACTGAGAGGCCTGTTGATCCTCGGTGAAGTCACTAACGTAGTCAAAGCCCGTAGTCGACGAGGTTGCATCCATCATGAAGTAAGGTGGTTGGTTGAGCTCAATAAAGATGCCCGCCAGTTTGTTCATGTCGTTGTCCGCATTCTCCAGCCAAATGTTCTTGATATGGGAGAAGGGATATTCAATCTTGTAGCCAGCTTGCTCGTTGTTAATGTAGTAGGTCATGGTACACTTGTCCGGCGAGTAGAAGATGATGAGGTCCATAGTGTTTTGTCCAACTCGCGTCCATTTGCCAATGCTCAGGGAGCGACAAGTGAGATGGTGAATCACTGGAAACCAGTCAGTATGTTGAGCGCCAAGAAAAGAAGGGAAACTCCATGGCAGACGTACAAACTTTGCCCTGCGCGCTCTGGTCACCACCAAAGAGCATGTTGCCACCGCCAAAAGGAAGCAGGCCAGTGCGACCCATATAGCTGCCAGCAAATCCTTTACCGGATTCCATGGCCTGCATAGCGAGATATTGCCTCATCGACTCGGGAATTGAATCAATGTCTTCGCCGGTTTCGAGGCTCTTCTTGGCCAGCATCTTGATCTTAGCTCGCCTATAGACATGTCAGCCCCTGAATCCCAATCCGATTGCTAGCAGTCATAAATACCTGTTCTGGAACCAAATCTGAACAGAGCGCTCCGTCATGTTAATCTCCTCGGCTATTCTGTCACGAACACTAGCCGTGGGAGTCGGGTTCTTGTTGAATTCCATTTCGAGAGTCGTCAATTGGTCCTGTGTGGCCCTTTGTCTCTTTTGGTTCTTTTGCTGTTGCGTAAGAGTGCTTTTGCGCGGCGGGCGCCGGGAGGCATTGGCCTGGCCATTGGCGCTGGTAGGGGAAGGAAGGGGCCTGGAGGCAGATCCAGGAGTGCCATCCGAGGAGTGTTGAATGGCAGATCCAGTTGGGCTAGGCGCAGTTGGTGTGACCACTGTAGCCGTCAAAGCCAGCGGCTGCTCAATCTCCGTAGCCATGGCGATTGAGTACGCGTCAAGTTCGTCTTATCGCTCGTGGCCGGTGGTCGATGGCGTGTTGGAGCTGTTTGCTTTGGACAGATGATTGCACGAGACGTAGCAACGCGGTTGCCAAACCCTCTCGATGGAATCAGGGCTGAGGAGCGTTGGGGGTTCAAAGGATTGAATGAGGTGAGAAAAGCGGCGACACAATGGGCGCTCGAGGGGATCGTATACAAGTATGGTTGATCTGGTGTTGATGCTACAGGTAGGCAAAGACAGGGAGTATAACCAAAAAGAAAACGGCGTCGAGTTCCAGAAAGAAAGAATGTGGTCTGGGACCCTTGCAAGGAACAAAGGCGATGGTTGAATGGAAATAGCGGAGTCTACCCAGCAACGATTGACAGGCCTTGGATATGAAGCCGAAAGAATGGAATGGTCCCGGAAAGAGTGACGGGAACCGAAATGGCCGAAGATTAAGAGAGTGACGTGAAGAAAGAAAACACACGAGAGAAAGGGAAAAAAAAAAGGAGGAGACAATGGCCGCGAGGATGGTGATGGGGAAGACGGAGGAGAGAAAACGGGGGACAGGAGGCAGAGGGAAGAAAAGGCGAGCGGCGGTGGGTTGGGGAGGGGGGGTCCCCTGGCGGCCTGGGGGCACAACTGGGCGCTGCCAGTGGCTAACGCTGCTGCCAGTGGGTGGGCGAGGGATCGCAGCCGCATTGCTAGTGCCTGTAGCCTCTGTGTACAGGGCCTCCGCTGCCTCTGCCCACGAGTTCCACGGCCGGCAAACAGACCACTGCACAGCACAGGGCTTGCTTGACCACCCCCGACTCGTCCAGGCGCAGATGCAGCTGCAGGTACGAGTAGGTATGGGTACCGGCGCAGGTACAGACAGTAGACGTCTTGGATACATGGACATCGTCTTGTGCGCGGCCAGCAACGGTTTCGCGTTGGGGGGGGAAAACTGGCGACGACGTGCGACGGACAACAGGTACCGCACAGGTACCGCACGGGTAGGCTGGCCTGGACTGGAACCGGACCAGGCACAGGCTCCAGACAGGCACAGGCTCAGGAACAGGAACAGCCCAGGCACTCAACTGGCTGGCTAGCCACAGTCCCCTCTATTCCCTCCATACTGTCCCGAACCCTGCGCGGCCCTGCATTCGCCGGTTAACCCAGCTGGTCAGAGCTTTTGCCTGCTCTAGACAGCCGTTGGCGCCAGGGTCGTTGAGGAGGGGTACCGGCTGGGGACAAGAGCTTCGGAGCCGGCCAACGGCGGCATCGACGTAGCGCCCAGGTACTTGCTGTCCCGTTCCTCCCATGGCCCCATCAGGCCAATCCAACCCTGTCAACCTGCCTGTCAACCCTGGCCAGCCCGCTAGCTGCAGCACTCGCACAATCCGGCCGCAGAATCGGTGCTCAAAGAAGCCTCTGGGCCAGCGCTACTCTGCAAGCGCCTGAGAGCACAGTGCGAAAGTTGTCCAGCCAGAGATCCAATGGTTATGTGATCTGGTGTTGCTGGGTTGTCGGGTTAGCAGGTGGCGGGCTCGCGCTCGAAAAGGACTCGGAGGCGAGAGCTGCAGGTACAAGACGCTCGCTTGCTTCGGCACTCCGTGCTAAGGTACGAGCACTCGTACCGCATTGGATGCTGCAAGGTACCAGGCATCGTACCGTATCGCATTGATGGACTGATCCAGCCTGGCCTCGTCCAGAGCCTGCAAGCACTTCAGTGCTAATTCCGATACGTGCTACTGCGCTTACATCAAAGTCCATGGTGCAATGCTGTACGATTGAGTATGTGCCTGTGTGCAGGTCGGGTCAAACGCTCAGGTCGGGTTGCTATTGGATGTACTGCGGGAGTTGAGCACTAACCCAAAGCAACCTCTAAGAGGGTTGCAGCGCTGCGAGTCTGCTAAGCTTCATGTACTCCGTCTGGTACCTTTGGTGTTCTAATCGCACAATCTGCTACGTACACGTGCTTCTCACCCTTCTTCACCCACGAGGATGAAACTGCTCCGCTCGCCGTCATCAGCCTAGACTGGTCTCCATCGGAGCGACAGATCATCACGTTGTGCCATCCATCTTATCGGCTGTTGAATAGGCAAGTCTCGTTGTTTCCTCTTTTTCCACCTCAGCTCAGCTCGTGGGCAACTATGCCCACTATGCTCCGTACAAGTTCGTCTTGATGCATGCATGGTTTGGCTGAGCGGGCGCCGGTTGATGCTCCATGATTCGCGGAGCAGCGCCAAAAGGTCCCATCATTCACCTACCTACCTGCTCTAGGTATGTACTAACTAATCCGCGGAGTGCATACGATACGAATATGCACACAGATAGGGACCTAGACCATAGCTTCGATATAACAGCAGCCGAAAGGGTCCCTTGCCGACTCCTCCATTCGGTCGAGCCATGGCGAAATACAGATACGAAGAGAAGCACTTGAGTATTTGTAGCTCCAAAAACGGCCCTTGGAAGCTCGGCACAGCTCGACGCCACCAACTGGCCGCTGTCTGGCGCCCATCAGTCGATATATGGGGAGCATCCAGTGGGCGAGTATGCGCGACTTACTCGCACGTTGTGCCCCAAGTCGATCTGGTGTTCCACCGGCCGGCCTCCATGTCATGTCCCCTTTCCCTCTCTTCCCCTTTTGTCGCCGGCAACGCCAAACTCTCACGCAACTGGCGCGTTGTTCCAAGGGCGAGCATGCGTGCCTTCGGCGTCATTGTTGATTACAACGCCGGGGTGGCTTACTCTGCAGTCATTTCTCTAAACAGCCTCTGTGGCCGCGATTTCTCCCGGACTTGTGTCCTTTTTCTAAGCTGAACAAAGAGAGAGAAAAAACAAAAGAACGAGCATCAAGATCAACCAGCGCTACTGCTTCTGCTCAACTAAGTGGCAGCTCTAGGCGGTCTAGCCCCCGGAGATCGTCACCTTTGAGCCTCGCTTGACCCAAAGCCCCCACAGCTTGGACACCGACCGACTCGGAGCTCAACATCAGAGCATCTTCCAGCCGGGATAACCCAAGGCCACGATGCTGCACCTGTAGAAGCGGTCCCGTGTCTTGCCGTGGTACGGAGTAGCATTGGGCTCGCACCACCAGCAAAGTGGCTCATCCAAGCCAACAAGTGTGTAGTACAAGACACAAGCACGCACAGACTTGCACTTCCGCGGCACTTGTCCAAGCAACTGACAGGAATTTGGCGTCGCTCTTCCGGGACAAGTCCTAATATGCCAATGACAGCTCTCCTCCTATGATTCGTTCTTGGAGTTACGGAGCAGGACTCTTAGCTCTTGGCAGACCTGCCATGTGTTCAATCGAGCACCCTTTTTCCATAACCTACAACTATATACTTGTTACTAGCAGCCTCGGCAGCTCAAACTAGACACGATTCACAACGGACGAGACATGGATCTCAGCTTCTGCCCGGTTTATACTACACTACCCGTAGTGCTACTCGCAAGTGCAAACGCCTACGAGTAGCGGCTCTGCTAGTTGCTCCGTATGAGGAGGAACCTTTCGTACTTATTCAGACGTCCGCAGATGCAGTCTTCGAATTAGCTCCAACCCCATACTAGTACCGCACTTGGCGACCCTAAAGCATGCATTGCATGGCGCTACTCGTACGTCTGCGCAAGAGTTTGTCGCTGTCGCGCCCGCCACGGCTCGATTCGACGCATCCAATGGATGTTTTTCGACCGACCCGACAGTGGGGGTGACATCATGGAGGCTAATGGTGAATGGCGAAAGGTCCTTTACGTGCCGTCTCTTCTTTGTTGCTATGTTGTACAGGCAGTAGTAGTAGTTCTTACGGAGAACTACCACTGCTAGTGCTGCAACGGCATGCCAACTTGATGCCATCCACGGTACAGTTACAGATCCGGCGATTCAAACCCCAATGGTGTTAGTGTGGCTGCAAGTTCAACATGGTGAAAGATCAACTGGGAGGCCAATTGAGAAGAGCCGATATGCTACCTACCACCGAAGAAGAGAACAGCCAAAATGGGAGACCAGCCCGTGTTCCTGCAGAAGGGTGTGATGCGGTTTTGGAGCGGGTCGCGTCTGGACAAGCCTGTACAGTGCGCCCCTTAACAGCATGCTCTAGGACCGTACCAACCAGCTCTGACGACATCAGGCGAGGAACCGGCAACTGGGGAAAACTCTCAAACACAAAACTCCCCTTTTCGACTCACGTCCGCCTCGCTTCCCTTCCGCCGCCGATGATCGCGGCAGGTCGGCCTCTGCGAGTGGCAGTCAGAATGCCTGCCAAGCCTGGAGTACGAGTAGTATCAAGGCGGAGCATCAAGTTCATCATGTTCTTACTGCCGCCAGTCTGCTGGTCTGAGTGCAAGAAGATCGTCGGAGTGGCATTCTGCAAGGTCAAGACCCTACAAGTACGAGTCCTCCTTGAGAGCAATCTGCATGCACGGAGCAATGCTACTTGTCAGTGGTTGTCATCAGTGGCACCATTTCACCGAGCCAGTGTGAGAGGTGACAAAACTGACGGCATCGCCGCAGAGAAGGGTCACCCTGTCGCTAAGAATCCCAATTGCAGAGGTATTCAAGGTAGTCAGTTGATGATACGCGATCGATACGATACACGTGGTGGCAACTTCTATGGACATGCTCCCCGTGAAGTAAAGCATGCATACATTTCGCACGCTTCGGGAGAACCAAAAAACGGTAGCATCGCCTTCGAATACGATGGACTTGTCTTGGGCGCACAGTACGGGACACACGATGTGCAAACACAGTGTAACATGCCCCAACCGTCTCGGAGAAGCTCAAAGAAGCTCCACAGCCTCCTTACCCCTGACTAGGACAGACCAGGATTCTGGGACCCTGCTGCTTGGCGTCACGGCCAACCAGTAGTCGGGAGGCGCTCCGCCCAACCGCCACAGGCTACCCGCTTGGACCTGTGCTAAACCCAAAGGACGATAGGGAGAGATCGGACATGCTCATGCACATGCAAGCGGAAGCGCAGGTGCTTCTTAACAGGAGGAGCTCCATACTTGTCCTCCCGGTTTCGATCCTATCCCATTTTGAGGACCTTTTACCTCCGATCGATCATTCACAAGCACGGCTTTTCATCTTCTCCACACAACCCCAGTGGTATCCCTTCCTGTGCAACAATCGTCTTGTAGCCTTTTGGGCTCCAAGAGTGAAACCTTGCCGACGGCTCGATTTGCCACATGTCTCTAGCTGTATCCTAGGATGAGACCAGTAAACAGACGCCACCTTGATCCCGGCTTCCTCGTTCTTTTACAGAATTTCAATCCTCTCAGTTTATTGTCTAGTCTCACCCGACAATATCGAGGACCCAAGTGGACAGGGCCATCTCAGCTTTCTTAGTTCTGACCAACCTCACAACCACTGTGGGGTCCAACCAGTATGAGATAAGTACATACGGATGGCTGCTTGCTGGTTTTTCGAACAGCTTCTAGTCAGCTATGTCTTTGTGTCAGAAGCCGGTGTATATGCTCCGATTCCCCTGCGCAAACATCACAACTCGTTTAGCCGACGGCCAAGACACTCTACGAGTATGCCTGCTAGATGCAGTGGTGATGAGACTAGTCGTGTCGCAGGATGCTTGACTTTTCTTGCCACTTCTGGGTCTCCATGGCGTAGGCGAGGGCAAAGATGCAAAGATATTCACCCGACGCGCCCGCGGCTGAAGTTGAAGACTGCCTACTAGGCCTAGGAGCAGCACTGCCTAGCCATTGCGCCGCAAAAAGACGTCAAAAGGCCATTTGCATTGGATTACTTACGACCAGATTTGACATCTATTAATATCATTTTCCCGACTTGACTCGAGCCTTTAGCAAACTGGATCCCGCCAATAGGACTTACTTGATTGAGCTTGAGAGCATTCGGATTAGAACATCAGCACTTGGTGGTGGAGTTCAACTGGACTCTCCCCGCCAAAGAAAGAACTTTACAGTGATAGTGGTACAGCAGTTTACACTGACTCGAGTGTACGAAAATAGCTCCATGCTCCATATGGAGCGTCGGGTCGGGCCTGGCCTCAACAGATTTCGAGAGCCGCATATTGCAGAACAGCATACTGTATGTTACTTTCACAGAACTCATATACGACCGCTCAGTCGTGTGATGTTTCATGCTGCCCTGATTCTCGCCTAGTTTCCTCTTTCTATTTATCCTCTCCCTTTTCGTCACCCCTGTCCGGAGATATCTTTGTATGCAGCATCGCCCATAAGCATGTTGCATGTCTCACTTGAAGAAGGCCATGACAACTAGGCTGGGGAAGCGGGCCTGTTTGGAAAGCATGCTTGCAGTATCTCCCTCCACGTACCTGCAGGGGAATATAGCATGGCCTTACGGGCGTTTAATACGCATAACTTGACCTCAAAGCTCATGCCTAGTCCTCGTCTCCGAAATCTAGTCGGATCACGGAGCCTTGACTCGTGAGCTGAAAGAGCGCATCAAACTACAAAGTTGTTCAACAATTAGCTTCCCGAGTTCCGATTTGAGTCCCGGGCCTCCCTTGAATCGACCACTGTTTTGGAACACCAGCCAAGGCATGTCTATGGGCACGGAGCAGACCGCAGTGGATGCAGGACGGGGAGGGCTGTTGAGCTAACTACATACGAGTATAAGAAACTTCCTACCGTGCCCTATATGCACGGCGTCGGCATGTCTCACATTGTCATGCTTTGGCATGATGCATGACGGCTGTCCCTTGCAGCTGGCCACGGATACCATGCTGATGACTACTGCTAGCTGCATTGCATACTATCACTTATTTGTGCAAGAAGTCGTTTTAATAGAATTACCACAGAGCGAGATCCGATATCAGGGCAGCGCGAGACATAGAAGGCTCTGGCACATGTTAGGAGGCGACGGCCTAGTGAAAACCCGGTATCCATGCATATTCATGTAGGAATGCCACGAAGCGCCACTGTCAGTTCAAGAAGAAGGCTAGGATGAGATTGTGGATCAAGAGATTTTGGTTATGGCTTGCGTGCGAAAGACAAAAAGAGAACACCGGCTTCAAAGCTCCCGCATTACCTCCTCGACGGCTCTGGCTGCCAGTCGCTTTCTCTGCGCCTCGCTCATGCCCTCTCCCATTTCTCTAGCTGCTTGAAGCTTCCTCATCATCTTCTCTACCTTGGCCACATCTTCGTCGTCAAGGTCGCGGTCCAACGCCACGCCATCGTTGGTATTAGTAGCGGGGCCTGCCTTGACGTCTGCCGCCTTAGACACATCCGTCTCGGCTTTTTTTGAGAGAGCATTGTCGGCATCACCAGTTTCGAGACGGCTTGTTTCCCAAATTGCCATACGCAACCCTTCAAAATCAGAACGGTCGACACCAAAGTCTAAGCTCTCTGGATCAAAGTCCTCTGCGTCTTCAGATTTATCAGAGCGCGTCTCATCCAAATCAGAGGGCAGGTCATCGTTTAACTGCTCCCAGTCATTTGATTCAAGGGCTTCTTTGACCCGAGAAATTCCCGTCTTTTCTGTAAATGCGTCTGCAGTCAGCAAGATGTCATACCAGTAGTGATACTGTATCGGGCAGGCAAGTAATAGTAAGGGCGATATGGGAATGTTCTTCAGTCATCGTACCTCCAAACTCATTTTTCTCCTTTTGCCCGCTTTTCAGCTGTACAAACTCCAGGCCGGCTTCCGCGCATAGCTCGTCCCAGTCATCGGCGTCGTCGCCCTCACCGATGCCAACAGCCAGCCTGACTCCATCCCATTCCCAGCCGCCAAGGCCTTTCTGAACGACACTGCCAACGTGTCGAATAAGACTGGGGGTGTCGTTGTTCCCAGTTAAAGATGCGGGCTTGGCATTAGGTATTGCAAAGACTAGAACAAGGCCGCCTAGGACTGCGAGGACCTCGCGGGCTTCTTCGGATAGGAAAGATGAAGCCCATTCTGACGGAGAAGCGATGAGATCTATCCATATCGGGACAGAGGCTGTGTAGTACGATGTTTTGAGCTCAAGGTCATGCGTGGTGCCCGCCAGTGACGTTGATGCCGCTTCTGGTGAGGAACCGGTAAGATCTGGCAAGGTACAGTTAGTTTAAGAAGCAGCGCAGCATGTTTGATATGAGATTGGTGAGATTGTAAGCCCAGTAGATAAACGTCCAAAAGATTTACTATCAGTGATGGTAGCACATGAATGTGAAAACTCATCTCAACTGTCACTTGTATTTCATATATACAAGTCGATATAGCAAATACGCCACAAAAGACGCATCTCATGCAGGTATGCTGATGACAAGCACGAAAAGAGGGCATTACCTTTGATGACACGGCTCAGATGCTGCTCCGAGCCCTCCAGGCTGACGGCCAGAATCCTCCTCGGATTGGAAATGTCCATGTTGATGAGACGTTTGGCCACCCTCTCCACGTCCTCGCAATCCGGAGCAAAATCTGCAAAAGAATGACGTGCTCTCACACTCACTCACTCTCTGTTATAGGGCGATATAATGAATGATTGTCGTGAGGATTTAATTATGAGGGAATAGGTGCCGGAGCTGTGTTACATGAGGCTGTGTAGAGTAAAGGAGAAGAAATATATAAAGTTGAGGTGTAGAAAGTTGATGCTGCCTTATTCACGGGACGCTTAGTGATGGATTGTCAGCCACGTTTAAGCAACCTCAGATTACAGCGGGGGCGAATTATTGGTTGGAGGGGCAAAGCGCTGTGGGGTCCAAATGCTAATTCCAAGTTACCTCAAGTAGAATGAATATCACAGAAGCCGTCAAAGTGCATCATGAGAGATAGCTGAGTTGAAATTGCAACTATGTAAAGAAAACAAATGAAAAGATAAATCCATATCGTGCCCAGTATATGCAATGACCTGTAAGGAATAGACAAACAAAGGATTGTACATAGGAATAGCTCAACGTCCGCTGTACCTATAAAATATCATCAATGCTACCCTGTAACTCCAAAAACTCCTCCACCAAAACATGTCTTTTTAAAGTGCTGAGGGAAGAAAGGGGCGCATTTATCCAATAGAAATGTGCATCTCCAGCCCATCTAGATTCGTGTCATCACCCTTCATCTTGTTTTTCGCCACGGTGCTCAATATGCAAGCCATTTACCGTCTTCCAAACTTGAAGCGCCGGGGGGCGCTGCCACTATCACCACCCCATCCAAACGACCTGTTGACCACGCCCATGGCTTCCACACCAGCCTGCACCATACCGGCAAAGCCACCAGCTTGGTCGGCCGGCTGGTCAGCTCTCTCCACGTCTCCCTGATCGAGGTGGCCCTGTCTGCGTTCCAAGACGGCCTTCTGGATAGCTCTCGCCCACATCTGGTACCACTGAGCCTCGCTCATGGAAGCAAAGCGACGTTCCACGCAGCCAGTGCCATCCGGCTCATCACGGCTCAGGGACCATTCAGCGTATACCGTCTCCCAACGTTTGGTGCGGAAGAATAGATAAGGCCAGGCGAAGAGGAACATGAGAGTCAGCATAAACATGACCTCGATCCATTTGGTGAGACGCATCTGGTTCACACGGCAGGCATTGTAAATCTCCACACGAGAGTTCCGCACCGGGAAAGTAATGCTGGTGTGACCACGATAATTGGTATCATGAACTAGGCGTTCCAGCTGCTTCTTCAGATAATCCCAGTCCCATCCGGTAACACGACGCTCAAAGGCCATGTTCTTGAGACCGGCACGGCTGGCACAGAAGCGGTGGCACCATTCCTCGACGGTAGGCTCGCCGCTTTCGATGATGCCACCGCTGCCGCCGAAGCCAGCTGCGCGAGTCGGGAAGACGGTGCCACGGCGAACCTTTTCTAGGTTGCCGACGGCGTGGAGCTTTCGCCAGGCCCCGTTTGTAGGGTCCTGGATATTGTGGTAGAGCAAGTGTGTGAGCTCAATCTCAATGTCAAAATCAACCACGGTGACCTGCTCCGTCTTGTCATCAGACTTGCGGCGAGTCTCCGTGTGTGTGCCGCGGATCTGGGCAAACGGTCGAGGAGGCAGCTGGGACAGATGGACGAGAGCATCGTTGAGATACTTGGGATCCGAGTCGAGGCGGGAATCCAAGTAATAGACGGTGTCTGAGCGAGGGTCACGCTTGAAGGGCTCGAGGTTTAAAATGCTGGCTGCAGGGCCAGCAGGGGCTAGAGGGTCGATGAAAGGGACGGCATCGTTCTCATGCTCGTCATACAGGGGAGGTAGATCGTCGGTGGCGAGCTCGGTAGGGTCATCGTCAAAGTACGTCTGGCGATGGTTGCCGAGATTCGCAGCGGAAAAGGTTGAGGCCGTTGGGTTGAGGGAGATGGAGCCGGCGGATTCGGCCAAGGGCGTTGTAGGCCCGGCAGCCGGAGACGGAGGCGGGAGGAAGTCTGGCTTGCCCATGATTGCGGGTGTCTGAGTGTAGATTGTAGGAGGGCGGACAAAGGTCGTAAAAAAGATGAGACCCAAGAAATGAGAGAATAGAAAAAAATGAGAAGGAAAAAGATGGGCGTCAAAGAAGCGAAGAGGGTGGGAATCGATAAGGAAAAAAGAAGCTTAAAACCGGTGAGAGAGGCAGGCAGGTACGTAAGCCTTGGGTAGCGGTCCCGGCTGCTTCTTTTCCCACTTGTCGTTGTTTGTGCGCTCTGGCTCTTTGACTCTCTCCAACTCTCTCCAAACTCTGTAATCAATTGCCTGATTTTCCCCGGATTTCAAACCGTCCACCAAAGAAAACCTTCAAGCTCGGCGTATTTCGAATATCGGCAGAACGAAAACAAAACAAAAGAGCACGAGACGAGAAAGGCGAAACGGGGAACGTGGCACAAACACCGGCTTTATCTATCTCTAGGCTGCAAGCTGGGCAGACACCAAAGTCACAAGTCACCAGGCCCAACGGCGGACCAAGCGTCGGTGCCCTGTGAGATGCAGGAGTGCGTCCAGTCCAAAAGCTGTGCCGTGCTAAACAACCCGCTAGAGCGCAACAATGCAATGCGGCTGAATGGCACTAGAGCTTTCACGAGCTTACGTCTTGCTCCGTAACGCCGCCGTTGATTCTTCAGCACCGCCTCCTCTTGTTCGTGGCATGATTCCGGAAACGGAAATGGCCGGGTTTTTGCCATCGTGGCTCGCCCGCGGCATTTCAACCTTGTTCGAGACGAAACGAGACGAGTCTGGCGAGATGAGACGAAACTTGGAGCGAGCATGGCGCTACTAAATAAGATGTGGATGGTCCTTGGAACACTTGGAACAAGCACTACAAGAGCTCAAGAGCTGCTATAGATGCTATACGCCCGTCTCTGAGTATTTCTGCTGCGGCTACTGCTACTATTGCTGCTGGTAACACTGCTAGCAGCTCCGTGCACCAAAACACATGCTACTACTCCGTGCAGACTACTACAGACAACTAGACTCAGAGTAGTTGATTCAGACTGACGGCTAGACTGGACTGGAATCATCATACGACTGCACAAGAAACCCCCAACATGGTTTCGATGGATAAATCTTGACTGTTTGTTTTGGGCTCTGACTGGGCTGCTCTCGCGAATCCCGTCTCAACTTACCCCACAATCACCACCACCTTGCCTTACTCTCTTCAAAACGAAACTCCTGCAGTTGGTGGGCAGAGTCATTCCATGTTACTACTCCAACACGGCCCGTTGCGAAGTATCATTATGGAACTCAATCACCTCCTAAGGTCCATGATTTTGGCGCGCGGCTATCGTCCTACCGAATAGCCAAGGACGAGTGCGTAGATCGCTACAAGGAGGTGGTATGGCGGCACTACAATTACTCTATCCGTCAAGATGTCTCGGTAGCTATCTGGATCTCATCGATCAAACTTACCTATACTTCGTATGAAGCGTACTGTCCTTGAATATCAGACAATATGGATTTTTCCAAGATGTCATCGGGGCGCCAACCCTACTCATAGCCGCCACCCAGGCTGGCAAGACTCTGCATGAGACTATACAGTTCATTCGAAACTTGAGCGGACGATACACGATCTCCGCTCTGAACTTGAATCCCTTATGAAATTACTGCAAACTCTCAAATCCGTAGTTACAAAAGCCCAATAATAGAGAAGGATCTGACTCTTATGATGAGGTTGAGAGAAATATGAGCAATATAACACTTGATGACATTAATTTATATAAGTACTATTGACCTAATTGAGATCCTTTTAGTTTTAGTTTCCCTTCTTTTATATTCAGTTGTGACCCTCGTCCCACTTCTTCTTTGCGGCTTTTACTAATATATCCATATCGCCACTGGTCTCACACATACTCCTAAATGTTCCGTCTTTTTTGTTAATCAGCTCCCACGGGTGATCAAATTCAACCACTTCACCCTTATCTAACACCAATACTTTATCATAATCCACGATAGTCTGGAGACGATGTGCAATTGTAATCACAGTTCCAGTAAGTTCCCGGATGGTTTCTTGAATCTTCGAGTCCGTGTTGTAATCGATAGATGCTGTAGCCTCATCCATGACCATGACAGTCGGCTTCTTCAGCATGGCTCGTGCCAGACACAGAAGCTGTCGTTGACCTTGAGAGAGGTTGGAGCCGGACTCGGAAACGGGGGAATGCAAGTCAAGGAAGATGTTCTTGTTAGTCGCAATTGACGGCGTCCGGGTACCAGATGAGCCCCCTGCGCTCTCTCCTTCAGCGGAGCCCTGAACAGTAGGGGTTGCAGGGGTGGTCGTCTCGTCATGGCCAATTAACTGAACACGTCTCAAAGCCTCAAACACCTCTTCATCCGTATACTGATCAAAGGGATCAAGATTTGTTCGAATGGTACCCATGAAGAGTGTGGGGTCTTGAGGCACAATGGTAATGTTCTCTCGGAGATCCTGGAGTCCAATCTTGCTGATATCGATGCCATCGATCGTAATGGATCCCGAGTCAGCTTCAAGGGCACGGAAAATGGCCAGCGTCAACGAACTCTTGCCTGCGCCAGTTCGGCCCACGATGCCAACCTTTTCCTTAGGGCTAATCTTAAGCGAGATGCCTCTGAGAACCGGATCCAAGTCGGCGCGATATCGAGTAGAGTAGTTGACAAACTCGACACCACCCTCCGCAGGCCAGTTCTTTGGCGGCCGGTTATCTTCGATAATCGGTTCCGCTTCCTGTTCAACATCTAGGTATTCCTTGACACGTTCCATAGAGTTCATGTTTTGCTCGTTCATGCCATACTGACGGACAAGCCACAAAACGTTTTCGGTAAAGTTCATCGCATAGCTCAATGAGATACCAGCCGCACCGGCATCAATCTTGCCCAGGTTGACAATAATGAAGACGCCTGCGAAGAAGGAAACGAAGTTGCCGAGCAAATCGGCTCGGAATGCGAGCCATCTGTTGCAAGCCCACAGATAGATGAACGGTCGGCTCTGAGTGTTGATTTTGGCCAAGTTGTCGCGGATGAAACGTCGTTCATCGCCGTAAGCTCTGATAGTTGTCATACCGCTAAGAGTCTCGCCAAACTGCTGGAAGAGCGGGCTACGCTGGACAGACTCTAGACGCTTAAGATCGCGAGATGCGCGTAGGTAGAAGGCGGCGACAACATAGAATAGGATAGCAATGAAGAAGGCGGCAATGAGGAAGCCAGGAGTGATGAATGAAATCAACACAATGGTCACGACGAGAGAGAGAGCGCAGACCATTACACCAATCGCTGTGGGTGCAATCTCTTGATCCACAGCCTCGAGATCCTTACTAAAGCGGTTCATCAGCTGGCCCAGAGGGGTTACGTCGAAGAACTTGAATTTGGCTCGGGTCACAGATTGAATGAGACGATCGTGAATTCGCCTGGATGCAGTCAAGGAACCGACAAAGATCCATACGTCTCGGATCAGAGCGGTCAGGGCACCGAACACGCCAATGAGGGCAAGTCCAGTGAGGTAATATGGGACATTGACTTGTGGTACTGCAGTCGGGCCAAGAGTGATCTGATCATCCAGTACGCGCAAACCTGGTTCTGTCGAGGAACGCATGCCACTCAAGCTGGCAATAGAAGCCCAGGAGCCTTTAGATAGAGTTCCAGCACCGTAGGCATGTGGCATGGAGCTTAGCGAAATGTTGATATTCTCCTCCTCGATGTACTGGTTAGCCCACTCCCTAACCCAGATGTTCGTTGCAACGGTCGAGAGCTGTTGCATGCCAAAGACCATAAAAGCAACAAGCCAGAACCACCAAGGTCCCATAGAAGAGAGATAAATGCGCAAAACAGACCATTTGACAGATCCAGTCGCCTTTGTCTCTTCAGGAGGACCCTTGGGCGGTTCCTTTTTATCCTTCTTGGAGTCGTCTGTGGAGCCTGCGGCGTCACCGTTACTGTTAACCATCGTCTCCTCATCGCCGACGCTTGATGGTACACGAGATGGGATACGAGATGCAGTATGAGAAGCAGGTCGAGAGCGCTGAATTTCCTCGCCGAGCTTGCCGGAGGCGATGACCTCTTGTGAAGGCCCTTGGGCTACAACCCTTCCGTTCTCTAGTAAGACGACGAAGTCGGATGACGGAACACAAAGCTGTATGTTGTGGGTAACAAGAACGCAGGTGCGGCCCTTCATCAATGGGCCATTGATGCAGTTGGTAAAGATCCATTGAGCCGTGTGCGAATCCACAGCACTAAGACAGTCGTCCAAGAGGATATGCGCCGAGTTTGAATATAGAGCACGAGCCAAGGAGATTCGCTGCTTCTGACCACCGGATAGAGTGATACCTTTCTCACCAACCAACGTTTGGTCTCCATGATCGAGAATTTCGAGATCACGCTCGAGAGCACAAGCGACAATGACGTCCTTGTATCTTTGCTCATCATACGGCGCGGCAAAAATGATGTTATCCTTGATATTAGCGTTGACCAACCAGGCTGCCTGGGCGACATAAGCGATTGTATCGGCAAGACCAGTCTCGGGGTTGGGGCGGACGTCCTCTCGGCTGCGACCGCCAGGGCAGAATACCCTGCCTTCTACAAGTGTCATCTCACCAAGAAGACCCATGAGCATAGAAGTCTTGCCAGATCCAGTTGGGCCGGCGATGATGTTGAGCTTGCCGATCTGAAAGTCAATGTCTAGGTCAAGCAGTCGGAATGCCCTGGAACCATCTTCGGCCACACTGTTTTTGGCACCCCAGATCAAAGTAGCATCCCTGAAGCCAATGCGTTTCTTGCCATCTTCGTCCACATTGTCCAATCCAAGTTGTTCATACTTTTCGGTCTCCTCTTCCAAAAGGTACTCCTCAACTCGATCGATGGAGACCTTTGCTTCCTGGACGTGAGCGAACATGTCGCCGAGGAGATCAAGGGGAACTCGAAGAAGCATGAAAAGAGAAATGGCTGTGAAGGCAACAGAGGGATACAGGGGCTTCTTCTCAATCAGGGTGTACACCAGGAAAGAGAAGAAGGTGATCAGAATGGGAACCGAGTTCCAGATGGCAACCGCGCAAGCCCATAGAAGGAATCGAGAGCGAAGAGCCTTGAGCTCGGCTTCACGCTTCTCATCCACAATCTTGCCGAATCGACGCTCCCAGGCAAAGTATTTAATGATGCGGATGTTTTGAAGAATCTCGTTGGTCACATTTATGCGCTTGTCGGTAGCAGCCATAATGTTCTTGGAAGTGATGTTGAAACCACGAGCGAGCATGTAGTTTACGGGCAGGAGGATGAACATGACAATGAGACCGGGAATGGCGCTGAGACCCATAACCTGCCAAAGCAAATAAACGGATACGATCAGCTGGGTGGGGGCTGAAGCGCACAAGAAATGCAGGTAGGCGGTGATTTCGGCAATCTTGAAGCTGTCAACCGACATGAGGTTGATAATGGTTCCCAGGTTGGCCTGTTCATCATCTCCTCCCTTCTCTGCGATGGCCTTGACGGAATCGGAGGTATTGGCGGCTTCGGTGTCGTCTGAGCTGGAAGCGTTCTTCTGCTTCTTGCCACCAAAACCAAGAGCGCGCTTGACTTTACTGACGACGCCTTTGCTTCCCTCGTCGTCGTTATCCTTGTCGGCTTTAGCATTGTCACCGAGCAGAACCTTGTCTTTGCCGGCGGCAGCTTTTCGGCGCAGCGCCTTTGCGTAAATGTCACCCACAATAATAGCACGGACGCGAATACAGATCTTGCGGCCAATCCAAAGGGCCATTCCATCGCAGTACGAGCGGATCGTATCAAGAATTGGGAGGCCAATTACGAGGAGCCAGAGAACGTTGACAGGCGCCTCGTCGGGACGTTCCACATACTGGAGGATAGCTTTGAGCAGCAGGGTGGGGGCAAAAGTGAAAAGACCGGCGACGGCTGCCATTGCACATTGCATGAACAGCAGACTGCGGAAATACTTGAGCAAGTGCCACGAAAGGGCAGTGGTCTTCTTCATCAGCCTGTAATCGGCGATAATGGCCGTGGACTTGTCCTTGGGGAGGAGATTCCAAACATCTTCCAGCTCCATGGGCTTCTTCCAACCTTGCCAGACAATAGCATCGACCCACGAAAAGGTGGCAATAGAAAAGAGACTGGCCAGAGGTTCGCGCGAGGGCTCGATGCCATCCTCCCACTCCAACTTGACAGTCTTGTTGCCCTTTCGCGTGGAGACAGCAATGCCGAATAGCAAAGAGTTGAGGGCAAAGTCAACGACGACGAGAATCTGAGAGAGCCGGGAGTAAGGGTAGAGAATGGCCGAGCGGAAGATGAAGATGGAGAAGAGCCATTTGCAGCCGTAAATGGTGGCGGTGTGGTTCCATATATAGGGGATTCGCCATTTGGAGGTACCCAGCGCAACTCGCAGTGTTGCGAGAATCAAAGTATATATCCAAGTGGTAAGACCAGCAGCGGCAACCAGGTGGGTGTCGGGGCCAAAAGCACCGGTGACGAGAGCATATGCATTGATCGCAACCAGGCCAATGAGAGCAAGCTCTTCGACGAATTGTGAGAAGCGCTGAGCGGTGGGGGTGTCGGCTTGGACTATAGAGCCCCTTGAAGTTACCTTGGCGAGAGCCAAGCGGCCGCCGTTAATCTCGAGATCGTCGTCATCGCTGCTGTCTTCGGATTCTGCGTCGGGGGGGATGGCTGTGTGGTCGGGTACGGCATCGTGGGCAGAGATGGAGCTATAACCCTTGGATTTGGCACTGCGGATACGATCGATGTTGGACCAAGCGAGGCGCAAGAGAGAAATAGCAATTACTATTAACGGGAAGAGGACAGCAAGGTAACTGTAGGTTTGTCCATTAGCTAAACTGTACCTTACGTAGGTATCAAGTGGCAAAGCAGATTGCGAGCGCGCAGTAGCAGCGCGAATCAAAAACTTACTCTCTGCGAAAGCAGCCGCTGAAGTCATCAATGTTCCATAGCGGATCTGAGCATTGAGCAAAGCCCATGGCTGGTTCCGGGTGGGGAGCAAGAGCTGCCCGCGAAGCAATAAGAAAAGTATAGGAAGCAAAATATGTATGTGGTGGTTCAGAAAGCAGAAACTAGAAGGGGAATGGACGATTAAAGGAAAGAACACGGACGAGCCTCGGTGGTCTCGCCTCGGTTCCTGGCGTATGAGCTCTCGTTCCTGCTGCCTCTCTATACACTCATAGCGTTAGTGAATGTACAGGCATGAGAAGAAAAGACATTCGGCGGACAGGAGAGGAAGAGAAAAGAGGAAGAAAGAGGCGACTGGACGATGATGGGATGTACAGGAACTGGGCGGTCGCATTGGCTAGAAGGCGACGGCGGGGTGGAGCTGCCAGGTAGCGCTAGCTGCAGTACAGGTACCGCCGATGGATAAGAACATGAGCGCGGACGCACGTACAGGTATGCCGCTCCGTACAGTTCAGGTACTTGTACAAGTCAGAGCACACTAATACATAAGCCAAGTATTATATGCTAAGGTCCGGATATGTTATCAGTGGGGAAAAGAGGCGAACAGGGTACGGAGGGAGTAGCTTTGCGCGCGATGCGGTGGGGAAGAAATACGCAGGGAGGGACTTTTTTTTTTTTCTTTTTCTTTTTTCTCCTCTTAACTTGACCAAGATTCTTTCTTTCCGGCGTAGCGGTTGGAGTTGAACGGGGAATTTTGCATATGGCGGCCCTCACCTAAGGTACAAGTACGTGCTAGCATGCGGAGTACATGCAGCTTTGCGCGTGCGGTGCTTTGACAAGGTATTTCCGGGGTACCTCTGATATCGATGCATCAAATATCCAGTACTCCGTACAGACGTCAAGATGAACGGTTGAGCAACACACCAAGCTCGCACAAGCATGCGGGCAAGGGCACTATTGATATCCTGGCCGCCCCCAACTCCTTTGCAATTCAACCGGCGGCTAGCCTGATGAGACAGATGGTGGAAGCGCGGTGGCACGATGATCAACCTCAGGGTCGAAAAGAGGACTGCGTTGGGATCAAGAGTCACACGGCGGGAGCTGCATTAGTGCATGCGCTGAAGCTGCTTTTGCACACCAGCACATGATGATGATATAAGGTGATTACGGCTCTGGGCTAGTGCCCCTTCGAACGAACGCAGAGATGGGAGCAGATCTGGGATTGTCGTGAAAAGCACAAGAGACTGATTCGGGGCGACTGAGAGACCGGCTTATCCTGCCGCTAGACCCTCAGGCAGGGTTGCATTCCGTCTCGTTTGCCTGGCAATGAACTCTTCGTAACCGCTTGAGAGTTGATGCCGGCACGAACCTTGAGACTGTCATTGATCTGAACTTTGCTTTACATGCATGATGACCACAGGCTGTACATGAGAGGTACATGAGCCTTGGTCAGAGTTGCAGCTGCTAGGGCAGTAGTGCCAGAGCTTAAAAGATGCAGCAAAAGTACCCTCGAGTACCGGGTATCCAATCCAATCCAATGGCCAGCCTCCAGTATGATGAATCTCGCAAATCACCAGCTCTCACTCAGCCCGATCATGACCTGCAGCCATCTCCTGCGCCTTCAGCACGGATTTGCACTTGGTAGCGTCGACTCATTCGCTGAGTCACCAGAGTCGACGCGATGCACTTGGCTTTGCAAACGTTCCCTGCCCTCCATCCTCCAGCCTCTGCTCGGTAGCACATGCTTGCGCCCTCCACTTACATCAGAATGTGTTGTTGATTCATCCATCATCCATCAGACGGCACAGGGCATTCTGCATTCTACTTATTCTGCTGTCATCATGCATTTGCCATTTCTGGAATCAATCATCACTCATCACTGACGGCGGATTTCTTCTTTTTTTCTATCTTGACTTCGCCTTCTGCTTTTACTCATCCAGGCTAACAAAAGCCATCCACTTGGTCAACTCCACTACCGCCCCTCCCCGACCTTCCCCTTAGGTGTACAGAATCCTCCACAGCATCTGTCCCGCTCCATGACCTCTCTTTTGAATGACTGACTCACCGCTATGGCGGAGCCTGGCAGCCTCCTTTACTACTGTACTCTGCTCGTGCATGTGTGGCACCAAGCCAGCCCGGGATACTGAAGGAGACGCTACTACGGAGTAGTTGCGCTGCTTCCGGACCACCAATATCAAGCATCATGAACTAGTCACGCTTTTCACAGCTTCTTTTTCCAAACCGCCGTCCTCTGCCAGGCAAACCACGATAGCGGCACTGGAGCTACTGCACTACGACATGTCCGGCCCTGCAGCGAGCTCCGACATTGCCTGCATGGCGCATCCCGGCACGCACGCCATCCCGGACCCTCCACGCAGCGCTGATTTGCTACCCGTTTCGTATTGGCCGTACTCGTGCACCTTCACAACGCGCTGCGGAAGGGAGGGAGGCCCAAGCTCCCACGGAGCCATCATCCGAACCCTTTGGCTTGATTCATCCTCGTCCATTTATCTGATCTCGCCTAAAAAAGCTATGTAATACTATTTCGGCTATCTTTGTAGCGAAAACTACGGCCACAGAGCATATCTAATTGGTTCACTCCCTGTCCGGCTCAGTGTCAATCATGGAGAGATGATCCCAGGCACCTGTACTTGATAGCCTTGGTATATTACTTGTTATTCCATCAACTAACATTACAGCTTCGCCTTGTTAGTGCTAAGCAGGGTTTTGTTTTTCCTTTTGGCTCGCCATAACCATTCCTTTTGGCTCGCCATAACCAACGGTAACTAATTGTCTCTGATTGGCTATTCGGCTATTCCGTAGTTAACACGCCTTTACTATGGAGCATCGAGAAATTGGATAGTCATCATCCATCATGGTTGCGGTCAGTGACTCAAACAAACAACTCGCCGGGTAAGTTCCCCGCAAAACCCCCGTGGATGCTACTTAGTGCCACTGGAAAGTGTGCGTCAGGAGACTTGAATAATATCGCCGGTGAGGCTTGATTCATTTTACAGCGGAGGGCGGTACGAGTAGTAATCCAAGCTGCATGTCTCAGTCGAGATTTGGCGGAAGAAGGATGAAAATTACCCCGCGGCACTTATACAACGTCCATAAACTGCATGTGCTAAGAGTATTTACACAACCATATCCAGCAACACCCCTTGGTGTTGACATCACTTCTTACACTACGCCGGCAATAGCTGAAAGACAAGCGGATTTCGCATCGATTCATCGCGCAATTCCACCCGTTGAATCCGAATTGCTTCCTTGCACATGTACGAGTAACAGCTGGCCCGTGGGAAGCCCTCACCGTCTTTCTGGCGCTGACAAATGGATGCGCTCCCGTCTACCCTGTGCCGAACTGACTGTACTGAGACACTGCCTTTCCATCATACTGACTATGCTGAACGCTACTCTCCATCATATTTGTACGAATGTGCACCCGCCAAAAGATATGAAACATGATTTTCGTGGACGGCGGTCGTTCTGGAGCCATGTTTTAAAACTTGTACCTTGCAATCTTGCATCTCCCGAAATATTGGTGTAGATGGTACACAGCACAAATGAAAAAAGTGATTAAATGCATAAACCCAGCAGGCTCGTGATACCTTCGCTGCCTGTTCGTGTATCAATGGCGTGCCTGCCATCTCTTAAGACTACCTAGTAAATTAACCTGGACCAATCGCTGCTAAATTACGCAAATCCAAGACAATGGTCCTACATGCTGTATCACGGTTCACAAAGTCTAAAATTTCCTCCGAGTATCTGTACATCGTACAAGAATCTATTAAAACCCTGGTCATGTCAAGACGTGTCCGTGCCTCCGAAAGCGGAACCTATTTCCTGGAATTGAACTCATCCATTGATGAGACCTGTTCCACGGGATGCTTGCTCAAACTTTCGTAAAGTTGCAGGTAACTGCCAATCAAGAAAGCCCATGAACCCCTACGAGTAGCAGCCAAAAGTCAGCAAATGGCCTCCCCCATAACGGATCTTAAAGCATCACATCAGACGCGACTTACCAGAATGTAGCCAGTCCAGCTTCAAACTGCGCCCCAGAATTGTTGAATGCCATACCCAGGGCACCGCAGAGCGTGAACCCAAACGCTCCCACGAGATTCCAAAACGCAATGTGCCAGCCCAGAAGGTGAGGTGCGGGCTTCCACCATTTCTGCTGTGTTTCTAGCATGTACAATGTGCTGCTGACAATAAAGCCACTGCCGCCAACGACCTGAGGGATCCAGTACGCGGCATTGAGTCGCCATTGGGGCGTGAGATGATTGTTAATCCCCGGCAGCGCGGTAAAGCCAGACACACCAAAGACAGTCGCGCCAAAGAGCTGTGCACAACCGGCGAGAAATCCCAGCTCGTGGATATAATGTGTGCGCAAGTCATGCCACGAAGGGAACCATTGCCAATGCTTCTCATCATTATTACTGCCGGGATCCGGTTGAGCTTCAATCGAAGTAGAAGCTGAGGGCTTGCCCACAAAGTTGCGTCGATTTTGGTGATGGTGGTGGCAATGATGGCGGCTTGCGACTACCCGAAGCCTCGGCTTGCCACTTCTCCCATTGTCGACAAATTGCTCGACGGCCCAACCGAAACAGCCCGACCTGTTGGCGTTTATGGCCTCGAATATGAGGAGGATGGAACCGAATTCGAAAAAGACGATGGCGCCTATGAAGGCGGTTATGCCACCGGCCCAGTAGACTTCGCTGTCGAACTCGGTAGAGGGAGCCACGAGCGGAAGCCAGACGAAGAAACTCTGTCTAATGCATTAGATCACAACGCTCAAACTCCCCAGGCCGCCTGCCCCAGTGCATTTTACACATACATTTAGAACCCAGACCATGCTTCCCCATGTAAAGATGAAGGCCACCAGCCACGAAATGTCCCAGATGGGGTAGTACGTGAAAGTCTTGATCACCGTCTTCAAAATCTCCCGGGGATGCGACGTGCACCGTGGTGTCAGGAAAGGCGCCACCTCTCCCGGGAGCGGCTTTTGAACGAGCAAAGGATGCCGGCCCTTTCGATTATCTCGAGACCGCCATAAGAATTTGACGTTCTTGGCGGGGACGTTCGAATCGGCGGCTTGTTTTGTCTGTTCATGCCTGGTTTCCGCATCATCGCCGCTCTCATGTGGTTCCGCTATCTCGTCAGGCGTCGGCTTCGGAGCCAGTGCTGAGTGGTCGAAATGCGCTCTTGTTGGATTGAGAAAGCCAAACGGCCCCTCAGCGTGCTGCAACGTTAGCCGGTCGTCATTGTGGAATGGCTCTCGCGAGAAAAAGCGCCTGTTCCGCCGAGCTGGCATTTTCTATGGCGCGCTTGTCGCGAGCTCTAGAGTCGAGTGTTGTCGAGTGTCTTATGGCTATTTCTGCTCTCTAGATGTTGGAGGCTATCGACAACCTACGCCAAACAGTCCATTGAAGAGTATGAAGAATATGAGTGTGCGGCTGGTGCCATTCGGAATGCAACGAAGTCGAATTGGGCGATGAAGAGCCGATGACGACAATAACGACAACACGTTTTATCCTGGCATGACATGGTTCAAGTTGTTAGCCGATTCTTAGCTTCAGCTCCCAAGTGCCGCTCCCGTGTTAGTGCTGCGCACGGGCATTACGTAAAGCGGATGGGGCTTTGCTCCCCCGCGATACCCCAAAATCGACTAGGAAACCGGGCGTCGGACAGCGATTGACTGTAAGTTCTGTAACCCATTGCGAGCTTACTCTAGTAGAGCTTATACGAGTAGACGAGTAGCAAATGTATGTGTACTCCCTAGATATGTACTACTTATCCATGTACAAGCTATCGTGCTTGGTAGCTTGGTGTTTGTGGCATACTTGTTTCACAGGTTCACTCGTTTACACGGTATTGCCTCGGACACAACGAAGGTATTCTGGGAATATTTAATCCATAGACATGTAGTTATAAACACGACGCCCCTATATCTCTCTCACAATGCTAGCTCCCAGTTGCCTACAAAAAAACAATCGTACAGTTCCATTTTATATTTTGTTTCATACTCCTTATCCCCTATTGATATTCCCCTGTTGGTACATTACTACAATTTCCATGCCTGTCAAGGATTTACCAAGACTGTAGAAATCAAAGAGATTTTATTAGAGAATCAAAGCTCCCCCACTTCCCATAAGATTCCGTTTAGCCCATGATCATGCCCTTCATTCCGGCAAGATCACCCTCCTTGGCAGCAATTTCGAAGTAGCCGTAGATGATACTAGTAAAAGTTAGCTTCACCCCAATCTCATCTGGAACTGGAGGGGGGATATAAACTTACGTGACAGCGAGCAGAGTACCGGTACCAGAGCCAAGAGCCCCCATAAGGTCGCTCAGGACGGACAGAGCACCAATGCAGGCACCACCAAAGGCAGCGGCGGTAGGAATGATGCGCTTGAGCTCCTTGTACATGCTCTGATCACGGTGTCCAGCCATGACGAGACCCTGGTCCTTGAGCTGCTTGGCAACATCACGGGGGCTGGAGCCGGAAACCTCAATCCAGGTCTTGGAGAAGAGAGCACAGGCGCCGAGCATGTAGATGATGTAGACGGCGGTGTGGATGGGGTCGAGGAGAGCATCCTTGAAGTTGAGGGGAGGAGACATGTAGTAGACAAGACCGGAGACAGCGTGGAGCTGAGAAGTACCATCCTTGGCCTCCCACACACCAAAGAGACGAACCAGGAGGTTCTCGGAGAAGCGAGAGTAGAGCATCTGGCTGATCAGGAAGACGTTGGAGGACAGGGCGGACTGCAGCATGATGGGCATGTTGGAGGTGTAGAACAGGCGAACGGGGTATGAGCCTCGGGCACCACGCTGGCGGTTAGACTTGACGGGAATCTCGACGCGGAAGCCCTGAAGGTAGATGATGGCAACAAAGACCAGGATGGTGGCGAGAAGGTTCATGATGTTGGGGAGGTTTTGCCTGTAGAAAGCCTCCTGGAGAGCGCGCTGCTTGTTGGGCCAGGTCATCAGGAGGTGGAAGAGAGCGATGACGGCACCCTCGAACTCGGGGCCACGGCCAGTGTTGATGGTGGTGGGAGAGAAAGCCTTCCACATGATGGACTCGCAGATGTTGGTGGCAATGAACAGAGAGATACCACTGCCAAGGCCGTAACCCTTCTGCAGGAGCTCATCGAGCAGAATGACAATCATGCCAGCAACGACCAGCTGGAGGATGAGCAGGAAGACAATGCCAGCACCGAGGTCGGAGGGAGTGCCGTAGAGACCAGTGAAGACGTAGACGGTGGCGGTACCGGCAGACAGGATGAAGGCAAAGAGCTTCTGGGCAGTCTGGTAGAGTTCGCGATCCGACTTGAGGTCGAGGTTGACGTCAATGAGGTGGGTACCAGCGAGGAGCTGGAAGACCATGCCAGAGGAGATGATGGGAGTGATACCCAATTCCATCAGAGTACCTCGATTACTCGCCATCACCATTCGCAACCAGTATAGAGGATCCGAATTGTCGGAGGAGACAATGCCGTAGAGAGGCATTTGGCTCATGACCAGGAAGATGAGGAGCGTCAATGCCGTCCACATCAGCTTCTGGTTGAAGGGAATCTTGGTTTCCGGCTGCTGAACCTCGGGGAGGAACGGCACGAACGGCTTGACCAGATCGAGAAAACGTACTGCAGAAGCATTGCCATGTTAGCAGCGTGCGATTGAGCATCAATTGCGCGTTTTCGGCCGTCTTCGTGCGTGCGCGCGCGCGACACAAGACTGGACAGCGGCTTGGTGGGGGAATTGCAACTCACGAGAACTCATGGCGGCGGCTGAAGGGGGAAAACCAGAGAAGGAAAACTAATTCATCCAAGGAAAAGAAGGAAGGAAGAAAAAGTCGAGCCTTGGATGAGCTCGGGGGTAGAAGAAAAGGTGAATCGATGAGAGAAGTGGTGAAGGGAGCTGGGGAAAGGTTGCGATCTGGCTTCAAGCCCCGAAATGTTGATGTGTCCCGAAACTAGATGGGGGCGCACGTGACTCGCCCGTCGTTAAAGAAGCGTGGCCTCGACAGAACTAACAAGGGTCTGGTCTGGTCTTTTTTCCACCCCAGCACTCTAATAAGCCAACCAATTCAAGCCACTTGTAGGTAAAATTTCTGGGACAGGGAGCTCGAAGTGGGGGGAATTTGGATGACTGTTCAGTTCGAAATTCTTCTATTGATTTTCTGGTGCTCGCAAACAGCTGCGGCCCAGCTCGAAGAGGAAGCTTCCACTGCATTGCGCCTTAAAAGACAGATTGCAGGATTCTGATTCTGACAGTGCCAGCGCAACGAAGCCCGATTTGGCTCGTTGTCGAATGCTCGGCCGGGGAGCAGGGCTGTTGCGCCATGTACTGTCTATGTCTATGTCTATGATGGCCGCTCGCAAAGCTCCAGCCGAACCGTTGCTGGTGATCCTAGGCTCTACAGGCACAGGTAAATCCGAGGTTGGACTGTCTTTGCCCTGACTGCAGACAACCTTGGTTCAATTTTTCTAACAGTGTGATACAGCTAGCCGTAGAACTGGCAACGCGGTTTAAAGGCGAGATCATCAATTCCGATGCTATGCAGCTTTACAATGGCCTGCCCATCATAACGAACAAGATCAGCCAAGAGGAGAGGCACGGCATTCAACACCATCTTTTGGGCCATATTCCACTGGACGACGCTCCTTGGGACGTAGAAGATTTCAAGTCTGAAGCCACAAAGGTCATACGCGAAATCCGCGGTCGTGGAAACCTACCCATTCTCGTTGGAGGGACTCAATACTATGTTGACCCGCTTCTTTTTAAAGATGTAATCCTTGATGACGTGCAGATAGACCCCTCCTTGTCGTTTCCAATCTTGGAGCAGCCTACAGATGTGTTACTGGAAGAGCTGAAGAAGGTTGATCCGATTATGGCGGAGAGGTGGCATCCGAATGATAGACGCAAGATTCAGCGATCACTCGAAATCTACCTGCATACGGGTAAACCTGCATCAGAATTATATGCAGAGCAAGAGAAGCGCAAAGCTGCAGTTGCTCAAGAACCAGGGACAAGTCAGCCTTGGGAAAAGTTGCTCTTCTGGGTCTATTCAGAACGAGATGTCCTTACTGCACGGCTGGACAGTCGAGTAGACAAGATGCTCGGCGCCGGACTCTTGGACGAGGTTCAAGAGCTGTTTGATATGAAAAGGAACAAGGCTGCTGAGGGTCAAATCCTGAACATGACAAAGGGCATATGGCAGTCCATTGGCTACAAGCAGTTTGAACCATACATGGCTGCGAGAGAAGAGGGCAAGGATGAAGCTGACCTCGAAAAAATCAAATCCAACGCTCTGGAGGAGATGAAAGCGGCAACGCGCCGGTATGCAAACTACCAAACCCGATGGATCAGGCTGAAGCAGATCCCACGCCTCAAGGAGCAAGGCCCCGAGGCATTTGGCAGCTTATACTTGGTGGACAGCACCGATGTCTCAAAGTTCAAAGCCAATGTTATAGAGCCTGCTGCCGAGATCACGTCCAAGTTCCTCGCTGGGGAATCGAGGCCGGTACCCACTGAGTTATCGGAACTGGCCCGAGAGGTGCTTACACGAGTGAGTGAGCCCCCGCCAAAGGACATTCCATGCAAAAGAACATGCGAGATATGTCAAACAGTCTGCGTGACGGAGCAGGCCTGGCAACGGCACATTAAGAGTGCTGGACATAAACGGGTCATGAAGAAGAAGAAGAGACTGGCGCTTGTACCGGTAGACAAGACTCCAGACAACCATTCCGATAGTGAAGCATCTTCGGATCCTGATGTAACCTCAATCTTTGCCACTTGATACCTCATCCTTTCAGATATTACGCCGACAAAGATAGCCAATGGCTGATTTGCATATCGAACGATGTGCTATAACAACATCAAGGGGTGTGCAAAAAAGAGGGAATCAAGAGATGCTCAGCATACAGAAACAGACAATCGCATATACCCGCAATCAAGTGCTATGACCAACAACACTCATTGGTTGCAATGGTGGGTTTCGGATCACACCCTGACAAGCACGATTCCTGCAGGGCACAACCACGCATTGACATCTACTGCAACCATTATGTAGTACAACATGTCGACAACTCATGCATGGCAAACTCATTTATTCTTGGCAATAAGTGTCTCTGAATTATGGCTAAATGCCCCGAGACTGCACACGAAATAACCGTGCTTGATATCTCTCTCATGCTCCGAATGGGCATCTTGTTATCTGCCGAATCCTCTAGGATTGTGGATCTCAAGATCCGCAAACATACGTTGGCACTCAAAGAGATGGAAGACGATTTTATGAGAAAACACAAATGATTCATTCTGATTCATATCATTGCCGTACATTCAAAAACTCGCTGAATACAAAATCCCAGCTTCATTGCTCAGGGGTCCACCCAAATGACAAGATGCAGTTGTCGATGTTGCTAATTCCACGAAAGACGCCTCCTCACACCACAGGATCCAATGCCTGAAGATGCCGTAAAACCAAAAGTAGGATAGGAAAAAAAAAGTGACAAGATGCAAGATGAGAATCCCATAGCCTCGCCATGAGTCATAGTGATGCGAAAATGCTCAAGCCCAGCGCCCTAGAACTCCAGACCAAATGTGGCCAGCAGAAACGAGAGAAAGAAACGTGTGTCGTTTCACAGGAAGTAGGCTTCAGCCGTGTTGATCCTGTGTGCTTACGTTTCTGACAAGATGGACTGCCCTTTGTGGTGATGGTTGCGAATGCAGGTCATCGCCGAACAGTCATCGCCGATGGATATCAATGGGGGGGTGTAAAACAAAAAGAAAACGGAAAAGACAGAAAAGGTTCTCATGTGAAGCCAATGCATGGTCCTCTTTATAATGCCTGCTTCTCAATTGTTGGCGCCTTGACGCTTGGTCCGCTGCGGGAGACCCAGGTCTGAGCCTCTCGGACGACGCCCTTGAAGAATGTGAGGATGCCACTGGACTCGCCTGCAGCGCCTTTGGAGGTGGTGTCGTTGAGGGCGTCGAGGTAAATGGTTCGTCGGGCCATGGCTGATGTTTGTGTATGTGTGTATGTGATTTGTTTCTTTTGTCTCGTGCAAGTGCCGGTCAACGATGAGCAGCAATCAATATATAGGTACTTGGTAGTATATATCTGTATATGTATATGACGGAGTCGAGTCAGGAAAAGAGAATTGGAGAGATACACGAATGGTATTTATACAAGAAAAGAGAAACACAAAGCATTCCACCCAAGCGGGCACGCCTCATTCTTTTATACCCAGACCAACCCAGCTCTCCCATCCACACACACAATGCGGGCGCAAAAGCCACACAGACGCCCACGCCCACATCGGCCATTCAACTTCCAGCTCGTCTATTGTCGCCCCAGAAGTCCTGCATTGTCTCTCGCCTCTAGCTCTAGGGCCGCTGCCGGACGAGACGCTGCATGCATCCAGGCAAAAACCAACATACCCCCAGTCCCGTTATCATCATAGTCTGTCTGCAGAACCTCGCTTTTTTTTTGGCTTCCCTTCCAGGCGGGCCGGCCAATCGCCGACCCTTGTCTCGCCTCGCTCTGCCAACAAACTCCGCCCGCGCGCCAATCCATGTATCAATCAATATTGGGTAGGCCCGGCAGTGACAGGTATCATTTTTGCTCTTTTGCCTTGCTCGACTACGGTATGTAACTAATCCCCCCCCCCCCAGCTCCAAGGTCATGCACAAGACAAGTTAAAAGAGACAAGACAAGGCCCTTGGACGTCATCTGATGCAGCGCCATGGGAATGCTGGGATGGAGCCTTGCAAAGTTATTCGTAATACCTACTAGGTACCTAGAGTAGTGAGTATCCTACTTTCGTCTGATGTTGCGAAACCTCGATTGTACAATAGGTAATCTTCAAGCAATGCGACCTTGCCACTCACTCGCTTCCTTTGCCTGCTCCATTAGGCAAACCCGCGTCATTCAAAATCCCACGAAATCTCGTGTGCTCAAAGAGGGACCCGCCGGAAATGCACGCCATAAGATGCATTACTACGTTGCGGCCTTCCTCCGTACAGTACCTGTAGTATTTACTAAGGTACTACTCAAGGACCCCAAGACCCAGCACGGACGAGAGGGATCGAAAAGCAACGCAACGCACTGACATGCGAACTACCTTACCCAGATGCCTTAGTGCCTGCTGCGTATAAGATTCTAGTCTACTGTAGTGTAGTTCAAAAGACAATGACGGTAATCAATAACTAATGTACGAGGGAAAGGTTACCGTTACCTAGCCGCTTTTTCCCCGCACTCTCGCTACGACATACGAGTATATGCCTCTTTGAGATTGGAGAGATTTGGAAAACCCCTTGCTGCTTTGCTTTGCTGAGATATGCTGTACGATACGAGTAATCATCCCTTCTCACCACCATCATCATCTGGGGGGGTTTCATTCTTTCGCATGCGAGGGCTGTATCGTACTACTATTATTAGTGCTGCTACACCGAGCTGTGTGTGCCTGTCCAACAAACGCCTGCATGTCGCCTCGACGAGATGGATGGATCCTGCGGAGCTGCTCATAGGAGGATTGGAGGAGAGATGCCTTCGACCGAGTATCTGGCCTGTCAAGCGGATCTATCTGCAACCGGTCCGCATCAGCGTTGTGGATGCCTCATGGCCCTGCAACCCGTACCCAGCCAACCAGGCCCCTGGACCCTTGGATATATCTCCTAGTCAAATGAGTCTTTTTTTCCCTTTCTAATCTGCTACTGCTGCTACATGCCATAGCCGTAATGTACGAGTAAAGAAACCTAGAGCCAACATGCATATTTTTAATGGGCCATGAGCCTGTGCCGTAAGGCAGAATGCCATGGTTACACCGCATTGTGCGTCCGTTTCTCCCTATTGGCCTGCTGATCCTCTTTCCATCCACTCAAACTCTCTTCAGAGCGTCCTCGTGTGGAGCTGGCTGCTCTCTTCTCGCAGACCTTTAAGTTGCCGATCAAACTCCTTGTTCGCCCACTCCCAGTAACCTGTCCACGCGCCCGCTGCTGCCGCGTTGCTAGTAGCCGCACCGGCATTTCCAGTCATCGCCTTCATCTTGTCTCCCAGGAGAAGCGTCACTCTCAATATGCTCTTGTTGGTTTCCTCCTGCTTCTCTACATCTTGCTTGACGGCATTGTCCTTGAGCTTGATGGAGAGGACGCCACGGTAGGCTTCGGCAATCGAGTCCAGGCGGCGTGCCGTCTCATCGGGGTCGATGACAATGAGTTTGGTAACCATCAGATTGCAAAGCTGGCGGATATCGTTGTCATCCTTGAGACCAGCGATAACTCGGTCGTAAAAGTCAATGTTGTTGATCCGGGTGAAAGCCGTCTCCATCAGTGCATAGAGGGTCTCGTATGCGCTCTGTATCCAGCCTAGTGTCAGCGATATGCAACAATTGCGTGCAATGATGTAATCTACTTGCCTTGCGGACTTCCAGACCGTCGTCGACCTTGTGCTTGAAGGGGCCTAGCATGACCTCCCGGATAAGCTCCTTCTTGATTACTGACTCACTGAGCACGAAAGGCAGTAGTTCGCCCAGGTGAGGCAGAATAAGATCTGGCTTGTTGTGAGCCGCCGAGTTCAGCGTCGTCATCGCCAGGCGTCGAATTTCCATGTCCGAGTCTTGCAGCATTGTCAAGAGCATTTCAATGAGGACATTTCTGAGCATTGCGTCAAACGTCTCATCGCTCTCTGGGAGCGTGTACCTGATAGCCTGAACTGCCATGCCTCGAATGCCTGATGATTCATCCTTCAAGAGCGTCTAACGTAACATTAGCAACTTGTGAAACCCCACTCGTAAACTATGCTAGACTTACCTGGAGTTTGGGCATAAACGTTGCAGGATCCAGTGTGGCCAGGCGGCCGACACACTCGGCGCAGATAATCTTGTTGTCAGCATTCAGCGATGCTCCAATAAGCTGATCCCAGATGGCTTTGGCATAAGTCTGGAGATCGGTGGACTGTGACGAAATTGACTGTAGAATCTCTTTGATGGACTGGATAAGCAAGTATTGCGTGTTGCCCCCACCCTCCATTGTCTTGAGAATGACTGGGAGATATTCCGGCACGTTTCCAGATCCAGCTCGACCGAGTGCAATGGCAGCGGCCAGCGACACCTTGTCTGGCTCTGCATGGAATTGCTCCAAGAACAACTGAGGCTGAAGAGGTGACTTAGCCCCAAGCCTCATGCCCGACTCTCCCAAAACAGCGAGGGCGAGGCTTACACCAGCGTCGTCTCCGCGCTGCGTGCTGCCGTGAAGCTCCGTGACGAAGCTATCAAGAGAAACGCCCGCCGAGGTACCGCCCGTCACAAGCAGAGTGCCAATCACCTTGCCCACAACAATCGGGTCTCCCTGAACGCTCACGTCCTTCAGAAGGCCTTGCATAAGGGGTTCACCAGCGCCACTCTCGCCGACTCGACTAATCAAGTCGAGAAGCTGGTCGAGGACAATGTTGGCAAAGTGGGATTTCAGCAGCTGGCAGAGTGCACCAATCATCTCGTCGTTGATAATCAAGTTCGCATGTCCTTGTACCATGTTGCCGAGAATGATTAAAGTTGGGCCGAGGAGATGTGTATCGCTGTTCTTGATGGTGGGTAGCAACGCCGACACTATTCCCTGGATAGTAGCTGGTTCTAGCTTGCCCTGAGTAGCTTTTGAGAGAACAAGATGCTTGAGGGCCTGAATGCTGGAGCCTCGCAGAGACCGGTTTGCCTTTCGCAGCTGAGCTGAGAGCTCAAGAGCGACATCTTGGACCCACGCTTGCTCCAGTTGGTCAGGCGATACCGCAAATGCAGCAACGTTGTCAACAGCGCGTACCGCAGCCAGACGAGTTGTCTCATTTCTCAGCCGCTCTTGAATAATATTCAAGGCGAATGTGCGCTTTTCGGCCGATAGAAGGCCGGATGCCTCTGAGCCAGATGTCCTGGAAATAAGAATTCCTAGAGCATGGATAGCACGCTGTCGAACCTCTGCGTCAGCATCATTGGCAGAGCCACGGTCGACGATGACTTCGTAGAGCTTATCCAGGTCATCCTTGAACTTCGAACCACCGTTTCGTGATCGAGGGGGAGTAATTGCCTTAACCAGCTCTTCCGAGGTGCGAATGGCCTCGCTTGAGATTTTGTAGAAGCGGTCATGAACGGCAGACGCCACTCCAGCAACAACCTTGCTAAGATATGGCTGCAATACAGAGGATGAATGTGTCTTGGCAATATCGCTGATAAGCTTCAATGAAGCGACGCGCAAGGTGCTTGGGGTAGCCGAAGCAGAACCTCCCGCTGCCGCAAGAGAAGACGAGATTGAACTCGTGCCAGTCGTCTTGACTGCTTCGATGATGGGACCGATAATTTCCGGGAAGAACTCAACGAGGCCACCGTGCTGAACAGACACTAAGTCGTCCAGCATGCTAATGATGGCTTGCTTCGTTGGGACCGTCTTTCCTCTCAATTGCTTCGTCGCAGCTTTAACAATCGTGGGCGTAATCTTGGAGAGGTCCGCTCGTGGACCCTGGGAGGGGATTTTCTCAGCAGCAAGTGATGTGATGCCGGTGCCAGCCATGAATTTGGCAGCGCTTGATCCCCCGGCGCTACTCTGTCTTCTCCTCTTTCGACTGAGAGGCATCTGGGAGACAATTTCAGGCTCATACTCATCACGGGTTAGATCCACCGTGTGAAGGCCTTCGCCAGTCTTGCGAATGAGCAAAGACAGGGCAGAGATGATTTCGAGACGAACGTTTTCTTCTCTTTCCTCGATACGCTTCACAAGGTTAGGGGCCGCCTGGTTGTATAATACGCCGTTATCCAGAAGATCACCACTGCCGCGGGTGGAGATGAGGGTGTATATCGCCTTTGCAGCGCAGCGGCGAACCTTCCAGCTGGCATCGTCGTCGTCATCCTCGAATCCGTCGTCGTCTTCGAATTCATCGTCCTGGTCTTCCTCTTCTTCCTCATCGACATCCATCTCCTCGTCGTCATCGACGGCATAATTGGGGTCATATTTCAGATATCGCAAGCAAGCAGCGAGGGAAGCATCCGTAAAGGGCCGCATCTCCTGTGGGCACGAAGCCAGGAATGCCTCAAGTGCGACGAGGGCAGTCTCGCGGATCTCGTTGAACTCTGGGCCCAAGTCATCGCCATCGCTAATCTTTTCTAGGTGCTCTTCGAGTTCTGACTCGGACAGGGCATCTAGAATGAAAGACATTGTCTTTTGAAGATGTACGCCGAATCTAGGAGGGATTGAGCGGGCCATGCTGCCCATTATAGAAATGTAGAGGCGACGTGTGACGGGGGGGATGCTGGACTCGGACAGGCCAGCAGTGATGCGATTAATGACATCTTCCAGGTGTGCATCGGATAAATAGACAGCGAGCATAGATATAGCGACAACGGCCCTCTTCTTTACCACAGATGTAGCCTTATCGCCTTGCAATAACTGCAAGACAACCTCTTGCATTGCCTCAACTTCAACCTGCTGCAGTAAAGGGCCGAAACATCGGACAACTTCTACTAGGACATCGACTGCCTCAGCGTTCACGCCATTATCATCCTGCAGCAGCCCTGTTGGTACCGTAGGGAGATTGATTCGGGCTGCCGATGGAACTCGTGTTAGGGGTCCAGGACCAATAAGCCGTGGAATCAGCACACGGCTGACGGCGTTGTATGCCTCCTGAACACCAGGGGTACTCGGAATGCCTGGGATCGGTCGAGGAAGTGCGGTGATGACGGCTCGAAGCGCCAGAGCAGGCACAGCGGTGTCGACGGAGTTCTTGAGCTTCAGTGACGACAGCTTGTCGATCATCGGGGCAATGATGGGGGTCGGGACTTTGCCAACAAGCGGCCCAAGGCTACAAGTCGGTGGAACGAGCGTTAGCCACTTCACGGTTGTAATGACAGGCGTAGGGCTTAAAGTTTAAACATACCACTTGATGGCTAGGTTCTGCACCTCTCCGTTCTGATCGTCCAATGTCTTGATGATGCCATCGACGGTTCTTGCGGCGATGTTATAGTCGTGCTGGAGGAAGTCATCTCGGGCAGTCGTAAGCAGCTGCAGCAAGTCGTTGAGGGACATGAAGCGAAAGTCGGGGTCAGCATCGCCTAGCTTTTGCACATGGCCTATGACGGCCTGTGGCGTGGCGGCGTTGGCGGCGTTGTTGGCCATGGTGATGCTCCTCGTCTTTGTAAGCGGAGAGATGCCGGATCAGCACATCTACCTGGAGCTCACAGGCGGTTGATGCTGGAGTCTCGGGGGCTGAAGCAGCCTTGACAAAGGTCGAAGATCGGAGGTTTACAGGTCAGAGATGAGAGACCAGACCAGAGGCTAGATTCAAGGTCGTGATGTTTGAGTTGGTGGTGGGGTCAAGCTCCAGGCAGGCGGGGGAGCCCGTAGGTGACAAAGATGCCTGTAGAACGTCAGAGCGAGCGCTGCTCCCCACTAGAGCTACCCGTTAGTAACACAGACAGTACAAAGGCAGGGTCGTATCTCGCGGCATAGGTTCATACCTTGGTAAGTACTTTACAAAGAGATGGAGAGCAATCGGGAATTTATCCAATTAGCCAGCTTCTGCTTTGATGCTGCTCAAGATTGCAATTCCTTTGATCCAGCTTGTTGCCATGACTGCCAACTGATTGCTGCATGTTGTGCTATCTGATACGTGCAGGCAACTAGATGCACGCAAGCTGAGTCATCAAGCTCGGACCCAGTGAATGGAGCACCGCGAATGAATGCTGCCAGTGCTTATACTCGTATGTTTACGCTGCTTCAGCGCCCAATTTACTATGGAAGACACTGTGAATGAAAGCAATAATAGGAAGAGTGGGAGAAGAGGAGGAAAAGAAAAGAAAGAGAATGAGTCTATACAATATTATACGTCATCCTCGAAATACTAGATGCATTCTTTTGGAACAATTCACCTGACAGGCTCTATTCAATTAACATGATCTCTCCGTTCTTGACGCTCAACTTAATCAGCACACGTAGGCTTCTTCCGCCTCTTCTACGCCATTTAGGTTAACCCACATACGTCAACTCCATGTATGACCATCCCCATGGGGTCAAGTGATGTATCAATTTTTAACATTTGTGAAAAATCCGGGGTCCATTTGTCATTTCTGCTGAGAAAAGGCATACGCATGATCTGCCCATTGCCTGGAACTTGCCGTGGGCTCGCCTCACGGAGACGCTCGGAGAAGACTACGCCCAAGATACACGCGCCGCCCGAGCTATTCCAACCTCGACATATTGGTCAGCAAAATTATCTAATGAGACGTCAATGGGGCTAGTTTATCCCATTGTAGCTGCTCCGAGCCACTCCGGAACCTTTCTATCCAACCCAGCTCGTTTGCGGGAATCCGGAGCAGATGCGAACAGAGCCAAATCAAAGTCTCAGGGTCTGTCGGTGGTGGGGCCGGGAAGTACCGTCTCGCCCCGGTGGAGTCGCGTATCTCGCTTACTCCGTACAATAACCAATATTGGGTGGATTTCTAACCTTCTTTCCGTCAGGGTCTTTCCGTCAGGCGTTGGAGTGCTACGTGATGCAGACCATCTGACACATGGCAGATATGCTTCTTTCTAAGGCTCGGACATCAGTGGGAGAGGTGGAACTGGGGTACGTACCCGAAACCGAGGTAGACGGCAATCCTCTTCTCATGGTGGAAGAGAATATCTATATAAGGCCACGATGATGGAGAGATGTTGACCTTCTCAATCACAACAATCATCTCACCAGCAAGCAACATCAATCCAAAGAACAAAACCTCAATCCAAAAGCAAACATCAATCCAAAAAAAAGCATCTCAAGTTTCAGCCCCAATTTCAATATTCAATTTTTGAAAAAACATAAAATCATCTTACATCCAATTTCAACGTTCAACTTTTGAAGAACCATCAAACAGCTTCTACAGATCACTCATCTACCAAAACCAACAGAATCCAGAATGTCTCAACACAGCTTGACAGAGTACAAGGTCATTGACCCCAGCAATGGCAAGCATCTCAAGACATTCCCTACTGCCACCGACGAACAGATTTCTGCTGCCATCGACAAGGCGCATAATGCCTACACCAAAGTCTGGAAATCCACCCCGGTACACGAACGGACTAAGATTCTCCGCAAAGTGGCCGATTTGATCCGCCAGAACAAGAAGGAAATGGTCGAAATAGCTGTTACAGAAATGGGCAAGGCGATTGCACAAATGGAAGGGGAGGTCGACTACATTTGCGACATCCTCGAGTATTACGCCGAGAATGCCGAAGAGTTTTTGAAACCTGTTCCCTGCCCCGGCGTCCCTGGTGCTGAGGTTGTCTCAGAGTCTGTTGGTGTGATTCTCGCTATTGAGCCATGGAACTTTCCCTATTATCAGGTCATCCGTGTTGTGGCTCCTCAGCTGGCTGCTGGTAATGCAGCCCTTGTCAAGCCAGCCAACTGTGTGGCGGAGTCCGCACTCTATCTGGAGAAGCTCTTCCTCCAGGCTGGAGCCCCTGCTGGTGTATTCCAGGTCATCCTCGCCACTATTCCTCAAATCGAGACCCTCATCGACGACTTCCGCGTCAGAGGAGTGACTTTGACGGGCAGTGAAAGGGCTGGCAAGGCCGTTGCAGAACGAGCTGGTCGCAACCTAAAGAAGGTCGTTCTGGAACTCGGTGGTTCAGACCCTTTTATCGTCCTCGAGGACGCGGATCTCGACGAGGCCGTCCAGATCGCATTCGACGGCAGAATGGATAACATGGGCCAAGTCTGCGTAGCTCTGAAGCGTCATATCATCGTTGGCCGTGAGCGAGGCGAGAAGTTTAAGGAGGCTTTCGTCAAGCTTATCAAGAACATGAAGATTGGTGACCCTAGGGACAGGTCTACCTCTGTCGGACCCCTCTTCGCTGAAGCCGGCGTAGTCAACATTCTGCGCCAAATCGAAGAGGCAAAGGCTGCCGGTGCGAAGGTTGTGGTTGGTGGAAAGAGGATCGACCGTCCTGGTGCTTACGTTGAACCCACGCTCATCACAGACATCTCGAGAGAGAACCCGCTCTTCCTTCAAGAGACGTTTGGACCTGTAGCCTCTTTGTACGTTGTCGACACCGAAGAGGAGGCCATCGAGCTGGCCAATGCAACCCCATATGGTTTGGGCGGTGCTGTTGCCTCTACCAACATTGAGCACGCCAAGAAAGTTGCTGCGCAGATTGAGACTGGCATGGTATTCATCAACTCCCACATGAACGCTACCGCCGCTACTCCATTCGGAGGTGTTAAGAACTCGGGCTTTGGCAGAGAACTGGCTGATCTTGGATTCAACGAGTTTGTCAACAAGAAGATGGTTCGTGTGCATGAGAAGTATTTGTAAGTTTAAGCGGAGGAACCGAGTGTACTTGTATGATGGGATGTGAGTTGGATTTGTGATGCGATGGGAAGTATGCGATAGACGATAGTATGTAGATTAGATTGAGCAAATGAGCGGTGTTTTCCTTAGAAAAGTCTTTTCAGATTCTTCGTCATGTGAAAACTTTCATTGTGAAGATTTTATAGTTTATGATGTGTTATAAGCTATATAGATAGCCTATAGGCAATACTGCATACGAGCTCAACTATCATGACGGAGAGTGCAATTCCATCTTCAAGGCCAGCACATTCACGCGCCCAAAGGTAAATTATATTAGAACGAATGATTATTCCAACAAATCTCTTATTAAGTAAATAATAATTGCTCATTCAATTAATAATAGCTTGTCTCAGTTGCATATTTGACACCTTATAAAAATGGGCGCCATTGCATGAATGACTGTGTTTACAGAGTGGCCCCACAACAGCCAAGGGGTCATGTCCGTACCTTAGCTTGTACTTCCTCCGAACACATGCTTTCCTGAAGCATCAACACTCAGATCCCAACACCTTATCCGTATATCTTCTCATTCCGCATACTACATCATGGTACGTGAGATTTCATACTACGGCATATTTGTCCTAGGTACCCAAGACAACAACTCAACTGACGCGCACAATGTCTCTCTGCCAGAACAAAGACTCATGCTTCACCCAAGTGCACATGCACCGCTCTGGTGACGCCGATCTCTTCGAGGACTTTTGCAAGGACAAACTCCCCGACGATGAGATCTACGTCCCGCCTCAGCACCGTCCCATCAACCCAGAGGACGAGGACGATGTTGTTCCTGATCAGCACGCAGCCTTTGGAATCCAGCGCGCGACGCAGCGTGTCAAGGAGCCCGCGTGGAAGGATCTGGGCCTGTCGGATCTGATGAGAAAGGGCCCCGGGCGAGAGAGCAAGGCCGCTGGGCCAAGCAAAGCGCCAAAGGGACTGCCGCGGTAAATGGACTTGACCCGGTGGAATTATGAGGAATGCGCGGGCTGCGAAGCTCTATGATGAAGGCTGGGAATTGGCACGGCGTTACGGTAACTAAACATCAACTTTGACTATCGGGCATTGAATGATAAATGATTTTCATCGCACATTTCTTCTACATCGTTGATATGTAAACATCAAATTTGCCCACAGCTTGAAATAGCCCTGAACCGGCATATCCATCAAACGGACGATTGCTGACTTGAACCCTCAACTCCAATAACTCCATCCCATGTAGCCTTCTTACAACTCCGTCTTCCCAATCCTTGGATTGTATATCAAGCACCAAATCAAGTCTTTGCCAAGAAAGCTTCTCTCTCTACCACCTCGCTTCTGAATTTGACCAGGAACACAGTCTTTCCAGGCCACATTTCCCCCTCCCCAACCGTATGTGCTGTTACCCTGGCAGGAAAGTCTGCACCATCACATACCCCTTCTATAACTCCTGCTACAAATGCCGCGCAGTTCAGCTGGCTCATTTCGCGGGGCACACTAATGTATTGGTTGACCAGCGGCTCGTTGTCGATAATCATGTATTCGTCGGGCTTCTCCGCATCCGTTGATTTTTCTAGCCTGTCTGCTTGCCTGCCGAAGAGGTGCTGCCATACGTTCTGCTTGATGAAGTGGAGAAGACCAACAATGTGTTGGGGTCGCAGTTGCGTGCGCACAGGTTCGCGGTAGAGGAGGAGGTCGAGAAGCTTGATGCCGATAGAGTGGCCCTGAACGTTGAGTCTGGAGCATTGAATAGCATCTGTCAGTCCCAGTCGCCAAGCCTTGCAAGATTCTGATATCGGCGTAGAGGTAGAGGGACGAGGAGAGGGAAGGGAGACTGCCGTACCTGTGTTCCAGCTCTTGGATGCCCTTTACGCGCTTCTGCGCATATGCCACCATCTCGGAGAAGAGAAAAGCAAAGCTGGCCTGGCTGAGCTCCGACGTCTTGGTGCGATTGATGGGGCGGTGGTAAATGGTCTTGCCATTGCTGGGCACGCGCAGGCCCGACTCCTTGCCGGAGGAGGCGCCTGATGGTAGTGACGACATGGCGATTACCGGATGAAATAGCGGCGCATTGCCGTCGGGTCTTTGCGAGAATAAGGCGCTTGGGCGGGGAGAGGGCAAGATGCGGCGGCGATGTTGGTTCTGAGGCTAGATTCGCTGTATGGACGGCTGTATGGACGATGCAAGGCCAAGTTCCAATCCACGGAGCTCCAGACGTGGGGTTGGCTGACTGGGAAAGAGGTACGTACAGGTACTTGCCTTGGGTGGACGTACCTGCCTACCAGACGCCTTCTCTGCCTCCCTTACATCAACAACATTATAAAGCAGCTTCTTTTTTACAACTGCACTTGATTCATCCGATTTTCAGCAGGATTGCATTATTATTGCGGTCAAAACAACACCTAACAAAAAAACTAACAAAAGTGGCCTATGCAAGAAAAATGCCGGCGAATGACTCTAACACAGAACCCATCACAGCAACCGAAATACCCGTGACGTGAAATGAAGCACCGAACTATGAAATATGACACGAGACCCATGAATTACGAAAACAATTGTTGCCACGCCTTTTTCTTACTTGGCTATGCTCTCTAAGCGCGCTCAGTCAAGCTCACTGCACAGTTGAGACTTTGGAATTCGCCTCCTTCTGTCGCATCGTCGCTTCGACCCATTCTGATACTTCATCCAATGCTCGGCGCGGAACCTTTTTGCGCTTGAGCAGGAAGCCCTGGATTTCGGCGGGTGAGAAAACGCCCTCTGGGATCCGCCGTCCAAATTCTTCAGAGATCGTCTTCATCTCCTCTGCTGTGATTCCCTCCAGCTCTTCGGTATCGTGTTTTGCCACTGGTTGTTCGTTCGACTTGTCTGCCTCCTCCTCCGCAATAGCCTTCTTGCTTGTCTCATTATGACGAGATGCCTCGTACATCCGATGGAATAATTCTCCAGCTTGAACGCTACTAGCATTGCTGAATTTCACCTGGACGTCGACTCTGCCGGGACGAATCAAGGCCTCGTCTAGAGCCTCGGGCTTATTGGTTGTCATGATCAAAACGCGGCCTTCGTGAGATGCAACGCCATCGATAGCGTTGAGGAGACCAGACAAAGATATGCCATCCACAGCTACGGGGTTCTTCTTGCCGGCATCCCTCTTTCTGGAAGCTCTCTTCTTTGGTTTTACTTCAACCTCGCTCTCCGATTCACCGTCGCTGGTATCAGACGTACTCTTGTGCTTCTTTTTCTTGTCTTTCTTGCCCTTTTCTTCACTCTTCTTGTCCTCCGTCTTGTCGTCACTCTCAGAGCTAAGATCTCGCTTTAGCCCTGCGGTATCAATGTCCTCCAGAAGAACAATGCACCTTCTTGGCAATTTGGTGAACAATGTCGCTAGATCTTCTTCGTTTACGCCGGCGTCCTGCAGGCTAATCACATAAATGTCGATGCCAAACACGCCCGCCAGCGCAAAAGAGAAGCTCGTCTTTCCGGTACCTGGTGGCCCATGGAAAAGATATCCCCGCCTCAGCGGAATACCTCGAGATGCATACCACCGCGGCGTCCAGGGGTGCAGGTATTCGTTGACGTCGGCCAGAATATCATGCTTTTCGCCAGAGTCGAGCACAACTGTTGACATGGGTCTAACGGGCCGTCGTGCTACTTGCTGCCACATGTTATGGTCCCTTCGTTGCTCCTTGACTCTGGGACGATAGATAGTCGTCTTTTGGCGCGTGTCATTATAATAAAGAGCTTTGGCATCCGAGAGCAACTCTTTGATTGGATCTGCACGAGAGTCAATAGGCTTAAAACTGGCAAGTCAAGAATAACATGGTTTAATTTCTTACCGATGGAACGACCAAAGCAAGAAACCTTAATCTCTTCTAGGTCTTTCATTGGGCCTCCCCAGGAATGAGTGTTGACAAACGATTCCTTTTTTCGGTGAACTCGAAAATACGTTCCCTTGTGCCAAAATGCTGTTGAACCCATAGCAGGAACAAACCTGGGACTCTATTGGCAAGATTCAAATATTTTCAATCAGTTTACATTCTTGCTATTACAAAACAGCGAGATGAGAGTGAAACCTGATACTTACCGATCTGGCTGCTTGGTTGGCGAAATTTAGGTACATCCTATTGCCACCACCAACTTCGCCACCATCTGTCCAGAACAAGGCATCTTCCAGCTCTTCTTCTTCTTCCCAGGCGCTCTTCCAGACGGTCTGGGCCATGAGGTATTGGTTGTTTCTGATGCTGGGGTGGTGAGATAACCACTTCATCAGATGCAAATATATGTGGTCATCCTCGGAAATGTACATGGCGCACATGAGATAATCGTCAATAAATCTCTGGGTGTAATCGTGAATCTGCGACCCGATCTTTAATGCGCCCCATATGAATCCCAAAATGGCCAGCACCATGGACGGATCCAAGCCAAATTGCGTGCCTAGCAGCTTATAAAAGAAGACGACGAGTTGCGCCAGAGGCGATACATGGCCAGTGGTTGTGAGAATGGTGTCCATCATGCCACCGGCAGAGAATGGAATGTTCGGACTGCTGCTCTCGCCCGCTCCATCCTCTGGTCTGATGGTGGTGGGGAAAGATGATGCATTGAATGCTGATACATTGGCGGTGGGAGTGCCAAAGATGGGCGGCAGACTCATCCTACCAAATGAGTTGACGATGGATACAAACGTCATGGTCAGTGTGAAACTATGTGAAAGAGAGACTGATGTTCAACGGACGGCGAGACGCTGACTATTTAATCAGGTGCCGCGTCTGCAACGACAAACGAAAGGCACGCTAGATGAGAACAAAAGAAAGCAAAGCTCCGTAGCGGCAAATTTCTTTCAGATTCACCGCGCCCCAATACGCGTCGTTATGTGTCATACGGGAGGAGGAAGAGTCACAAAATCTACTGTGATGAGGAGATGCTCACGGCAGCTGAGGCCAAGGGTATCGGACCTATTTAAAGATGGCACAGCTGTTGTTCCTTGGTACACTAACAATACTTGGGCCTGGCCATTTTTCAAAAAGATATACATGGCGGGCAACTATTCAATGCAGTTGGTAACAGAGAAGCGGCTACAAGTATGCCGCCGCTCGACCTTACGATTCATGTACAGTAGGGCAGCTTTTCGGGCCCAACGCCACGCAGCAATGTTAGATCGGACGCATGATATATGTGATCGCATTATCCCGTATTAGACGCCCACTGATGGGCGTCACTGTTGGGACCAAATACGACGGCGGCTCTGCCATGCATATCCATCAATGCCTGACCTGACGTTGGGGGCCGTTTCGTTGTTTCTTCCCTTTCTGCTTTGACTTATTTGAGACTAGAAAGAGGAATCGAAGATCAATAGATGAAGGGTTCACAGCGTTCGCCTACGTCAACATTCTGCCTGTTGGTGGCGAATAGAGTATGAGCGATCTTAGAACGACAGCTGAGATGGGGAGTGGGTGTACGAGACCCCGGCTTGGAAAGGCACATTATGAGCAAGGCCTCCAAAGACTCAAATAAGCCCTACACCTACGGGCCTTACATTATGCGACATAGCGGCGGTTCGTCTACGTCCGAGTGGGTGCATAGCCGCCTCAACAGACGCGAGGCGCTACGGGAGCGTAGTCCCGCGCGTCGTCATCATTGCCTCTCTTTAGTCGAATCCTGAACCAAAAGTTCACTACGGGAGTACTAGAGGCCAAAATCTTCAGCGCGGCATCCTTTATTAGTTCCTTTGCTCAAACCAACAGCGGATAGTGGCCCAAGTCGGTTAGGGGGCCAGGGGTTTTCACGACCTGCCCAAGTACGATTCACACGTTGGGCCTCGTTGCTCTTGCAGCAAAGTCAGTGTCAGCGCTACTCGAAACAATTATCATGGCAGATGCGGCTCTCAATCAAAGACGGCGTCTTTACTGCAAGTTTTAGTCAGAATCATGCTTGCTTGCCTGCTCACCCAATGTAAGCGGCAGCTGAGCTTGCTTCGGTATCGCCCAACGCAGCACGAGACTCTCTGCAGCCCGTGCGACAATGCTCAGTCAGGTCGGGATTGCGAAAAAGCTGGCATTGAATCCAACCGTTTTTGTACGACTATACGTATCAATATCGGGTCGGGTTGTAATGCTGCGCGTGCGCAATGCGGCGTCTCTTGATAGGAGGCTCTCTCTTCGTCGTTTAGCAGTGAGCTGAACCTAACACAGGCGTACATACAACATACATATTGATTGTGCCTAAGCTGTGCGGCTCAGGTGCGGATCCCCGCCCGGCGAGGACGAGTATGGGACTGGGTGTGTGCAATAATGCTGACTTTGTCTGTTGGGTCGTTGCCTGCTATTTATATGTTTTTTGTCAAGCGGACTGTTCACATCACCCAACAAGACATATCTCGCACACGTGTATGAGTAATGTACAGACGTGGGAGATCCGGGAAGTCGGTTCGGCGAATCAACTTACATCGGGCTCGCTCAAAGGTCCTACATGACACATGACAATACCTGGTACCAATGACATCTCGCACGCATCATATCCCGGCCTTGTCGACACTCTGGATGCGTAGCACTAGCGCTAGGTGTTAACATGCACGTATGTAAGTCGGTATGCAGCGTCCAAATCCTCATCTTCAGAGCTAAGCATGCTTTGCTTGTTGGCCCTAATTCAGACCCCCGGGCCCCTTCCAGACCGCCTTGGCTAATGAACGAATCATGCCCAATCACTTGTGCGAGTGTGTGTATGTGCCCTGTAACACGGGATAGTCTCATTGCTGTATCCATCTATTATGTAGTCATGTGTAATACTGCTGCTACTAATGTATGATAGGCCTAGGAGCTAGCTGCCAACAACAACAGTCTTCGCCTTCAACAGACGGTGACAACGAAATAATGCAGCAGGTCATGGCTAACTGACATCACCTCGTCTAACCCAATTAATCTATTCCTTCCTTCCAACCAATACTTGTTGCTGGTCTCACCGAAAATAAAACAAAGACAATAGCTTTCTCTGGCTCGTTTATGCCTGAGCCTCTACCGTCTCCTCCTCGAGATTGGCCCCTGCTAGCTTCTCCGCCAACACGCTTGTCTCAGCGTCTACTTGCTGCTCCTTCTCCAAAACGTCCTTGTCGTTGGTCGTGTACTTGAATCCCGTGACGCTCAAATCTGTGCCGCCCGTGAGATACTCCTCTGATTCGCCGATGGCCTTTCCAGCAGCCGCCCATCGCGTGAGTTTCTGCTCTCGCTTCTGCTTGCAGAGGTCGTTGAGGGCCGGCCAGTACGTCTCATGATCATACTCAAAGTCCAGGTCGCCGTTCCAATCAGAGCTCCACAACTGCTCCGCCGGGACGTACTGCTTCATGTCCTCGTTGAACTTTAATTTTTCCCGTGTCACGGGGTCAATGAAGGGGGTGATGATCTTGAAGAATCCCTGAACCAGCCAAGGTACTGTCGAACAAGAAGTCGTGTTAGTTGAAGGTCTTTTGTCATTATCGTATTTCGGTTTTACGCCAAGGTACACTCGGTTTAAAAATGATGGAGAAGAGGGGAGTGAGAAGAGTGGGCACACAAAACTTACCATTGATGATGAGTGCCTTGCCCAGCCTCTCGGGGTAATGGTTCTGCAGAATGTGCAACACCTCTCTGGCCGTTGACACGGGCACACTAGTGTTCTGTCTCTGTTTGCTGGGCTTGAAGTTGATCATCAAGCTCAGCATCTCGACGCCGGGAGGCATCATGTCCACGACCCTCTCCACCATGTAAAACAGGTGGTGAATCTGCCTCGGGCTGCTGTCCGTGTTCTGCCGGCCCGGGTTGAGATACTGACACGGCCTTCCCTGGCGATCGAAGCCCATGATGATCTGCTTGCCCGTCTCCTGCTCAGGCGAGATGTAGTCCGGCGTGAACTCGTCAATGCCATACTCGCGCCTCCACGCCAGCGTCGACAGCAACCGCTTGGCCGCGTCGTCGACGGACCATTTGGTCGCCCGCAGGTAACGCAGCAGGCAGTCCCGCGTCAGCCAGGCGAGCTCGCGGTCCGTCAGAGGGCCCGACTTGTCCTTTTCCTTGTCGCACTTGATCTCTGTGAAGGCCTTGGCCTTTTCCAGCAGCGCCTCGTACTTGGTCTGCTGCTCCGGCGTGAGTTCCGGCCGAGGCACCGGCTTGCTGTCTGGCGTGGGCGCCGCGATGGGCGTCTTCAGAGGCGCCTCTGAGGTTGTTGCAGCCATTGTGTTTTGTGTTTTGTGTGACGGATGATGAATGTCGTGTTGGTGTGTTGCAAAGAAAACAGTTTGCTTTGCGCACAACAGCTGCAAGTCGGTGAAAGGAAGTTTGACTGAGATGAAAGGCTGATGAATGAAATGCTTATCGCCAATCACAGACACACGCTGACGCCCCCTTTTTTAGTGACTTGCTCCCAAAGAAGGATTCCTCGTCCCTTCACTCACGCAAAATCGAGAAAAAGAAATTATGAGCACGATATTTCTTCTCTTCTTTACTCTTTTCTTCACCAATTAAACGATTAACAAGATGAGATATAAAAAAACAACAATGGAAAATACTCGAGGAGAAAGGGGAACACCCCAAAGAATTATTTATCGCGAACTAGCTGATATGCTAAAAATCTGGCCCTGAGCCAAGCTTGGCCCCCGGAATCCCGACCGCCCCGGCTATCAATTTCCACTGAATAAGATTGCCGTCTGTGGTCTCTCTTTTTTCCCTTTTCCGACCTTTTTCTCTTTCATTGAATTTCCCCCCTGCATCCTCCGAATGTCTCGGCGTGCACCGCTTCCGGGCCACGCCACTCACGCCTTTTCTTTTGACCTGCCTTCTTTTTCGTATTCGTTTCTGCTGGATGCTGACTGTACATGGGTACGGACATCATCAATATTCATAATCACGTCTTTTCACATCTTTTCACATCTTTCTTTATCATAGTTTTTTACCCAGTCCTTGAACTGTATTTAAGACACCAAACTTCGGACTTATCATGTATGAGTAGTTTTTCGTATTGCATTCCTACAGAGTCTTTCGTACGACGTGATTGATCGGAATATTCGTCTCACTCATCTACAACCTTCAATCTTACCCTCGTCCTCTCTGCTGTACAGCTGTGTTACCCTGCGAGGCAGGATCCTCTCCGAGACTCCAATGGTCAAGTCTGATATCTGCCTTGACGAATTTCCGTTTCTTAATCAATGACCAAAAAATCCTCCGAGGTAGTACAAGTATGAAACCCAAAAGCCAAGCATCCAGTTATTTCTCCGATGTATCACCAAATGTACAAGCACTTCGCTCCTGGAACTCAACAGAGCCATATCAAAGAAAGCCCATGATTTGCTCTTGTTTATTTATTATTTATGAGATCAACCAAACAAAAACCCTCGTTCTACCTCTACACCGTGTCCTCAAACTTTGGAAACCCAACTAGATCCATCAATCCACCCGAACTGTCTGTTCTGTCCTTCCGGAACGCTCTAGTCGCTAGAAATTATGCAGACTTTCTATAAAAATTTCATAACCTTCATCGGAATCTCGCTGTTTTTTCTGCGCCTTTGAACCAAAAAGAAAACTTGGACCCCGTTCTCTTGCCGCAAATCCCTTTTCCCTTTCGTATCGTTTCAAGCGCCTCCGTCTTGGGTGTGCCAAATGCCAGTCTCTTTTATACCACCAAAACCTGCCCAGCGCCGCCGTATGTGCTTCCCTTCGACATACGATACATTACATAGATGAAAAGGGGAATCCCAATTAGTACCCTGCCCTGCTTCTGCTAGGACTCCTGTGTGGTTTTCGTGATGCTCTTTCTAGAATTAGCTTCTGGCTTGTCGCCGCGTCGTAGCCACAGACTTGTGTCAGATAATGCAGTCTAATGTATCCCGAGTCAGTAAAGCTGCGTGAGGTTTATTTTTGGAAGTGTCTGGTGACCACTTACTTATCCTCTGCCAGCTCTTTCTGCCGCACATCTTCAAATCCCTGCTGGCACTGCATCCACGCAGCCGCCCGCTCTTTTGGTCTAATCTTCTTTACCCAAAGTCGGAAATCTCCGGTGACAGGCCGGTGATCGCTCACCCTCACTTCATGCCGTCTATAGTCTAGTTGCTGTACTCTGCCGCGTCCTCGAAATAAGAGACGGTCACACCATGCGGGGCTTCTCCGCTTCTCGCTGGTATCATACGTGTCGGTTCCTACATCGTACTTGTATGTTGGTGCAAACGTGATGGGAAGTTCTTCGAATGCTCGTAGCCGTAGAGCTGGATTCCGGCGGCGCGCAACAAGCAACTGGTCACGCTCAAGAAGCTTGGCTAGATTGTTTTGCTCTACAGCCTTGACCACGGTATCTCGCGACATGGTATCGATACGGTAGTTAAGGTCACCGTTGAGAATGCAAAGCTCGTGGTCAAGAACCATGGAGCCATCTCCACCGCCGCTGAAAGTGTCGATTCGAATCTCAGTGTCTCTTTCCACGGGGAATAGGTTGGCCTCGAGTATTGCCGCCGCATCGTTGTGGCGTGAGCTGGCCTGTGTCTGACCAGCGGCCAAGTGGCAGTTGATAAAACATAGAGATGTGTCGTCCACCTGGAAACGAACCGCAACTGCGCCCTTGTTTCCATGCAACCCTCCCATACCTCGCTTTACTTCGGCGCCGCTTAGATGCGTAATCCTGTCTCTCAGCGATGACTTGACAAATACACAGGTAAACAGTCCCACCATGGGTGCAGTATGGAGAAGGTGGTATAGATGATCTGCCGGCATGTAATCGTCCAACGTTTTGAGTAGAAAGTCGCGCCAGTCTCGGTACTGATGGCTCATTCGTTCCTGGTCCGTCCCCTCCTTCTTCTTTGACTTGAGAAGTCGCTTTGCTGTCGCTTTCTTGTCCTCCAAGTCTACAAGCTCTTGGAACCCAAAGACCAAGATGTCGGGAGAGCCGCTAGATTGCAAAAGGTCCTGGAAAAAAGTGGCATCGCCATCAGAGTACCGGAGACTATGAGGGGTGGAAGCTCCAGCATTCCACGTAAATATCAGCGCTTTTATCTCGTCGAAATCGCAATATGTCGTATCCTTGGACTTCATCTCGTCTTCAAGCCAGTCATCCTGCAGCATACCGTCCCACACCTTGATCCGACTATCAGCACCCAGTGACACGACTTGCAGCTGATCTAACTGATATGCACTGGCGAAATCCACCTTCATCTTCAAAACGGTACTGTCATGCGCCTGCCATTCCTTCAATACGACCCACGGCGTCTGAGCAACGTCGTAGACGCACACCTTGCCAGTGTTATATCCTGCCCACATGTACTGGCCAACTCCAGCCAGCGTATTGATTTTCCACGTGCTGATATTGACAATCGTTTTGCAAGAATAGTCGGATGTAGAAAATATGCTGATTTTCCCGTCAACGTGTCCCAGAAAGACTTTACCGGGGAACCCTTTCATCAGCGTTCCGGAAGTAATATCTCCAGCACCCTCCACCGTGATTGGCCTTGCCAGGACCTGGAATGCAGTGCGGTTATCTCGAGTGGGAGCAAATATCCGCAGCTGCTTGCCAGTCGCTTGCCAGAGCTCATCCCCAACCACCATCGAGAAAGTTTCGCCTTTAGGCACCTTGTAAGTTTGGTGCGGGTGGTTGTTCAAGTTTGGTTCTCCATCGCTATCGGGGCCCCAGACGTGGAAATTGCCGCCTTCATCCACAGTCCACATCTCATTCAAGTGTCGATATATCTTGGTGACTTCTGACTTTCCATGAATACCCGCTTTGCAAATCAGTATGCGTTGTGTCGGGATCTCAACCTCCATAATCTCTCCCAGATTTGTGCCAATCCACACCTTGGAACCTTCTTGGTCAGGGTCTGCACTGGGCTTGAACGACACAGCAGTGGCCTTGACGCCCTCCGTGTGCGCCAGACTGACGATCTGCTCTCCATCTAGCAGACTCCAAACACGAGTCAAGGGGCCGGTAGTACAGACATACTGGCCACACACGTCGAAAAGACGAGGGTCATACTTTGGCTGGATCTCGTAACAACCTTTTTTGATAAATGGAGGTCGGCGGTTAGTGCTTGAGCTGTCGGGATATGCTGTGATTTGAGCTGGAGGGTCGGATTTTGGCACAACTCCTCCAACCGCCCCTTCATTTGCAACAGGCATCGGAAAGTGTTTTACTGCGGCAGTTGCAGCAGGCGCCGGAGGGGCGCGAACATCCGAAGCAAGATGATCGGCCGCCCCTAATTCCATCATTGTCATGGACCGTCCATGCGCCTTGAGTGATAATTGTTGGGCACTCGGATTGGAAACAACTCGATTCGCATTAGAAGCTGGAGGTTGTGATACAGGAACAGAAGCTGTAGCAACCGGCGCATTGTTTGGCCCAGATGGCCGCGGCGGTTTAGGGGGTGGTTTCATTCCATTGTTCGCTACTGGCTGTGGGGGGATGTCTGTGGTTTGAGGTCGTGCTGGCAAAGCAGGGCGAGCGCTGCCCGTTATCTGAGGAGCGATGGGGGCCCTGGCAAGGCCATTAGGCTCTCCTTCGCGTGCTGGCTTCCGCACAGACAAGGAAGGGCGAATTGTTGGCTGGGCTGGCTGGGCTGGCTGTTCAAATGCTCCTGCAATCTGCTTTGTCCTACTCGGCGCATCATTCTGCTGCGGTAGCTTTGGTCGCACGGGCAACTCGGGGGGGTTCTCTTCCACCTTTTCAGGGATTCTCGCCTCGCCAAAAGGAGAGGATTCCTGTGATCGACTAGGCCTTTTCGTAGCCGATCTCCCTCTCGTCTCAACACCAGTAGCTGCTCGCATCAATGTTCTCTCTGATCGTGAAGCAGGGGGCGGCGGTGGCGGCGCAGGTTTCCATTCCTTCTCTCGCTTTAGCTCAGCTGATCGCCTGGGAGGCGGTGGTGATGGAGCCTTCGAAATCCCTTGCTTTGGCGATCGGGGTGTTGCGGTACCGCTGATACCACCGTTGCCGGTAGGAGTAAGCGGTCGACTTGGTATTCTGAGGGGCGTAGGGGATCGGCTCGACGTGGCGGAGGATATGGTAACCGGATCTAGGAACGGTGACTGCTCCCCCGGAGCAATATTCAGCGCGCCTCCTTTGGGGGGTGACAGAGGAGGCTGAACTGTAACTGCAGGCGGGTGAATGGGCACTGGCGGTTTCGTCGCGACAGGCGGTGGCCGTGTAGAGAGGGGAGGCGGTGGGATCGGTGCCCCTCTATCTCGGTTTGCAGGGGAAGCCGTTACAAAGGCTCGGTCCTTCAGGTTCGATGGCTTGGCGGGAGTGATTGGGGAAATGGGCGTAGGCGTCGCGTCTGAAGATGCCTTGAGGTTTCTTAACCTATCCGGCTTTGGCCCCGGCGAGACGTTCCGCGATTGAGGGGCGGGAGCAGAAGCGGAAGCGGGCTGGGATTGAGATTGCGACGGGCCGGCTTTGTTCATATTCTCAAACCGGGCGAGGAGGGAGGAGACGGGCCTCTGGAAGGAAGAACAAAACGTTAGTATCTTAATCCATACCTGCTGCTGAGATAACTCACAATGGAAGTGCCATCAGGCCCGCTGCCTTCTGTCTGTTCTATACTGGGGGAAGACATGATTTCTGGTCGGTGGGGTCCTGGGCAAGACTACCCATTACACCCACGGCTTGGTCTCCTACAAGATCATACGCGCACCAAGAGATGGGGCAAGTGTGTCGTAGAGCACACGGACAGACGGTCAGAGTGTAAGCAGAAGAAAAACGTGTAGCGTCCTCGTGTGATAGGTGGGAATCGTGCGGCCTTAAGGGGGGAGGATTATCGAGGGGCAGAGTAGAGAGGATCGCGGTGACGAGTCGGAATTCGAGTGTTCGGACGGTATGAGCGCTGGAGGCTCTAGAGCATTCTGGCACGGCCGGATAGCTTGCGAAACAGGTGAAGCATCAACTGACTGGCTTCAAAGCGAACGAAACAGAGAAAGGGGGGATCTCCTGCAACTCTCGTGGGAAAAAGCTTCCAAGTTTGTCGAGGTGCTTGCGTGTCTTTAGATGGTGCGGATGATCTATGTCATATCCAGAAAAAGGCTGGGCCCATTAATTAGCACTGTAAATTAGATCTCGGTAAGGATGTCCCTGCACAGTGTGAGCCAGCGATCCACCACGGGCGTCTGAGCGCTAAAATTGTCGCTGAAAGCCAGTGGACAGCCAGTGCGCAGCGGCTCTTGGCCAATTGCACTTACAGTACCGGTGCATCGCCGCCTGCTAAGCTTTTTGATCCGACGACTTGGCTTTGTCCTAGCACATCAACTCGGAACTTCCATCTTACCGACTCCACCGCTGCGATATTTGACAAGCTCCTGAAATCACCGCATTCTTAGACATTGTATTGTACCGATCGCCACGATGAACACTGTAGGTGCCTCTCGCTTTGGCTCTAGCACTGAGATAAGACAGCTTTTTGCTTACTCTCGTTGTTCAGGTTAAATCTTTCTGGTACTAGCCCGCCGGTCCTACATGTCACTGCTCACGAGCACAGCCATTTGCTAACCAGACATGCCATGTTCTTCTGCGCAGGCTTGGATGGGGCTCCCTTTGCGTTGGTAGGCAGATACACTGTTCTCCTTTTGCTGAATCCCTCAGCTGATATGTCATGGGCAGCCGGTGGCGGTGCATACTATTTCGCCAAACAGCAAATCCGGGCTGATCGCCAAGCTAAACTCGAGGCGCACCACAAGAAAATAGCGGCCAACAAGGCCCTGGAATATGAAGCGGCTGTGGCCTCTGGCAGTGCTGCAACGAGCAACGGTGGCCCTGCAAGGACTGACAATGCCGGTTCGCCGAGCCAGGAAGCCAGCAGCGATCCCGCGGCCACGAGGCATGCGCCGGCGACAGAGTCTGAGCGTGTAACCGAGAAAAGTAAATACGAGAGCGATACGCCGTATCGAGCTCGTAAAGGGGACAGATTCAGCTAAAGAGACGAAGAACAAAGAAGAAAAGAGGAGCCTCGTTTGATTGGGGTTTATGCTGGGCATCCATGCTGGGCTTGTATATTAACTTCCATGGTGTAAAATAATGCCCTTATTAGCAGGGTTTGTATATAGTATTCGCGCCGCGCACTGACGCAAATCCATTCTCCAAGCCCGGCTCAATGAGACAAAGAATGTTGGCAATTGACAAAGAGAGCTGTAAGTGCAATTAGCATGTGACGGGATAAACCACGCGGCAAGCATCTAGAGCCGGGGTGCAGCTATTTCTCGATCATCCTTTATCCCGAATGAGATTTTTTCTCTGTTGGTACCTCTTCAGCTTCCTTGTATGCGATAGGCTCAGGTTTTGTAAATTCGCCTTGCTTTTACAGTAACAATATGGATCACAATCACATCTTTCCAATTATCCCGACCACACTCATCCTGCTTCTTGCATTCCATACAAGCTCATGTCGTTGACCCAAAGCTGTCGCGAGCTTCGGAACAAGCTCTCGCAAGCTACAAGGTACCTCCGTGGTTTTCCCGGCATCTGCGACAAACTTCCAGCCTCGAGCAACTTCAAGCTCCTTCGTTAACCTTCTTTATATCTGAGCTCTGGGAGATTCAACGGCTTTCTTGCACCCTCGTCTGGGCCGCCTTTTCGCCCGCCATGGCTTCTCCAGAGCTGGCCATCACCAAGGCGACGCTGTCAGCGACTCTCTTTCGCGCCGATCCCGTCTCGCTGAACCGCGCCGCGGTCGACGACTTCTTCTCGCTGCTAGACAACGCCATCGTCCAGTGCTCCCGCCAGAACGTTCAGGTTTGACACATTGCTCGCAAGCATTTTGTCCCGTCCACGCACAGATCACTAAACTCCCCTGGGTTAGAAATGTAAGGCTTGGATAGTCGAGAACATTGTGCCTTCCTCCGCGCGCTGCACAGCCTTGGGCAAGTTCTGGGCCGTCTTGTCCAAGAATTTGGCCGTAGAGAATGACGGGAAGCGCCCCAGCACCAAGAGACGGAGGCTGCATCTCCTGTATATTGCCAATGACGTCCTTTTCCACGAAGTTGTGCGCCAGAGCAACCGAAAGCTTGGAGAGGCGTGGGCTGGAGTCCTACCAGCAATGATTGGGAATGCGGCGGCTTTCGACAACTGCCCCAAGCACAAGTCTAAGCTGAGTGAGCTGATCAAGCTGTGGGAGGACAAGGCGTATTTCTCCCCCGAGGTCGTTGCCCAGCTTCGCACGGCCCTGTCCAATGGCTCTGCTGAGATAACTGCTGTAAACCTCGAGCTCTCGGAGAGCTCACTGAAGCTCGCAAAGGATGCGCCATACATTCTGCCCTCCTTCCACGGAGATGCTTCCGTTCCTTGGTATGATCTTCCGGCTGGGACATGGTTACCTCACATCACCCCAAACTCTTCTAGGCCTATGATTCCTGATCAGATCCGCCCCATTCAGTTGGCAGCAGGGCCTGCTGAGAAGCGAACTGTGGGTGCTGTCAAGACGCTGCTGAAAGATGCGGATTACATTTACTCCAAGGATAGCGATCCAGGCGACGACCTCAACACTGGATACAGCGAAATGGGCGAGCGCATCATCATAGACGAGATCACAGGCGAGGTTATTGGAGGAGAGAGCTACTACGGCTGGTCTCGCCAATTCTGCGAGCGTATGAGGGAGAGGCTGAATAAGTCAAAGAAAGCTTCCACAGAGCGTTCGCGATCTGCATCAAAGTCACGGCCACGGTCAAGATCAAGAAGCCTTTCCCAGGACCGATCCCGAAGCTCCTCTCCGCCTTCGTTCAAACGCCCCAGGCTTTCGTCGCGTTCCAGGAGTCGCAGCCGACAACGAGGTCGGTCGTATAGCCATAGTCGCAGCCGCAGTCGTAGCTACAGCCGGAGCCACAGCCCTAGCCGCCCCCGAGGTCGCAGTCGTGATCAGAGCCACGACCATGACGGCCGAAGTCGAAGCCCAGGTGGGAGGTACGGCAACAACGAGCGGCCCGACTCGAGGTTTCGCTCGTATGATGATCGGCCTCCTCAACCTCCTCAGCCTGCCTCTGTACCACATATGCCATTTCCTCCTCCTCCTACCTCTATGGGATTCCCATTCCCGATTCCACCCCCTCCGCCTCCTCCCCTAGGAGGATTTCCACAGCCGTGGACCCCTGGTACGGTACCTCCTCTACCGTTCAGTGCTCCCCAAGACGGTTGGGTGCCTCCTCCTCCTCCCCCTAATGTGGTGGCTCACCTCATGAATATGAACCAGTTCCCCGCTGGATCCGTGCCCCAGCCGCCACAGCCACCTCAACCGCCTCTGCATAACAATCATTATGGACGCGGAAACGGCGGGTATAGGGGTCGTGGAAGAGGTGGGTACGGCCGTGGTGGCTATCGAGGGCAGTATTAACTGCTCATCATATTTTCAAGATACCAATTTATAATGCAGGGCGTTTTGGTCATTGTGATGACAAGAGGACTTGTCTGGGATTTTGTAACGATTTTCTTTCTTAGACTCAGATTTACGTGATGAACATGGCTCGTAGGCCTCACGAATAGTGTACTGCTAGATATTTATCCTTTCAATTAAATTTAATAGAAGCCATCATGATGATGCTACTGAATGACAGAAACTTACCAGATACCAAGTGAGGACACACCACTGTTTACGTCAACAGTCTAGAAAATAGAAAGTTCAAATACAATACAATGAAAAAGAACAAAGCAAATAGTCTATTCGAGTCAAGTACACACAAAAGCACACACAATGTCCCCCACAACTACCAACCAAACCCCAACTCACACCAAACCCCATCAGCAAGAGAGAGAAGGAGTAAAACAAAAGAAAACCCCAAGCTCTCCCGTCTTGTCCTCCCTGCTGAACATGGAAAAAAAAATACAACCGCTATTCTACCAACAAAAATGCCCTTCTCTCTCCCATTTCAGCTCCAACAATGCCTGGCAATCTATAGCCTGAACACTTTTTTTCTTCTTCTCTCCTTCTCTGCTTCCATGCTTCTCTGCTTCCATGTTCAGGGGGGCACATTGCAACACTCCTCATTTTGCGTTTTTTGGCATCCCCTGCTGACAAAAAATAAAAGGGATAATAAAGGACGAAGAAAAGGAGTAAAAAAAAATAATGATTATTGGATCGACCCCCCGTCGTACATGAATCCTGCTCAATATCGGTGTTTTGCAAGTCTGCCTATGCAGATGAACATGAGAAAAGGACGAGAAAAAAAAAGAAGAATCATCAACATTACTTGAGTCACCAAGCCCCTTCGCAGCCCCGTTCAAGCAGTCAGTCCCCTTATAGCCCGAGCCCCGACGTTTGATCTGCCATCCAAAAAATAACCCTCCCTGAATACTACTGGGCAGCTCATAATCCCCCGGCACCTACAATAACAGTACTTCCACTGAGTCTAAATTGCAAGACTCTCGGCTGCCAAGAATAGACATTAGCGGGAATGGAGGGCCATAGAACAGGCAGAATCAAGAAGACGAAGCGAAGCAATTGGTCGTCAGCCTGTAGGGGGGAAAGGCTCGTCAGTCAAACCGAGACTATCTACTTCGGTTGGACCCTACGGAGCTTTGTCGCTCGTGAGCGTTTTGGCGACCGGTGGCATCTTGAAGCTTGAGCGAATCAAGGCGTTTTTGGTTGTCTTCAGCAGCGGGATCGACCTCGTCGACTCGTGGGAGGTTACCTCCTTGAGCCCTGCCAGGCGCCTCAGCGTGACCCAGGCCCAGTGATGCTCTCCGCTCGTCAGCCTGCTGAGACAAAGCGGCCCACTTCCGCTCCCGCAGTGCTTCTCGAGCTGCTGCACTGTTCTGCTGCTCCGTGTAGTCGTGGGAGCAGTCGTCGAAGAGTTGGGGGTTGATCTCCATGAAAAGCTTCATAGCATTGTAAACCATGCCGTGGATTGTTCTGTTCACACGTTAGTCCATACGGTGCCACATTTTCCAACCCAAGAAGCGTCGTCAACGTACCTATTCCAGTGACCCTTAGAGTTTTCGTAGAGAGGAGCAAACATGATGGGAAGAATGATTTCCACATTGTCGCTTACAAGGTTGCAGAAGTATTCGTTGTTCCAGAAGTACAACGCACGCTCGGCGACTTGGAAATGAGGGCTGGCCACTGACTTGGCAAGCTGGTGGAACAGAGGCTCTTGGACCTTGGCGAATTCGGCCGGATCCATCACTTCGAAGATATCTTCAACCTCATTCAAGAACATTACCTCCTTTGTGCTGTTAACCTTTGGCCAGTAGCGTAGCAGCCCAAGAACAACCTATGTGGAGCCTTTTGTTAGTATACTAGTAACGTGCTTGGTAAGATTGGTGAAGAAGGGCATCCTTACATCTTCGGTGAGAGATGCGTCTTTCTCCAGAAACTGAACGATACAATAGGCGAGTTGAGGGTGGTACATGCTCAAGCTCTTGGGCTTGTGCAGGGGGAGCAAGACGCGGGTTAAGAAGATTTTGTGCTCCTCCTTCAGAGGCAGGGCGAATCCGTTAATAATGGAGCCCAAAATCTCTAGGAGCTCGGCAATGCCGTTGAACCTCTCGGTTTCGTAGGTGAATTGGAAGAAGACGTTGTTGATTGATCGTCGAATAAACGATCGAAGGTTGAGGAACTTGCCGTAGATGCGGTGCAGGGTCGTCTTCAAAAAGTCTCGCTCTCGGGGGTCCTCAGAGTCAAAGAGATCCAGCAGCTGGAGCACAAAGCTGTGGTCGATGTGGGCCTTGGCAATGTTGGTATTGAAGTCCTGGCTTTCAATAAAACGCAAGAAGAACTCGTAAACGACCTGGATGTGTGGCCACGCAACCTCCAGGACGGGCTCGTCCTCCTCCGGATCGAAAGCCTCGCCCTGGGGGTTCAATGGGGGTGGGATTGGTCTGAAAAGATTCTTGCTGAACATCTCGACAACTCTGGGATACATGGGCTCGGTGATGACCTGCCTGTTGTTGGCAACGTAATCCAGCAGTTCGTGAAGAGCTAGTCGCTTGATCTCCTTGGCTTTCATGTCACCACTAGCGTCGTTAAAGTCAAAGATGACATTGCACTGGTCGATCTTTTGCATGAACAGCTCCTGGCGCCTGTTAGGCGGTACTTCGTGGAAGCCGGGAAGCTTCTCCAACTCGCGGTGGGCGGAAATGTCAAATCGCGATGAGTGCTGTCGCTTTGGTGTCCGCAAGCCTTCTGGGATAGCATCTCGGTTATCCATGCGATTGATCATGAGAGACTTCTGGCCCGGTTTCGGGGGGGCTAGTTCATGGGGCATCGTCTCGGTAGCTCCAGGAGGAGGGATGTGCTAGAAGGGGGAGAAGAACAATCAGCGTCAAAAGTCGTGAGCGGCTCGCGAGCTTGAGCGAAACTTACACCTGGGGTCGGGCTGATGACGACAGTTGGAGGTCCTCTGCCGCCCGCATTGGCACCGTTGGGGTTGGCAGCGCCGCCCATGGGACCAAAGCGGTCAGCGAGGCCTGGTTGAGAAGCACCAGAAAGGCCAGATGGCTGGCCAGCACCGTGATCGCCTCCATGGCCAGCATTTTGCGGCAGCGGCTTGTTGCGTAAGTCGTTGAGGGTCGATGTCGAAGACGACGGGGTCAGTACCGGGGACTGGTTGGAGTCTCGAGACGAGGGGGACGAAGTTCCATCCTTGGAATCCTTATTCTTCTTGGAGGACTTTGTGGCATCTTTGCCTCGCGAGAGCTGGTTGGACGACTTGGCATCAGCGGCTGCCAGCTAGCTGGACAAAGGGGAGCGACGCCGACGGACAGCACCTAGAGCGCGCAGCGGGTATCAAGGGAGGGGGGACTCACTACTCTCTGGCTGAATCGCTTCATCTTGGCTTGCAACACTGCTCAGGAATAACTATATCGAAGACCGGAAGCCGTCCAGCCAACTCCGTAGCCGCAGTGGGGTAGCAAGGCAACACACAGTCGGGATGCGGAGCGGAGGTGAGGCGAGCCTAGGCGAAGGGGGGCAACGCCAGCTATGCCGGGGGTAAACGGCGTCGTCGGGCCACGAAGGCGCGTGTTTGCAGAGGCGATGGCAGAGGCGATGACCTGATTGCGTCGACGTCTGTGTAGGAGGCGGCTTCGACCTGGGAGGGACAGAGAGGGCTCGTTTGGACGCAGGAACGCGGGTCTCAGGGAGCTGGTCGGAGACAGCAAGAGGGCAGGGGTCGATCCGGTGCGATGGATGGCAGTCCGCCCAGAACAGAGTAGCAGGATTGGATTGGATTGGACTGGGCTGGAGGGTATTGGGGGCGGCTTCAGGGTGACCAATTGTCGTCTGGTCGCGCAGAGTCGACGTCGAGAAGGCGATGGGCTGCTCTTTGGCCTTTGATCCGCCTGTCGCCCGAGAGAGATCGCGAGATAGAGATGAAAGAGAGGTCGAGAGGCAGAGGTAGAGAGCGTCAGCGGCGGGCTGGATGCTGGCAGCACGCTCAGATCAGATCAGAGGAGCTAACAACAAGCAGCTTGGAGGTTTAGCCGTCAGAGAGGCGTTGACGCGGGGGAGTTGCTGTTGCTGAAGAGTCGAGACGTGGAACCTGAACCTGCCTGTACGGCTGTACCTGTGCCTAGCCGGCGCTCAGGCGATCACTGCTGCTGGCAGTACTGCCGGGTACCTGTCCAACGATCCGGCTGTAGGGGCTGGGTGGTAGCCTGTAGGGGCTGTAGGGGCTGTAGGGGCGAGTTGTTCGCTAAGGACTGGCACTAAATCCGATTCCCCCGTAGCGGCTCAATTGCTCCAGCTACACAATAGGCTTGCGGTGAGCTGAGGACGGGACTGAATCAATTGATCGCGATGGGAATCAAACGAGAGAATGGACGGCGACCAGCTCGCTCAATGGGCACGACACCTTTTGTGATTTGATCCCACCAAAGGACTGTCGTCTCCAATGACCCGGGCATTCAGTGCCAGTATTGTCCAAGCTCCTCGACAGGCCTTCATACTGTGCGACACGTCTTAGGGCACTGTCCAGGCGCTGCAGTGGTCAGGATGAACAGTGCCGCTGGCCAATCGGAAGTGCAGAAGCTCGAGTCTCAAACACCGCCCCAACAAGCGCGTGATGCGTAAATTACGTACCTCCTTACCTGGGGCCTCATTTAGCGTCTGGAGCGACACGGTGCGCGATGCCCCTGGCCTGTACTGTATACCACCCCATTCCAGCTCCAGTTGTTTGATTCAGACTGTTTCGCTAGCTGGAGCTTTTTCAGCAGCTGTTGCAGGGGTCTTGTTTGGCATCCATCAAATCTACCACTGATCCATCCATATGTGAGTGGAAGCTAAAAAGGTATTGAAGCTTCACAGAAAAGTCCTTCGCCATGGGTACGCCTCGTCAAGAGGACGTGGGAATCGGCAGCTCAGGAAATATAGCGAGGAATCCGGCTCAAGACCGCCGCGAGGATGGCGCTCCTCGATATGCCATACCACCAAGGGAGCTCACTGCGGTCGAGATCCCGGCAGTTGTTGAAGATGTCGACCGAGCTGTCAAGGCCTTTGGCAGGGTTCCTTCTCTACGACATGTAAGTGCTATGCCGTAGCTCATATACAACAGGTTGTGTCTTGTCTGGTTGATTTGCTCATAAACGAACTTTGCTACGTATAGGTCCTGGATCCTCTAAGGAACTCAATACCACTGTATATAAATCCAGAGGAACCTTTTTGTCCGCCCATCATGTCACATAACGCCAGGTCTCATAATGTCGTTCTCAAGGTCACAGTTCCCAAACGAACTGGGAGGAAGCGCAAACGTGGGACGGACGAGCCCTGGCAAGGTGACGTAGAGCTTCAAGGCGCCGATACCTTGCCCTCAGAAAACGTCCGTTCCATAGCACGCCTCGATGATCCAAGGCTTCTGAGACGCAAACTGGAGGACAATGTCGATAAATACCACGTCGAGGCTGTCGGATTGATTAAGCACACTCATCGCTTCAGGGGCTTGGCAGATTTTTACTGGGACATGGACAAATCGTCATTTGCGCAGAGATTTGTCGACCAAGTGTTGCCCGGAGATGGTATGTAATTCCCTTCACCAATGCCATATGATGATGTACTAACGGCGGCCATAGTCGAGAAGCTAAAGGAGTTCAAGTTTGCACCCGGCATCGACCAAGGCTCGAATGTGGATATCATACCGCCGCCCATCTTCACCCACATGAGTCTGCCATTCAACTACTTTTATTCACAGAACCCGTATGTCCGCTTAACGGAAGATGGCGGAACCGTCAACACAACAGCGGTCAAACAAGTTGGCCACTTTATAGGAACGGAAGATGCCGCCCCTACCGGCCCCCAAATCCCGCCCGACATGACTGATCCGCGTATGGTGGAGGTTATCGCTCAGCTGGAAGAAGCATTTGAAGACCGTCCAGTCTGGACTCGTCGGTCACTATTGAACCACCTTGCCGGCAAGCTTCGAAATTGGAACGAGCTGAAAAAGTACCTCAACTATGCAGCTTATCAGTTCAAGGGCGGACCTTGGAGAGATGGAGTAGTTCCGTACGGAATCGACCCCAGGACTGACCCCAAGTATCGCATATACCAGACCCTCATGTTCAAGCTTCCTAAGCAGAAGCGAGCGCGGAAAGACCAAACCTGGCAATCCCTCCGGAGAGTCCAGATGGGCCGAACAAAGGAGTTTGTCCAAGAGTTGTCGGCCAGCCACATGTTTGACGGAGAGACCTACCACACCGATGGTAAAGTGTGGCAGGTGTGTGATATTACAGATCCATTGCTCCGGGAGCTGCTAGATAATGCAGAAGTGCGTTCGACGTGGGATGTTAGCAGTGGATGGTATCACGGGGGCTTGTGGGCAAAAGTCAAGGCCATCATGAAGACGAAGCTCGTAGCGATCCAGTTTGGTCGACAGTTGACTAAGGAAGATTTCGCCCCAACGCTGCAGTGCGGAGATCAGACGCCAATTCGATCTACCTCGGCCACTTTTCATCTTCCTCTACCTAATCTAAACCTAACAACTGAGGAGCTTACGCAGCTCCGGGGACGAGAACCGTCCAAGAAGAAGAGCCAGGTCTACAATGTGAGAGTTCGCCCTCGCGCTAAAATAGACGTTGATGCTATGGAAGAACAGTCTGTTGTTACATCCCACGATGCAGATGCAGACCTCGAGGCAGACGCAGAAGCGGAGGCAGCAAGCATACTGGGCAGGATGGAACAGAGCGAGGACTCTGAGGCTGGCAGCGATGATGACGACGACGAAGACGAGGATGACGAGGAGAATGATAACGGCTTTGAAGAGGAAGAAGGGATGGAGCACACTAGATTTGAAGGAGATGAGGACGACTACGGCGAGCTAGATGATGAATAGTGGTGGATTTGCAGTAGATAAGAAACTATCATCATCCAAGCATACACGGTGTTAAGCCTCGGACAGATAATTGCACTCAAATGTGCTTCCTAAACCAGTGTGCAGACAGAAAGCCCATAGTTTATGGTCTGATAGTTTTGATGGATGCGCTGCAAACGCAAATCAACAGCCGTGATTCACTGTGCACCTGCCCTTCAGCGGTTCTGATCCCTATCTGAGGCCGCACCTTGTGCCTTAGGCTGCCTCTGCTTTTATCTCACTTTTATCTCATGCAAACCTAATGCCACTGTTTATTGCTCTTTCACCCCAAATCCTCCGCTTTCTCCCTTTCCATTTTGCATGCATCTTCTTCTATCCCACTCACGAGACGATAATTGAACTTTGGATCTCATCTATCCCTATTCTACAAACTTCAAATTCCTCTACCGGCACAATGGATTCTTCTCATCCGTTTTCAGGCGGACCTTGGTTCTGTAAACACTGCCAGAAGGCGTTCTCTGTTTGGGAACACCTGGTAGAGCACAAAAAATCCAAGCGGAACGAAAACAAAGAGGACCACATTCATTGCAAGTTCTGTGGCCGAGATTTCCATACCTTGGAAGGAGAGATGAAGCACATGCAGGTGGTTAGTCAATCGGCACAGGCCTTCACTTTTCTGAACACTTGAACACAGAATCCCTTCTAACCTCAGAACAGGAGCATCCTCTTGAGCAGAATCTCGACTGTCCTGGCTGCGGCCAGGGTCCTTTCAAGCGCCTAGGCTCCCTCATGAGCCATATCGAAAGAGGGTTTTGCACACGCATCGACAGTGACCTCCTCGACGAGCTCAGAGAAGAGAAGCTCGAGTTTCCACGACGTTTGGAGCAGTTGACTAAAGAGTCAATTATGGGGAATTACATGAAGTATCTGCCATCGCCCAATGCAGAGACCGCAATCTCGGGCTGGCACGTTGAAAAGGAGACGCCTTCATTCAAGATGGTCCCAGAAGAGTTCCCGGGTTTGTCTACTACGGCAGTTGATTCCACGCAGTCTCCCTCTGTCACCAACGTGGGCACGGCAACCGAATCAGAGCGTATCAAAGGCAATCGAACTGATACGAAGACTACCCAAGATCAACTTAAGCTTCCTTTCAGACTAGCCAACCAAACAGAGATAGCACCAATCTCCAGCAGCGAAAAGAAGGTCCAAGGTTCGGGACGACTTCCTCTTCGACTACTCTCCGACATTAACCGTGACAACAACATTGAGGTGCCAAGCTCTGTTCAGCGGCCTCAACCGGTCTTCAAATCGGGTGTGAACACTGTCGTCGCGGGCATGGATCCTGATGATCCAAATAACCCGTCGTTCAACGTAGCCCGCTATCGGTGCCCAATCACTGAGAAATGGAACTGTCCAAAAATACCGTGCAGGTAAGAATATTTATTACTTCAATTTGTGGATTAGCCACATACAGACATTGACATTGCGTAGAAAAGTGTTCAAGACGGCCAGAGCGCTTATTGGCCACCTTCGATCGCCAGCCCATGGAAACAAGACGTATAGATGCCCGTGCTGCCTCAAGATGTTCAAGACTTTGGCAGGCATAACTTCGCACGCGGAGACTAGAGGCTCCAAGTGCCGCATTCAAGACACTGTTCACTACGAGATTTTCATGGGCCAGCTGACGGCAGGCATTGTCGATGTTGAAAGAACTCGATATCAAGATGGAAGCATCATCTTCAAAACTTCGGAACAGGTGAAGCAGAGACTTCGTGGAGAGGTCAAGGAGAATAAGTCCAAGGATCCGATCGATATTGACCCAGAAAAGGTTTACTGGTAGAGGTGGCCACAGCTTCTTGCCGGCTTCTGTTTTTTGGAGGGTTGCTGAATTAGTATCCCCTATTTTAGTTCGTAGTTTTAAGATTCAGGTAAGATGAGATCAGATATCGACGAAACGAACGTAAGATCATAGCTAGTAGTCACCGCCGAGAATGGCGTTTAGCAAGACTAGGAAATAATAATTTGCTATTAAGTTGATTAAAAGAAACAAACGTAAAGCACTAAGTCGTTGCTTGTAGATAGAAGCAATGGAGTTGTGTTGAATTCATACCATAGTCAAATAGTATAGGGTAGCTAATAGTGGCTACGGGGCCTTGACTGTTCTAGAAACTGGACAAAGCTGTTTCAGGCTGAGGCCCGGCGACTCGGGAAATGTCCCGAAATCAACTGCGCCCCTGGATGACCTAAGCTCTACTAACCAGGTGTACGAATCCCTCCAGACGAACAGGCTTGATTGCTCAGCGCCAGCTGTCAGATTGATTAGACAAAAGAGCAATCTCAAATGTGCGAGTCGACCTGTCGCAGCCAATCTCGATTGCCGAGCCGAGTGGTTCCTTATTCGTTGCGAGACTGACTTTTGGAACAAAGAGAGAGTCGATCCGATCCCTCCCGCTGAAGACCAAGACCAAGATCACGACGTAACGACGAGGGGAGGCAGAAGCGAAGCACCAGCAAGGAAGGGGTCGGGCTGCGGCTGTTTTAATGGAAGACGAGTCGTCCAGCGACAATCCCAGCATGGCGTTCCGTTGGGCGCGCCGGTTCGAGCGCGCGTGTTGCACGACGGCCAAATACTTTCCCTTGGCGTTTGTCTACGGGTTGACGTCGTGGGCGTGCTGGGTGGTGGTGAGCATTGGGAGCGAAAGCGATCATTCCCGCTGGATAGGTAGGTAAAAGAGAGGATGAGGGAGAGAGAGAGGCATGGTGACGGTGTATCTGGCAAGAATGGCTGGCTGACAAAAGTCTGGCGCGCGCACGCATGTAGGCTCTACGTCCTCATTCTTTGGCGTCCTACTCTACTTGCTACTCAACTGGTCCTACACGACGGCCGTCTTTACGGATCCCGGATCGACGACGAATGACGACGGCTACGGTCTTCTCCCGACCAGCGGCGGCGGCCAGAGTCGCATGGCGACATCCTTCACAGTCAAGAGCAATGGAGAGATTCGATTCTGCAAGAAGTGCCAGGCCCGCAAGCCGGACCGCACGCACCACTGCTCGACGTGCCGCCGATGCGTGCTCAAGATGGACCACCACTGCCCTTGGCTGGCGTCGTGCCTCGGGCTGCGCAACTACAAGCCCTTTATCCTGTTCCTGGTCTACACCACCATCTTTTCCTTTTACGCCTTTGCCGTCAGCGGCACGTGGTTCTGGACGGAAGTCATGGACGACTCCAAATATCTCGATACGCTGCTGCCCATCCACTTTATCATGTTGGCAGTCATGAGCGGCATTATTGGGCTTGTTGTTGGAGCCTTTACATCGTGGCACATTATGTTGGCGTGCAGGAACCAGACAACGATTGAGTGTCTTGAGAAGACGAGATACCTGTCAACGGTCAAGAAGACGCTGCATCAGGCCCAGAACCTCGCCAATGGCTTCCCACAGGCGAGGCAGTTTGTCGACTTTCACGCGAGCGCGCTGCCTGGCATCACCACTAGGGAGGAGGGTGAGGAGCGGCGCTCGCAGGAGCCGACACCCCGAGTGCAAATGTCATATGAGGAATTGGAACGACACCAGAGCCGCAAGCGCTATGAGGAGTACCTCGACGAGCAGGACTCGGAGAAGCTGCCCAACGCCTTTGACCTTGGCTGGAAGCGAAACCTGCTGCATCTCCTGGGACCCAGCCCTTGGCTGTGGTTCTTGCCCATCTGCAACACGACTGGAGACGGCTGGAGCTGGGAGGCCAACCCGAAATGGATCTCAGAGCGCGAGAGGCTGAGGAGTGAACGAGAGGAGCAGCGCCAGAGAGAGGTGAACGCGGGCTGGGGATACGGAGGAGACATTCCGTCGGCGACCGCGGACGTCACGGGTAACTACCACGGCCGCGGACCTCTGAACGCGGTCAACGGTGGCGCGAGAAGAGCTCCGAGCAAGGCGGATCGCATTCTGGGTAGGGACCCGAACATGTACGCCGACAGCTCGCAAGACGTGCCCATGCGAAGGCTAAGCCCGCGTGGCCGCGCGGCGCCACCGGAAGATGATTTGCTGGAGACGGATGAGGAGGAACAAGGCAAGTTCAGCCCCGGCAACGGCTCCCAGACGGCCGCCAGCCGGCTCGAAGCTGAACGGGTCGCCATGAGCGTAGTGACCAATACACGCTCTTGGGGTCGCGGCGGCGCGAGCGGAATGCTGCGCCATGGGAGTCAGCAAAGCAACAACAGCAGCCGAATGGAGAGCCCGAGCTCCGAGGTGAATGACGATGGCGTCGATTGATTGAATGAATGACGGATGCTTTTCGTCGTCGTCGTCCCCTTTCCGTCCCCGATTTTATTCGTTTCGTTTTTCGCTTTCTTCTTTCGACATGGCGGTTTGCCCTTTTTTTTTTCTTCAATGTGGCGAGTAATTTATTCGAAGCTTTAATCTTGTTCTATATTACTCTGTCTTATTACACTTTACACTACAGCGGATTTGGAACAACTGGTAAATGAAAAGGGGGGGTTAAGGGAGGAGGAGAAGGTTAAGACGGCGAGGATCGTACTTCTTTTTGCTTTTCCCGTCCGGAAAGAATGGGATTTTGTTTAGACAAGAGTGAACCACGCATCCACGGCTGAGATTGAGATGACCAAGGGGGGAAAAAAGGGGGCAAGTTTTCTGTTTACGCCACTGGGACGAACTCCCCCTTTTTTGATGAGAAGAAACGGATGGTTTTAGTGTCTTACGCATATATATGAACTGAGCGGCATGCTTAATATCGTGTAGCTGCTTTTCTTTGCTATTTAGAGACGAGGGGGAGATTGAGGAGGCCTCTAGAGAAAGCAAAGAGCCTTAATGTCTTTTTTTTTTTTTACCCTGATGGTTTCTTAGTTCCAAGGTGGCTCTTAATTTGTGCTTAGTGCTTTGTTGGAACATCGACTGTTGCTTCAGTTAAAGAATGCTGACGTCTGTTATCCTACTAGAATGTCTTGGCCGGCTTGATTATCCGGAGTAGCAAAAGATGGAGATGCTTCGTCATTGGCATATTATACGGGTATACCGGTATTACTTCGTGTTCACGTTTTTGTTTTTGGATTCACACCCCCCCGTTTGACACCGTCGCCTTCGCGGACACTATTTCGGCTCCGACACGCCGACGTTGAAAAGGCAGCAATTCACTGCCCAGCAGAGAATGGGAAAGGCAGATAGGTAGATAGGCAGCAAAGAGAGAGAAATATAGCTCATTGCGGGGAGATAGAGAGGGGGCGTGTGTTGGCGTGCTGGTTTCCCATTAGAGGCAATTCGTTCGAAGGTCGATTCGAAGAAGACGCGACAAACTAAGCAAAAATGCCGTTATTAACATGGATGTTCCATGTCTGTTTGACTCCCCCCTAACTGTATAATAGTACGATACGAGTATACACGCGTTGCCCATTGTATTTAGTTCGATGGGTTGCAACAGGGACCATCCAGGTAGAGTGATAGGGCCAAGAAGCATGGCAAAGCCGCTATCCGTTAAACACGCGTTTTCGAAGAAAAGCAATGGAAGGCCAAGAAAGCTGAAAATTGAATGTTTCCCCCACACCCCCTGAGTTTCATCATCATGGCCGAATCTCTTTTGCCCGAACGAACAAATCTCGTCTTGAATTCCCCCGTTGTTTCCGCTCGGGGCTTTTGTTGTCCCTCCGAACGGGGGCTCAGCCTTAAGGGGACCCAGAGATTATTTCCCTTATTTTTTTTTTTTTTTTTTTTTTTTTGCTTTTTGCTTGCGTGAAATCGACTAGGGGTGTGATTGTGATGACAAGTTACGAGACGAGATGGCCACACTTCGTATGCAAGTGCGTTTTTGCTCGTTTTCTCGTCAAATACGAAGTTCCATACGATATTAATTAAGCAACGAGCTGAGCTGAGAAAAGAAAAGTGAGGCTTTGGCTTGGCGTGTTTTACCGCTACGGGGCAAATGCAAACCCTTGTAGCCCAGCGCAATTCAGTTCAAGATTCATGCTACATTCTCAGCTGTGCGACAACGACGTTTGATTGATTGATTCCCTTTTTTCTTTTTACGGGATTGGCATGGCTGATTTGGTTTGACAAGTTGGCAGCTGCCTAAGGGCAAAGGCTAAAACAAGGGCAGAGTTTGGAAGTACTGCTCTGCAAAAGGTACTTGTTCGGTGTCGAAGCTGCTTGTACCTTTTGATTTACCTTGTCCGTTACTCTCCTTTTCTACGCCCACCCTCTCTCTCTCTCGGTCTCTTACTGTGTATATGCTTCGGATGCTCAGCATAAGTTTTTTGGTCAGGCCGAAACGTAATCTTTTATTATTATTACTATTTTTTTCAATGCTCTCATTCGTTCTCGCTTTTTTATTTTGTTTTATGTTATGTCTTCACATGCTTTGTACTTTCTTCATTACGAGTAATTCCTCGGAACAGACGCAATGCACTGTAGATCCCCTCCACATCAAAATCTCAAAATCCAAAAATCGAAACAGCCAAACTTTCCCCCGCTCCCACTCCGGCGTCGGTTAGCACTGCTTCTAGCCAAACAATCTAAACTGCCTCGAGTAATACTTTTCAAACGTCACCCTTCTTTTATCTCTCTCTATCTCTTCTTTTTTTTCCCGTCATCTTTTACTTTATCTCTCCAGCTCATCCGCATAGTAAATACAGCAGTAGTATGAGTAGAGTAGAGAAGGGACAAAAAAAAAAAACACGGCTCGCCATCTCTTCCCCAGCACTACAAACGTCTCGGCCGGCGCCAGTCAAAGCTAACCGGCCAGCCACGGGGCCAACCAAGGAATTGGAGAAAATGCCACGACAAGGCGGACCGCGACACTTGTTTAATGCAGGACACAACACACAGAGGGAGGGAAAACGGTCCGGGCTAACAAATTGGCTTTTCTCTGCTTCCCTTTCCCGCGACGCCCTTTTCCCCCCTCCCTCGGCGTATTACAGAAGTGCGACGGAGGCTACTCCGGAAGCTTTAGTCCAGAAATACTTTTTGGTTTTCGATTGCGAGGACTTGACATCACTTATTCATGCGCGCCTTGCTTGGTTTCTTTTCATGCACAAAGCGAAAAAGGCAGCATGTACGAGTACTCGTTCCAAGCGCTTACTTGTCTCGTCTCGTCCAGGCAGCATAAACGTCTCGTTCTCAAACCCCCCTTGCCCGGAAATCTCGCCTCGGATCTTTTTTTTGTTTTGTTTTCTGTTACATTTGACCGGTCAAAAAAAAAGGTTACTTTCCACGATCATCTTCAGCTGCAGTGTCTGAAACAAGGCCCGAGATGTCAACGAAAATCTTAATCTCCAAGAAGCAAAAAATACAAACTTACCTAGGTACTACCTTGATAGAGCGTGATGAAAGAACAGGCAACGTCACGTTTAACCTGCTAATTCACCCTCTTGGTACTAATAGATAGCCTCCAAGTATGTACACCTCATTCCCCACCTCTTGCAAAACTCACTTATATTCAAACTCTCCGCTAGAGCCGTACAGCTCTGTTTCGGAACAGCTCCCCTTAGCCCAACGAGGCAATAACCGAATGAGCCGTCTCAAAGTAGTAGCAGTGCTAGCAACTGTAGCTGTACGAAGTAGCTGTTAGCCATTCCCCGAGGTACCTTTTCCCTTTTCCCTTTTCCCTCTTCTCTCCCTTGCAACGATTATGTAGTGATGATGTATCCATGTATTCTTTTTTTCTCTCTCAACACACACCCCCCTTCTCCATTCTCCTTTATTCTCTCTCTCGTTCTCTCTGCCTAGCCCTTTTTCTATCCCACTCAAATTATTAATAAAACAAAACAAAAGTCACGTTGAGTAACTGTCGATCTTTTCCCATTTTCTCCTTCCCCCAGGTTCATCCCAAGATTTTAGATTAGCTAAGCTGCCTTGGCTGCCACATGAAACGTGCATCTGCCCATCAAGTATCCAGTTATCGCACATTCCAAAAGTCCGCCCGCTCATCTCATCCTCCCATTGCAAATCGCAATCCTCCGTTTTTTGCCCTATCAATCCGCAAAAATAAAAGTTGCAGGATGCTGCAAATTGATTGTCCGTCACGAGGGACATTGCAGTACTTGGACTACACGTCATGGTTCCATCCCGATGGCAAAATAAACAAAGAAGAGAATAACATACTGTAACATAATAGTAATAATTAAAACAAAAGCACAAACCTCTCTTTCTCATCTCTTGCATTAATCCTGCAATGCAATGGCGCAATGTCCCTCCCAAGCCTCCTTTTCCCTTCAGCCCTTTGGCCAAGGGAGCCTAAAGCACAAGCCACCTCTTGTCATGACACCAGCTGCACGCCATTCGCAGCACAGCTCGCGCCTCCTTTGCCTTATGGCTCCTCTTTCGCATTATTGATGTTAGCACCCAAGTCTTTCTGAGTCTGAGTAATTGGTTTTAGTAGTACATGCACAGCAGGCAGGCTGGTTGTTGAATTTAGGTGCCAGCCACGTATGTACTAAGGCTTTCGGTTTCCAGTAAAACGTGCATCCCTAGGGAATGATACCATGCAGTGCATGCCACCTCAAGCAAAAGCTCGAAGTCAAAATCATTCGATCGCTAAGCTCCTTAATCACATCATGTTCTATTCTCCATAATTGACAAGAATTTCGCCTTCTGAAAGAGCGACACGTATGACTATCCCGAGGGGGGGCAACTTATGTCGTTTCACCTTGGGCTCATTGTCTTACTGTGATTACGCGGGCTCAAATTGCCTTACTGTCTAGAGTGGGCATGATCATCTATTGCTCCGTGAGCCGCTGAGCTGAGTATGATATAGAATACCTACATGAAATACAAAAGGCCACTTTAACTGGTTCTTGAGCTGTGACCTAAGGTAACAGGTAATTTAAGGTATCCGCATAAATGTCATCATCATAAAAATAGAAGAAACGGCAAAGTGTCACCATACAATAATACGATACAAGCATCAACAGCAAGTCTGCGGTGTGAATCAGGTCCATAAATTCCCTATACGGAGTATATCATATGCTATTCGTATTCATCTCTCAAATGCGCCTTGATCCGCCGTTTCATGCAATTGCAGCAACAACGCACGTGCTGCTGCTCCGTCCCAAAATAAACAACCTAGCTCAAACATGTCGCCAAGCAAACAGTCATGAAAATGAAATGCCCTCATAATCATCCTCTCTTGTCCAACCAAATCCCCCCCCTGTCCTGTTCCGTCTTGTACTCTCACCCCTTTGCCCATGCATCATCAGACCGACCTTCCCGATGTGCCAAGAAAAATAACAACAGATTTCGCAACGCCGACGCTAAAAAGCAGAAACACAAGACAGTAATGCATCATCATTGATGAACAGATCCATTTTCACACCTAATCCCTGACGCTCTCTCCACATGTCTCATCTGTTTGTACAAGCCCATATTGTTTCTCTCCTGACCAGTAATGTGACTCTCATCTTATTTGGAGACATGAAAAAGAAAAGAAAAAGAAACACAGACTCAAAGGAGAAAGAAAGGGGGGCAAACCACCAGTACAGGGTGCCAATACACAATTTATCGCAGACGCATAAAATGGAAAGAAAGAATAAAAAAAAAGATAACTGTAAAAAAAAAAGCCAGTGTCATTTGCCTTTGCCCATCCCGTCTATGTTATGCCTTTCATGTGTGTCCTTCCTTATGCAATGCTTTGCTTGTTAAATACCAGATAATGGTGTGGTATATGCATTCCCTTGGACACTGTAGTCCCTGCATCCCATCATAAAACCAAGAAAAGAGAAAAAAAAAGAAAGGGGACGAAAAGAGAAATACAGGTTGTACTCGTGCCCACACGTCGATAGTGGGTGGGTATTTGGTTTCGCTTTTGGTTCCGTGCGCCATACTGAGAATGAAGAAAGGGAAAACCAATAATAATAAAAAATAATAAAAAAGTAACGACAAGTAAGCGCCTGGCCTTGCATAAAATGTAAGTCGTTCAAAGATGCGGCTGTTTAAAGGAACAAGTTCATAAAACAAGCATCAGCCAGGTAGGACCAGCCGTGGTCTGATGGGAATGGGAAGAAGCGGAAAAATCGTGTCCCAGCAATCTCACCATGCAAAGTGCGCCAGCACAAAGGTGAGTGTTGATTTTGTGCGAGGGACAGATGGAAGCGGAGATGTTTGTTTTTCTTAACAGGCCCTTGAAAGGCATGTCAAACCGTAGCTTGTTGTCGTCAAAAGCTATCGTATGTGCCGTATAACAATTATGTCGGCGAATATGGTGGAGGCAACTCAGTTGCTCTCAAAGCTGCGCTTCTCTATACTGCTTTTCTCTATAGTGCTCCGGGGGCTTGAGTTGCTGTTTCGCCCAAGTATGTTCAGGAGATTGAGCTTGCTGCCTCCGTCTAGAGCGGCACGGGGGACGTCGATAAACTTCTTTTCAATATCGTCAACTTCAATTTTGCAGAAGAGGCGGGAGAATAAGTATTGCTCTCCAGCGTGGTTGAGAAGGGGTAGTGTGCGATATCCGCGCTTGAGATTGGTAAGCTTGGCAGTGTAGCTAGCCATCGCGGGCTTCTCCTTGGTGCTGTTGCTGTGGTTTTCGCCGTCGCTAGCTAGCCTGACGGACCAACGAACAAAGATCAGCTCTGGGTGTTTGGTCGTAACCTTGAAGCGGAAATGGCCGTTGCTAAACATAGGGTTGAAACCATTCTCACGAATTACTTCCGTGTGGCGTAGCAGAGGCGAGTCAGGCTCATGGCTCAGCTCGAAATCCTTGTCCTTCTTGTTGCGCTTGTCGTTTGCGTGAAAGACGTCGACGTCGACGTAAAAATCCATCGACTTGTTTGCAGCCAGGTTGGCAGGCCGCATCAGCTGTTGGGCAGAGATAACGTCAATGCTAAAGGACACAACAGACCGTTCCTTTTTGCCCTGGGCAAGAGCTTCGTTGACGGCTTCGTCGTATGGAAGAACTTGAATGTCGCGAAGCTCTTGGGGTTTCAGGACATATCCAGATGAATCTGTGCCGCCCTCAAACATGGCTCGGTTAACCTGCATGCCCATGTCAAAGGTTTGCCAGTTCAAAGCGGCCATCTGAACACCGCGGCGCCAGTACGAAAGCGGGTCGAAGTTGCTAGAGTTCAATCGTGAGCCGTCTGGGTACACGCGCATAAGATATCGCATGTTGTGAAGGTTCAGCTGCATCTTCTCCTCCTTGGTGCGAGAATTCTTGGCAAAGCTGGTCTCCATAAAGGAGAAGATGTGGTTGAACTTCTTAGCCGCTGGGGCATCGAAGCCGGAGAATTTCAGGCCGGCACAGTACACTCCCAGCTTGCCCAGTACTGGAACAATGTTGTTGGATCCCTTGAACGAGCCAAGGTCGCTTCCACTGTCTGAGTCGCTATTGCTTGCCTGGCGCACTTGCACCTCGCCTTCGGCGATGGTGTTCACCCGGCCTTTGCCGCTAAGCTTGCGAGCAGAATTGCTTGGAATAAGCATGGGGCTTTGGGGAAGCGATTGAGACGTGGAAATGCTGCTGCCATCGCTGGACGGCCTTCCGAATGCGGCACTGAGGCTGCTTCCGCGTTTCCTGGTACTCAAGATATCGCCGCTCATGGGTTCTTCCTTGACCATCCGCGGTTGCTTGACCTTGATGAGGATGCGCTCCATCAACTCCGAAGGGGAAGGCAGCTTGGACGCCTCTGGGTCTAATGGCTCCGTAACAAGTCGTTCGCCAAACGTATCCGTGATGATCTTGGCCATAATAGCTTGCTGTTCAGGGTTGCAGTGGACCTCCAGGGAAATCCAGAGTGGAAACTTGGACTTGACAAACGCATATTTACTGATGGTGACCATGACCTCCTCGAAGCTAATGGCGCTAGTGAGCGTGCGACCGTGGACCACCAAGGGGTTGCCGTCGGCACCATCCCAGCAGTCGACCTCGACGCAGCGGCAGCCTCTCACAAGAGCAGCGATGTATCCTTCGATGCTAGATTGGCCCGCGACTTGCCTTCCAAGGAGGTAAGTGTTGTGTGAGCTGGAGATGAAGTACTCGTTCATGGGTCGATCAAGTGTGAATTCTTGCTGTTCATCGATAGTTGGGAGATTTTGCCGAGAGCTCAGGAATCCAATGAATGCGGTCTCCGACATGTAGCTGAGTTCTTCAGGCTTGACTTCAGTACCTGCATCGTCGTTTCTGTGCTTGCGGATATAGTATCTAAAGATACTCTCCCAGGCGGCCCGGTTCGTCACGTCCTCCTTTTGAACGTGCTCAAGGAAGTCGAGGAATTCGTTCAAGGTGAGTCCATCTTCAGGCTTCGCTGCTACACTCTGCATGAGTTGGTGAACATCCTGTCTCTGCCTCATGAGGCGGACGAATTCAAGGAATTCGGAGAAGTTGAGCTTCTCAATCCGCCGAGCATCAGCGAGTCGGAAATTGGACTGGACAGTCGCCTGAGAGCTGTAGATGTGTAAGTTCTGGCACACTCGCTTAACGCCATTGATATCAAGCTCTTCCTGGTCTTCGGAATTGTGCTTTTGCATCTCCGATTGCCAGTACTGGGCAATTGCCCTCTCATTGAAAGTCATCAAGGAAGTCATGACCTCCTGGCGGTGCTTCAGCATGTCAAATAAGAATGTGGTCCAAATCTTGTAAATTTCGACATTGTCTGCGATGAGGTGAAGGAACTTTTTCTTGGACTTGTCCGGAACGACATATGAAATGGAGAAGAGCTTCTGGCGTTCGTCAACATCTGTAATGCCAAGGTCACGAGCGTACTGCTGAATATCTGACTCGGTCCGAATCTCCTTGATCTCATCGACATGAAGAAACTTGTGGGGGCGAGCGCGATCCCACAGAAGCTTATTTGTGTCTTGATCATAGCTAAGTAGCACGACTTTGGAGCGGTTCTTCTTGGAGATCTTTTTGAGCAAAGTTCCCTGTTGTAGCTGCAATGGAATTACAGGGCCAACCATTGTGTTTGAGCCGCTGTTGATAGAGCAAGTCGTGCTGTTAGTCGGTGACCCCCGGGTTCCACCAAGGTAAGGCAACGAGATGTAGGAGCCTCGATCATCGTCCATATCAGACTCGGAATCGGTGTTGATGATGCCATGCTCGGGAGCTGTCGCATTGCTATCACTACGCATTCGCAGATAGCAGGGACCGACGCTGGTTTCGCGGCTTGAGGGAGCGGCTGAGGATTGGCGCCTTCTGTTGGAGAGTCTCGATGCTCGGCTGGATAGGCGTCGTATGATATTCCTAGAAGCAGCGGGGACGGCGTTGGTTGTGTTGTATAGAGTCGTGGCTGCTGACGTGGTGGTGGAAATAGTATTTGCCAAGGTGGTGTTGTTGCTGCTAAAGGTAGCCTCGGAGGTAGTGCTTGGACTTCCAGTCCAGCTCTGCCCGAGTGAATTGAGGCTGGTTTTTCGAGAGATGGGTTCGCCAAGGATGGATTCCGGGAGCTGAAACGCTGGGGGGACCGAGTCCTCATACTGAGGCCGCATAGACTCCGGCGAGGCCTGGATGGAGGAATTGGAGGTGAGAATGGTAGGCTCTGGAGACATGATTGGTGAGCCATGCTGGGAATTGGAGGCTCTGGAAGACGCGCTGACTGCGGACTGGGGAGCCATGGCGTGACGTTGCGCGTTGAAGTTTGTCTGAACGTGACCAGGGCTTGGACGCTGGGGGTTGTTGGATTGTGAGGGCATGGTGTTGCTGGGGCCCAATGCTAGAGGCGTAGAAGAGTGAATTGAGTCTGTGTTGCTGCTAGTCATATTCAAGTTGTATGTAAGTGAAGAGCAGGCTCATTGCAGAGGCAAGCCTCGAGGTTTCAGTAGGCGGATTGACCCTTATAAGTCTCGAGCTGTATGCATATTGTAGTATCAAATCTGGGGTGAACGGGATGCGGGGGGCGCGAGTGGTCGAACTACTAATAGTCGATCCGCAGGGGCTGCGGATGGAGCTGGTCCCCAGGCAACTTGCCAGGGGTTCAAGGAGGGAGTATGGGAAATGTACAAGTGAAGTTGTAGCTCGAGGGCAACGGTGTAGGCGAATTGGCGTCCTACACGCACAGGTCCCGCGTTTGGAGTTGCTGCAGACGCTCGTTCGGTGGGCCGTTCAAGGGTGGCTTGATCGCTCAAAATCGCTGCTAGGGAATGATGATCAGAGACCCGGTCGAGAAATGCCAGGCCGCGACAGGTGGTGAGGTGGCAGAAGCGTAGCCGTATGCAGGTGGCTCCTTTAGGGTATATGGCCCCAAACCAAATGTCTTGGAGACGCTGCACGAAGGACAGGCTCAGCGCGCGAAGCTGCGAGGCAACTGTATGATGCGACACAGCCTGCCGGTTCTTGAGGGGGGCAAGTCGGCTATTCTTGCTGGATGTAGGCCGAAAAGTGGGCGACGCTCGATGACGATTGCTGCTTGGATATTGGTGAGGAGGTCGTTGGAGTAATGCAGAGCAGAGCCGCCGACAGGTAGCGAGGACGAGGACGAGAACGAGGAGTTAAATAGGAAGCGAGCTCTGGAGTGACAAGCTGCGAAAAAAAAAGAGGCCTGTTTGTAAAGAGGCAGATCGAGGACCGGATGTAACACTCGGTGGCAAAGGCGTCTTGGAGGGTTTCGTGCGATGTCCGGGTGAATGATGACCCAATCGAGAGACGTAACGATGGGTTTGTCTGTACACAATGGCTTGGAGAGGAGAGTTCAAGTAGAACGCTTGTAATATCTGGTCGCAAGATGAGGAAGCGTCGAGTATGGAGGTTGAACACAGGAAGTGGAAGCGGCTTGAGTAAAAAATGCTGCTGGACTGTGACTCTTGGCGGGGGTGTACAGGTAGCTTTGGCAGTACCTTAGTATAGAAGCCTGTGAGGGCGTGGCCGGGCTGGGGGGGAGTGTACATTACTGCTGCTGGGAGCTAGCTAGCACGGTTTTTTTTTTCTAGTCTCTCTTTTTTTTTTCTTTGACTTTCTTTCCCTACCCCCTCCCCCCTTAGGCGCTGCTGGGTACCTCTGCTAACATCCATCAGAAGGTCGGGAAATTTGCAGCAGTACAAGCTCTAATTTTCGAAGCCGCCGCGGCATGGCCCTTGGCTGCTTGTGCCAACCAAGCATCAGTGCTTGAGACAGGAGAGACAAGGATTGCAGTGACGGCGCAGTCAATCCGATGCCAGAGTCCGTCTATCACGTCAAGTAAAGACGTCAGAGGGTCAAAGTGAGGCGGCAATGACCCTTGCAATGCAATTTCCAGTGCTGAGGCCAGTGGGAGCTCGCCCTTTGACCATTAGATGTGACCATCTCACTTGTCCATGCGAGTTGTACTTGTATACTCGTATGAGCCAAAGACCCCAAAGGGGGCCAAAATATGTATACTACCTAGTAGTCCACTAAAAACCGACGGGTTACAAAGTCTTGGTATGCCACAGACCAATGGATCGACCTGGAAAATATGAAAGTTTGCACAGGGAGAGCCAAGAGTTTGTTTGAAGCGACCTGCTAGAGGTAGTATCACGAATCGAAAGGCCAGAGGGAAAGATGGGGAAGACGGGAAGAGACAAGCCAGAACACACACAAGAGAATGGGAAAAAAAAAAAACCATTAAGAAAATAAAATAATAAAACAAATAATAATAATAAAACAACCATCCATCTGTTATGCCTTTCTTGTATCTAGCTCCTCGAGGGGCGTCGGTTTAACACTACTACTGTCCGGCAAGCAAGGGGGAGGCGAAAAGATACAAGTCTGCTCTGTTTCTGCCAAGAGATTAGGCCAGAATCCAAGCATGAGCATGTCCAGGGCCAGCCAGTTATGACGCGGATGTGTCGGGGGAGGGGGTGCCTGTAGAGGCGTAGAGGTCCGCGCCATACGAGCCCAGAGGTAGCAGAGGTACCTCGCCCAGCGCAAGTACCTCAAGTACCAGCCGTCTCTGGGTACCTCGCCATGTGTCCAGCCCTTCTGGCCGTCAATTTCTCAATTGCGGAATTGTGGTCGACTTTTTTTTCTTACCCACCCCGCGCTTTGGCATGGGGGTTTATGCACTAAGCTGCTGCTACTGCCTCGAGCAGCATTGCATCCCTCTAGAGACATTGGTAACTCCGTAGGCTCGCAGCTTTTGCAGCGCTGCTCTATTCCCGCCGTTACTAATCATGTTTGAGCCGGTGCTGGAATTTTCCGTACATGGCAAAGGGGGATAAAAAAAGAAAAACAGGGCAGCGCATTATCAAATCAAAACGCAGCTGCTCCTTGTGGCAGAACCTGCCGGGATGCCGGTGGCGATAGGCGGCCAATGTGTTGTAATAAGAAACCATCTGGAATAAGCCCGGACTCAGAGTTGGGCACTCAGGCATACAACATCCATGGGAATTGGAGAAATCCGCATCTCTCCTGATCATCATGCCGTTGCCAAAAAGTACCGTACTTTGTCGGTGGCATTCAGTCTCGATGACGATCGCCGGCTGTTAGTCGGATCCCTAATAATGGATGGGCTTGGGCGAACGAATCACATACTGCACTTGTTCCAGCAATTCTGGAGTGAGTACATCAAGACGTCAGATGCACAGCGGCCAGGCGACTCATGTAGCCTGCTAGTGTGCTGTTACACGTATCATTGCGTGCGCTATCTAGTCTACGTCTATCAAGTGAGAGAATGCATCGACATTTTCGTCTGTCTATCCTAGTTTCACCTCGACGCAGTGTGCTCGCAGGTGAGGCATGTCAGCCAAATGTGCTACGTCTAGTCTCTCAACTACGAATGTACCTAGCTTAGGCTTGCTCAACCCTATTAGACGGCGTCCGTGCAACATGTCAACTCTTGAGCCTCTAACTCGTCACATCCACTTGGACTCGGACCCCAAATTTGTTCCTCATGATGGTGATCCTCGGCTGTGCTTCAGCAAAACTTCATCGCCGTGATGCTTCATTGGCTCAATGCTGCTCTTTTGCCGGCGCAGCTGATCACTGTTTCGTGCTGCCACGTCAGGACAACCAGCGATGGCCGGAAGACGGAGGTGTTGGGTTTAAGACGCCCCCGAGCCGGTCAAGCTGCGCTGCACACCGGATCACGAACTGAGACCACGGACGCTCATTATTTCACCATCCATGGTCCTGTATCCGTTGTTCGAGACACAAAAAAAGTCAAGCTCAGGCTCCAGGACGGCTGCGATGTCGGGCATTTCCGGGGGGCCTTGCTCTATCGGCTTCGCGAAGCTTGGGCTTGTACTACGTGGAGGGACAAACCAAACAAACGGCTGTGATTTTAAGGTGCTGATCCCTCTCATTGCGTAGTGATCACGTTGCGCACCTTAGGGCGAATGATAACGGCGCAACAGTCTCTTCCCCCTTCCATTCTGTCTTTCCGAAGCGCCATTGTGTTCCTTACCCCCCCGTGAAGATGAAACGACACAGTCGGCCAACGAGACAGCAGAGATCGGCAAGATGAGCAGCTTAGCCCTTGGGGCTTTTGCTGTTGGCCTGCGGGAACCCTTCTGCACGAAGCCCACGAGGACCATTTCGGGGAAAATGTGAGAAAAGGAAGAGAAAATTAGAGCGGCAGAGGAGGGGCATGAGTTCGTTCTGATGTCGCAGCTACGACCGTTATGGCCTTGGTGCAACGAGTAGTGCCAGTTTGAGGCTGCGGATACGAAGCAGCTGGGCTAGGCACCGTAATCCAAACACCACGACGCGGCAAGTCCTCTGCTGCTTTGGGCAAATGGCAGAGGCCAACAGGACAGGGCCGGACGACTCCATTCTGCTTGATCAAGTGATACTGGGCAGGCTTCACTGCCAAGACCGTTCTATGAGCCGAAAGGCCGCCTGGGCTTCCCCGCCATCCAAGCCCTAGCCCCGAACGGAACGCTTTCATCAGCATCTCGGCCAGTCGGAGATGCCATGTTGGCGGATGGGCCTCCGCAAGTACGGTACGAATATTATGTGCGTGATGCATTTGCCTCGACGTCGTACTGGAGTCGTTGGGCTAGCTGCGTGTCTAGTGCGAGCCGTGTGTCGAACCCCGTCGCTCAACAAGTGGATGATGATTATCTTTGGGCTACGGTGCTCGATAACCTCTGTCTCACCTTGTTGGCTACCCAATACCACCTACCTTTACTTTACTTTACCTTACCTTACCCTTCCACGACTCTGCGTCTGCCTCTGACACTGACACTTACATGCCGTTACACAAGGCCACGCTGCAGATGAGATTGCCCGCACGTCCCGTCAACGCTAGCAGGTAAGGTCAGGTACTTGTATGTATGCGGACAGTAGCAGACGCCCAAGCAAGGCTTCGTATTTGAGCATCTAATATGGACGGAGCAACAAGAGGCACGCCTTTCTGACGGGGCAGCCCAGCCGCTGACTCTGGCCGCCGGCGGCTTGACGGGTAAATTGGCATCGAGAGAGAATCCCACGAACACGCGGCCTCCTCCTCGCCGTCTTGCACGATACATGATACATGATGCAGTACATGATACATGAAATAGCGCCAGCTGAGCTGTATCCCTCACCTGCCTGCAGAAGGACGAGGCTTGGAGGCATGGATCAGTGGCCACAGGCACCTCTTCCGGGAACGCATGCAGCTGAGATGTGAATCGGGCGCACCCAAGTAGCATCATCGTATTGGTACAAGACAAGATACTTCCCATGTTGGCATATCGACTAAGGGACGGCATGAGGCGCAAGTACGAGTATGCATACGTACGACCTGCATTGGCATTTGGTGCTAGTGTAAGGGTAATTGCACAGGCATCGGATGCCAAATAGGAAGCTGTGCTTTAAGTCTTCGACACACGCATGCTTCGGTGACTGACATTGGATCATGAGCGCAGCCTTGGTTACACGATGAGCTGTGCGGTGCCGGTCCCGGAGGTGGTTTCAAAGTGTCTTACTGTCTGCCTTCTCGCACGGGAGGTAAGGCGTCAACTTACGGGAGACGATGAGATCATCGTTTGCTTATTTTTTTTCCTTTCACATTTTTATCATTTCAATTTAAACCCACAGGGCAAGGAAGAAAAAAAATTGCAAAGAGGAGTCCAACCCTCGCTCAGTCTCCGGCGGTCTGGTTGGGGGTGTCGTTAAATGGTCCCGCATGGCAAGATTTAAGGTAGGATAGGCGGGTGCTACCTTCTGAGAGCTCCCGTCAAGAGCTCTCTTATCCTCTCGGTCGGGTACCTGTACCACCACACCCATATCGTTTGACGCATGCGGTGCAAGTGCGGTACGTACTGTACTGTTACTCGTATCGCATGCCTTATTCCGTAACATTTGAACGGAAACCATAAACAAAATGGCGTCACTCTCTCCATCAAATGCTCTTTCCTCTTCCCCGCCAGTACATGTACACGTCCGTAGGCGCTGCATTGGCAGGTTGCCAGGTACGTGGCCGGTACAAACGAAGCGCTGCACTGCCTGGCCGCACGACTCCAAACGGACCAGACGAGAAGCAGAAGCAGCCGTACCCAAGCTCACCTCTTTGCACCCATGGCCTGTCTCTGCAGCCTTGTGAAAGGCCATGCTGCTCATTCATTGCCCAGACGTAGCAATCCTGCAGAGACGTTGGCGAATCGCATCCATGCTGCTGAGCGGTCAAGAGCGTCACCTGAGCCGTCCAGATAGGGCTTGTGGTTGACCATGCCAGCCGCAATCAGCAACGGCCGGCTCGCTCACTGAGTCACCGAAAAAAATCCAACGGGGGACGGAATACGGTTCTATTTGCGGAAGCCATGCCTAGGTACAGTAGTTCTGCTACTAGGCCATTCATTACGTTGGCATTGGTTCTTTTTGAAAGGGAACACGGAAGAAAAAAAAAACTTCTTTTCCCCATTGGATGGCCTTCCCCTGCAAGACTGCAGCGACTAATTCAAGCAACGACCAAGTATCCAGAAGGTACCACTGCTCTGCACGACAGATCAGATACAGGCAAAGTACCGGCCAACCGGGGGGCTCACTTGCCCTGCCCTTCTTGCCAAACAGCCGCTTAGACCATGACCTGCCTTTTCTCTCCTACAACAGGCAAGCATCGTGGGATTTGTCGCAGCGCTTCGGGCGGACGAGGCCTCAGACACCCATGCACGCCCAACTGCGGGGTCTGGCGTCTATCCTCATAAGAGTCATCGAGGCAAGACAATCGCCTTTAATTTCACCGACTTTTAAACACCGGCACATCGCGTCATGAGGCCATGATGATCGGGGTCTGGGTTCTGGGTTCACCAGCTTGGCGGCGCGACAGGACAGAGTGCCCGGTCGGACGAGACACAAACCTCCGAGAGTCACGTAATTCGCCATCCAGACAGCGCCTATCAGATGCGGTGAACGGCGAGCGCACGTTTTCCCTCTGAGATGCCCAGGTTGCCAGGTCTGGGCTGCACAGCGGAATAGCCAATCAGTGATATCGCCAGCCCCAGAGACAAGGCGTCTAAAGGCACAGGACACAAAAGGCACAACCCGACTAGCTGGGCCATGGGCTGCCGCCTCTAGGGTTCTGTTTCATGCTGCAATCCGGAGGCAGCATGACGTCTCTACCCTGAATCTGCCCAATCGGCTGCTAATGCGCAGCCTTTACTAGCCCAACTGGGGATCTGCTTGAGTTGGAGACGACTGTCACGCCGAAACGGATGGAGCAGTGCTCCAGGGCCTGTTCTCGAATCATTCTTCGCCTCGGGCGCTGTAAGGGAATGTTTTCCCCTGACCCTGGACTGCCGTGCCGTTATTGCTGCTACATGCCATCACTTGAAGCAGCTCATCGGGTACTGATGCCTTCGACAACGGCCCAGGGGAAGTATTCCGGGATCACCAAGTTGGCCTCGCTGGCAATGCTATTGGTGCTTGGGCATGAACTGTGACGTAAAGTGACTGGCACCACCGTCTTCGGGTCCAGAATCCACGAGTCACCCAGCACATACTTGTATCGTATTGGTACAATTTGCGCGGGAGAGAATGCTCTGCGGCATGGCAAACGCTCAATCTTACCGGCCGCTAGCAATACTTTTCTGGCATCCTCTCTCCAAGTTTTCTCTTGTCAGGCTCCAATGGAATATTCTGGTTAAAGCTCCTCTTGTTCCCGGAACCTAGTTTGCCGTGTGATCCTTAGTGCATATGAGCCCGTCAGACCTTGGCGGCCATATAAACAGCCATTTAGAGAAATCCAACCCCCCTGGTCTCCGATATTGTTAATCACAACTACCAAAAGTCAAATGTTTTCAACGGAAAGTGAAAGAGAGAAGAAGTCCTTTCGCTGGGTAGAGGTAGACGAGGTGGGCAATCCAACGAAAAAGGCTAGAGTTCAGGGGGGCTAACTACTCGCATCTCTAACCTTTGACTAAGGGATGCCATGCATGCAGCCAAACAGGGCAGAAGGGCACGCTTCGCATGTTAATGCCAAAACAAATTTTATCATCACATTCATGTTCACACTCTCCTGTTACTCTTTTGCTTTTCCCCTCGTGCGCAAGGCCGACATTCCCGAGTTACTCTACTGGCCCCTCTTATTCCCTTCCTGCCGCCCTCCTTTTGCCGTCTTGGCCCTCGAGCTGATCGTATTGGCACGAAGTGCCTAGCGGTTTAAGTTCAAAAAGCAGCCGCCAAGAGGTTGCAACGAGAACGACAGCAAATCAACATGTGCTCTCAGCTTCGACTTGGCTCGGCTGCATCGGATATATCTCAATTGAGTCTAGATCAGCAGGGTCAGGGAGCCGGAGAAGCAAGGGAGTGAGCTCCTCTCAGTCTTGAGTTGCACAAATTGGTCGCTCTTGTTGGCCGCAAACACAAGTCATCAGTTTTTGAGAACACTGTAATGATCTCAACATCTGATGGTTCTCAGGACAAAGATTTTGCTCAACACTTACCCTATTCCGTGACAGGATGGAAAGACTCAGCTGGTATTATGCAAGCGGAACTGGTCTTTCCCCGCCCAACTCAAGCTGCACACACATACACAGACACACACACATATATATACATGAGAGACAAGGGGGAAGAAAGCATACAAAACGGCACCAAGTGAAGAACACTTTTCCGAGGATACCAATCGAATCATGCCATCAGGGTGTGACATCCACAAGACCACCCTAGTCAGCGTGGATAAATCGCACAAGTAATGCTTCTGTTGCCATCAGCCGCTCCGTCAAGAAACGCGAACTCCTTCCACGAACCTCTTGATTTCCAACACAGTTGGCTTGTCGATAGCTGAGGCAAAAGATCCATGGATTCAGCCTCACGTTAGCAACATCAAACAGCCTAGCGGCATAATCCCATCCCCTGCCACGTCTGATGCAGAGCATCCTCACCGTTGCAACACACCTCCTGCATTATACACTGAATCCTACCCGCCTTCAAAATGCACAAGCCTGCATGCCACCAAACCTGGGCTTCAATTAAATGCTAAATCATGCATCTCCATCCCCGGCGACATACGGTGCAATGAGCGAAGACCGAAGCTCCGCCTGAAGGCCGGTCATTTCCCATGCACTTCAAGCTCTGTGCATATACGGGACGATGACCAGTCGAGCTGTTGTTTGCGCGCAAAGGGGCCAGCTGGACGGGAGTAACTACGCATTGCTACCAACACCATCATTGCCTGAGAGAGAGCGCTCATAGAGCTACAACCCGGGTCACTACCCCTTGCCCACAACACATCGCCTGTACGTGCTCTATAAGAATGATTTCCGATGGCCAAGCAGTCATCTTGGACGTCATCGAGCTAGCATACACGGGGCTGCAGGATCGCATGTCCGCTGCTGCAATGGCGTTTACCAGTCGCGATCAATATATGCTGAGTAATGGTAACGGGTCGGCTTGCGGTCCCTGACGTGACGGGATGGATGCTGCGTGAGCTGGTGCAGCGATGCGGTTGGGTCGCTTAGTACTCAACGAAGAAGCCTCATCCATTTGGGCGGGATTGATGCGGGGGAGGCTTGAGTCTTGTCCTTGCCGAGGACAATCACCCGCGTCGGATCGTCTTCAATCATACCTTATCTGCCGATAAGAGCTGGTGTTTGTGTTGCTACAACCCTGGCCTGCTTGCAAGGATCATTACGCGATTCGAGAGCGTGGAGTTGCCGTCGCTGGCGGCACTCGCGGGAACGAAGTGGTGTGGGTTCATGTAGGTCTCATGTCCTCAGGAGACTGCTGTCGTGGCTCACTCTCGGTGGCCTTGCTCTACCGATTGTCGTTGCTACGGGGGTTTTCGGGAACCGACTCGGCCTCAATTGCACCCATCGGTACAGCTGCCCAGCAGAGAACATGATCCGCGATGTTACAACAGACGTCTGTTCGTCCGGTCTGGGAGTTCAGCTTGATCAACGGACTCAAAGCACCACCACTCGCTATGGGCCACTTGGCCCAAGGGTGTGTTGTAGTGCGTGTACCAGTGCGTGGGCATTCGTATATTTGTTCAACGACCAGGGTCTTGCGACCACCACTGACGACCATCTGTCACAATGCATGTTGGAAGGCAACTTGCATTTACGCAGGTGTGCCTTCTGTTTATTTGAGTAGTACTTGTTACACCAAGTAATATATTGTCAGTTTTGGCGCGATGTTGCCTGCGCCGGCCTAGCAGAAAGCCGGTCACGAGTCTCGTCTTGCAGATGGAAATAATGCATTAGGCTCAAGACTAGTTGTGCTTCCCTTGCAGCATCATGCACCCATCGACCAACTCTTGCAGAAGAGCTGCAAAACCCGTCAAAAAAGGGAAATTGGAGGTCTCTCCGGTTGCTCTTCTCACGATTGCACACAATTCTTCTGGTGATCCGGCCACAGTTATGTCAGCCCGTATAAGGCTGCCCCATGAGGAAATTCCACTTCTCGCAGCAACTAATATCTACAATTCTGCAAATGGATCAAGATGAAAGAAAAAAGGAAACGAATCTGAAAAGAAGAAGGGAACGCCAGCCACACTCAACGCAACTCCAAGGGACATCTGTGAATCGGCCCCTATTATTGCTTATGCAGATCTGAAAGGACGTACGCATAGGCTCTCGGGCTCTTATCCGTTGGCGACCCCATCCTCCGCCCCATCATTGCAGGCCGACTATCGTTTTGGCAAGGGGTGTCCCATGGCTTTCCGCTACCTTTATGGCCTCTCTTTGCGCAGGCATGCTGCAGTATTGGGTGCAAACTTAGAAAGATAAGGCGACCACGAGCACAACCACCTCAGGGTTGGAGCAGAGCAAGGTGATACAACAGCTGGCAACGAGTTTGCTCTGTTTTGGGGGCAGAGCGCGCGCTACGGACAGGGGATCCGGGACTCATGGAAAGGCCGTCTTGTTTCCAGTTGCATCGCCAGTAACAGAAGTCCATCTGGTCGGGTTCCCAGGTAGTTGGTACAGCAAACTTACACTCTGCCAACCAAACTCCCATTTTCCCGACGAATATACGGGACGAGTCATGCCGAGTACAGCCGGCAGAGGGTGGGATGCAGCAACCTACCACTTCTACCAGCTCTAGCAATCATCAAGTACCTACCTTGCGCATATACTTGCGCCTTTGTACATACCAATGCGGATGCAAATAAAGAAGGCATCGCTGGGTCGATTTGCCAAGGGGTGTGTGGTGTGTGAATTATGATGGTGCGAGCCATAATGAGAGCATAGTGACGCCTCTGATGTCGGGCAACATACGGATTTATTGACCAGCTTGGCTGATATGCAGGGTATATGCTGCTGAATGACGAATTGGCTGTGCTAAGAACGCACGAACGGCTGCCACGACAGCACCCGAGGAATCAAATCTTGGTACGGGGTGTTCATGAATGTACTGTGGGGGACACGCACTTCTGCCAGGTCAAAGTCAGTTGATGAAGGTGAACCCCTCTGAATCCTACTGGTACATGCTGCTTGCATTTGGAGGCCGAGTCTGGTCCGCCGTCTGGTTGGCAGGGACATTTTTGTCTTGTTGGTCTTCTCCACACGGCCAGCATTAGGACGAGCATCATGCAGCCCAGCCATGCATGGGCTCGCACGCACACCACACAATCTCCGCACGCCACTGCCGCTTCGTGTCACCATTGCAGCCAGTCACGGCCATCCACTCCGCTCGGCGAGAGCCCTGGAGTGGGAGGGGGAGGGCCACGGATTGCCTCTTCCCTTCTCCTCTCCGGGCTCTACTGGCGATCAAAGCAAGACCGCGGGGAAGAAGGGGGACAGCGGCAAGAAGGTGGCTGATGGAGGGTATCCCGGCCAGCTGGAGACTGGTTTCTAGAATTTTTCTCTTTCGCAATTGGCAGCTGGGGTGGGTGGGCTACCCGAGTCTGCGCCTTGGCTAATGCCTTGCCTCTTCCCATCAGTCGCCATGACATCTCCATTTCTATCTACTCTTATGCTGCACGCAGCCAAGCACTAGAGAGGAACGGTTTGGAGGATGCGCTACCCGTCCCCATGTGGTCTTGGGTGCCTGGCAAAGAGGATCCTCGTTCTCCGGTAGGGCATGGCCTGGCATGGCATGGCATGGCATGGGCGATGGGAATGAGGCATGTGTATGACCAGATGCGTAAGGCCTTGCGCACTGAGCTATTTTTTCCCTTTGGGCAGGCCGAGGGGATGAATGTGACGATGCTATTTTGGCTCCATTTTTTGCTTCTACCAGCATCTGGGAAGCTCAGGAGTGCGCGCCATTGCTTAGCAGCACCACCACGGCCGCGACCATCACGATCCTGGCGCCCTAACCGCGTTTCTGGGGCGCTGCATCTCGATCTTCTGACCAGATAATATGCAGTGAGAATAAGCAGGTGAGCGCACCAAGAACCTCTGGGTTTGGCTCGTCTGCTGCCTCTCATCCTCCTGTTTGTCCGGCTGCCGGATGTGGCAACCTGTTGGCAGGCAGCGTTTCGCCGTTGCAGGGCTGAGGGTGGCTTAACCTGCTTTCAGCTCAAAGCATGTACCAACGGCGCTTGGTATTTCACCCCGTCGTCTCACAAATCATCTTTTTCCTCTACAAGTCGAATTCGCTCCGTCGCATTGTCGACAACAAACCTGCCGTCAGCCCAGTGGCCAGCGGCCAACCAACGCCCATAAGCCTACATAGCTACGCTTTGACTGATGCACGGCCGGGCCGTCTCGACAAGCAGCAGCGGCAGCAGCAACAGCTTCCTATTATACGAGTACATGATGCTATTGGCGCGTCATACCCTCCATTTCCAGGCCGTGGACTGTGTCTGAGTGTGAGGCTGACCTGCAAGCTGCTGCCCTTTACTGCTGCAAGAGCGCTCCGTGGCTGGCTGGCTGGCTCGTTGCATGCATGAGGACTGTTTCGTTTGGCTGCTGTCTGTTCATCACGCAAGCCTATTCTCTGGCGGAGCACTCCGTGCAGAACGCTATTGGTATGTCTCACAGCAACACAGGAGACGAAGGGGGAGACGAAGGCGAAGAGAAGGGGACTGCTACGATGAATGCAGCTGCCCAGGGAGCACAGAATAATCCGAAATTTCAAATAATGAACTGCCACCTATGGCACCATCAACACTTATCACGCGACCTGGTTCCCGCGGGGGTCGCACAGCGATTACAAAACGACTCAGCTGGCATAATGAAGAAGACTAGCGCTTTGAAACGAGGCAATGTTTGAGACCCTGGAGAGTCTGGGCTTTGGCATCTGCTTGTACCGATATTTACTGGTGCCATGGCCTCGATGCCCTTCTTTGTACCTTGTACCCCTAGAATACTGATAGGAGCACACCGATTCTCCCTCAACACCAGCTACTGTACCGCCCAGCAGGGGAGAGAGACCCTGGCGATGCAAGCTGGGAATACGGGGCCCTCGTCTCCCGGCAATCGCCAGGCATCTTGGTCCAGGTTGACAGGGCAGTTCATCCACGAAACGGGTTGTGCTGCTTCTTATTGGGCCTACGGGCTCTCCGGACGAGGTACTGGACGAAATTGTTTGATATCGTTTGCAGCTGCAGAGGGAGTTTGGAATGAAGACATTGGCTACAAATCCTACCCCTCAGCAATCGGCGAAACACGGCATCTGGCTCACAGCGGTTCGTCCGCGATTCTCGACCCAGCGGACCCTTTCTTGTGGATTCAAGGACCTAATACGTGCAGGTACTTTGGCAGAGAAAAATACCTACATGTACGAGATGTATCGCCTCTCAGCCTTGTGCTTGGCTGCCCATGCTGCTGGGGCAGACAGGGGTTTCGGTGAGGGCGGCATGTCTTTCAGAGTCACGGTCACCGCGACGAATGGGCTACCACTGGAAAAGACCCACGCCATCTATACACTGATGCTTCTTGTTTGTGCTTGTGCTTGTACGCGCTGGAACCCCCGTCTGTAGCCGCGGACGCATTCGAATGAGCAGATACGGCGTCACAGTGCAGAACGGGGTCTTTTCTACGTACTCACAGTTGTACGTGACGCGGGTTCGATGCAGTGCGGTGCGGTGCGGTGCGGTGCATCGTACCAGCAGCTGCACGCCGGTTCCCAAAGGGCAACTCGTGCCGAACCATGATCACGGCGCGCAGCAAACCGAGGGCTGAAGGATCGCTCCTGTATGTCCCAAGAGGCACCAAGGCCCGCGGACGCACTTTGGGCATCGATAGTGGCAAACGGCGCCAATACTACAACGTAAGTACTGTTGGGATGGGCGGCTGAAAGGTGTCGACCACGGCACGGTCCTTCTGCTTCCTTTTGGCCATCTCCTCGTCAATGGCCCTGTCTCCGCCACCACGTTTTTTACTCACAAGCAGCGACTCGTCATTTCTCACTCCCCTTCAGCAATGCTACGTAAGGTCATGACTGAACTAAGTCTGCAGCTACTGCCCGCTTGCGGGATGCAGAGCCAATTCAGGTCATTGAAATGTGCTGCTGGGCGACCGCAACTGGCCTCTGACGACTCATGCTGTATTCCCAGGGGGGAGGGGGGGTTCCTTGTCCCTTTTTGCCGGCCTGGTTGATAGCGAGGCGAACACTGAGCTAACATGCCTACCGAGGTAGATTATCTGTTCCCCTGTCTGCATACCGAGCGGCAGAAGGGCCTATCTGTATACATAACAAGGGTCTCTGTGCTAGATAAGCGCGGAGTATCAAGACATATACGGAGTACAATGAGTCCGTTCAAACACAGGCTATGCCAGCACAGAACTCAGCACGGACAATGACGCAAACGATCCCTAGAATGGGCTGCCACCTCCTGCCAGCACGCAGAGCGGGTTGCTGCACGGGGTTAAGCGATGCTGTAACTGAAGAGCGAGCTGCAGGCTTCCTCTTGGCCGGTTTCAGGGTTCATCCATTGAGTTGCCCGCTGCCAACGGGCACATGCCGCTGCGCAAGGCGTCATGCGGCTGCGGAAAGGCTTCACCGAAGAGAGCTGCGGGTCCCAGGAGCGGCTCGCGTACGAGTAGCGACGCTGATCTCAGTCTCCACAGAGCCTTTTGATGGTTACGGCTGTCGGCGGGACAGCTGAGTTGTCAGAAATCTGCCGCTGGGTGGTGAAAGGCGGTCGAAGCGTCCATCAGGCCTACCAACACACAAACACGGCGTGAACGGATTGCTTCGCAATCTGACTGCATGTGCATGCGTCGGCCGTGCGATGCAGACGAGAGCTGACGTGCCGATGCTTACGCGTATGGCTACAGCAAGTCGTTTGCGATACAAGCAGACGAGAGCTGATAGAAATGCCCCCCATCGCCCTGCTGATACTGCCTGTTTACTCGTCCGTACCGGTCCTCCAGGATGGGATGTCAAACGATTAGGTGAGCATTGGCAGCGATCGACAGTGTGACCGTTCCCTCTGCATGCGATGTGCAGTATGAATGAGCAAAACATGCTCAAAAAAAGAACAAAAGAAAGGAAGCGGAATCCGGTGCTTCCAGCAACGCTGGATCAGGAGCAGAGCGCCCGCAACATGAGCTGTCGCACACAGGAGCACTTGTCTGAGCCAGCAAAAGATGGTCCGATTTCAAATTGCCCATGCAATGCACGAACTGCGGCTGTATGCGATGAGTACGACGCAAACGCTGTCATGTAAGGATACGGAGCACCGTACGAGTACGAGTACTCTGCTGGTGTAACGGTGTCACCTTGGCCGGAGCTGGCTCCGAGCTGGCCATCCGTGCCTCTGAAATCTGATGATTTTGGATGCGAATACTTTGTGTGAGATGCAGAGTACCAAGGTGGTGGTCGCAGTCGCACTGTTGCTTGGTAGCTTCGTCTCCAACTAAGTACCACTCCGTACTTAGTGGCCTCGTCTCGTCCCGTCCCGTGTGCCACAGAGGGGAAAAGTTGACGGCCGACCCCACTCGGTGGTTGAAACACGGACAGAGTTTCCAAAGTATTTACGGAGTACTATCCCGTGCGTCCTGCCAACTCCTGCTGATTCTAAGTATGGAGCGTCATGCCAGGAGGAGCCATAATCTGCTGATGGCGCTGCGGGCATCGATGGGATCCGGCTTTCTGGTTGGATCACGATCGAGGCTGGGTTGGATCATACATAATTGACCGAAAGGAGAGACATTCCCCTAGCCCGCAAATGATAAAGGCCCTCTCCGGCAGTAGTGAATATGCAGGGCAAGCCTCTCGTGTTGGGGCTGCGGCAGCTTCGGCAGCCTCACTATTCTGATCCAGGCATGGATAGACATCATCGAAGGTTGGTCCTCTCCCCCTGGTCGCTGACTACTTTTCCAATAGCTCGGGTCCCGAGTCCCTGCTGATCCCACGGCTCAAAATTCTCGACCCCCCTTCCGTTGTTCAACCTGTCCTCCTCCTTTCCAGCCCGGCCAGCAAGGGTGCTGCTGGCTGTATGATGGTGGTGGGCTGTACAAGCAAATGGCATGAGCTACAACCAAGTACTTGGTAGCTCTACATGATACGGTTGAGACGGGGGAGGCGTGTGCATTAAGACGGACTATTGCCTAATGCGCGCGCGCGCTCGTGTACGCAGAATGACTCCAAAGCAGACACGGGCGCAAAGCAAAAAGCAGTGCCGCGTCCCCCCCAGCCCCAGCCCCAGCCCAATTTGTGGGCTTCCCTAGGGGGCCGGAAGGTTGAAAATCTGGGGAAATGGCATGCCCTCCATGCGTACCCAGCAAACCCCTGACCTGTTTCCTGGGTCCCCGGCAAGCAGGACTTGTGTGTTGTGCCTGGCTAGGCCTCCAACTCTGCCATCTCAGCTTGGATGAATCGCGGGTTGTTGGGGATACGAAGTAAGTTTTGGCATAGCCCGTCGGCGGCTTATCCCGTCTGGCATCAGGAACCAGCAATCTCAGAAGTAGATCAGAAACAAGCTATAAAAGGCAAGGGCTGTATGGTTTGAGCGAGGTGAGCGCAAACTAGACTCAAGCGAGGCTAGTTTTACCTGCTCTCGTCCAGATGCTGGCTGAGAAGAGCGGTGGATATGCTCGTGATAGGTCATAGTAAGGCTGGAGATGCTCACATCTCATGTCCCAACGCATCAGCCAAGACCTTCATATATTAGGCAGAGGATCAGCCGTACCAGTAAAAATAGCAATCCGGGGCCCGGATGTATTACTCCTGAGACAAGCTGCTTATGGTGCCTAATTAGCCCCCGAACGAGGTGTTCTCAACTTGGACTAAAGGGAACTCGTCCGGAGGATTCCCGTAGGAGTTTTGGCTTTTTTGCCCTTTTGGTTCTCTTGGGTAGTGCTAGTACTAATTCATCCATGAAGCGGCAGCTGGAAGGCTGACGTGTCTTTGCAAGGCTGATGGACTATGCGCTACTGCACGAGCAGGAGACCGGGGAGATTGTTGGTGTTGTTATCTGTTGTCTTCGGCTCCCTTTTTTTGGAGCAAAACTTGGTGTTAGTGCCACTGCGCTCCGTCGAATCCGTCCGCGGGCAGGAAGATCACGATGATCAACATGGGTCCTTTTTGGTCTCTATCGACGGTACAGCTCATTAGCAGCCCATCCTTTTCGTATCTAGTCACGGACGTGGCGGATGCAGATTATCGGCAAGGGGGGAGTGTTTATGCCTGCGAACATGGGGGAGAGGAGATAAACAGCAGAGCTGAGCTGACGGTCCAGCCATATGGCCGAATGACTCGGAACAGGCGTGAGCGAGAAGGCCGATATGAGTCAGGGGCTTTTGCTTGGGCCGGATGCGAGGGGAGAAAGATGGAAGAATGGATTTTGATTTTTAAATTTTCTTCTTTATTCTTCTTTTGGAACCCTTGTGAAGACGGGAATGCGGTGGCGATGAATGGATGGATGGAGTTGCATTTTTTATGTAGGCTGTTACCGGTTTGGGTGGAAGGGGGGCAGTACTGTATAATTGTGGGAGCGGTGAGCATCGGACAAGTTTGCTTGGATAATACTCCGTGATGATTTGGTTCGCCTTGTTTTTGCCTTGCAGGAAATTGCATGATATGCCTAATACTAACTGGTACGTACTAGTCGACATTATTTAAATAAATTTTCGATTTGTTATTTTTGGAATCAGAGTGAAAGAGTTGAATGTAGACAGATGCTTAATTGGATACGATTCTAGATGGCAGATGGAAAAGTCGATTAGACAATTATACGCCCCCCCCCCCCCCCCCCAAAATGAAAACTACCACTACCTAGGTTACTCTGCAATCTAGACTACCAGATGGAAACAAGTACTCCGTAAAACAAGTCGAAATTAATTAAAAGACAGATGAGATGGAAAGAAAAATGAAAAGGTTCTTCTGCCGTTTCCACACATCCTTCGCCTCTGCAGGAACGAGTCATGAAAAGGCAGAAACTATCGAACGATGGAAATTGCGATTTAAATTAACCTGCATGCGAACCAACGGATGTTGCCCTCGATACATGTTTTTTACTCTTTTTTTTTCTTCTTTGCCTTGCCAGGCTGACTTCCGATCTGTCTAGAATAGTTCTAGACTACTATTAATATATAATAAATACCCTTGGCGAAAATTTTCGGGTTAAGCTGTACCGATCTTACGGGAGAAAAAAGAAAGGAAGAGATGAAAAAACGCCACAAAGACCGAAAGAAGAAATATGCCAAATGAATTCGTTTTGATAAGAAAAAAAAGGGTGTGTGTGTGGAAACAGAAACAAAAGCATCTAGAAGTTCTCAACAGACTTTTTGTAAGGAGAAACAAGCAAGTGGAGAGATAGAAGAACATACGGTATCTATCCTGACTAACAACTTTAGTTGGAAAGAAAAAATCCACCAAAAAAAAAACGCTGGACGAACGGGGAATCGAACCCCGGACCTTTCCCATGCGGTTAAGCAGCTCGAAGGTTGCTTGATGCTAAGGGAAAATTATACCACTAAACCATCCGCCCATGCTGTGCGTTGCTTCCATCGTAATGGCAAGAGACTCAAGAAGCCATCACGAGAAACAAAGGGACTACAATTATCAGTGTAACAACAACGCAAAGGGAACATCCATATCACCTAGAGCACCATGTAGAGAGCAGTTTTATCATCGTATTTCATTCATGTATGACCTCTGAAAAAGAAAGGCCCTCTCGTCACCTGGCCAGCGGTTCCTTGGCTTTAATCTCTCTAATCGTATCCCTCGTTCTTGCATTATCTTCGAAGCTGGCATGTATCAGGTCAATCACCTCGTCCACCGTAAAGTATAGGCTCAGCTCGCTATCACACCACAGAAACTTGACTTCGTTGAGATTGCTCTGTAGAACCTCGCCAAGGTACTTGAGGCGCAACCAGCTAGGCGCATATTGAGCCGTTGTAGGCATTTCGTCCGGTGCAGGTGCTGTACCAGATAGTTTGCTAGGCATGAATAAATCATCGAGTTCTGTTGCCAAAGCGATAAGCTGTGCAATGCTGTAAGCCTCATCCTGGCCTATAGACGACATCTCCAACACATCTGAAATAAGCCGTGAAGCAAGCGAGTCTGCAAGCGACCCGACTGCCTGCGACCAGACAGATCTTCTCAGGATGGGATCCCACGTTGCGGCTACACTTCGAATTCGCGCTGTTCCGGCCTCGATAGACGACTCCTTATCGTCTTGCTGTACTAAACTCTGTGAACCTCCAAGGAGGTCCTGCAGGATTGTCTTTTGGAGACTCATTTCATTAGAGTAACTGCGGTTAGCAAAGCTTTTCAGCGTCCTGACATCATTGTCGATGCGGAGCATGCTTCGCGCACGAGGCGTCAAGTCCTCACGTTGTTTCCAAGCCAATGAAAAGTCAGATAGCTTCTCTGACAGATACATGGCGTCGTTATATAGAAACCTACGGGCAATGTTAGTCGAGGTTCAAGCTTAGGACTTATTGGGTTGGCAAGCTTACATGTTGCCTCCAGCGTCAGAAGAGTAGTATTGAGGTGAAATGGCTCGAAACAGTGCCAAGACAAATGTAGGTAAGCTGAAGAGGCCAGGTGCTGTTGCGGTTAGCAGGCTGTACTCGTCTCCGTCCTTCGTCAACGCTGCTCCGTCTTCAAGAATGGAGAATATCAGTTCGAGAACAGGCTCAGGCATTGATGAGATGCTGTACGTCTCTTTAAAAACCAACTCTCTTGTCTCTTCTTTGGCTTTGCTCAGTTTTGTTTTGGGAGCCGGAGCAGGGACAGCATTGGCCGCTGGTTCAGGGGCGTCACCATCATCGCCCCAACCCCAGGCATCGGCACCATCATCTTCATCCGGTGCTCCAGTGGCGTCTTTTGCTTCTTCAGTCTGGTTCGTAGTATCATTTGCATCGTCGTTATCTCCCCAGCCCCAGGCATCAGCACCATCATCCTCTTTCGGTCCTAGCTTTTCCTTTGGTTCTTCAGTTGCATCCTTGTTGTTTGCTTCATCATTATCATCCCATCCCCAGGCATTCGCAGCATCATCGTCGTTGTCTTTGCCGTGACTTTCCTTTTGGTCAATATCCATCTCATCCTCATCCCCTGCCTTGTCATCGTCCCATGCCTCTCCCCAGGCTTCGCCCCAGTCATTCGTGTCCGCAACGGCTCCTGCGCCAGTTCTAGAGAGTTCGTTGCCCTCAGCTATGGAAACCATTTGCCTCTCAATCTTTTCTACTCGTCTTGACTGCCCAATCCCGCTTGTGAGATTGATTCGCACGCTATCGAGCGCCGTCTCTCTGCTCTTGTCCAGCCATATTGTGGGCGCCTTGCTGGCCCAATCTTGTATTTGCTCAAGACCAGTGTACCCACTGTGTTGCAGCGATTCACAAAACGTTTTCGTTTTTGAAACAAGGACTTGAAATTTATCCAGGTCTTTGAGTCCTGTGGGAACAGCAGGATTAAGCCACTCCCTAATAAGTTTGGATATAATATCGCCCATCATGACATCAGCTAGTGGTCGCAACAGATCGGCTGGTAATTTGTGAGCGACGAATGTCAGAATTTGTTCGAGGTCTGATAATAGGGCTTCCGCTGAGGCGTCAGCAGAGCCGGCAAGCTCAAGCACGTCTCCATCCACTTTGATCCCTGGGGTGTTTGATCTCGTAGTATCCATGCGTGGTGATACCACTGCGGCATCCAAATTATGCCACAGCTGCTCCATCCTCTCGTCAACTTCCTTGTAGGCTTTCAAGCCAATCACAGCATCTTCCAGGATCATTTTCTCATCTTATCAGGGTCAGCACGGCTACCGGAGAGAGTCCTGGGGCACTAACCTTGCCGTGTATTGTAGATTGCAACTCTTCCCAAATCTGCATCAACTTGTATCAGGGTTTTCCAGACGTGGTCGACTGCTTGGTGTATATCGGACTTCAGCTCAAATGCCCTCAGGTCCAGGAGCTTCATTACTCGGGTAGTCTTGCTGACACCCACTTCGTCGAGAGCCGTCCATGATTCTTGCTCAAAGTCAGCCAATGCTAATAATGAATGAACAGGAAAACGCACTCTCAAGTAATCTTAGGGAATCAAGAACACGCCTTTCTCTGCTTGCCTGCTCGACTTCGATGAGGAGTCGATTGACATGTTGGATCTTCCTTAAGACAATGTGCATCTGCTGGCTGTATTGAACCTCTCGATTGAGGAATTCAGCTTTTTCTTCCGCATCTAGGATGGCTTCACCAGTCACGTCCGGGGCCTCGGATTGACGGATGATGTCATTGGCAATAGTCTTGGATCGAATAATGTCCTCCTGCAGAACCTTTGAGTTTTGAACCCATGAGCTGATGTCGTCCTTTGTCTCTTCGTTTATGGTGTGGATTTCGGCCTAGGCGTGGTAGCGTTAACATGTGCAGCTTTGTAGAGGCAACGTCTGGGGGTGACTCGAACTCGTGTACCTCGATAGCCACCTTGGCCTCGCCCAGAGCTCTGAGTGTAGGGTCCAAATCAGTTTCTGAGACGGATGGCAGTGCGGCAATGTCGTCAGGGAAGCTCCCTTCCAAGGCAAACGATAGGATAGCATTGCTAAGCTGTTGAGGCTCTGTTGTAGTTGCCATGCTGGTTGCCTTCGGCGGGCTCTGATAGCAGCCGTTCTGATATGCCCGGTCAAGGAAAGGTTGGGACAAGGCTCAGAAAATCCCATCAATGGTAAGCAAAGCATCCGCTCGCATCGCAGGACATGGCATTCGTGCGATGGTGGTGAGGGCGCGTCGGTTTGCGCAAATCAAAAGGCCGTGATCTTGTCTTTCGGTGTTGCTGTCATTTGAGCTCTCCAGGCCTGCCACCTTGATTGGCCTGGTAGCGGTACGTACCTTGGCCTCGCTGCATCTCAGCTGGCATGTGGTGCGCCACACAGGCTGAGGCTGGGCCTATGGCGCCTATCCCTGTTTGGCTCGGGCAACGCGCCTAACGGCGGTTAAACCCCTCACTGTGTGGCGCAGCGCTCGGCGTGTTACTTCACATGCTCTTCTACCCCACCAACGGCTGCTTGATGCATGAATGGAACAGACCATCCGGTACGTACATTGCCATCCAATACCTCCCAGTTTACCTTAGTATTGTTCTTTTGCATCGGCGACCACTAGACAGGGATCGAGCATTTAAATCCCATTGCCGTCAGCCTTCCGTCTTCGGTCCTGTCTCTTCAGGCAAGAGACATTCCATAAGCAATCGCTCCCCCTCCTCTTGGATAAGCAGAGGGAAGGTCTCTTTTCTTTCAGCTTTCTCTTCTCTTCTCTTCTCACCTCCTGTTGGCTTGCCAGCGGGGTAGATTGAACAGGCAGCTTAACAAACGCTGTTCAGACAATTCCTCCTTCACCGGGCAGAGCGCAGTTTGCTCTGTCTCTCGATATTCAGGCGTCGTTGTCGTTGTGTTTGGTGAGTTCTGGGTTGCTGAAATCATCCCCCAAGCCATTCTGCCCCTCTACCCCTTGTCCCCTCTCAAAATACCCCCAACACCTTGACAGCCTGCTCTCTCTATCTTTTGTCATCCCCCCTTTGTCAAACATCTGAGTTGGGAGTCACCATTCGGCCTCTACGCAAGATTGCAGCAAGATTCGGTTAGATGCTGTCAGCCAGGCTTGCAAACAAGATCCTACCGCTCATTGTCGCCATCTTAAGTGCTGGTTTGTACTACCTATTCATCAGCAATCATGGCCATTCTGCCCATGAATTCCTGGAAGGCTGCCTGCTGAGGTTGGTCCTCTCTATACTCCTCTCTAAGTGGCCCATGCGGACAAGCCGTTCGCTTACCTTGCCCCCCTCCTCAGAAAATGAATCCAAATTCCTCCAATGTGCTTCCTCTCCAGCACACCAATCTAGTAACAAGTGACTAGATTCTGGCTGTCTCATTATTATCTCTTCTTACTCACTGGTTTTACACCATCTTGCTACTTTATCAAAGCTTTATCAAGTGTCTGGCCACTTTTTTCTCAGCTGTACTGACTGACTGCTGCTTAGGTCTGGCTGGAAGGGGCGTCCTTTCTCGAAAAACTTCAGGATGCCTTCACAAAAACTAAAGCCCAGTTTCCGCAAGGTTCAAACCTTCAAGACCGATTACGCGCCCTGCACAATCACTCAATATGTCTCCGAACGGAGTGGCATGCAGGTCGTTGTGGCTGATCGCAAGGGACCAAAGATCAATGGGTACTTCACCCTCGCCACTGAAATTTTTGACGATTCCGGAGCCCCTCATACCCTTGAGCATCTGATCTTCATGGGCTCCAAGAATTATCAGTGGAAGGGTCTTCTGGACAAGCTATCTTCTCGCGCATATTCTAGCACGAATGCCTGGACTGCCACCGATCACACAGCCTACACCCTTGAGACAGCTGGTTGGGATGGCTTCGCTCAGATCCTCCCCGTCTACCTGGAGCATGTGATTCTACCTACGATTACCGATGATGGTATTGTCACCGAGGTTTGGCACATCGATGGAGAGGGTAATGATGCAGGTGTTGTATACTCGGAAATGCAGGCTGTTGAGAATCGCAGCACCGAAGTCATGGATCTGAAAGCCCGCCGACTTTTATACCCAGAAAACGTCGGTTTCCGGTACGAAACAGGCGGCATGACGGAAGCCCTGCGAGTTCTCACACCTGAGCGCATTCGTCAATTCCACCGAGACATGTACCAGCCGCGCAACTTGTGCGTAGTCATTGTTGGCGAAGCGGATCACGAGAATCTTCTGGAAATCCTAGATACCTTTGAAGAAAGTATCAAAGATGATATTCCTGCTCTTGATACTCCATTCAAGAGGCCTTGGACAGACTCAGCTCAGCCACCTGTCCTCAAAGAGAGCATTGTCACGACGGCAGAGTTCCCAGAGGAGGACGAGTCTGTTGGTGAAATTCTCATTGGTTTCTTCGGTCCTCATTGTACCGATGTCCTTGCTACGTCGGCTCTCAACATTCTTCTTACATATCTTTGTGGCTCATCTGTCTCTGTGTTGGAAAACACGCTTGTTGAGAGGGAGGAACTTGCAAGCTCTGTATCATACTGGTGGGAATCAAGACCGAACTCGCTCATTTGGTTGCAGCCTACTGGTGTGGCAACGGAAAAGCTGGCATTTGTGGAGAACCGTCTGTTTGAAGTCTTGAGGGATGTTGTGTCAAAGCCTTTGGATATGGAGTACATGAGAGAGTGCATCCGAAGAGAGAAGCGACAGGTCAAGTATCATGCCGAGACATCGGAATCTTTCTACTCCACTAACATCATAACCGACTATCTCTTTGGAAAGCGTGATGGTTCAACGCTCAAAGATCTGGAAACGTTGGCAGAGTACGATGTTCTTGAAAAATGGTCGGATGAGGAGTGGCGAGCTTTCATGAAGGAGTGGATGTCTGATGCTCACCACATCTCCATATTGGGCAAGCCATCTTTGGAATTGGCCACCAAGATCAAGAGCGATCATGAAGCTCGCATCACCAAGCGCAAAGAGGAACTTGGAGCAGACGGACTGCAAAAGCTCGCGCAAAGACTCGAAGAGGCCAAAAGCAAAAATGATGCGCCAATCCCACCCGAAGTTATTGATCGCTGGGCTGTTCCTGGCACAGAGTCGATTCACTTCATAGAATCTGATACTGCTCGCTCTGGTAATGCCAAGTCTGTTGGCCTGGGTCCCGGTCGTGCGCAAGAGCTCATCAATGCTGCTTCGGATGGCAAGCTACCGCTTTTCATTCAGTTCGAGGATGTACCCACAAACTTTGTCCACATCACTCTTCACGTTGGCACAGCTCAAGTTCCTGTTCACCTCAAGCCACTCATGGCAATTTTCAGCGATAATTTCTTCAACACACATATCGTGCGAGATGGGAAGCAGATCAACTTTGAGCAGGTCGTCATGGAGCTGGAGAGAGACAGCGTTGGCTACGACATTGGAAGCTCCCGGCAGCTTGGTGACACAGAAGGATATATGATTCAATTCCAGGCGGAGCCCGACAAGTATGATGCAGCCGTTAACTGGCTTCGTACCATGATGTTTGATTCCGTTTTTGACCCTGTCCGGATCAAGGCCGCTGTTATGAAGGCCTTGGCCGACATCCCAGAATCGAAACGTGACGGGCGCAGCATGGCTGCTGAGGTGGACACAGCTATTCACATGGAAAAGTCTACTCTTACCGTTGCCAGGCGTGTTGTGGTCAAGGCAGTCTATCTTAAGCGTCTCAAGAAGCTCTTGAAGAAGAATCCCGACCAGGTTGTGGAGTGGTTCAATGAAATCCGTAACTCTCTTTTCACATTTGAGAACATGAGAGTCCTTGTCACGGCAGACCTACAAAAGCTCCCCAACCCCATTGCCACTTGGGATGCGCTCTCAACAGCACTGAAGTCGCATAATGGGTCTATGGCTCCTATTCCGAAGCCATCGAGTCTTTTGAACGCCGAAGGAAAAGCCCCCGGTTCTGTAGGTGCCACCATTATCCCCATGACAGCTCTGGACAGCTCTTTCTCCGTCAGCACTGCCCCTGGCCTCTCTTCCTTTGCAGATCCCAGGCTGCCTGCCATTATGGTAGCAGTAGGATACCTCGAGACGGTAGAGGGACCGCTGTGGAATGCCGTCCGCGGTGCCGGATACGCCTACGGAACCTTCTTCACGCGCAACGTTGAGAGTGGAGTCATATCCTTTAAGGTATACCGCTCTCCGGACGCGTCCAAGGCCATTATTGCTTCACGGGATGCTATTCAGAAAATTGCCAACGCCGACGTGCCAATTGACAAGCACCTCCTTGAAGGTACCATCAGCCAAATCGTGGTGGGCTTCGCCGATGAGCAGTCCACTATGCCCAGTGCTGCCCAGCAGAATTTCGTCCAGAGCGTTTTCAAGGAGCTGCCCAAGGATTGGAGCAAGGTTATCCTTAAGCGTGTGAGAGAAGTGACTGAGGATGAGATTCGCCAAGCGCTCAAGGACTTCATCATGCCCTGCTTTGCGCCGGGTACGAGCAACGTAGTGATTACGTGCGCCAAACTTATGCAAGAGGTATGATTCAATTCACTTCAGGTTCTAACTTATTGTATGTATGAAGCATGCTGACTATCTTCTGCTTAGGGTATTGAGACTGCATTCAAGGGAATGGGCTACAAGGTTCAGACTCATGAGTTAAGCCACTTCCACGATGACTATGGTTTGGGTGCTGGCGAGGATGAAGACGAGGACGAGGATGAGGATGACGACGAAGAAGATGATGATGAATTTGATGATGAAGAGGGGAGCGAAGAGGATGACGATGAGGATGAAGACTAGATATCTGGTTTAGATGGACGCAATGTCTAGAGGATAGGTTTGTATAGGACAACATAGGCAACTAAATGATTTGACAAGATAGTAAGAAGACACATTCGTGAGAACAATGATACGGATTTTACTAAGATTGAGTGTGTTGTATTGTTCATTGTGAATTTCTACTTCAGCACATATTCCTTCATTTTCTATAATGTTTTACAACTCGTCGCGGCCACTGGCTTTGACGACACCCTCGTCCTCCTTCTCGCTAACAGCCTGTTCGCCCTTCCAATCCAGGGCCTTGAGGCGCTCCGAGAGATGAGGGTGGGAGAAGTGATAGCTCGCGTACATCCAGTCAGCGTCCATGGAGCTGAGGTTCTGAATGTGCAGCTTGATGAGCGATGTGGCCAGCTCAGTGCGCATACCCAGGTCATTGGCGAACTTGTCAGCCTGGAACTCAAAGGTGCGGGAGACGATGTGCAGGAGGAACTGGATGACGGTGTCCATTGGCGAGAGGGCATCCGAGAAGAGGAGGAAGCCGATGATGATGGGGTGCTCGCTGTGGAAGCCAAATGAAGAATAGAGGGAGCGGTTGTTGATGAAGACAGAGAAGAGGCTAAAGACGTAGAGGAGATGGGCCTAGAGGTAGTGTTAGCGATGCTATTCAGTGGAATCATAAAGAAAGCTGTAAAGCATTCATACCTGAGAAATTCCAAAGAGGCTTGTGGTGTGGCCGAGCTTCCAGTGGCCGAGCTCATGAGCCAGAATAGCGAGAACCTCTTCCGGCTCGGACTTTTCCAAGAGAGTATCGTAAATGACAATGTGCTTCTTCCATGGGAGGCCGTAAAAGAATGCGTTGGAATGAGCGCTGCGCTTGCTACCATCGATGACATACAGCTCGTGCAGGGGGAACTTGAACTTGGCGGCTAATTCATTGACCTTTGTCTTGAGCTCACCGTCCTCGAGGGGAGAGAGCTTGTTGAACAGGGGCTGGATGAAGGTGGGATACAGAGTAGTCATCAGAAGCTGCAAACTGGCAGTAAAGACCCAAGTGTAGAAGACGAACTGCGAGCCAGTCTTTTGGATGATCTTGAGGAAACCAGCAATGACGGGGGGCATCAGGACAGCAGTAAGCAGGTTCGTCTTAACGAGATCAGAGATGAACAGGCCAGGCGTCTGCTTATTGAAGCCGAATTTCTCTTCCAGGACAAAAGTGCTGTATACGCGAGTAGGCATGCTCAGCGCCTGCGACAGGAGCATGAACGTAAAGACAAAGACAATCGAATGCGAGATTTCACCAGTGAAGCGCGCCGGCGCATACTTGAGCAGCAGGTCGCCGGTCCAGGACCACAGCTTGGGCATTACATCGAAATGGACAAAGGCGAAGTTGACAATCTGGCCCCAGAGGCCGCTGACGACGGAGAATTGGGCTTTGGCACGACCATAGGCTTGCGACTTGTCAAAGGTTTCCTGGTTGACTTCTTTGGCGAGGACGGCGGGGGGTTTGGGCAGCTGGAGGATACGGTATTGGCGGTAGTTGAGCAGAGATTCGAAGAGGTACTGGCCGACGGAGAAGCCCAGGATGAGCCTCTTCCATGGGAACAGCGGGCGATCGAGGAATTGCGACAGGCGCTGCATGGAGGGGGAAGCAGAAGATGCCCATGATTAGCTTCAAGTGTTTATACAATGTGGGACAT